TATTATAACACATCTGTTGGACCATGATGAGAAGATCAGCTGTTTCGATTTCCTTAGGTGAGTCTTCAAATTTCAATTGGTGTTAATATACTACCCATCTCCCGTGTCACTTTTTATTGGTGCAGATGCTGTTTGATCGTCTGCAAACAGCATAAACGTAATTTTCTGTCTATACAATTTTACAATAAAGTTTTCTTCTTCACACTCTCCAGTTTCATCACTCAAGGAGGACTACATAGAGACCTGAAGATGAAAGTTGTTTGTGTTTCTTGACAAATGAATAATGCACACCCATGACCTATTAAGCTGTTTTCATGTACATACACATCCTAGCACTCATGGGGCTGGTGAGATCAGAAGGGCATTGAGCATGTTAAAATATATTTATGGGATTTTGCCCCTCTTGCTCTGAACAGATGATATGGTCTCCTAAATGCCAAAAGAATAATTGGTTATTTGCTTCTCTCATGCATACCATTGAGTTTTAGTTTTTAGGGCTGTGGTGTAAGATGTTTCAATGCAATCCTTCTTACATCAAGAGACTTGTTCCATATCTTAGTTAGACAGCTGATGGTTAGAACCAGAAAGATACAAGTACATGTGTATTACAAAGATATACATGTGATACAATGTTGAGTTTCTTAGCTCCCTCATCCCACTCGTTTTGCTATTCATTTGATTTTAGAATCCTGTTGGGTATTTTAAGAATTTGTCTGTTTAACTAGAGTGAAACAAATATGAAAGAAAAAAGAAAAGAAATGTCAGGCCATCAAAATCATCTGGGAACTTCAGGAATATTTCATTTCATGAACACCCATTAATTGTATTTTTGTCATAAATTCTCTAACAGAATTAAAACCAACTGCAACAATAAGACAATGGGCCATATGGAGTGTTCTAGATGTATATACACTTTTATTATATCTTGAAACACTAGATGTGCATATAATGAATCATTAGAATATCAGCTTTAGATGTCCTTAATTAGGCTCAGAACTCATCAGTTTAATGAAGTTAGCCATTTTTGTGCTAGACTGTAAGGGTGCTGGCATACCATATGGTATATATACCAGTCTAGGTGCTTCAGTTTTAAATTTCCCCCATTCCCTTTAATTGTCTTCAATTATCGCCCTCTAATAACGTCTGTGACAGTCATTTACACCAAGAAATAATCATTCCAAGTGCGGTCGCATTATACGATAGCATTGATTCCTGTTATTAGATACGTCTGCCAAGCCCAAGGCCCCCTACGTCATTTAGAAGAGACATGATATGATATTCTAATTCTCATTCTATCATGTAATATCAAATAGCAGAATACCAATAAGCCACTTGATATTTTTGTAAGAATATCGTATGTTGTTTCAATTGATGACTCACAAACTGGTTGTCAAGAATTAAGCTGATAAAAATATATATATATTTCATTTAAGAAATAGGATAACTTTGACTACAAAGTAGATTCAAACAACTGGGCTCCATACCTATAACTTTTTTTTCATTCTATACTTTTTTGTTAAATATAGTTTTATTTTATCAGTGTTTATTTGTAACTTTTTCTTTCAAAAATCTCTCTCTATCTCTCTGTCCGTTTCTGTTTTCCCTTAAATCTTCTCTTACATAATTTCAACTTCCAGTTCGGTCTTCCATTGTTTTTATCCCTGCCTGTCTCCATGTTTGCGTCATATTCCATCTTTAAGATTTATCATAGGGTATCGGATGTTACTGTTATGCTTCCTTCATGAATCTCCTCCTATACCAGACTTTGAAATGTTACTCATGAATGTTTTTGAGTGTCTTAATCTGAAATCCACCAGGCATGTAAACCATGTGCACTGGTAGGTACGCAGCTGTTTTTCTCATCATGGACTGTAATCTTTCTAGGAAGGTGAATTTAAAACCTGAGATCACTGAAAGGGGTATCCAAGTACGTGACTGTGCATGGTAGAAAAAGATGTGGCACAGAACAATATCAAATTATCAATCCATTATTATTCCGTGTAGGTTTGAAATGTCCATGTAGCATTTAACCACTGATGCAATGAAAAGCAACTTTTCACCTGCCTAACTTTAATCTCTGTGTGCCTTATTATCACTTGAAAACTTTTTATTAATTAGTATTCTTTTCTTTTTCTGTATTTGCAAAATCATACATTGATTGGAAAAACTTACCTTAAATTCAATATTTTTATGAAATTGGGGTAAACTTGTTTTTCTTATTGTGTTTATCTATATGAAACACAAAACAAAAATAAAAGTTTGACGTGCCCTAAAAACATGAAACATATATCTTTTTATTTCAGACTTGTTAATACGATTTCTATTCAATATTATCGAAATGTGTACAAGTCATGAAAATAAATTACATCAAATATGTTATGTATGTTTCAAAATAAGTTTGGTCCATCAGTTAACTGTTTTGGTTGTTGTTGTTGATGATTCATTTGTCTGTATATTGCCAACTAAATTTCAAATTGTATTTAGCATAATTCAAAGTGCGCCTGTCCAGCTGATTTCTAGACTATGTGCTGTTAGATAAGTACTGAACTAATTGTGGCACTTCATCTTACCACAATGCGAGAGACATATACAAGGTGATAGACCCATACATCTGTGACTTTATATCACAATGAAATTGGTACCATGTGTTGCCAATTTAAAAACCAGTGATGTTTGATAGAGGACCTTATTAATTTAATTATTTTATTAAAGACGTTGCCTAAAAAAATTATGTAGGGCGAGTATATTTGTTGGAGCAAGTGCTGTAAATGACCTAGTTTCAAAGCTGGGTAATTGTGTAATGTTTGTAGTTCTGTGTCCTGGATATGAATATGCAGGCTGCATGTCTTTGATAGACGGAGAGCAGGAGTAAGTCACGTACATTCACTGGAGATGCATTTCAAAGCTATGTCACATGGTCAGACTTGATTCCATCTCACCTCCTTCATCGCTATGGATCTCAGAGAGATTCTTAGAAACCCAAAGGTTGATATCGGTGTCGATTGATACCAACATTCTGTACCAGTGCCTGTTCAACCTTTGTAGGAGTATTTCTCTATTTTTCTTTCCCTGTAACGTATTGTATCAGAGATTCAAAGGTGATTCTTGTCTATCTATTCCTCTTTCACCAAGGTGTTGTAAGAAATGCAGTAATGCGGTCATCTATGCTCTATTCTATTTAAATGCATATGTTCTAATTTAGAAGCCAATCAAAGGGTTTCAATAAAATGTTTCAGGCTTAAAACTAGGAATGTTTTGAAAGTATATATTAAAATACAATTCTATAGAGAATTTTGTTTAGAAATGATGCAAATCCTAGAAGAAGGTTATCCATAACGATTAAAACCCAGATTCACATTAAAAATAAACTGATAGAGACCACTACTACAAATTATCTAACTGCAAGAAAAATTGAGTTAGGTTATTAAAATAAAGGCAAGAATGAACTTTATACTTTTGCACTCATCACACAAACTAATGAAAAGGGCTGTAAATGAAATGTATGAAAGTGATATGAGGTCGAAAGGATCATATGTTGGATAGGTTTGTGAGTTTACATGTCCACATGTCCACATCTGATAGGGAGCTCCATATCCTGATAGCCCATGTCTGCAAAGGATTGAAAAATCATTTCCATAATCTAGATCGTTATCAAGCATGTATGTACATGTATGTGATCTTCTCCCCCCCCCCCCTTTTTTTTGCCCACCTCTCTCTCTCTCTTATTTCTGTCTCTATCTCTTTCATTCTCTCTCTCTCTCTCTCTCTCTCTCTCTCTCTCTCTCTCTCTATATATATATATATATATAAAATTTATATTTGTCTCTCTTCCCCTTCTCTCACTCCCTCTCTCTCCCTTTCTAACTTTCTCCCTCTCACCTCCTTCCTCTCCCTTCCTCTCCCTATATCTCTCTCTTTTCCCTCTCTTCCCCTCTCTTCCCTCCTCTCACCTTTTACCCCTCATTCTCTGTCTCTTTCTATCTTTGCTTCCTCTCTTATTTTTCTACTCTTCCTTTTTTTAAATAATTCTCTCACTTTTATTGCTTCTCTCTTTTTGCTTCTCTCTTTCTGTTCTACTTCCAATTAAGTCTTCCACTTCATTATTTTTGTATTTATGATTTTTATTTTGTTTTAATTTATTTCTTTCAGATTAAGCATTCCTAAAGATTATTTTACTTTCATACAAAACAAATTTTTCCTCCCTGCTGAACCAGAATACATTTGAATAATTCCATGATTGAACTTGATACTTTAGATGACTTGACTTTCTAAACAAAAACAGAAAACCTAGCATTCCTATTTAAAATTCTCATATTTCTCTTTGTGAAAAAAAATGTTTTATAGAGGGGAATTATGGACTTAAATTCTGTGGCGCTAGATCTAAATCTCTGCTTTCCCCTCATGCACATATCTTTTACAGCATGCTCAGATGTGACTCGTTTTGTGAAAGTTATATATGTAGATACACATCAGGGTTTGTAACAATGTCTAGACAATGTTATAGCGTGAGGAAGGAAATTCTAAATCAATACATTTGCTGTCATGTATATGGTTTTCTAATTTCTTATCTTTAATGTTTAAGGAGCTTATTGAGGAAATGAGCAAAGTTGTGCATTGCTTTCCCCTACTTCCGATGGGAAATTCGTAATGTGAATGATTAACTATGGATAGATTCTTTTAACTAGTATAATAGCTTTGTCTCCCCAAATAAGCGTTGTGCATTAAAGTATCTTGTTACATATATCTAAAAATATGTCATGTTCATGGATAAAACTTAAGTAATAATTGGAAACTTTTCTATGACCGGAAAGGTGTTTAAGTTTCATATCTGGATTGTCCATTGAGTAAACTAAAGTGACCATGACAATCTTATTGGAATGAAGGTATTTATGGGTCACTCATGTGGACATGAGATCATCTGTGGTCCGGAGAGGTATCCCTTTCCACAGGGCGCATGATATGGGTAAGCAAAGGTGAGGGAAGGAGGGATGTGCCAAGTATGAATTCTGTCACCACAGCCATTGAGATGGAGCTTATCAGAAGACAGTGAGTGTTAGATTATATGAAGATGATGATGACAGTGATGTTTGCAGTACTGCTGCTGTGACATTCCAAAAAGCAAGGGGTCTTCGTGACCCATCAGGAATGGGGAGCATGCGTGCCTTTCTTTTCTAAATGCTTGATTTAATGGGGTAGATAACCCATGCGCATGGATGCAACTCTGTCTATGCTCAGTCTGCGCTCAGTCTACGCTGACATCGCTCCGGCTTGACGAACCCGTTTGCGAAGTTTGTTAGTTCTGTCTTGTGATCTGACTACTGAGGTATTCAAAGAGCAGACGAGTGATGTTATCATGAACTCTTACTCATCATAGCTGATGGCTTATTAATGACTCGCATTTGTGTTTAGAGGCAAAGTGCCATCATAGAGTGGGGGTTGAGAGAGCATTCTCTAAGAGGTGAAGGTTGGAAACTTTTCATCACCTTTTTAACACCTCTTCTCTTGACTGATTTGATTTACTTGAAGTAACACAACATGGCGTACCGAGGAAAGGAATGCTTTAAACCTTTTAATGGAAGCAGAGCTGGTGCGGGCAAGACAGTCTCAAAGCTTACTGTTCAGCTGGGCAGAAGCAACGGGAACGTAGCAACAAGTGGACCTCAGGATACAAGACCAATAAATCAGAGAAAGCAAGTAGGGTTTGGCATAAATCAAAGCAGCGGACTGGGAGGTGACATGGACGTCACAGGCAGCAGCAGCAACTCCCAACCAGTAGCTCCCAAGCTGGGCAATAATTATCCAGCAGACAGGGGCTGTTCATGGGGCGGAGCTGAGGGTGGAAGTGGTAGTCAGAGTCAGGAAGGGGGATTAATCACGCCACTCGGGGATCACGAGAGACGCGTTAATGAGCAGGGTTCCTGTCAACCTGTCAGTATATCAACAGACAACATGAATGCCATGTCAGTAAATAATCTTGTGCCTGCATTAGACCAAGGTCCTGCTGCCCCTTTTCCAGAATCGTCTGTTATGTATCCTGACATTGAAACCAATGGGCTCCACCCTCTCGTCTTAAATGGTAATTCTGTCTATGAAGGGGATTCAGGTTCCATTAACCGCTCAAATCTGAGCAAGGTACAGTTCGAGGAACCTCCTATTATGAACATTGATCCCAGCCCTTTGAGTGCCGAAGAGAAAGCTAGAGCTCTAGCAGTAGGAGCCATTGAGCAAGCTCTTGCTTCACAGCTTGTTTTGTCTGTGACCAAGGCAGCAGCCAAGATTGTGAGTGACGAAGACTTGGAATCAATCGATGATAACAAGATGGACACTTCTGAACAAATGATGGATGCCAACCAGTGCCAGGAAAATGGAGGCTTAACAACAAACCAGTTCATTAATAATCCTTCTGATGTTAAATTCATATCCGACATGAAGAATTCTGACGGGATCACAGCTCTTCAAGGAAAATCTACTAACTGGCAAGATACAAATGCAAATGATGTATCGACCAAAAGTAAGTCGGTTCTTATTGAGAATGGCTCTGTATCCAATAATGCGAATGCAAACAATAACACACAGTTGCCGCCAGTGCCTCCAAAACCAGCCAAATCTGCACCTAAACAACTTGATGATGTACCAGGACCAGAACCTGAAAATACTCAGCCACCACCTCCATTGCCTGAAGGACATGGTGAGATGCAAGAGTTTTTTAACTCTCCCCAAATTCTTTTCCCCGATGACATCATTGACTGCCTACCTGAAGTAGAAGAAATGAGCAACGGAATGCACCCATCCCCTCCTTCTCTGATGGCAAGTCCTGAACAGCCAGCACTCGAGAGTCAAGAGCAAGTTGAAAGTGATACACCATTGTCTGCACCGGTAGCCACAGCAGACGAACAAGAAATTAAACTTGATGAAGACACCAGCAATAAAGAAGACAACACAGAGGGTGAGATGATAGACACAAAGGAAAATAAAACTGACACGACAGAGGTTACTGAAGGAGTCGTCAATGATACCCTCCTGCCTACAGCTCCTGTTGAAGATGCTGACGAAAAAGGAGACAAACCTGATGGTGAGCTTATTGAGAAAAGTGAAGATGGAAGTATTGCTACAGATGTTATGAGTAGTGAGCATAATAATGTTATTCATTGTGCTTTTCATGACTCTCAAGTAGAAAGCGATGTTAAAGAAGAATTGCTGAATAGTTCTGTTAATGTTCCTTTAAATGAGGATGCACAATCCACTGAAATTACAGAAAAGCCAGTAGAAATCTCTGACAGTACAGAAACAAAATATGAAGAAAAGGAAGGAAGTGAGAGTGCAGAAGTTCGAGATGATGTAAAACAAGAACAGCAGAATGATTGCCAAGATAACAACGTGCGTGATATGAGCCTACCGATACCATGTCCAACAACAACAGCATCATCATCATCATTGGCAGAGATAGGAATGACGCAGATTCCATTATCGCCTATCTTTGAGGAACCAAGGTCACCGGCTGAGACAGATGATGGTCTTGATCTGTCAAACACAAGTTTCTCATCATCCTCCCATCAAATGCCCATAGCTGCATCCCCATCATCGCCAGAAATGATGGAGGTACCTGAAGTAGCCGGCAGTGCGAGCGATGAGATTACGGCAGTCGCTACAGCGAGTATTGTGTTGGGAGCGGGTTCCAATGAAATTACTGAAGGAAATGGGGCACCCGTCGGGAAGGAGAATCATGTTGAAAATGAAGTTGAAATCCAGCAGGAGGATATTATAGCAGAAGGTATGTATTGGTTAAATTATTTTATTTCAACTGTAACCTTGTTTGATTGAAGAAGTTTCAGCATCTTTCTAACAAGTGCAAAGTTTAGAGGTAGATCCTATGGCCCGAATTCACAAAGGAGGTTTAGATATTAATCAATGGTCTATTGGTTGATATATCCAACTCAGAAATAACCATATAATAGCTTATTTTGCCGGTTCATATGACATTAGGCAATGCAAACACCTGCACTCACCAACGTTTTGAACGATGGTGTGGATAAACCTTTATGAATTCTAGGTAACGCAGGTGTGATTGTCTTTATTGATCTAATCAAAATGAATGAGAAATTAAATTGCATATTCTAGATCGACCCTTTTCACGTAAACAATTGAACCATTGCCCCTTTCAGTCCTCATACTATGTACCCACACATAACTTCAAAACTTATTTGGCAGCTTCTAAAAACATCACAATGTCAGGATTGATAGGCATATATACATTTAAGTGATTTGGATCTCTGGACGCAATTACTTTGATTTGATTTGTATTGAACCCCATTTGAAAAGCTTCCAAAAGAATTTGAATCACATTTGGGGAAACACAGCTGCATTGGCATGTTTCTCAACCCATAAGATGAACTACTTTTTTAGTTTTAAATTCCTGATGACTTTTTTTTCAAAGAGGGGCCTTCTTCTTGTCTGATTTGTTGTTGAATTTGAAAGGGACTGCAGAGAACAATTTGGGAAAGTTTTTTTGCTTTGCAATAGTGCCATTCCGGCGATTGGTTCTTGTGTCTCACATATTGATCTGCTTTTTGGAGAGTAGTAAATTCAAGATGACAAAGTTTGGAAGGAGATCGTTTAGATCAATGATGTTGCTGCTTACTCCTGGTACGTAGAGATTTTAATAATAGTCCTTGTAAAGTGTGTCTAAAGAAACATTAGGGTGGGACAGCTCAGTCTTGAGGGGTTTGAAGTTACACCCTTATGACTCTCAGCAGATTATATAGCTGTTGATGAGATTCGCAATTTTTTGTATGGGATGTTTCAGCTCAGGTATATATTTGTATTCTTCAGTGATTTTGAGTTTAGGTTTGTAAATGCAAACTGTCTTTGAATGCATATCTAGCAATAGTAGACTATTCTTGATTTAGGTCTTCTCTTTTCTTTTACTTTTGTTTCAGTATCATCCATTTTCCTGTCACAATATCCTTGCTAGGCACTTTGATGATCGGGCTTATAAATTATCTTGAATATGGTTCACAGTCATCCAGGTCTATATTTTAATAATTTTTGTTGCCCAATTTCAAGTAGTGAAGTTTGATTTTGAAAGTCCTTTTTGTGGTACTCGTATCTGTATGTGACTCATGCCAATGGGCTTGGTCCGAAACGGATACTGCAGAGAACATGATACGCCATATTTGATCAAAGTTCTTGATTGTATGATGAGCACGTATCTCCAATACTGCTTAATACCAACAGGAAATACATGAAATAGATATTCATGTACGTGCGGTATTATCGAATGTTTCAAAATTTGTTGACCTTTTAGTTACAGATTTAGGAGAGAAGTTAAACTTTAAAGCACGGATTTAAAGTGTAATAAAGTTTTTGTTTCATAATCATGCTGTTTATACCATTTATTTCTTGAAAGATTTTGAATTTTTAAATTAAACTTTAACTTTCAAACTGTCATTGAAATTGATTAGAATTAAAAATACCTATCCACCATTGAAAAAAATTGTAGCATACACTTAGAAGGAAACAATATCATGTGATCTTGTTCCCGGTCACCCATTTCCAGTCTCCAAATTTAGCTGTATCGATCCTGCAGGTCATTCTCAGTAGGGACTGTGGTTAGTGAAGACCCATGTTGATTATCGTCCCCTAAGACAAAGAATTCCTCACGAGCTTGACAAAGCTAGATTGAAAGACGGACTCAAGTTTCCTGAACCACATATGATATAGATTTGTGAAAGATATGTGAATGGGGAAGCTTGGTATGGAATATCATTTGGCAGTCAGGGGCATAGCTGCTAATGTAACCCCCCTCCCCCCCCCCCCCCACAAAGTCTTTTAATTCTTGTGGTCTTATGATGCTAGATGATTTATTTAAAAAATTAAAACATGTTCCTGGGTAAGAGCATTTCAAAGAAATCTTTTCATCAGACCTAAATGATTAAATCTGCAGAATATCATGTAGGGCCTAAGCATCAAGTTGATCTCAAACAGATAATTACCAAAAAAAAGTTAATACACTTCTACTCGAATCACTCACCATTGATAGCCATGACTTCCTTATCATATTTCTCAAATTTCTTTGTTGTCTTTTGTTGTAATCACAAGAAACCATTCTATTTATAAAGTGTTAGCAAAGTACATCCTTAATTATCACTCTTGTATATCCCTGTAGCCTTAGCTGACAGTGGGATTAAGACAGTTTTTGACAGAGCTCTAATTCTGAACTCCACTACATAAATAATATCCTGTTGAACTTTTTGGAAACTCTGCTCTCGTACTCTAAAGTCTCGTGTGTAGGATGATGCCCAATTAGGGAGGATTAGAGCTGTACTCATGATGGCGAATGACAGAAATATGAATGCTTATGGAGCTATTATTATTTATGGAAGTTCTATAGTTATCCATCTGAAAACAAATCGTCTCGTTTGCATTGGATGTCAGTACATGATACCCTAAATCAACTGTCATCGGATGTAAATTAGCCATTTGAATGACAGGAAATGCCTTATGACACAAATATTGGCATGAACTATTAGTTTTCTGTGACCAAGAATGAAATTGTTTTCACTTTTTATGGATGATTGGGCAAGGATATGGATGATGCATAGTGAATTATGTTTGGAATAATAAACAATACAGATGAATCGGTCATTCACAGACAGATAAAGTTGATGCTGAACACAGATTGCATTGTGTTATTGTATTAGTATCAAGTGTATAGAAGTGAAGATTACTTTCTAATAGGGCTCATGCATACAGAACAATCTGATTGTAAAATGTTCAAGCCGGACCCCCTTCCAAAAACGTTAGTGTGGATGGTAGGTACTCTTTTGGATGTGCCCAAAGTGGTAGCCTTTTTTGCATCTTGAAATAGTAAAAATTAAAAATTTCTAACCGAAAAAAGCTAAAAATGCAAATACTATACTGAGGTAGGCCGTATCATGGAATTTAAAAGTTCCAAGAAGCAAGCAAGAAATAGTTAGCTCTCTTTCGTACCAACATTGTCATGACTTTGCAATACGTAAGGTGTCACAACAGGACAAACTCAATGACAACACACTCTCGAAATAGAATACTAATCAGATAGAATACATAGTCTACCATAGATCATCTCCTGGTTACACCGCCGCACTGTCACATACCACGAATGCATGGCCATCAAGCTATTAGTCATGATATGGCATCTTAAAAGTCAGCTAGGTAGTCTAAAGCTTCTGGTCTATCTTGGTAGGTCTGAAGATTGTGTCAACATCTTACCGCTCGCCCGCGTGAAGATGATACGATAGGAAAGGTGATGTGTGGTAGTAGACATGCAGGTTATATTTAGACCATGATGTCATTATCGAGATGGATGTGTTAGAGAGTAATGTCGTCCTTCACGAGGGTTTAAACCTTGGCTGACACATCCCAGAAGTGCCCTTGCTTATGTACCAGCCTGGGTGCCAAATAAATTGGGTGCCATTTCCTTTTGGGGGACTTCTTTTGAAAGTTTTGACAGAAATATTGTCTTGACAAGGGAGAATACAGGGGCTACCATGGGGGCTGAGGGGGGCATTTCATTAGCTGTGAGGCTAATCACCCATGTACACGTGTATAATTGGAGCTCTAGCTGGCTGACAGGGTTACATTATTAAGCTCTGCCCCTGTTCTTGCAATCAGAGTCATTATGGTCCACCCCTATACGGTATTAAATACACATTAGTTGTAATTATGTAGATGTTTTCTCTTTAAGAAACACTAAGTCTATAGGAATCTTTCATATCCTTTATCATTGTAGGCCTCTACCCAAAACAAGGCCAATTCACTACTGACATAGCAGTACCTTCTTCCTAAGAGCTTGCAAAGTACATTATTGGATTTGGTCACTTTTTAACTTAGCTATATATGTCTTGTGGAGCAAGGATGCATTCTGTAGAAAGATCATTCTCTATCAACTATCATATTTGAGGCCTAGATACACGACAGGAAATTTCTGAGGTTGACGTAACTTAATTTGTTCAATGTGTGCCCCCAAACCTAGCAACTGCCAGGAAATGGCTTTCTTGAACAATCTATCTACATTGAAGGAATATAAACGTACAAATACTAGCTTTACAGACAAGGTAAATGTAGATAGAGATAGTTTAAGCATGGCATAAGTGATGAATTCCTGACTATTGGCGTAGAAAATAAGAAACGGCAGACTGTATCCTCTAGTCATATTCAGGGCCCCGTGTTACAAAGAGTTGCGATTGATCAAAAGCAATTGCAAGTCCTCCAATCAATTGCAAGTTTGCAGTCTCCTATCTATGCGATTGATATCAATCACAAATAAGTTGCGATTGATATCAACTCTTTGTAAGACAGGGCCCAGAAGGGCAATAACTTAAAGGTAATACAAAGTTTTGGGATTTTTGGAAATTTGGTGGATAGTGATTCTTTGCAATTCCGATATATTTGGATGCCCCTGTGGATGTATTATAAGCACTTGAAAAATGAGGCCCTAAAACACTTTTGCTTTTGAGAAAAATTGAATATAGAAATTTACCGGTGCTCCTGGTAAATTTTGATAAATTTCAAATAACGCTTACGGCCGTACAATGGTAGCTGCGACTATGAAAATCTCAGAATATGTAGTTTTCATATCAAATTTCCAAACGGGAATAGCTAATCGGTCGATTTTAGTCAAGAAACATTGTTTTACAGCTTAATTAATATCTTGACCTTGAGAAGGAGCTATACAACATAAAGAGTTTATTATTTACAATTTCATAACTTTAGGTTCGATTTCAACCGCGACAACGATCACCGAATATTGTAGGATCGCATATGCTTCCAACATGTTCATTTGAACCAAATTCATGACCCCATACCAAAACTTTGTATTACCTTTAATATCATTTAACATTGAGATAATGCCCTTCTGGCTCTTGACAAGCGATATTTCTTATACCCTGTAGGTAGACAGACCTAGTTGCCTCACCCCGTAAATTGTAGACCATCTACGTGCATCCACTCCCTGTGTGCAATTAACTCTTTACACAGGCTTTGGTATCTGAGGAATGGAAAACATTTTGAGACTGATGAGGAAGTTGGGATGCTCATCCTTGAGAGATAATCAAGGAGAAATATCAAACAGATTTCTCTCTCTCTCTATCTTGTTCACTCTCTTTACTTTATTCTCTTCCTCTTCCTCTTCCTCTTTCCCTTCCTCTTTCTCTCTTTCACACACTCTCTCTCTCTCTCTCTCTCTCTCTCTCTCTCACTCTCGCTCTTGTTCAGTCTCTTCCTTCCTTTGTCTCTTACTCTTTATTCCCCATCTCACTCTCTTCTCCTTGTAGGCCCATAGATCATCTTATGAATCTGGGTTATAGCATGGACCTACATGGTTATATTAATTTTATATTATGTTTTGAGGTGAGAGACGAGTGGCTGGAATACAGTCATAGCAGCATCACTTCAAGCTCCCTATTGGCATTTTAAATACTGCTGGGATAAAAGTTGATCATATCATACAGTATATGAAAGTATAGAGGCTAATGATGATACTCATGTTGTTGCTAATGATGTTAAAAGTGATGACGATGGTGGTGGTAATGATGATGATGATTTCATTTGAAGTTATTCCTGTTTTCATTCATTCATATAATTTCCTGGTAAATATATGCTTTTTGAATTTGAATTTTTCAAAAAGGAATAGGTGGACACATGAATTAAAAAAATAATGAAAACACCTTTAAGTGGCTGAAGATTGCTCAAATTCCATTCTTTCTTCCCAAATTGTTGTCTCACATATAAATGACTTCTTTATCTCTATAATTTCTACATTCTCTAAATTTAAATCATATTCTTTTAAACTCTTCAGTACACTATTTCTAAGATTGTCATTGATAAATCAATGTATCAGCATATCTATTGACAATATTCCAATGACATACTATTTGATTTGATTGAATATTTCATGAACAATGAATGCCTGAATTCCTTCATGGATTAACAATTTCACAGATGATTTTATTATATATATATATATATTTTTTTCTTCTTAATTCTGCAGCTCCTACTCCGAGGCCACTGCATTCGGCTCCACCAGTTCCCCCCAGCTCTCTGTCGAATGGACCTTCACAAAATGACAGGTAAGGAAATGATGCCCCCCCCCCAACCATGTAATATATCAAGGCATGAAATGAAAGGAAGAGAATACTAACTTAAGTTTACAGTTAATCACATTCAGTAGAAACAACTTCTTAATGATTTGTGTTCAAGATTGTATTCTAATGGAATAACTATTTTATAGAAATATTTCACCAAGATCAAAAGTGATTTAATGTGATAACAATTCCCATATTTTGAAATTTGGCATGACAAACAATTTTAGATGGATGGCCTAAATACATAATTATCAATCATTGAATTGTGTGTTAAAAGGCCTGTACTTCTCATGGATCCCAATGCTATCGCAATTATTTACACATGTATTTGTCAAAGAGGTCTGTCTTTAAGTAGCTAGCAAATATCCACATAATTCATCCGAAAAATGATTTGATCTATTCATAATTACTTGTAAACATTCATTGTAATGCCTGGAATTGAAAACATTTGTAAATCTGAAATGCCAGCTAGATATGATTCCATACAGTGTGTCAAAATCAATTTATTTAATACCAGTGGTATGTGTATGGTCAATTCAGGAGGAATTTAAATTGAACTCCTAGTCAGCCTCGGGGAATGATTTTCCATTTGGTCAAATTGGGGTCGCAAAAATGATCTAAGAACGTCCACAGCCGGTGCAGCATGTTATATATCAATCAGGGCTCCTTCCACACTTTACTTTTTTCATATATAGGAGGATCGCGATCTGGATTGATATTTTAGAGTCATTATGCATGAGTCCCGTCTTTAAATTTTGAAAAGCTCTATTTAAAGTATCATGTAGTTGGTATTTAGATTCAGATATATGAGAAATGCTGTTAATACAATGGTATTTCAATGAAAGATTATTGAGTGGATATAACTATGACTAGACTAATGAGTTTTCCCAACCATCCAAGTAGATTAGAAGCCTAGAGATGTTCAACCATATGAAAATGCAAAGATTGCTTTATTGCAGTAATTGCTGATACATTTTGCAATACAAGGATTCAATATTTAATCATGTTGTCAGAAAATTGAATGTTTATCAAAAATAATTTTAACCAATGTGGATGGAGAGTGATAATTTATATTGCAACAATGCAGTCATACACGTTGGAAGAGAAGAAATTAACACCATATATTTTTTATTTACATAGTTTTACACTTATAATAGAAAACAAGTGCTCTTCCATAGCTCTACCCACAGCCACACAGACAGACAGACAGATAGATGGACATACAAAGTCTGAACGGTGATGATGTCACGATCGTTCCAAGTCAAAAGTATTACAAACAGACCTTAATTAAGTTGTAGTTAGGACTGATTATGAAAGATTGGCAAACATATTTACAGACAATTATGACCCGAAGTTACAGGGGCCCCCGAGACAAAATTGAAGAAATGGATTGACTCATTTGAATTATCACTGTACAATAAAACATTTGCTTGGATAGTTGTTCTGTAGCTGAATGGTATATTGCGATGGTTAATAATGAAGGACATGTTACGTTCTTGTGCAGGTTGTACAACCAACAGCAGGATACAAATAGGAGAAGCGGAGGTCTGGACAACAATTCAATGCCAGGTAGGTATAGTAGAGGGTTATTGAACAATGGTGTGTTTGAATTCTAACTAAATGAAAGGATCTGTTGAAGAGAAAATGGCTAATGGTTATTTGAAATAACTTACCAGTGAATTAAGATATACATATATACAAGATATATGCATGACTATGATTGTTTATACACATTTAGTGTAGATTTTGTTGGATTATACAAGATTTGTTTACACTCTTTTACTACCAGGGAACCAAGACTATATTCCACTATATGGATTTATTAGATTTGTTTCTTAGGCAGGGCAAACACTTGGCAGATATGCGAGGCCAAGAGATACTACATGCCAGAATAAACACTTGTTAAAATGATTTGAAGATCCTGAACAGAAAAGAATACTACTTTAGAAGTGTCTGTGTAGGCTAGATAGCTAGATAAAAATTTGAGTATGTTTTTCAGACCCATGCAAGCCTGTTCAAAGGAAATAAGACCAGGAAAAATTTAACAGAAAATTGACCATTTAATCAATACTGATTGGTCATTATTGTGAATAAACGGCTGTTTTTCTAATAAGTATATTAATCAAAGATTAGGCCCCTAATAACTGAAATAGGGCATAAAATGGGTCTTTCTATTATTCATAAATGTAGAATGAAAAGGCCATTTTGTCAGTTACCGTACCTCCAGCAAAATGTCCTGCTATCAAGCTTGGTAACTTAATTAAACTTTATGAGCAAAAGGTCTTTGTTGTGAAATTTAATATTTAATCACAAGTAATGAGCATACTGTTAATTATAACATCAAAAACTATTGTGCCACTTTACAAACAGCCATAGCAAATTTGCTGTTACATGTCAATTCTCTTTTTTTTTTCGTTACAGGGCCAAAGTATCAAATGTATAAATGCCTTAATTTTAGGTAAATGTGGTTAATACACAGTCTCTTCAGGTTCAACTAATTTTGCTTCAAGAATATACATGTAACACTTGCTACTTTTTTTTATTGAGAAAGACATAAACTGGTCTTAGATCTTGGAAGAGATTTGCCCATTAGGAAATTGTTATAAGAAAGATTGTGTTGTTCTTTTCTATGTTGGCATCTTTCTTATAGAAACAGAATAAGAAGTGTTTATGTGAATCAATGTCCATTTCCCCCTTAGAATATCCGTTTTAAAACACTGACTAAAATCAAGAAACCAGATATCAAAAGAAAAAACTGAATATTGACTGTGGAAATGTGGTTTAGATTTAGCGTGATAAATCAGGATTACCCGGTGAAGACTACTGAAATATTGCAGGAGATTGAAATGTAAGTGCAGATTGCCAAGTTTGATTGCTCTATGACTTGGCAGGCTACTTTCTTACTCATCTGCTTAAGCATTGAAGTTTTTAGAGAAACCTCAGTGGGGTCCCACTTCAGGAAATTGAAGAATGGTGCAGCCAAGAGTTCAGTTTTCCACTTTTTATACTCAATATATATATTGACATATGTACACTGTAATGATCATAAATGTAGACACTCTTTCTTAGGAGAGTAAAGATCTGAATACAAAGATTTCTGAAGACTTGCACAATTCCTGTACAATTAATTGACCCCTTATTGGAAATCTATTAACATTGTAAACTCTTAGTCTTGCAATGGACATATTTTGATTACAACTGATGTGTATTTGGTCAATCCGATTAGAACTGATGATAGTGTGGCAAATATCGTTTTCAAAAGTGAAAAATCTTCTGATTAGCTGCAGATCATTAGTTAATGTCCCATACCTGCAGTGCACATTCTTCCGACATTGTGAACTAACGCAGTCATATCTGCACAATCCGCAGTGACCTTTCCTAAAAGACGAATCATGATCTAGCTCCTTCAAATAAGAGTTATTTTAAGAGAGGGGGGGGGGGGGAGGATGTGCCCTCCTACCTAGTTATAAATCCCAGTTCCTCTGCTAGCTAGGACAGCTGACTACTACAACTGTTTGGGAACAGCCCTGCTATAATTGCTTATTATTAATGGTCAAACTTACCCCTATCCTTCAAAATTAGACGATGGGCGATGCGTTGATCGCTTTTGACACGGGCTGACAAATGTATCTTTGCTGTTACTACTGGTCTGCTACACATGTCCTTGTCCTAGGTGGCAAACCTCACCTGAGAGTTTAAATGTTGAAGTGTAGATTTTGACTAATATCTGTGTATTCTTTCTAGAAAACAGAAAGAGCCAAGTTCATGATGAATTTTTATTCCATAGGATATATAAATTGTCTGCTTGAACAATAGATTGATTGTATTTTATACAGTACCCCATGGAAAAACTTTTTTTTTAAATAGTGGTGGGGCTACCATGTTAGAGTAAAACTTAATCAAATTAAAATTATGATTAAGACTCATGGAATTTGACAAATGAAATTTCAGTAATGAAACTTTAAAGCTCTGTGGTACTATAGGGTTTTACATACGAACTTACTCTTGTACACTTTGACAGTACATACCGTAATGGAATTGTATTGAACTATAACTGCTTACAGAAACAGAGTGGTCCTGTATAACGCCTATGGGAATGAGTTAAGTTGGTAGTCAACAGGCTAAATATGTAATTGATTTGCTCTTCTTGTCTTCCTTTGCAGCCACCAGACCAAGTCCACCAGAACCACCATCAGGTCCTCCTGCCATGTCCAGACCACCCCCAGCAGCTCCTCCAGCCCCGCCCCAGCCTCCAGCCGCTCCTCCAGCACCTCCAGCACCACCGGCACCACCGGCTCCACCCGCTGTTCCAGCAGCCCCGCCTGCTCCTGCAGCTCCTCCCGCCCCACCAGCACCACCGGCACCACCAGCAGGTGGAGGCCCACCCCCTCCACCACCACCACCAGCTATTGGGGGTCCCTCTGCATCCTCAGGAGGAGGAGGAGGAGGAGGTGGAGGCGGAGGCACAGCAGGAGGATTGGCAGCAGCATTAGCTGGAGCTAAATTAAAAAAAGTTGTCAGGGTATGTATCTCAACACATTCGAAAATTACATCCAAGCAAAAGTGCATTTACCTCTGCTTGTGAAATAAATTCGTTTGAATCATTTATTCAAAGTTCTTGTTGGTTCTGATGGGTTGCAAGAATTATCCACTGTACTGATGTGGGTTTAACCTTCATTTGTTGGAAAACAAATTTGGCTCTAAAACCTCTAATGAACCACCACTTGGATGTATGAATCTAAATAAAAGTATACAGCACAATTAATTCTAATCAGATAGAGACATTCAAAAGTCCACCATGCTGTAAGAATCTCACAATGATACTGCGGGAGATTGAGTTTGCTATGTAGCTGATTGAGCTTGCTATGTAGCTGATTGAGCTTGATGTAATGAAGGCCCCATTTATCGGTTCCAGTGTAACATATTATGATGGATTATTATCATGTTACTTTCAATACAGAGTGAAAACACTGATGGTTCGTCTGGCGGAGGCGGTAGTAACAGACCACCACCTGCAGGTGGTGGCGGAGGAGGGGACTTCATGAGCTCCTTGCAGCAGAAACTAAATAAACGGCGTCAAGCCTCGGTAAGTTTGTTAATCGTATAACATATCACCGCCTTTCCGCTATGAATCTCATAACAGCTTTTTCCTGTTCTTGTGGATATGATGTGAATGGTTAAAGATGTGTTGAACCCGGCATTGTGCATGTGACTACTGAAATATGAACGGACTGGAACATCAGTAATGTTTTCACTGTCAAAATGATGTTGAACACACTTATCGATTAATTTAGTGAGACAAAGTGGTAGGAGGGAGTCAACAAGTTTTTGTGTGCATTCATCTCCTCCTTTAAAATACGCTTCGCTTATGTCTAATGATTCTGATAAACCAAGGGGAAATAAATGACCCTGCCTCCCACATGTATGAACCACTTGATTATGAAGAGTAACAGACAATTTATCTTAGGGAACTTCACATCAACAGTTGTGAAATGTTGTGTGTTTAAAAGATATTTCTGTACAAAGTTTAGAATTCAATGCAGTGGACCCCTATGAAACACAGGACTCGTGCTGATAAGGGTGTTCCATCACACAAGTGGGAAATAAATAAATAAATAAACAAAGTAAGATAAATTAAATACATCCTGAGTGGTAAAGTGCACTCTTGCTTAAATACAGATATGGAAAAGAAGAATTAATCATTTATTGATTGTATATTTTCAGGAGAATCCATCATCAGAGTCGGCTCCCAAGCCATCAGGTAGGATATCACCCCCAGGAGCTCCAAAAGGTAGGCATGCCAGGGTTTGTCATCTCTTGATCATAGCTAGTAGAGTAGACAGAGTTGCATCACAGGAAGATGCGATAGGTCATGGGTCAAACTCACAGCACTGAAATTATCCAGTGAATCTGGATCATAGCTGAGAGTAGAGAGAGTTATGACACCGGAAGATGCAATAGATCATGGGTCAAACTCACAGCACTGAAATGGTCACCCCCCCCCCCTCCCATAGAGATTGTATGTGAGAAAAAACTATTAGCTTGTGATCACATTATCATTAGAACTGACAGATGGATTACTATCAAACTCAGAGCCCATGAACCGATTTAATAGATCAAAGGGTCATACATGTATATATTATGAAATGTAGCTTTTAATCACGATATTCTGAGAACCTGTTAATGGATTACAATCAAACTTGAATTTTAGATATTGCTTCTGTTTTGGTTTGTGAAATCGCTCCATGGCGTAGGCCATCATCGAAGATCCATCTAGTTTCCTGATCATTTCCAGAATGGAACTTCAATCTGTAATCATACAAATTACTCGACATTAATTGTGTTCACCGAGTAGCTAGGGATTTTGAATTTTTTTTTTTTTTACTAAAAGTAATAATGTTTTTAATACCTTATATTTTGCTTCAGCCACTACCAAACCATGGGAAAGAAAAAATGGCGTTGATAATACCACTGCTAGTGCCTCCCCTCAACTGAATCGGTAAGGTTTTATCCATATTTCTTCCCCAAAATATATGTATGATTTGATTAGATTTGCATGCTACATCAGTATACTTTACTAGAATGATAGATCTCTGAGATGAATCACATTCCATTTTGTTCTGCATTTTTTTAATACTCTATAAACACATTTATATTTCTCTTCAGTGCAAAGAGCCCCATATCTTATGATTTACTTGACAAGTCATTTTCATCACCTCCATGATAGTCTCTCATGTTATATGCTTTGTTTTTGTTTTTGTTTTTGTTTTTGTTTTCATTTTTCTCATCCAGTTAGTTATATCATACAAGCATCTTCATTGCATGATGTGCCGTGAAGCATGATTCCTTTATTAAGAATTCTTCTAATAAGTAATTCTTTTTTTCCTGTTCACTCCTTTTATTTGATAGTTGTCAGAATTTCTCATTAATCATGACTTTAAAAAAAGATTAGTTGTCATCACTTGTGTTTCTTTATTGAAGTTTTCCTCCTTATAGTGCTTCTAATTTAAAGAGGCAGTCCATCCTGACATTAAGCTGGTTTTAATAAAAGCAGAAAACAGAGAGAAACGGATCACTGAATGTGTGAGGAGAATCTTATAAAAAGAAAGAAATTTGTAATCGATCAAACTTATATTGGCAACTCGGTGATGTATTTTCAGGGATTTCTCCATTTAAATGTTAAGTTATCCATCCATTCTGTATAAAATCATTGGACACTAGTTTCTTTAAACCTATTAATGAAAAAGATCTGTCCCCTCATCAACAATCAAGAAAGAGGAAATTTGTGAAATGTTGAGAACAGCGCAAGTGAGAGAAGTTTTTGATAGGTACATCACAGAATTGCCAATTTGTGTTTGAGCAGTTATAACTTTAGAAATTAATATTTATTGTTTTCCTATTTTTATCATATTTTCATTAAAGGAAACCTAAACCCAAAGAATAAGTGTAGGAATTCTGAAAAATGAGAGGTATTCCTGACCTTTGATATACAATATTCCTTACGAAAATGTACAAGATATATATAAATGAAGATATTCCTGGCATAATGTGATGCCTGTCAGCATGACATGGGCGCAGCCATTTTCTTAAAAATGTGACGTATCAGTTGAAGTTGTACATGTATCATGCAACCAAGCTTTAGTTGGAAGGAATTTTTAAATCAATAACGAAACCTTTACTTTTCAATGAAAAAAAATAACAACTGAGATGATAGAAATTATATTAGGTGAAAAATAAATAACAGGGGCACAATTGTAACAAATTCATTTATAAATACTACACTATAGCAGTTGACAAATTTCATTTGTGAGAAACCTTCAACCAAGAAGAGCACTAACTAATGTATGCAATTTACGTTCTGGCAATTATAGTACAAAGGATAATAGCAGGTGAATGAAATGCTTCATCACCACACACACCTGGGAAGGAAGCATCGATAAATTTGAATACATTTACTTGATAAACGACTTTGCATAGTACGTCACATTATCAAGAAAATGGCGATGCCCATGTCGTGCTGAGAAACTGTACTTTATTTTTGCTTTATACCTCTCTCTCTTACACTTTGGTGGGGAATCTTGTAGATGTATGGGTAATAACATAATAAATCTCTCAGAATAAGTAAAGTTATTACTTGGGGTTCGGTTTCCTTAAACCTTTCATAGATCTTTTTCTCTAATTTTATGCTTTGATTTAAACCAACTTGATATCAGTGTAAACTTCCCTTTGAACATAATCTAAATATCAGTTACTGTTCTTATCTCTCTTACTGTATCCGCCATTGTTAATCCATCTCTTCATTTTGACAATAATTGTTATCACTACTATTGTCACAATCATCACCCTTGTCTCATGACCATCATCATCATCACCACCATTATCATCATCATCATCATCATCATCATCACCACCACCATCCCTCTCACCACCACCACCATCATTATCATTACCATCATCATCACTATCATCAGCATTATTAACATCATCATCAACTTCTTTTTCACTACCATCTTCATCATCTTCTACATCATGTCGTCATCATCATGTTAATCATCATACTACCTGTTCTCACTGTGATCATGAACATATGTGACATCATCTATACCACCATAACACCACAATCGCCACTACTGTTGGTCGTCATTCTCCTTATTGTCATTGGCCATCTATTCCCATGGTAACCATTTTCACTTTCATCCTCTTCCTCATCCTTAATGTTCCACAAATTTTGCACACTGATACTCTTTCAATGATCATTATTATCATCATCATCACCTTAATCATCATCATCATCATCATCATCATCATCATCATCATCATCATCATCATCATCATCATCATCATCATCATCATCATCATCATCATCATCATCATCATCATCATCATCATCATCATCATCATCATCATCATCATCATCATCATCATCATCATCACCACCACCAACATCATCATCACCATCATCATCATAATCCTCCTTCTAATCATCATCATCACCAAACCTCCTACCCCTCTCCCTCCCTGCCTGCCCTCTTGGTATACCAATGTAGTCCTCCTCCGGTGTCCAACCGAAATAGCGTGGATGGTACAAGGATCATGAGACCTCCGTCTGGTGTTGATCAACATCAGACCCACACCCCTACATCTCCAGGATTTTCAGTAGGGTAAGACTGAGGCTATTTGACAGAGGTGTTGGGAGCTGGGTGTATAAAGGGATGGTGATGGGCTTGTGTATTATAGGTGAAAGGAGGGTTAAGGGTACTTATCAAAACATTTAAGCTTTCAAAGGGTCTATTAGACAGGTTTTAGGGAGATGTTGCGGCTTGCCAAATTTTGTATCAGAGTATTTGTAACCAAAGATTGCCTGTTGCAGTATGAGAACCCTTTCATTTTGGAATTCCTTGTAGAATTGTTTGCCCTGTTGGATCCAGATTTTAAGACTATACATTGAGCTTCATCACATTCCATTGTTGTTTAGATTAATAAAGAGATTAAAGGCATTTTAGGGTACTATTCATACACTACTGCAAACTTTAACTCCAGAAAGCACCAAGAGCTAATCATCCTGCGAGGTTAAGAATGATCCCCTCTCTATTTCAGAAAAAATATCCTAATCAGGAAAGACAAATGAGGACCAAAAATATTATCCTTCAGGCTCATTATTCCTTCATTTAAAAACTTGATGTGGTTTCTGGACTACAAGGAATCTATTGTTGTTAAACAGTTCTAGTTTGTAAATGAAGCATTATCCAATGAAGTGTTATCCAATATCCTCAGCCTATATGGTCGTAGATACTTCACTTTTGCATTGCATATTTCATTGTTTCATTATCGTACACGCTTGCAACTCTCACCCTTGTCCTACCTTTGCAAACTATGCATGGGATAGACCGATTCACATTTAAATCTATTGCAATTCAAAGAAAATTAAGAAATGAAAGACTTCCAACCATCCAATCATTCCTTTTTTGTCAGTATGAGAACTGTCACAGTCTATGTGTGATGGTGAGAAAAGGAGAGACTAAATAGTAATAAAAAATAATTACTAATTCTAATTTTAAATTGCTATCTTCATATCTGAATGAAAAAGAAAGCTGAAACTTGACAATGTAACTATTTTTAGCTGACATCATTGTCAGAGTAAAATATTCTAGATGGAAGGGTCAAACAGATTCTAATATGAATTGGTCTATACTTGATGAAAGCAACGCAACTATTCATTGATGTGCAAATCAGGTTTTGTTTGTTTTGTTTTGCCTGTTTCCCTATTTTTATAGAATTGAAATCAGTGGCACTACCTTTGTTATTTTATTGACCTCTTTGTAGCTTTCAACAAATATCCCAGTAAATATGTTTCCAATGTTGTTCCATTCTTGTATATGAAAGCATGTTTGATGTATCAATTCATTCTGTATAACCTCTAATTAGGAAAGATAATTATATCATTTGATTTTGTGGAATGTGCATTGTACCTGCATTATTGTACAGGATTATTGATAAATGTGGACAATTTTGCAAATCCATTTTGCTCCGAGTCTCTCTGGGAAGTATACAGAAAGCATGCAACATCTTTTTGCATGGCTAATGTTTCCCACAACTCAAATCAGAGAGTTGAGTCTGAAGATGATTTGCAGAATTGTCACCGTTTTTGTTGTGTATTTATTTCTATAACCATTTTGCCTTTCATTGTGAAATCTTGTTATTCCATGTGCTTTGGTGTGCTTGTGCTTTCATGTTCCATATTAAAGTCGACAGCATGGTGTGCGACCTCCAGCTACCGCCCCCTCGCCTGGGAATCAGTCCCCCAGGCCTGTTGGGTAAGATAAGTCCAATGCATGCTATACCCATTAGCTGGTGCTCACGTTGGTTCCCTTGCACGCACCCTACCTATATCTAGATGGTGGTCATGCAGGTTAAAATTTACAATGGATGATACATGTACATGGCAGTGAAATCCAGTTTGGTTCTACCTATGTTTGTCTATTTTATTGAGGATCTCAAGTGATTTTGGACAGAGCTATGAGCTAAAATTTAACTGAACCTAATTTGATTGCCATGTTGTGTTCTTTGTGAATATATATATGCCTATAGATAGCTTCACAATGGTCTGGTTTAACGTAAATAAACACTTTGCATTAATTCATTCTAAAAAAACTTCAAGGGATAGTTGAGTTCTGTTTTCAGACCGCAAATGCCTTCAAAGTGCATGGTTATTGCTCTTATTCTTATATCTATGATACGAGCATACCAATTCAGCTCCACTTTATAAAAAACATGGTGACCGTTAATTAATTATTTAATTAAAAATAACAATACATGGGCCGGCTGGTTGTGCATAATATAAGCAACACAAAAATACCAACAAAAATGCCAACAAAAATGCCGACATCGGCATTGGCTGAAATACGACGTAAAAAGCGTTATTTCGTTTTTTCAACGGTTTTTTTCCAAATTTTTCAAAATACCTAATATTTGTGGTGGTACACAAGTATTAGAAATCGTTATATTTCAGCCGTCTGTGAACCGATTTTGATCAAACAAAGATGATTTTGTCATTTAAATATTATGTTCTTTCAAATTTGACACTCAGTTTTTCATTATCTCACAACAAAATTATTTTGTGTAGCGCCCTCTGCAACAGAACTCAACTTTCCCTTTAAATGAAGAGAACAGTAAAAATATGGATCAACACTCCTTAATTACAATTATGTTTTTTTTAAAACTATATTCTTAGGTGATGTGTGTTAATCGCCCTTTAAACTGAGAACCAAGTTTGATCCAGCAGAAATATGGTTTCAGCTTAGAGAAAATAAATAAAATCTCAAAGGGATATAATGGTTATGCTATTATTTTAATGCAAGAAGTGTAAGAATATGAAACCAAAAAACCATGTGTGAAAGCTCTCTTCCACCAGCACACTAGATTCTGCATGCAATTTTGCTCAGAGTTATTCACATAACTACGAAGTAACTTTTTTGTGCGGGGCATAATTCTATGATAGCCGTTTTAGCCGAGATGAGTACTGCAAGGTGTTTTATGCATGATTGGTGTGGATGCACAGATATAGGGGCTATACAGAAGTATTGCATATTCATGAGGTGTTGGTTGAAATATACAGTGTACATGTATTTTTTATTGGTCTAATCTCAAATCATTTTTTGAATTTCTGTTAATTTGTTTTGTTATTGTTTGCCTTTGTAAACATGCTTCTCTTTCTTTGAGGAGAGAAAACAAATGATATTTTGAAATGTACTCCTTTAGAACTTGCTTATAAATTTTTATAAATTCAACAAATTCTGTATTTTATATAATAATGATAATAAAGACCCTTTTATACCATTGAAATTATTATACACACGCGTATATACACATGCCTTATCAAGAGAAACAAAGTACTCACTTTCAGGCCTTAAATTTCAATATTTTTAGGGCAAGGCCATTTTTCTGTAGGGCACATTCCTATATTACAGCACAAATAGGAAGAATTGGAAAGGGCAAACAAATCTCCAAGGCCAGTGAGAGGGGCATTGAAGCCAATCAAAGGGGCATCCAAGGCCATGGCCTTGGTGGCCTTGGATTAATTTAAGCCCTGCACTTTAATTTAAAATATATATTTCTGCACAATTGCTATTATATCTAGCACTTTTTAATAACCACTCTTTAAATATATATAACTCACCATGTTCTGCTATCGTAATGAATTTGATACAGAAATATTCATATATAGACAATATATACATGTATCAAGAGAAGCACACACTAATATAATTTTGTAATCCATCACCACTGATATTGGACATGAAAGGTTTGATATGTGTTATTTATGTACATTATCAACTTAGAGTCGGAGACTAAGTCAAAGACCTTAACATTTTCTAACATTGTACACAGTGATATAATATCATATCACAAATACTTTAATTCTTGCCACCCACCAAGTTAAAGAAATAATAATAACGATTAACACTGCACTTAAAAAAGTTTTGACTTCTTCAACCAATATTCACTCTGATGCTATAATCAGGGAGAACCGCCCATTTCATTAAAATCAAGGAGATTTAAGACAGCATAAAGTTGCGATGCTTCAATCTTGTAACATTTTCTGGCCAATTTAATTTCATAGATCTTGTGTTGACTGATCAGGGATCTGTTGACAGGTCACAGATTTGTTGCGAAGTTTTTTTCTTCAAGACATTGCAAATTGACCATGATCATTAAACGTGCGGTTTGGCCATGCAGACAATGAGAAGAATTACCTTTCATTGACTTGTATCACAAAGAGGACAAAAAGTACAAAATCTTCTTTTTTAAGTGTTTCCTTCTTCGCACAGCTTAATAATTTTGCATGATATTGGTTAAAAATACACTTTGGAATTGATATTTGACTACGTAATTGTAACAAATTATAAAGTAAACTGTTGGACCTAATTTTCAGATATAGAAAAATCTGTGCTAGTACAACATAAGAATTTGAATCAATATTTGAAAAAATGAACATTGTTCAGTTTTCCTTACTAAATTTTAGAATTGGATTGATCCAACTTGCACTATCAAGCTTATCAAAACTATTCATACAAATTAATTTTGAAGTCTAGATGATAGCTAAGTAACATCCTGTACCTTTTCGAAAATATAAAATTGTGATACATCTGTATCTCAGTTTGAAAGTGTAAAAGTCTTAAGGAAGTATTTGCTTTCTTATTACTAAAAAAAAAAAAATTGTAATCAAAAGTATAAATTGGTGTATTTGATAATAGCTGTCAACTGTGCATACAAATTGCAGTCCTTTTTTGTGAAATTCTTCCCTCCCTCCATTCCTCCCCACCCATCCTCACCCCTCCCCACTTGCTTCCCACCCATCCCCTTTCTGCTTTTGCAAACCCCTTTTAAATTGAAAAGCTATTGTGAAAAACGTATGATTTGCAATAGAAGCAAAATAAGTGATGGCAAATGTGATGTAATTCTCAGGAACAAATTAATATAGGCCCATCAAATACCCTGATAATTCATTGTGGTGAACATGGGCGTCAATCCTTACGTAATACCTATTGTTCAGGGGGGATGAATGAATAGATCACCCCCCCCCCCCCCCCCCCGAACAATAGGTATCAATTACAGATCTTCGCCCATGGTGGTGAAAGTGCACTTATTGTATCAAGTTCCTACAAGCCAAAAGGTAATGTGTCTGACTTTATACCCTTTTCTTTCATCTATGATGTTGTCCCCACTATAGACGTAGACCATCACAGCCTGCTCTCAACGGTAATGCTAATGGAGGAGGTGAAAACTCACTGGATTATGAGAAACTCAAGCAAGAGATCTTGACAGAAATGAGGAAAGAACTACAAAAGACCAAAACAGAAATCATTGATGGTAAGAGAAAAAAAAAATTGAGTTTCTTGATTAATCAGGGAATACTTGTCTTAAATAGTGCATTAATTAGAAAAACTGAGTTGCTGGGAAGGCCATTCACACAAGTAAAACATTGAGAAGAAATATATTACGGTATGTTAAACAAAAAAGTATAATTAATTTTGTGATATAAGTATAAGTATAATTCATGTGTTTTTCTTTGTACCAGTAATCAATATGATTTTGTGTTTCTTATGTACGTATTATTCAATTAATAAATGAAGAGGAATTTAAAAAAAAAATTTAAATAAAAAAATATATATATTGTCTGCAAGAATATATGAGATAATGCTCTTCTGGCTGTTTGTAAACCATGTAAAGATCACTATTTGGTAAGTGGTAAAACTATTTACCAACATAATCATACCATCTGCACATTATTAATAGTTCAATGTTCAGATAAGGGTATCTTTCATCATAATCTCTAAACAAGTAAATAGAAACAAACTTTGATACATTAAAAAATAAATGTGCTGACTAGTCTACTCAACAAGGCATTTTACCGGTCACCAAGAATGAAGTTAAATTGCAATATCTCTTTGTGGAAGTAACCTTTGAAGCTCATATTTTGAATACAGTATAGTCACATGAAACCCTTTCCATCAAGAGCAAAACATATTTTGGTGATTGGAGCACTTTAATGATATGTGCAGTATGTCATGTGTGGGTCTCTTCAGGATGACTGGCTAGGGTTTTACCAAATAGTACTTATATCTTGATTTTATCTTCAATCTTGTTTCTTTTCTCTTCTGTTATCTGTCCATATCCAGCCATCAAATTGGAGTTGAGTCGAAGGTAAAGCAAGCCAGCTACTGACCACATCCAGGCCCTTCCTATTTTATCGTCCACCCTTGGTCTTTCGCATGACTCTTGTGGTGACCATGAGAAGATGATGGATAAAGTCCAATCCAAAAAGAGAAAACAAGACTCTGGGGAGGGAGATGCATGAACCTCTCAGTCCCACACCATGGGAATGCGCCGTCAGTTTCAGTTGTGAACTCAACAGTGATCGTTAATTGCAGACTCAAGGAAATTTGCACTTTGCACAGACAGATAGACAATCCTGGAGGCGTTTATGAGGAGTTAATTTTATCCACGTTCAAGATAGATTCTGGGAATCTCCTCTGCAGATTAATTTCTTACTCACATTCTGATGTTTATCTACACACATGAACTTTTTCTCGATATATATCATGCTCAGATTTAAGGGTATTGTGTTTGCACGGCATTTATCTGCATAATCATGAATTGTTATTAAAGATACTCATCTTTGTGTTATCTAGAGGATCTTGATTTGATTCTGTAAACGGAAAAATAATCACAGCATTATGAATTTGTATTGAATTTCAGCTATCAAATAGATACATATTGTATATTAACATCTATCTATCTCCATCTCTGAGGAAGCTTTATGATATCCTGCAGGATTTACATCTAATTTGTGACTTTAGCTGCATTAAAAAAAAAGATAAATCCATGCAAATAACAATCTTGTGAAATATTTTCGGTCACCTTCACATGACCATGGATGTCCTTACAAACAGTGTGTTCTCTCACAAAGTCCTACTGTTGATATATCACCAGCACATTTTCTTCTCATTAAGAAAGTATTTTGTGTGTGCGTATTAGCGCTTTTTGTATATGAATGTAATAGTCTTATTATTTATGCAGTGTGATCCCAGAAGCATAAAGTTAAGGGTAGATTAATTGGTTTTCATAGTTGAAAGCATCAATGTATCTTTTTACTACTAAATTCATGGATGGATTTAGAGTAATTTAGATAAATATTGGTATCACTTTGGGTCTACATGATCCTTTATCTCTAAGTAGTAATATCACTTACGGTATCTGTATATGAATCAGAAATATGTCATATCCAAAATGCAAATTATATTCAATTATTGTAATTCCAAATACAAACACATTGAGTAATGTCTACGTAAATGTGAAGTCTTCTAAATAAATGGAATTTATGGATTTTTAAAGAAAATGTTTTTACTATTATTTGTATTTCATATATAAATATACCGTGTATTTGGATAAATTATAAGTGTGTTCTCATTTTACAGTAGACAGAAAAGTCGAGCAATTAAATCAATTTTGCATTACTTGATAGTTTTTTGTGTAATCTTTCATATTTTATTATGAAAAAGGTGCATATTATGTTGAATATAATTGTTATTACATTTGCTTTTGATTCCATCGTAGAAGGAAAAGGCTAATGAGGATGATGATGATATGGAAGCCAAATTTGTTCTGTAAATGTTACTTTTGAGTCACTCAAACTGCTGGTGGTTTGCAAAGAAAGTCAGAGCGTAATCTTTGCATGTAAGAAATAAAAGAAGGAAGAGAGGTGAATTCTTTTTTAAAATTAAGAAATACAATTTTAATGATAAATTTGTATATGTCTTGTATTTATTTATGCAACACATGAGACAAGTTTTGTTTCATTTGGAATTAGTTGCCTATATTACTATATTACTCATTTGTACATTTACTCATGCATTTTAAAATCTACTACATTCAGTTGCTTCTAATCTTTTGAACATATTTTCTTGGCATATATCTGAGCAATACTAAGTATGTATAAATATGAGCCATTCATTATTCTGATTTCATGATAATTCTCATGTGTACATGTTCATGTTTTATGATTGTGAGTTTTGTAGAGGTATATATATGCTGGTGAGTATGTGGTTGCATTTTGTAAAGCCTTTTTTCATCCCCCCCTTCTTCTAAACGTATGGTGTAATAAGGCACATATTATATATATCTCTCTCATCATAACAGCCAAATTTTATATTACTCTCATGAATGAAATTTTTCATTGAATATATTTCTGATAAATTTGTGACTTTCCTTGTCATTATTTTCAAGACACTATGTTAGAAGTCTTAACCAAAACTGAAGACCATTAGCTATATTCAAGGTGAATACATTTTTATAAATAGTGGATGTCATTCTTTTACATTTTCACATAGGACAATTTTGCGCAGTTATGCATGGATTTTCTTTACATCATTTTTCTTTAAGGATTATGTGAAAGATTGTTTGAAGCAAGTCTCAGTTTCCAACCAACAAAAGATGTTATGTGGGGTTTACTGTGCAGAGAATAATGAAACAAATTGGATTGAGGGAAAATAAAAGAGGGACCTACAAATATGTATAATGTTTGTATCTCTTGACTGAACCTATACTTTGTTCTGTTCTGTGACAGTCACCCTTTCTTTTCAAGTGATAAATCTTTATATTACAAAAAGCAAATATAGTAGTGAAATAAAATGTGGCGATACATATATAGCTAGTTGAGTTGTACTGTAGAATCATGTCATATTGTAACCAACATGGCGCAGCTTTGTATCATAGCTATAAAATCGACCCATTTATTTAGAATGATATGTATATTGAACATGTTACACTCTGTGTCTTTGTATGTTTTTATAGAGAAGTTTGGAGGAATTAATAATTCTGGCGTGCAGAAATTTGTCTTCCTTGTATGTCTATTCTGAACACGATTTTGGAAGGTTATTTCTGAGAGAACATTTTATATATATTGTATTTTCACCAAAAAACACACAACTACTAACCATGGTAATTACTACTACTTCAACTACTAATATTATATGAGAGTTCATTTCATGTTCACTTGCCGATCATAAGTTTTTATTCCAATTGTAAAGCTTCAATTTTGTACATTTATGTTTGTAAGTTTGATGCAAGTACATTTGTGAGGAATGAATGATCAAAGACAGAAAATGAGAGGTAATCATGCATGTATGGTGGCTAATTTAAAGATTAAGAGCTTTACTATACTTTCTTAAAGGAACCCAGACTTTGAAAGGAGGAAGGTTCAAGTTTTTTTAAGTTGCTGAAAGTTACACATTTTCAAAATTCCAGATGATGAAATATTAAATTGAATAAAACTTATTCCCTATCACACACAATAATTTTGTGATTGTACTTTCAGTTTCCTTGGACTTACAGAATAATAGCAGCAGAAGGAAGCAAAAATAAAAGATTGTAATTAATTTTCTTTTCTTTCTAAGCTATGAGATGACAATGATTATCATTCCACTTTTTTTATATTGCAAACTGTGTGTACCTGAGCTTATGTAGCTCCCACACCCCTTTAAAGCCAGATGCCTTAACACCTGTGAAATTTGCTGCAATTGTTGTCATGCAAGTAGAAAAGACAGAGGAATGTGAATTAGTTTGAATATCTACTAGTTGATGTTTTGATGACTGTGGGTAGAGATTGTATAAAGAAAGTGAGCAATGACAAAGCTTGGTATTTAGGGGAGTGGGTTACAAAGAGGATTGGCTATTAGATATTACTTCTCATGGAGAAAGAGACGCAGTTGCATGCCACATGCCAAGAATGTACGCCCCCCCCCCCTTTTTTTTGGGGGGGGGGGGGGGCATTAACAGCTGTTTGATGGCATTTCCAACTGGGAAGTTAGGAGCACTCATTTTGCTTCATATAACTGCAATTCTATAAATCTTGGAAACAAATAATGTTGTTTAATATCGGTATAAAAGCAATTCAAAGGGTGATGTCATACAGAACATTTCAATTTCTAGCCTAATGACTGTGCACATAATTGATGAAAAAGCAGTTTGCATAGTGATAACTGAAGAACCATTTAATGAATTGTCATATCAGGAGATATTTCGGTAAAATATTTGATACGAGACACAGTGAATGCATTGAATCAATGGAAGCTCTTCTTCATATAACCAACACAGCATTTTAATACTTTAAATTATGTTTGATAACCACCCCCTTCCCTCAGTGACCAATGCTTTGTCATTGTCATCGCAGGGTTGTTTTTAGTCTACAAATCCAAATGCTAGTCTGTTGTTAGTATACTTCATACCATCCTCATAGATGTACTTCTCACTGAATTGATTTCAGGATCAAAAATATTCTTGATTTATTATGCAATGTTCATTCATTGATACCACTTGTAGTGTACCTAGTTATCCTAGGTTTGACTGTATTATGTACATGCAGTAGTTGACTGCACATCAGCTGCAAAAAAATTAACTATGATAGAAATAAAGTCACATAGCTTAATTTTTGCTAAGTAATCAATGTGTGCATTGTTTTCTTTTATAGTCAATCATTTCCATGTATAATGTACTTGTAATCGCCGAAAGTTGCGTAACTAGTGAGGTATTGCAAAAAAGTTGCAATTGATTGCATCTCAACTTTCTTGCAACGCCCAACTAGTCTCCTAAATTTCCTAGGATTTTGTTAGGATTAGATTAAATTAATCTAGCTTTTATTCTCCCCCCCCCCCCCTCTCTCTCTCTCTCTCCTATTTGGAGGATTCGCAATTAATTGCAACGCCCCATAGGAGTTGTAAAATTACTCTCAATTTCAAGAGATTGTCATTATATTATTCAGTTATCATACAATTTCTTTCATATTTTTTTTGTCTCTTCTGTTTCCATCATGCAGTTGAATTTTTCATCATTACCCAAACTATTTATCACCATTATTCTTATACAGCACTTTTCCATCAATTGATCAAAGCGCATTCATTCTCGTTAAAGGTAAAGACCAGTATTGGAAATGCCCCAATTTCAAAAAATGAAATGGAAGCTCTCATTACCAATCATGTGAAAGAATATGTTTTGACTAATACATGATGATACAAAATTTGCCGGGAAACCACCTACTAATTCATATATTTGGTAAATTTGTTTCTCTCATGGTCTGTGAGAGATATAGGGTAGTCCCATATACATCTTTCTGTGTATAGTGCTTGTAACTTTACGAAGAATGGGCCAAATTTCTTATCATTTTGATGATTCCAGAACCTTGCAGATGCTAGATGCTAGATGATCAACCTTTTCTGATCGATTCCACAACGTTTCTTTCACAATGCAATCGCATGACCATAACTGGTCTTTACCTTTAACTGTAAAACACACAGTAATCACACATCCACTCAACAGTAAGAAATAAAGCAGACTTGTTGATCGAGATGCCACATCATGTGTTGCGTTTATTTCTGTTATCCTGGAAATAAACAGCCATAATTACATCAGCAGCTTGTACTGGATGGATGATGTCACATGACAACTTCAAGATCTATTCTTCATCTTTACTTCTCCATCAAAAAATCTACCATTTTGTTATCTCCAACACTTCATTTTAAAGTTTCCAAACCTGTTATTAAGAGACCTTACATACATATAACATTATAAATCAGTACACTACACATTTTTTTTCTGGAAAAATGTTCATCATAATGAAGCAATTTTTGACAATTTTTATGCAAATGCAGAGAACAAGTCTGTACAGATATAATTGACATAGTAGTGTTAATAATCAACAAACAAAAAAAACACCAGAGTAAAATTCCCCGGATGAAAAGAAAAAAATAACACACTTGTCAGTACACATTACTCAGAATTGCTGACTTTCAATTCATAAGCTATATATTCATCCTACATTTTGGTATAAATCTGGAAAGTTCCTGTGACTCTGTACTCTTTTATCTCTCTATTATACAAATCCATTAACACACAGAATAAAACTAAAAGCCAGCAATTCTGGTGCACGCATGGTGATAATGTGACCGACTTGTCCACACATATAGCTGTACTGAACCAACAAAAAACAGGTTGCCTATTAAATACATGTATCCCTATCAAACGCTCATACAAGAATTCTATCTACGTTAAGTGTATTCAGGGAAATCATAGCTTTAAAAAAGACAAGAAAATCTATGTCCAGAAATCTACATGTATCATCACAATTTGTGGCAAATTATGGAATATAAACTATGACTACTATTACACAAATGCAGTAAATAATCATCTATATCATGTTATATATATTAACAGTATATATAGTAGGAAAGTCATGTGATAAAAGCGGTTATTGTACACAAATACAATCTGCAGGTATACAACTTGAATCACTTTCACAGGGCTTACGGAGTCGATTGGGGATAACTAACATAACAAGGAAGGAAAAATCATTTGTATGGATACAAATTCAGGGCAGAAATATGACAATTACATTAGACTCATTCCATCAATCTCTAAACTTTGAAAAATGCTCCCTTGTTGTGTTTTGTTTTATCAGTGAAGGAGTCAGCTGCCCTACACTATGTTGACTACCGGTAACTATTGCTCCTATTGAAGTGTTTTTCAATAAGATTTAAAAACCTATGGAACTAAGTTCATCAGAACATCATGTTCTCATAATATACATATGTGATTTCGAAAAAATTACACATGCCAGTATTTTTTCCCCATATTTCCAGCTCAACACCAAAAGATGATTTCTGAAAGTGACCAAATCATACGTAGTATGTTAGGGGATCCTTCAAATGTAAAGGGAAAAATACAGAATTATACAGTTTTTATATTTTACCATGCCAACCCCCCCCCCCCCCCCTTCACAATTGCTTGGTAATCAAGAAGAAGGGTGTATCGCATTATTTCTGAATTCAAAGTTTCAAACTTATCGATCGAATGGTACAAGAAATAAAGAAGGGGACAAATGAATGGATTAACCAGGAATTATATACTAAAAGCATAGCTGCCAATATCACAGATTTGGAAGCCCACATTGGTTAGTTTTCACATTTCTGTACATCTTAGTAAGGGCATTCATCTAAATTATTAATGGTGAATTTTTTTCTTGAGTAAGGAAACAAAATTGTAAATTAACTGAATTGGTTGATCAAGAGCATGTGACAAAGGGAAATGGATCATAGGAAAGAGTCGAACATTCATTGTCACCAATGCTTTCGACAGTTAGGCAACATTCATACACAAGGGCTTGGGAGAGATTGTACCCCTAACCACTGAAATGGCCCTTGTGGGCCTGCAAGTAGCCCCTCCCAACAATAAACAAGGATAATTTGAGGGTTGCATTTGGGACAGAGTACCTTGTTGTGCATTCAACCATATGAATCTTCTTATAATGGAAACCCAGAAGTTGAAACGACCCCATCAGACCAGAAGCTTACAAGCAAACATACTGCGCATGCTTTAATGCAGACTGTGTTCAAATTGTAATATTCTGAGATAACAGCTATATTAAATAGTTCAACACACAAAAGATGAAGCAAGTATGATATGTCCACAGACAGACAGACAGACACGAGGGCTACACGTCCTTCACCCATATGTAACAAGCTGTCTAATGGTTAAGTATCAAATTCCTCTGCTTATCTATGAAGAAGAAAAAGAAAAAAAGGACTTCCACATAGATAGACAAAAAAAGAAGCAATAATTCTATCTTTAAAAAAGAACAAAGAGAGATACAAATATAAATCTACTCTTTACTGATAAATTAAAATCACTTGGCATATCTATCCTTCCATTCATACACAACCTTGTATAAAGCATCTCATTCAATCATCTGTACAGTGTGAACTTGGAAAACATAGCACAATACAATGTGAAATATTCTATAATCTATTTAATTTTGACTCTTGTTGCGATACAGAAGGAAAGATAATGAAGACCGACTGCTTTTTTGATATAAATATGTGTTAGCTTTGAAACAGTTTTGGTCTTTGAGCATAATCTGTACATTCTCAAAACACAAAATTAATAATGCATTTGACTCGGGTTAGCAAACCTAATCACAGTGGCCTACAGAAAATACAAAATAGTCCCTTTAACATAAACACATACACATGAAGTGATGTGTACATTACATTAACCAAATTTGTGAAGCATGGACGATAACTATTTTTTAATTCATGCTCTAAACTGAAAAACTCATAAAGTTGTCCTGTGAAGATTCCAGCATTTATCTACCAACACTGTGTGATATGTGCGACAGCTGTTTACAATTCTTTACCAAGGGCTACACAGCCACAGTATAAAACATCCTTCACATTCATTGAAAATATCATTTCAAGAAGAGGCTCATTTTTAATGGGTCTAACCCTATGATTTCCGCAGCTATTTTGTTTTGGTTTTCCTTCTTCAATGGGTTAAACACTGCCTGACGAGCAGAAACAGATATTCAAGTCATTAGTCAAGTCCCCCTAAATCATTTGCAATGTTAATCTGGTTTTAAAATACAGTGTAGATGTCACCCTAGACTAAAATATGACCAATATTGGTACAAGTTAACTCTACATCAACTAGCAATTCAAACAAATAAGACAGAGAGATTATAATTAGAAGAAAGAAAAAAAAACAGAGTTAGGCCACATGCTTCCAAAAAACAACAAATATTATCTTCATCATGGAATGGTACAAATATATCCAAAATATGTCATTGAAGCAAAGACTAAAAAGATGAACAAAAAAGCAATGATTGATAATTAATTACTGGTATAAGTATATATATAATAAAGTGTATTTATACAAATATGCTGATGTGCACATGTCTAGGTGACTGTTTTTTTTTGTAGCGTCCACAGTTCATCATAATTACATTTACAACACATGTATATTTTTTTTTCTTTTGTGTATTTTCTAATACATCATGGAGCCCATTTTTCTTTAAAAGCAGAGAAAAAGCAGACAACCCAGTTCCTGGCACATGAAACTGATAATAAGTTGCCACGAGACTACAAATGATTTGCTTTGGCAACCCATAGGGGATATCAATGACCCATGGAGGCAAAACTGAAATCAACCATCATAATAAAATCAACCATCATAATAAGCAAGCGAATGGACTTTCCAACCACCAGTCTGAAACAGATCTTTGGGGGAACCAAGGGTGTCTTTGGGGAAACAAAGATCAGGGGCTGGTCTTTACAAGAAAAAAACGCAAGATCCATGTCTACCATGTAAGAACAGAAAACCAGTCTGATCGTTCACAATGTTCATTTATTTCCTCAAATTTTACACCCAAGCGATGGTGACTTTCCATTTAGCTTACTGTGTTCCTGTTGGTAATCGATCCCAGCTGGCTGCATACTCCAAGATTGTATACATGACATAGGATGGTATATATATGCCTTGATATAACTTGATTTTCTGCCAATGCTAGCACTTGCATTTATGGAAAACACATAATCATGCATCCCTTGACAGAGAAGTGGAGCCTGGGTAAAGCAATTATTTGAAATGTGCCAATTGAATCAATCCTAGGATTCTGTTCAGATTTGTCGACAAAAGAATTGGTATAAATAAAAAATAACAGAATAAAAAAATTAATTTGTGAGATATTAAATCTATCAGGATTTTAATCATTATTACTGCCTGCCCCAAGAGGACACAAAATAATTATAACCTGTGTTATAAGCTAATTTAAAAGAAAAAATAAAATACTGCGAGATTTATTAAGAACAACATCCGGATCCACTGGGTTTGACTGGCGTGGTGCTAGGATTAATCTTATCATGTGAGCTGCCTGATGGTACGCTGCCCGGTCCCATCCTGTTCTTGATCTCAGCAGCCATCGTCATGAAAGCTTGCTCCACATTGGTGGCGTTCTTTGCGCTAGTCTCTAGGAAGGGGATCTCAAGTTGGTCTGCATATTCCTGGGGTGAGGTGAAGGGGGGGGGGGGGGAGACAAGAGAGAAAGATGATACACAGGGATAAAGCATGATACAAACTCCTGAACAGTTCTGCCTTAAACACTGGTCTTTCTAGTTTCAGAATTCAACATTTCCACAAATTTATGTATTCAATGTTTTTGTTCCAAAGTATGAAAGCAAAAATATTGTCAGTTTCTGAAGGAAATAATTTGTTCAAATTGTGGATTGCTGGTACAAATTGTATGATTCAAATGACTATAATCCTAACTATAAAACCTTTTATAAATTTTCTCTTCTTAACGAGCTCAGTATAAGTATCTTTCTTTATTTCTTTTTTTAATTCCTTCCGGCTTTATCAAGATGAATAATTCTAACAACAATACTTTCCATTGAATATCAAAAGTGGTACTGTTAGCATCCAACTTTCTTTTTTTTTTCCTTCTTTTTCTTTCCTCCCTTTTCATCACTCAAATTCAGTGAATGAGAAGAGTGATTGTTAAACTAACATTGCAACACTCTGAAGGAAATGACTGGGTACTTACCTTTGCTGTCGTGTAGTCTACAACTTTCTTTGTTGTTAGATCACATTTGTTGCCTACCAGTAGTTTGTTGACGTTTTCTGATGCATATCGGTCAATTTCTTGTAGCCATTGTTTGACATTGTTGAATGATTCCTATGAAATTAAAGCAAGGAGAATTCAATTCATGATTATTTCAGTTAAACCTATGCCAGCTTCATTAACACTACAACTGAACAGTATGTCAATAATCAATTGTTCATGATAGGAAATCAAGACATGTAGGCTCTGCAAGTCCCTCGGCCAGAACTGTCTTCATTCTAAACAAGTTCATTAGTATTGTAGGGCCACTGCTAGCCCCAAGCAGGAAAGAGAAAGGTACTTTCCAGATAAACATCATTCTTTAGAATCCATTCAACTCATGCTCACAGAAAGTGACTTATAAACCAAGCATTGTTGTCTCATTTCAGTTGTATTTTGCAGTTACGAAGAGATAAGAAACAATGGGCTAAATTTCGTTCAGCACACTAGTTTTACATTATTATCAGAATTCTTCAATAGAGTTGACCTTCCCGAGATTTTGAATCTATAAAAAGTCAGGACTTCAGACCAGGGTCCATACTTGTTTCTTAAAATAGATTTATTTCACTGTATGAATTATAAGCTTGACCCAATTTATGTAGCTATATCTTCATCTTGGTTCATGCTTAGTAAAACATAGTAACTGGTCATTCCTTAAAATTGAAAGATTAGGAAATGGATATATTGAGATAATCACCTGGTCTGTGACGTCGTATACTACTATGATTCCATGTGCTCCCCTGTAGTAACTTGATGTGATCGTTCTGAACCTTTCTTGGCCTGCTGTGTCCCACTATAAAGAGAAAGAAATAGCAAGATACATGCTTAGTGATAGGTTCAACTATTTCATCTGTACAAGTACATGTGAATAAATATTAATAAATATACAATGTACATATACCACTGCTCTGAAAAACTTGTGACTAGTCAGTCTCTGCCACTTTTGATCAACTGGGATTTTCCCCTGATGGAGATTCAAAATTCAACAATCATTAAAAGAGGCACACTAATAATCATAATACACACTAATAACAGTAATAAGTCTAAATAAATCTAAATAAATCTAACTGTTTGGACACATGCCAAAATAGAAGTGATGGTCTTCTTTCTTCACGGCAAGATGGATTTCACCTGATTTTAGTTTATTTCTGAAATTACTTGATTTGTCCCTGACTGGACAAAGGAAACACATTTCCAAGGTTTCCCCTGATTTCCATAAAAGCTGAAAGGTGGGACCCTGCTAAAGTAACACAGCCAATCAATCCAGTGTTTTCACCAAATGGCTGGTACATTAAACTTCCTACATCAGGATACAAAATCAACACTGTATTTATGTGGGCTATTTTATGCAAAATATTTATTCTTTGATATCTTATACATTATAACCTACCCCTATTTACTTCCAATGCAATTTCCACAGGATTTGGGATGTTAATATTTCAGTTTTCTTTGATCACAAGACATGACCTACTTTCTTCAGTCCATAAAATGTACTTTACTTACATGTACAAGGTACAAGTTCCTAATCTATATCCATACAATAAATGAGTACACTTGACCTTTATATTATTATTAAACAAAGAATATATACTATGAGCATGTACAGTACACTCATTGCCTAAAATGAAGAGAAATCAATAGCCTGGCTTCAACATATGTCAGGTTAGCAGACATGGTCTACAAATCAGATTTATGACTATATTCAAAGCACTGTTGTGTAACACATGACAATCATACTACATGTAGTACATGTAAACAAAATGAGTGAGACTCTACTCTGTTACTACACACATTTTTCACGGACCCCGATCCGGCTTATCTCTGGCATTGTATTCAACTATTGTTAGCAGCAGGCTACACCTGAAGACGTACAAGTACAGGTAGCTTAAATACTTTGTAGTCTTTGTATTCAAAGGAGGTTTGAGGCTATTTTGTAAGCCTCTATTCAGTGATTTTTGCTGGCTATAGGCCAAATTCAATGATAGAGATTACTTTTTGCAGCACTTGTACCAAATATATTGTAAAATGTATTGCCAATTGAAATATGGTTTCTCTCTATTGTCAATTAAATGTAGCAAGAACCTCCAACTTTCCCAATTATTCAATTCAAAAGATGAATACTTAATCTGTGTACATGTATTTCCATGTAATTCATGTTGTATGTACAGTCTATAACAAGAAGACTACCCTTGTTTGAGTGTACATGTATTCATGTATTATTCATGTCTCATTGTACCATTGAACAATTAACTGCAAGACATGTGATGTAAACATACATGTTGTCAAGTATTTCAGTGGCAAAAATGCTATGCAAAATACTTCCGGTAGATCACAATTCCCTCCTACTTTCAACAAAAAATACTTGCAAAAGATGACAATTACAAACACATGTAAGCTTAACACATACATGTACATGTATTATGTCCATATGAGTATGTGCATTCAAACTGTGTGAAAGACAGATAATCTCTGTTACAAACGATTCTTGTATTTACATTGTACATGTAGAAAGCCTTAAACTGACACTTTACATAATACATGTACTGTACATGTAAACAAATTTCCTTCACTGTAGGTTAACTGTGTACCATACTACATCTAGTCCAGTAATGACTCATTCCATCAAGCCACTGATGCAAGGTACAGGCGTAATAGGAAAGAGCAAATGTCTACTTTCAATGAAAACAATCGGCTGAATTTAGTTTCAGTAGTGAAGTACAGTGCTGTGGTTTGTGATGTGTGCAATTGTAAATGGGAGTGTTGTGGTTGAGTGGGTGAACTCAAACTACATGTACATGTACATGTATGAAGTATTTGTGTCATACATATTGTGCATTGCACTACTTTTCCAGAAGACGTGATCGTAAAACTTCTTGTTTCATCAGCCAACACAAATTAATTTTGAGGTGACTTTGTATTTTCATTGTTGGCTTTGAAGTCTCAATTTAAATGAAAGCAAGATATTTCATTACCGAATAAAGAGATTCATACTCCGCTCTCTAAAATTGGTATACTAAGTTCAACCATGTTTATCCTACCTTTATGAATACAACATTGTATCCCTATGACTGTTAATAACACACTAAACATATATACAACACATTACAATCATAATGCATACAAGCTCTTTTATAGAGTAATCTACATTTATCAAGATGGTCAATAAATCAGACTGATGTGTAATAAAAGCTTGACTCGTACCCTAACATCTTGCATTTTATGCACATTAATTACATGTATGAAATGAACTGGTAGACTATTTCCTATAGCACTGTTCAACAGTATTCCCTGCTAGGATTAAACTTATTCTTGCTATATATAATCCTTTAGAATCTGATTTCTTTTGTAAGTATCAGGGTGCATGTATGACCAGTATAATAAACAAATCGTGTGAGAAATTTCCTTCTTTAAACAGGTCTACACAAATACTACATGTACATGTACATGTGCCATGATAAAGAAGAACAGTACAGTCGTACATGTAGGTTGCCAGCAAAAAGGCTGTAACAGCTATGTATTAAATCTCAATGGTAATACCACTCAGCCATTTTGTGGGCAGCCGATGATATACATGTACATGCATCACAACAATGCTCTCATCAAAACAGGCACAACTGATTATACTACTTCAAGTGTTTGCATGATTAGTATCACTTTCAATTCAAACTTCTTAGCAGTCTAGTCTCGTCTTTAAAGATAGTTATTGATATTCATTATCATTACCGGTACTATTATCATACAAGATGTGCATAATAGGATGAATATCATGTTGTACATGATAGATCAAGAATTGCATAGATGTTTTTTTTTCATCATTGGAATGCAACTTTTCTATTTGTTTTCTTTCTTTCTTACCTTTTCCTAAGCATGTTTAGCCTTTTTAAAAGATATCATGCACTATTATCTTCCAATATTATAGATATGTAATAAACTGTGCTATCATAATATTGGTTCTAGAATGTCCTGCGATATAACAAGACCTATTCAGAAAGTGATATTTGACAAATACAAAGTTATGTGCTATGACAGCATTACAGCTACAAAGTTTTAATGGTGACAACAATTAAGTGTTACTTACTATTTGAAGTTTGATTACTTTGCCATCTAGCTCAATGGTTCGTATTTTCTGTGGACAAAAAAGAAGAGATGTGATAAACTTACTCAAAACCTACATACATGTAAATGTACATCAAGAATAAAAACAATTTCTTTTTATATGTTTGATATTCAAATGCTGCATTAATCTTTTCGGATTTTAGGTGGCTTACATTGTACTATTACCAGTACCTATATGTACATAAACACAGCTCCCATTACCACATTGATGTCATTGATTTGCACAAGTTCTTTAACAAAAATTAAATTTCACACCTGTTAAATGCCAAGGACTCCATAAACTAACGTCATAACAAGGTATGCTGGTATAGTACATACATTGTACATGTACACTCACTACACTGTTATCTTTAATAGTATTATGCACTATATAAATATATATACATGTATATAATGCAAAGTTTGTGTGTGTCGTGATTGTCATCGCCCCCCCCCCTTCCAATCAGATAAATTTATTTTAGTATCAGTGAATGATAACACATTATATATTGCACTGCATTATACTTACATGTACATTCAATATAGATGTATAGTACCAGTACATTTCACCAAATTTCTTATTGTATCTGACAAAATACACCTCAGGATTAAATATCCCATGTTCAAATTGATGGATTATTCACATAATATACATGTACAAGGTCTACAACTTATTTCTTGTAATCTACAAACAAAATTCTAGCTTCAAATCACTTTCCCACTACCCCAAAAAGGCCTTTATTGTTCTCTTTTCTTTCTTTTTTTTACCTATAAGTTACTTTACTTGTGGGCAGGGGACTTTTATCTCCTTTGCACACAATCTGTATGTATCTACATGTAAAGTGTATCAGATAGTTGAATGTCTACAAAATGCACTTTAAAGTCATGATAAATTGATCTAAATATAAAGCAGATACAGCTGATATTAGGGAACCCTGTTGAAGTCCATTAACTGCACCTGTTGCAGTACACTACCCACTCCATCATTGTACTTCATTTGATATTCAACAGAAAATCACAATCTATCAACTTTTAAAGGGGCTGAACAAAATAAGAAAAAAATGTCATGCTCTTGATCAATACCATTCAAAGGCCTTTCTTGGCCTACTTTGTCCCAATATAAAGAGCCTTTGGCCTGCAATAATTCTTAGATTTTGTCATTTGTTGCACACATAGATGCTGTGTATCAAGGCATTTTTTTACTACATAAACCATTGATTAATTTGCAGCTAAAATCTCATAAAAACAAAATGGGCTGCCCCCCCCCCCTCCCCATTTCTTATGTTAATTGAGAGCTGAGTTGATGAGATAGTCACTGTCAGTGACCACCCTGCGTGGTCTAATCCCTCCTAGCTAAACTAGTACAGACGGCCTTTAAATAGAGAAATGAATTGAGTATCAAATATTAAGTATACTGAATTATAACAATCTCAGTTGTTTAATGGTAGAATTTCAGATACATAATGGATTTTCACACATGTTATTTACTAAGACAAAGGACATATCATTACTTATCATTACTAAGTGCAATCGAGTATATGACATCATGCAATCCTTTCATTTCTGTCAACTAAAATTAGCCACTTTCTCAAAACTATTATGACACCCTATCCATTGTATTACTAATCAACCAACAGCTGTGCATTGTGTCATTTATCTCATACAATATAAGTGATTGACTTACAAAATCTACTCCAATTGTACTGATGTAGCTTTCTGTGTATGTATCATCCTGTAGATAAAAAGAGAGGAAAAGAGAGAATAAAGATGAAACTACTGTCAACTAGGTATCACATTACCACTCCATATCAATGGCTTCTTACAGTATCTCTTTCAATCTGGACAGTAGAAATACTGCTTTATGTACTCATACTTTACATGAATTATTTAGTATCGCACATATCCTCTTGAACATAACATCTTTGTGATACTTCCTGCAAATCTTAAGAGAAGACGTGATTTGCCAACATCTGAATCGCCAATTAAAAAATGTTTGAACAGCCATTTGAGATTTTGTGTGATCATACAATAGGCAATAAAAAATATTTGCCTGCTCAAAATGTGAGTCAGTCAGAAGATTTAATTTTGGTTCATAATCACAGTGAAACTTTAAAGGCTTATGTTTATGATTTGTACGCATATACGCTTTGAAAAACAAGATGTTTAAGTAAACAACGTACTCGTACTTTACAATCATCCGCATGTATCCTCTTGAACATAACATCTTAGTGATACTTACTGCAAATCTTAAGAGAAGACATGATTTGCCAACACCTGAATCGCCAATTAAAAGAAGTTTGAACAGGTAGTCACTGCAAGTAAAAAGAGAAAGAGAAGAAAAAAAGAGAAAATACATTAGTGTTCACATGCTGTACATGTACATTCACTGTTAGTTTCTGCATATTGTTGTTGTAATTAATGTAACCACAATACACGATCAAAAGCTCCCACAATGAGGCACATACACACACACACGCCCACACACATGTAAAATATGACTGCTTGTTTTGCAATAAATTTTCTCCTTCATGTACCTTGTTGTATACATTGTACATGTCATGTGAGACAGAAAAGAGGAAGTAAATCAATTATTATAAAGATGTGCCAATAATCTGAATCACATAATACCCTGATATTTATACCCAGTTCAAGGTGTAAAGTTCTCCTTATCGATGCTGACCTCACAAACATCATCCTGGTTTCCTTTCTGGTTTTAAATTTAAACATATGTAACGACATTAGAGCCCTAAAATGTATTCAATCTCCTTACACAGGATAAACAAAACGAAACCTTTGTACATGTGTATAACATGACAGAAAAATTCTACACACCAGACACAGGGTACATGTTTAGTATGTTAATTTCATGGTGTATAACTGAATTTAATGAAAGCATGATACTGCACAACATGTACTAGGTCCAATACATTGTGTTCATGCTGATTTAAATTACATTTTATATGAGTCGGATCTTGAAACAATCAAATATATGCCTACTATTCCATAATGATTTTGACCTCTCTATTATAATTGAACAGAGAGATGATGGTACATGGACATGTACATTGCACTTCCAGTACAAGAATTGAAATGTTAACTACATGCAACAATGTGAATATTTCAGTATTTATATATGTGACGTACATGTTACCTATTGAACCATCTCTTTACATGTTTATCGTGCTTAAATTGACATTGAGAGGATACCATTTTTCTATTAAAATGGGAGATGCATACATGTACTGTAGGATGCTTAATTTATCACGACCTTGTGAGTCACAGGTTTCCAAATAAAATACAGCTCGTTCACCTCAGTGAGTTCCAACCAACCATGAAGCCAATACACATACCAGCATGTAGCATCAACACATGCACAAGCATACATGGTATTACAAACCTTCACAGGTTTCGAGTCCTTTTTACATTTTGTACTTTCCAAGTGTGCAAAATCGATAAGGTATTACATGTGTGTTTCATTTACATGTCCATTATTTGAATGCATGTCTTTATTTGTTTTTGTTTGGATTTTAAGTTCAGATTGACAATTTTTAGAGATAAAGTATAGGCCTACATGTACATGTACAGTATGTAAGCATTTTGGCATCACAAACGCATACCTGTTGGGTGACATTTACAACAAGAGCAGGGAGGAAGTGATGAGTAAATTTTGTTGAGATAGCACAAAAGTTTTGAGGTCAATTAAAGCCTGAAATTGGTAATTCAAAAGAATCTATCCATAAAACATGAAAAGTAAAGTTCTGGATAATGTAAAAGGACGCTATCATTGTCCTGTTCATGAAGCCTCAAATTAAAAAAAGTAGCGTTAAAGATAAAGACCAGTTATGGTCATGCGACTGCATTGCGAAAGAAACGTTGTGGAATCGATCAGAAAAGGTTGATCATCTACATGTAGCATATAAGTATTGGTGTGTACTGCAAGGTTGTGGAATCATCAAAATCATGATAAAGTTACAAGCACTGTACACAGAAAGATGTACATGTATATGGGACTACCCCCCCTACACGTGCACGACATGTACGTTATATCTATCAGGTCCAAAGAGATATAATAATTTACCAAATATATCAATTAGTAGGCGGTTTCTCGGCAAGATTTGTATGATCACGTATTAGTCAAAACATATTCTTTCACATGATTGGTAATAAGATCTTCCATTTCATTTTTTGAGAGAGGGGCATTTCCAAAACTGGTTCTACCTTTAATATAAACTAAATGGCCACAAAATAAAGACACAACAAAATTATAAATAATCTTGTTTTGGGAAAATAAAAATTAACCCAAATCTCCATTCAATGAATAAGAAAGAACAAAAGAAAGAAAAGTTTATTCCTCGTTCTTGCCTAAGATTTTATTGTTTTAGTAATAGGTATTTGTTAACACTTTTGGCAGGCCAAAAACTGTTCAAAAGGTTGTTAAGTGGGTCACTTTTCAAATAGATTATTTTGGTACTAAAAATCTGTTCCCAATTATACATTAATTATATAAATATATGAGTTTCGGTAGAGCTTCATGAGAGGCTGTAATAGGTTGGGAATAATTTATGTTTACCGTATTTGCTGGCGTAAAGGCCGCAGTATTTTCGGAAGAGAAAATATTAAAAAGTATGGGTGTGGCCTTTGCGCAACAACTAAAAGTTCAGCGATCAAAACAGCACGTCGGACATATATGGGACTACAATGACTATACAATGGTACAGGACATTTCTGGAATAAATCCACACATCTTACCGACAATTTTATGTTGCATTGTTGACATAAAGACGAAAATAAACTGGATAATTTATTTTTCCAACAAATCTACCAGTAGATCTAGATCTAAGTACGTGCTATTGCATCACTAAAAAAGTAAATGAGGGGACCGTTACGGAGCTAGCTGTCGCGCAACGCATCTACGCAAGTTCTAAGTCGCAATTTTGTATTACACTGCACATCGTGGTAGGGGGGTATATGTAGTAGGCCTAATATGTAGGATACCAAATCTGCCTGCGATACAGTATTACATGTAGCTTAAAAATCAATGAGATTTTGCTAAATTACAATCTTTTTTGAGGTAAACTTCCTGTAACTTTATAAGAATATTGATGAATTTGGTATAAGTTTGTAGAAAAAATAGTGTTCTACAAGAAAATTACGATTATTTTGTTTGGTCCGTTTGTTTTTTCCCTCTACGAAGTGTCAAAGTTGGGGGTGCGGCCTATGTGGCGTTGCGGTCTTATCGCCGGCAAATACGGTAAACAAAATTAACCTACATGTATAATATCTAATCATGATTATAATGCATGCCTACAATACATTATAATCCAAGATGGCGGTCGCATGTTTTGCCTCTTCTCTTAGACCAATATTATTAATTTCAGTCATGAAAAGGCACTAAATATCAACAAACATGGTCTACAACAGGCCTTCTCAACTAGTTTATTACAAGTACCAAAACGAAAAGAATTTGTAGTTGAAGTGCCACCCTGTATGGTTGACTGTGCTGCGAGGGAGCATAGAGACCGAGCTGAAAAATGGGTGGGGCCCAACGATGCTGGCGGATTTAGGGCTTTCTAAAGGCCCAAATGGGGCATTTTTAGCACCATTTCATTCCACAATATAATCAATCATAATTTCATATTGATGTGAAAAAATTAGTACAATTCCTGGGTAAATTACACTGGAGGTATATTTATATGCAGTTTTTGTGTGCAATAAACACAGGAAATGTCAAAATAAAGTGAAAATCAAACAAACAAAAACAAGATGTTTCCAGAGATTGGCAATGCTAAAATTGGTATCCCATCGTAAGCTAATTGTTGTTTAGACCTTAAGTTTAGATTCATATAAAATGGTACAAAAACGATTAATTCCCCTTTCTTCCTGTTTGTTAAGCAGGCATTTTGGGCTCAAATTCGACTGCAACTTCTTGATTTAGCTGAGTATTTAATTCTAAAATAAATGTTTTCTTTCTTTCTGTTTTTTGTTTTGTTGTTGCAACAGTCGCGCGCCACTCCGACTGACCGCAAGCTCCACAAGTGGCGGTGCGCTGCCAGTTGAGAAGGCCTGGTCTACAACAACTCCAAATGACAAAATAATACCAGCTACGCATTTTTTTAAAGCATTTGATAGCCCAAGACTTGAAAATTTCGGCATTAAAAAAAAAAAAAAAAAAAAAGAATCTCTGCTGTTTTTTATTGCCGTTGCCGATCACAGGTGCCCCAACTTACAGGGTTAGTTAAATCAGTACTCTACATGTATATTGACCACTTATCTTTATGTTATTTATTATGTAATATTGAAAAAACAACTTGTACTTTATTTGAAATGTATATGTGACATGAGAAATATGAAAATAAGTGAATGAAATGTTTGGCTACACACATGTATGCATTCAGAAGACATCATTCCATAAAGCAAATGGTTGCCTTCATGTCATGACTGTGCGATTCTTGTCTTTTTGATCGGATTTCTTCTTTAATTTTTTATTTTATATTAACAATGCAGACCTGTTTTATAAAACACAATTTATGTTATGAAGCATGTGCATTAGTATACAAATAATGAATGGTTATGAGTTCAATAGTGCGAATATGTTCATGAGTTGAAAGATTAACATTCTATTCAACGAGGCGTCAGCCGAGTTGAATAGAATTAACGTTAATCTTTCAACGAATAATCAAGGGATAATGTGTAGTGCATATCACTGATTATACAACACCTACGTGGATCCTTGTCATTTGATTGGACGATTGTTGGTCACATGATATTCAATAGATGGTATATTGCACGGTCGTGCATTTTTGGTTATATGTGCCGTGCATTTTTGGTTATATGCAGACTGCGTATCTCTCTGCTGCATGTGCGCGCGCGTATCCCTGCGTGTATCTGACGCGAAGGCAATCTGCATATAATTGAGAAGGCTTGACTCGAACTGTAATTTATCTTTATAAGGAGTAAAGCATAATTTGTTGATTAACGTTCTATTAGGTCTTCTTCGATGTTGTATAAAACAAATAATGAATGTTTTTCATTCGTTTAATAGTGCAAATATTTTCATTCGTTGAAAGATTAACGTTAATTCTATTCAACTCGGCTGACGCCTCGTTGAATAGAATGTTAATCTTTCAACTCATGAACATATTCGCACTATTGAACTCATAACCATTCATTATTTGTATAATATGCACTGCACATTGATTTAAGTCACAGTGAGCTGGATAATGACTCGACCAGTCTCATTCATTATCCTCCTGTGGCTCATTACTCAAAACCGTCATAAGTCCAAGTTTGTGGACATCCCATAAAAGCATGTGTTAATTCTATTACACACGTTTCAATGGGATGTCCACAAACTTAGACTAACGTTTCGAGTAACGGGCCCCTGTGACTTACTTGGCATGAAGTGCACATTCATTAATGCTCTCGCAATCAGGTTTAATTCTTTCATTTTTGTATTGCATTTTAGGCAGCAAAATCCTGTTTTTAAGGTTGATATTTAGTTAGTTTTCAATGCCGTTTGTTGTAGTCAGTGATCAACAATGTCTGTGTCTTTGCGGTTCAAGTCCCGCCGCGGCACTAATGTCCTTTGGCAAGACATTGATCTACATTTGCCACACTCAACCCAGGTGATGTAAATGGGTACCTGGCAGGAATTAATTCCTTGAAATGCCGGAGCGCTGAATAAACGGCTGCCAGACTAAATCCAGGGTAATAATAAAAGTGCTTCGGAATAGAATTATAGATAGATGGCACTATAGAAATGCCTATTATTGTTATTATTTTTATTGTGTGTAACAAGTTGATTTGTGTAAGTTTTGATGTCTTTGCAGTTACATATTTAAGGGGGATTTAGTTTGAATCACTTGTTGCAGTAATCCCAAACAGCAGCTCCTTAGAAGCTATCATGGGACGTCAATCATGCATGTGCCAAGGTGCAAAGTTTGTGTTGTCTCACATACACAATAAAAATGAGTGTCTGTACAAATAAGTATATGCAGAAATATGTACTAATCCAGGGGAGTTTAGTGTAAATCTATTGGCTAGCTCATCAAATAAGCCACCAGTCACTCAGTGTATTCACAGTAAGGAGGTGGAAAAAAGTCCCCCATGCCATGGATGTATTTGATAATTCATCCAGGTCTTCTGTGATGGGTGAATGACCAGCAGGGGGCGCTGGGCGGGGAATGAGGATCATCCGCATAAACAAGGATATCCTCATAATCGCAGAAAAATTGCGTCCTAAAAAATAAGGATCGTCCGCATTTTCATGGACATTTTTTTTTTCATCGACGCTCTGCGGGTTTCAGGTTCTCGAACTGCGTACTGGCAATGCAAAAAAAAATTGGATTCCGCGTAATAAAATACCCCCAGTTCACCGTCTACTTTTATGGGTATATCCTGAGGATTAAATCGTCATAATGTGAAAGTCTCTGTACAAAGTCAATGTGAAATGCATCAAGAAAATCATCGCGGAATCCATTTTTCGCTTTGCCAACATGCAGATCAGAATCAGAAATAAGAAACGTCTGCGCAAATGCGGATCCATATTTTTGTGGACGCGTCTGTCCACGTATATGTGGACGATCCTCATTCTTGGACCAGCACTCCTACTGAACATAGAGTAGTAAAAGGAAAGTTACTACGTGATGAAACAAACATGACAAGTCAAGCGTAACAGCAAGTCTAGTCTGGTGTGTTTTGCAGACTGAATGAGACTCGCATCATTCACAGTCACAAGACTCACCAAGAACTACACTTCTAGTTCTACACAGATTAATGTCATAAAAAATCATCAGATGCTGTAGGCCTAGATCTATTTACTTTAAATCTTCATTATAAATTAACTAGACCAACCAAGAACATATCACATCGTTTGCTACATCGGCCATTCGATACTGATGGCCTCATCATCAATGAACAACCGGTAAAATAGCATCACTGAGCTGAGCACAGGCGTCATGCCCATCGCACGAACAGACATGACAAATCCTATTGAAAAATCAATGGACATTCAGGATTTCCTCTCACATTCACAATACGCAACGCAGCCGCAACTCATCACAATCTACGAAAATTATAGGTTACTCTGTTCATTTTATCAATACTTACTACTCCGGATTCATTGTGGACATGGCAGGGTAGATCCACGTATGTTAGAAAAGCTTTTCAATTACACTTAAGATGGAAATAAATAACTGAATAATTGTGATTACACCGGCTTTTTCAATCGAGGAAGTTTCAATATGGCTGCCTGTACATTACGCGATTTTCACATTCATTTTGTACACAAATTGTCCGTACGTACGTGCGTTCAGCTGACATGGCCTATGCTTGGACACGTACGGCCGTACGGGCGTACGGATATTACGGACGTACGCCATAGAGATCTCTTGATGCTACGACTGTACTAGGGGGTGTAGCCATTGGACAGAGGTGACGTCATTTGAATACGACGTGGCAATCAGCTGACAAAAACATGAAAATCTTGGTCTGGTGTATGAGACTATCTTTGGATTTCTATCAATTAATACATCATGACAAAATGCAACAATATTTCAAATTATAGATGCAAACTTTTCTAGCATGAAACAAAAACAATTGTATGTCGTGTAGAGGTTGACGTTTCAAGAAAAAAATAGGCCCCTATGTTTCTCATCTTTTCATGAATAGCCTTATCATGCCACCCATATCTTAGACGTGTCCACGTAAGGAAATCGCCTCCTCTAATGTATATAAATCATAAAGTTACATAGCGATCTTCTGCGGCTTCATGAACCATAAATTATAGACACATGAACGGTTGTCAACACCTCACCCCCCCCCCCCCCCCGATCCCGGATACGCCTTTGACATGTTTACTATATACAGACCCTTTAAATTTCTTTCCAATACAGAAACTATTTTACACCCCCCCCCCCTTTATACCCACCCCTTTATTATAATTATGTATAATATACTTCCCCCAAATATTGACCCATACCGGAATGGGAAGGTTTATTTATTATAGGCTATATTATTATGCAATGGTTGAAAGAATAAAAATGAATTCGTCATCAGTGAATTCAGGAGTACAGTTAGTTGGTAATACATGTCACTGTCGGTCTCGACTAAAGGATCAAGTTCGCAACAGTTAGCCTCTGTCGAAATAATGAATACAGATACAACGTGCAGATGAGTCATATTAGGCTATGGTTTTGAACTTTTGATTATTATTAAGTGACCAAAATTGGGTCTTGTTGACTTTACTGGAAGGGGATTTCCTCAGTCATCATTGTCCAGTAAATGTAAACGTCGCAAGTTCCAGCGTGGCAAGAGCCTGAAGGACCCCCAAAATTGCAACCAGTGTATAGGCCTTTATAATTATACTTGCAGAATAGCTGGGCTCCTGTGTTTGAAACGGGAATGTACGATGATAAAATCATCTATAATTATGAATAAAATGATACAGGGCTTTTCATTATGGCTCTAAGAGAGTAAAATGAAAGACAGAGAGAGAGAAAGAAAAAAAAAGTTGGCTCATCAACATTAACTTTTTTTGTTTAAATCCCCAGTATCATTACCACTGGTGCCCGCTTTTACTTGCATCTAATACTTTATGGAGCGATTCTTCTAAATTTCGGGAGGTATTATGACCCTCTTTAATTTATTAAGTGAAAGCGTACAATCGTCCCCTCTTGAATCGTCGTCCCTGCAAGTTTGGGACTTTGCACTCCGTCGCTTTCAGCTCTAATAAACGAACAATAATTGAATCTTGCTTAATATTATCTTGGGTCAAGGAAACTATTTTTCTTCAATATTGGAATATCAAGGAACATTATAATGAAAGGGAGAAGATTTATGAATCTTGTAAAGAGCAATAATTTTTATAGAGCAATTTTTAAGAGCACAAAACATTGTGAGGATGATTTTGGTACCAATAATTATATACCATTTGGTTTGCATTTCTTTTTCTTCAAAATTTCGAGGTGACATATTCACTCACATCGCACTTGGCGGCTGGGTCACTGTCTCTTCTATGCAGTATTTATAACTTAAAAATCTTTTTTTTTAACCAGCCAGGGAACGTATAGCGTTCGAGCGAAATATTTTGTTGTGGAAACATTATGATTTGCGTTTGAAGAGTAGCCTGTATAGCCATACCTGTAAATTAATAATATTGATCAGAAAAATAACAGCCTATTTGTTCAAGCTTTTATGACTGAACACAGACCAATCATAATTAGAGCTCCTATATAGTTTTTCCCCCTTCCACGTACAGGGTTCTTTATTTTCAAAACAAATTCCATCATAATTATACAGTATATACAAATAATTAAAGAAAGAATTTCCATATAATAATGGTTTAACACAGATAACAATCATCACGACCGAAAAGTTTGTGGTAGATAAATACAAACATTTATGAAAAAATTAGTATTTTAAATGTATAACAAATATAGTGCTATTATGTAATAGCCTAAGTGAAGCCGGAGAGAAAAAAATAGTTTTGAACACTGTTGCCCATAAGGTTGGATTTATTCGTACCTCTATTCATGCCCATAAATTTATTTACAAAACTGTACCTCTATTGATGAAATGATTGCGACAATTGGGTTTATTCTTGACTTATAAAGTTGATGTAAACTCAGAACTTTATTGATCAATCAAAGAGTCAAAGATTGATCTAGAAAGTTTTTGAAAGATATCAACTTTATCCTTCAAGAATAAACCATAATTGTCACAATCTTCTCCTGAATAGAGGTAGGAAAAAAATATTCCAACTTTCTGGGAAACAAATTATTGAAAGATATTTCGCATCCTTTAGTACTTTTATACAGGCCCATGCATATGACAGCCTATCTTCCTCAACTGCACAGTTTGCAGAATTAGACCTTCGGATAGGGTCTCCTAATTTTGTACAGCTACAATGCGAGAGATCATGGCGACCGAGCGATAAAACCGGTTTTGGTATATGACTCCCAGCCTATGTCGCTATCAAAATATATTGTCACGAGCTTGGTCCCATATAATACGCCTCTTTATATCCGTCACAGGTTGGGAGAGGGGTGTGGGAAATGGATCCGCCTCCTTGGGTATAACGGCCAGAATCCGGGGCCAGAATAACCGGAGAGTTTAATCTTGGCATTTTAGAACACTTTTATACACTAGCGATTATAGCCAAATATTATGACTAGAGATTTGCATTCGAATTAGGCTTTAGGGTACAAGACGCAAATGTTAATTATCTATAATTTAAGGGATAAATAGGGAAGGTAACGACTAGTGTAAACATTTTGCAAATTTATATCATGACATAATGCCTTAATCATTTTTTTAAACAGACAAACAACACAAACTGACCCAGGCGCGGATCCACGGGCCGAATCTACCGGCTCGCCCCCCCCCCCCCCCCCCTAGCCTCCCAATTAAACCGGTAAAAAAATAGGATAGTAAAGTAACTAACTTTAAAAAAAACAACACAAAAACACACAAAAACACAGCCCCCCTGACCCCTCCCCCCCCCCCTCAAAAAAAAAAATAAAAATAAAAATCCCCCCTACATCGAAAAAAAAAGAAGTCATTTTGCCGTTCACCGCTAAATATAAGCGCAATATTTGGGTTCTGACGTTCAGACACACTTTCTCATATATTTATGTTAAAATATTCTGCTTCTGCTGATTCAGACCTATAGGCCTATATGAGGGAGCGTAGCAACCTAGTGAGAATGTAAATTTGTTGATAACGGTGAAACTTTTAAATCTTTTTTGAGAGCACTAGGCCTATTTGTTTAGCCTTTTGATAGATGGAAGCAACTGCCCCGCTTTGCTTCCACTGCCGATGGCTATGGGAGACAGGATTTCTGCACTCGATAGTGATATGAGATTATTATTATTTTTTAAATGCGTTCTGAGAGCGCCAGTAAGCTTATCATGGTCGTAACACCAAATGGCGACAAAATATTTCGAGGGGATCCACATGAGGCAAAAATAAAAAAAATCGATTTCCTCTACTTAGGCGAGGGCTCAGCAGAGGGACTCGACACAATTAAGGGCATTGACACCCAGTCTTCTGATTCGAGATACATTTAAATAACGAGTACTATTTAAGCCTATGATTTCCACAAGATTTACCACCTTCGATCATACCTACTGTTATCGCATAATTTAAATTAAATCAGAATACTGGGTATCATTTCAATCTTTGGATGAAATATTCAAAACCTCTTTTGGGCCTATATATGGCAACTTAATATACGGGAGAAAGAAATAAGAGATATCATGTTCGAGGGGGAGGACGGGGGCTGGAATTAACACCGGTCAAGCCTGTCATGAATAATTTTCATTACAGGTATTTCAAAATTGCAACCAAATGAATACGATTTTCATTAATACCATATTAATCAATTACTCTTTTTTGAAATGTCAATTTTTTTTACATTCATTATAATATCCATGTAGGCCCTAGGTATATATATTTTGGCAAAGTCCCGGTGCACATTTTGATTGTAGCGCCATCTCGTGTTAAGAGCGCAAAAACCAGCGTAAATCACTTCCCTAGCGACGCATAGAAACAACATTGAAAGTATCCAAAAAAGTATTTAACAAGTTCACTAAAAATGGCCGAATCGGAATCAGAATCGCAAGGACACTCAGGGAGCAAACGTCTATTCATCAATCATGTAGACACGTATGCAGGCAAGGCAATTTCGAAGGTAAAACATCCCATTTGTTTGATTTACTTGGCCCCTTTCTCGATTGATTGATTGACGTGTGTAGTAAAAACTGTCCCGTGTGCTCATTTCGCTGTAATGTTTGTGGGAAATATTTTCTTTCACAATTTTTGCCATGGCCATGCATAGACATAGTCTAGTCTAATGTTGACTGCTGACTGCAAACTACCAAGTGCATGGAAGGTCAGTCATGTGGTACCTGTCCACAAAAAAGCCAGTAAGATGGATGTTAAGAACTACAGACCAATCAGCTTGACATCAGTACCATGCAAAATTCTGGAGTCACTAATTCGAGATGAGATAGTTGCCCACCTGATGGAAAATGACCTACTGTGTGATGAACAGCATGGCTTTGTTCCAGGACGCTCTTGTGTGACACAGCTTCTGACTGTCATGGAGGCATGGACTGAGATGCTGGATAAAGGAACCCCTATTGATGTGGTATACTTAGACTTCAAGAAAGCTTTCGATAGTGTACCTCACCTTCGCCTTCTATCAAAACTTGAGACATACGGTATATGTGGCCAAATTAAGGAATGGATAGCAGACTTCCTCCAAGGTAGATGCCAGAGAGTTAGAGTCAATGATAAATTATCTGACTGGACAAAAGTAAGGAGCGGAGTGCCGCAGGGTAGTGTTCTCGGCCCAACAATGTTTGTCTTGTGCATCAATGACCTACCAGATGGACTTCAAGGGTCTGTCAAGATCTATGCTGACGACACTAAACTGTATGGCAAAGCATCCACCAAAGATGATCTGTGCTCAATCCAATCTGACCTTGATGCACTAATGGAATGGAGCAATACATGGCAAATGCACTTCAACACACAAAAGTGCAAAGTACTACACATAGGCCCAGGAAACGTCAAACACATCTATGCCCTTGGAGATGATGTCCTTGAAGCTACATCAGAGGAGAAAGACCTCGGCATCCTCATTGATGACGAGCTAAAGTTCCATAACCATGTGGCATATGCTGTCAAGAAAGCCAACGGAGTACTCTCCTGCATCCGTCGCAGCTTTGAGTGCAGAGACAGGTCCACAATTCCAAAGCTGTACAAAGGCCTTGTCAGACCTCTCATAGATTACAGAGATTCCATATGGTACCCTCGCTTCAAGACAGACTCCAAAACCATAGAGAGGGTGCAGAAGAGAGCTACCAAAATGATTTATGACATCCGCAACCGTCCTTACATAGAGAGACTTCGGGCGCTCAACCTTCCCTCCCTCGAATATCGCAGACGGCGAGGCGACATGATTCAGGTTTTCAAAATCATCCATGGACTTGAACGCATCCCAGTTGATACCTTCTTTGAACACTCGACTAGCAACACAAGAGGCCACAGTCTAAAGATCGTAAAACAAAGATGCTCAACGAAGATTAGACAGGATGCATTCAGCCAACGTGTCGTCAATGACTGGAACACACTTCCTGAAGAGGTGGTCACTGCTACCACGGTGAATGCCTTTAAAGCCAGACTGGATCGAGTATGGAAGGACAAGCGTTTCTGCTCCCCATATGAGTAGAATACCCGACGCAGAACTGAGCCAGACACTTACCAAGAAGACACCCAACTACGAGAAGGAAGAAAAGGAAATTGAACTGGAAGCCCGACTGCTGAGAACACAGCATTCTTCCAGAATCTCGGGTAAAGGTAAAGGTAATGAGACGATTTCGATTTTTGCTGGACTAGTATACTATGGCTATCTAGGGTTCCTAGGCCGGGTAGACTATTAAAATGGGCTCATTCAATCATTGAAAATGAAATGATTCATTTCATGATTGATATGAATTATGATTATGAATTGAAGGGGTGAAAGTTCGCTGATATTTTTCTTTTCTTGCACATTACAAAACATCCAGATCAACATAGACTAATGATCATGTTCCATACATCATAAGAATCGTAATTCATCATCTAGACCTAGAGTCTAATCAGATTCTATAACATTCTAAGGCTGTAGAGTAAAGGAGCCGGTAATCGGCTAGACCGAAAGCTTCAGTCTCTATAATCGTCAGTTGTTCCACTGAGACTACGTCTGGCTCCACTAGACCTCCGGTTATAGAGACAGAACGATCGCCTATGCCAGCCTATGTTGAACTTATTCCGCTAGATTTTAGCCGCTAGGCCCCTCCCACAAACTTGCCACGGCCGTATTGTTATGCCCCCAAAATCCCCCAAAATGTCATTTTACCTCGTTCATTTCCAATTTTAAATTAGGCCTAGGCTATAATACATCGGTTCCACTTACTAACTTCATTGATATAATCCGTTTAATGGTCCCTTTTAAGGAAATTATCGGTCAAAATCGACATCCATGTTGAAAATCTTGCAAGCCGTGTTAAACTCTCGCTGCCGTCAATCTCATCCTTTCTAGTCTACGCCGAAGGCAAAATGATTATGAAGGAAAAACTGTGATAACGCCATTACGAACGTGTAGATGGCGCACATTTTTTCCTTCATAATCATTTTGCCTTCGGCGTAGACTAGAAGGGATGAGATTGACGGCAGCGAGAGTTAAACACGGCTTGCAAGATTTTCAACATGGATGTCGATTTTGACCGATAATTTCCTTAAAAGGGACCATTAAACGGATTATATCAATGAAGTTAGTAAGTGGAACCGATGTATTATAGCCTAGGCCTAATTTAAAATTGGAAATGAACGAGGTAAAATGACATTTTGGGGGATTTTGGGGGCATAACAATACGGCCGTGGCAAGTTTGTGGGAGGGGCCTAGCGGCTAAAATCTAGCGGAATAAGTTCAACACAGGCTGGCATAGGCAGTCGTTCAGTCTCTATAACCGGAGGTCTAGTGGAGCCAGACGTAGTCTCAGTGGAACAACCAACGATTATAGAGACTGAAGCTTTCGGTCTAGTAATCGGCCAGCTCCAGTTTTCGGCCGATTGGTTGGATGCAAGGTAAAATCACTCTAAAATACATCGCATAATAGCATAACACATATCCCACACATACCATACCATACCAGTGTCACTGAAGAACCACATTTGCAATGGAAAATATATCCTAAAATATCACATTTTAGCGATGTAATCGCCGGTCCCGCTACCCAAATCTGAAAAATCGAGTATCTTACGCGTGTCTGTAAGAAATATGGGTACCATAAAATGAGCTTTATTTCAAGTATTTTTCAGATTTAGAGCCCGATTTTGTGCTAGTCGCAAGCTCAAAAGTATCTCATCGCATGTATTAAATCAATGCAGCCGCACACCGCGACGCACACACGATATCTCTGTCTAATTCAGATTCCAACTTCCGATCACCGCTGTGCCTGTCTTCGGCCAGGCGAGCACCAGGGAGCTCCGGCGTGGGATACCTGCTCCGCCCGCTTGTGCTGTACATCAGCGCGGAAACGCACGGCGCGCGCGAGCGCTTCCTATTGACTTTGTACATGCGGCCGTAAACTGAAACGCTCGGCCGATAACTGGCTCCAAAACAGTGAAAATTGAAATGAATATTGTCATGGCAATTCGTGATTTTTTTCTGGGATTCTTTTTTTGTTTAAATAATAATAATATTTGCTTCATGATTTGAACAAGAAATGATAATAAATAGGAAGTAAAGAGTCCTAAAAATAGGATTTTGTCTTAAGTGGCCGAAAACGGGCTCCTTTACTCTAAATCAAAACGAATGATAACACAAACAAGACAATCGGAAGGCTTACCACTAATGGCACTAGTCTATACCCACGTCTGTAAGAAAGTGTGACCTAAGTTTGCGCATGATTATTACTGCCCTCGTGTGGTTGGTTCTTATATAAACATTCCAAAAAGATACTTTCACGTTATGAGCAATAAATCCTCAGGAAGATGGACAGCCCATACAAGTAGACGGTGAACTAGGGATATTTATTATGCGGAATCTGATTTTCGCATCGCCAGTGCGCTGATCGGGAACCCGAAACCCACATAGCACCGAAGAAAAAAGCGTCCACAAAAAGGCGGACGATCCTTTACTTTTTAGGACGCATTTCGTCCACGTACATGTACACGTATATGAGAATATCCTGGTTTATGCGGACTGTCCTCATTCTCGGACCAACGCCCCTACTGATAAAGGAAAATTAAATCTAGGTTAAATTACATAGAAAGCATACACAATAAGAATGGATTTGATCTTCTTTTTTTAAAATTCTTTTAAATTCACTCTCATTTCTTATACATTAGTTTTATTCATTAGTGCCTCCGCTCATGGAGGATATTTTAATTTGCATCATTTTGTGGTATGGGTTATTAATAGTTTTATACAGGAAACATTCCCTCATTGTTTGAATAGTATTGTGTTATTTTAAGACATAATGTAAACATTTATGAAGAGAATATGAAACTTTAAAAATAAAGGAACAGTTTAAAGGTAAAGACCAGTTTTGAAAACGCCCCCCTCTCAAAAAAATGAAATAGAAGCTCTTATTACCAATCATGTGAAATAATGTTTTGACTAATACGTGATGATACACATTTAGCCAATAAACCGCCTGCTAATTGATATATTTGGTAAACTATTATATCTATTTGGACCAAATAGATATCGCGCACGTGTCGCGCATGTGTCGCGTAGTCCCATACATCTTTCTGTGTACAGTGCTTGTAACTTTACCAAGACTGGGCCAAATTTCTTATCATTATGATGATTTCAGAACCTTGCAGTACACACCAATACTTACCTATATGTGAGATGATCAACCTTTTCTGATCGATTCCACAACGTTTCTTTCACAATGCAATCGCATGACCATAACTGGTGTTTATCTTTAAACAGTTACATGCAAGGCTTGAATGCTGCATATATTGAACTAGCACTCTTTCTTTTTTACCTCATTTTCCTAGCTCTCTCTCTCTCTCTTTTCTTTAATTTTTTTTGCCATCTGGAAATTTAAGTGAGTTAAGTGCAGTATATCAAAACTTTTTGAAGAACAAAATTATGGAAAAAAAAACAGTGCCAAAGCAAAAATAAGTATACCCCAGATATCATTTGTTTTACTCTTAATTGATAGTGAGACTCTAACTTTATATACGTTTTTTATTACATATTTTATTTATTAATTTAATCATTCAGTTATTAATCTATTCACTCATTTATTCATTCATTTACTCATTCATTCATTTATTTATTGTATAATTACAGTTCCTTTCACAATGCATGGTTGGAGCATCCTTAGAGGAGAGAGATGAAGAGGAGGATGCAGCCTCAGTCACGAGTGACCACATGCCTCCCAAGGAAGGTGTTTGGAAGGTCAGCGGTACTCTCAAAAACCCTGAACACGAGAAGCCAGAATGGGTCCATGAGATTCTTCAGGTAAGATTAGTTTCTTTCGCCTTGATGATTCACTCACAAATTATTCATTCTTCTTTGCAGACTCTTTTTCACTTTTTCCACAAAAGAAATGATTCAAAAGCGAAATTACATGACCCCCCACAAATAATAATAATAATAGTAATAACAATAACGTAAACAAAAAACAGGGACTACTTGGAGCGCTACTGGAGGCTATTTACTATTTATTATTTATTATTTTGAGTGCTGCTCTTGAACTAGTGGAACACTGTCTCAAAGTCAGATGGTAGCACCATTTTATATATTAAGAGCTTTGATTTTCTGGGATATACCGGTAATTAGTATTTCAATATTTTTGTTTGAAGGTGGATGAGAAGATTCAGATGTTGGAGCATCTGGCTGAGTGTGATGTGGTAGTCTATGATATCACAGAGGATCCAGATCAGATTGATGAGGCATCATGGGCAGTCTCAGGTATGTAACTAATAACTATGCAGGGCTCTAGTACTTGTTACTAACTAATGCAAGATTTTAGATGATAATAACACACAGGCAACTGCTAATTTTTTAGTCTTGCAGTTGAAATATTGGGAGAAAAAGAAAAAGAAATCTAATTTGGCCTTCAATTAGTTTACTGCAGTAAAATTATTAAATAGTAATTGTAATGTGGTTTTTGATTAATATATATATATATATATGTCAGAGTTGAGAATTCTCGCACTTTTATATATATTATATATATATATATATATATATATATATTATATATTTGTTTCTTTCTGGGGGGGGGGGGGGGTCTAGAGACATTCTGAGAAAGAGTAACACAACTAGAAAGAAATAGATAGATTTGAAAAATGGATTGACCTTAACCTAGAAAACCTAAAGAAAGCCAAATACAAATATGTCAGGCAAATAGTACAGGCTACAGTTTCGGTTACTTCAATACAAATTTTTAAAAAATTATTTATCATACTGAAAAATAGAAAGATTGCTGTATGCTTGATGTGCACTAAAGAACAATGGTAGTTATGCTTGATATTTCTCTAAATGTAAGAAGTGTTGGAGAATTCTCGTATAGCCCCTGGCCATGTTTTATAATGCCCTGGCTCACCTCCATGGATGATGTAGAGGGCAGTACTATCTTGTTCCTGTTCAACATCCAGGGCCCCGTCTTTCAAAGAGTCAATATCAATCGCAACTATGTACATGAGAGATAGGAGATTGCAAACTTGCAATTGATTGGAGGACTTGCGATTGATTTATATCGTTCGGACATGTAACTCTTTGTAAGACTGGGCCCAGATCTACAGTGAATGACAACAAATGATATATTTCTTGTCTCTATGTAGCTGTACATGCTGAGCTGGATCGCTTTGAAACACCCAAGATGTTCATCTTGATCTCTACTGTGATGACATGGGCCAAGAGCAAACCAGTCGACCCGGTAAATCTAAATATATTATTTTGTTTTTTAAAATAATTTTAACATTATCTAAGCAAATCTAAACTTTTGTTTTTACACAGGCTGCTGGCATTACACATACTACTGATAACTGAATAAACAAAATATTTAAAAAATCACTTTTCTTGAATTTAGCAGATAATCAAAATATATTTTGATATGAATGCAAAAAGATTGATATCTTCTTTTATGATAGCATGATTACATTTTTTTGTTAACCCCTTGTGAGCTCTAATAGCATTCATGAAAGCTTTTCTTGGTACGTGATCACTATTACCTGTATCGGCACCAATTATTTCTTATTCTCTCCCCCCTCAAGAAATAAAAATCTTGGTATGGTCATATGTCATCCTAGACAATGAAAAATCATAAAGGTACAAAGAAGATCGAAGGGAAGACTTAATTATATCTTTGTGATGAATTTCAATCAGTATAATATTATCTAAATAACTTATTTCTTTTGACAAATTTCAGGATGACCCTGAAATCCCATTCACAGAGGAAGATTACAGAAGACGTAAGCCACATTCCAACTTCAAAGGACATATCAGCGCTGAGAAGCTTGTTATCAAACTTGGAAAAACAGTGAGTATACATAGTTAAAAAATACATATTGTTTATCAGACTATATTCTATTTGCAACCAAGAAATATACAATAGTGATCAGTTGAAAGAAATTTAGGTGTGTTCACTTTATATTTCTTGTCATCTCTAGTGGATAAAAAGATTTAAAGATTCTTTGGGAATGTCTCTGTCATTTATGTAGGAATATGCACATATAGGATAATGGTATCATATTTTCAAAAGATAGGTATCAATGCAGTTCAAATGGAATATCTATAGATATGCAGACAATATCATTAATTTTATTTGTGAAGATATTGTCACTGTGATGTGTTGAGTACTTTTATTCCTTTCCATGTTTTTAAATAAGGTTATGGATAGTTTTGTTTGTTCATTTATATTTAGTAGTACACTGTAGATCAGTTGCTACTATGCAGATATATTGTATGATGCACTTTTTCTTAGATATATGTGTATTCATCTGCTACCTAACCTGTACATTATGTTGTAAGAAGTTTTTCTTTTGAATAAAAACACTTTAACAAAATATTTAAAACATAAATATATTTTATTATTTTGGTGGTTCTTTGGGATTCTAGCATATACGTTTGAAGCCAGTTCTCTGTATGTACTCTCTTGATACTCTAAGTAGTGAAGGTATACTTGAAATTGATTAGAAAAGTTAAAACTCTTAGTTATTCTGAAAATACTAGTACAAATCGTAATAAGAATGTGTACTTGCATGGAGCAGATTCCTCTAATTTCAGAGCTTTCCAAATAAATATTTTTTTATATTTAATATTCTTTTACATATCATGTGTAGAATATATGCCTAAAATGCCTTTTATACTAACAACAATAACTAAAAATGGACTGTATGTTAAAGTTAAGAGTTAAAAATGGTCATAGACAAATGATGTAATTACTTACATATAGCTGAGAGCTGTATCCAGTATATTAGCTGGCTCCATTGTATATGTGACAGGATGAGGTATTATCTCTGTTAACACTAGCTTTCCCACACTACTGTAGTTCACTCACACCGGCACATTGAGAGCTAGACCTTTCCTGTGATTATTAGTTGAGACAATGCACCCTAGCTTCTTAACACTAGAGATATGAGGAATCCCTGTCTTGGTGAGACACGTGCTAACTAACAAAGTTATGAGTAATACAGTAGCACTCAGGGTCATTGGCGTGCTCACTTTAGCTCCTACTCATTTTAAAGGGTCATATTAGAGTTTAATTAAGTACAGGATATGGTGTTACTAATGTACTATATGCCTGTATGTCATAGATATAAGTACCTTTCAGGAGTACTGGTAAACAGTTTGATGCCTTTAAATGTTAGGCTTTGTGCATCAAGTTTCCGAGAAAGTTCTTTTGTCAAAGCTTGTAATGTAGACTTCTGAAAAAGAAAAGCAGAAACTGGCAAATATTCAAGGCTTGATTTTTTTTTTAAAGTTACAAATTACGTAAATTTAGCAAGAATCATTTTTATTCCTGAATAGTCGGTACTCAAACTTAAAGTGAACTACATATAGTAAATAAATGTTTATCATAGTATCCTTGCACCATATGTTTTGAGAAGTGCATTTATTAGCAAACAGCTTATCAGTTGTTTGAAAATAAGAGAAAACTTGTTTTTCTTATATATGCTATGAACACTTGGTGCTAATAAGTATATAGATAGCCAGAAAAGAGAAGGGGGGTATTTTGTAGAATATCCCAGAGCCGTTTCTACAAGGTTCAGTTGGAAATGCCAAATATTGTTGTATATATATATATATATATATATATATGTCTGTATATATATGTCACAGTATATGTTGCTTCCTTCTGCAAGTATAATGAAACATTTATTTGTGCGGCTTAATTGTTAATTTATTTTGATCTGCAACCACGATGTTAAGTCAAGGCCAGTAGTTTAACTAATTACAAGAATTATCAGGCCTTCTGTCTTTTCAAATCTTGTCTTCTTTAAACAAACTTGGCATTGTTCCTTTTATTCTTCCTCTCCTTCTATTTATTCTTCTATTCAAGAAGAATGTTTGTCCATGTTGATGAATCACCATTGTCAACTGATTCAGCCTTTAGTTTGCATTACAGTTATCAGTATTGACCTCTATAGTTCAAGAACAATGTTTGGCAAGTGCACCGAAACAACATTGTTTTCCAAACATTCTCTACATGTAAATGGAGTGAATTAGGCATAACTATAATCACTTGCTTTCTTGATTCTCAAGTGTTGATGTTTGCTACTGACTACTGAATGTCCAGCAAATAGTCCCCTTGCCACTAAACTTGATGGGAACAACTGAATGTGCACATATTGCACAAGGGAAATAAATATGCCATACAATTAAGTCATTAAAGAGAATGGGACAGTAGATACAAGGATGTAATTATAACGAAGCAATAGATTGTGTACATGCAACCAGGCATTTTATTACCTTGTTACATAACCACAATATGGTTTAGACTTTATAGACAGGTGTAATTTCAGGGTACCCTGTAAATTGATGTCCATACTTCATATGTGATTCATATATCAGATGTTCTGGGAAAGGAGTATGTACTTGCAGTCGATCCTTACATATTAACACCATTTTATGATTCTGTTTATTATGATTTGATGATTGAGATCCAATATATTACTTTGGATCGCAGTTGATATTGAAGGTACGAATTGCTCTAGAATTTAAATAGAAATCTGGTTAAAGATTGAGTTATTTAATTGCCACAAAGCAGCTTTGTTTATGTCTATTTTATGCTATATTTCTTTATTAATTTTCAAAAAATTTCCTTCTATTTCTCCCCAGAACAAAGCCAAGTTTGTGACGTATGTTGTGGCTTCAGGACTGACCTATGGAGCTGGAGAAAACATCTTCCACTACCTGTTCAAGGTAAGTTTCAAATATCTTATTGATTTTTTAATTGATTGGTTAGTTGATTGTTTGACTTTTTTGTAGGACGACTGACAGATAGATCGATAGATAGATAGATAGATAGATAGATAGATAGATAGTTGGATAGATAGATAGGTTTGTTGGTTGGTTGGTTGGTTGGTTGGTTAATTGATTGGTTAGTTGGTTGGTTGATTGATTGGTAAATTGACAGATTTATTGATTTCTTGGTTGATTTGTTGATTTCATACATGTCGAGACACTTGATTCAAATATGGCTGTACAAGCTTGCATCATCTTTCAGTATATACCAATGGATTCTAGGGGACGAATTAGCAATGTTTGAGGATTGGCTTTTTAATAGTATATAATAAAAGTTGGTTGAAAGTCTTTCCTCATTGCATAATGTTAAGAAATCAACATAACAAAACAAAAGTTTCAGGAAAATCTATTGACAGGCAGCAAATATGAATTGTAATGCATATATATATGCCTTTTAAACTTTACTTTGCATATATATGTTAGTATACAAGGAAATCTGTGTTAGATTGTTTCGCAACTTTGTTCATTGTCTAATAGTGATATTAACCAAAAATTGTAAGATTATGAAAATCAGGGAACCTTTTATTGTATGAAAACAGCCCTTGTTTTTATATCACAAAGTCGTAGTTCAAACCCCCTATCTCTCTCTCTCTCTATCTCTCTGTTTCTCTTTTTCTCTTTCTGTCCCTCTGAATGCCTGTCTGTCTGTCTCTCCGACTCTTCTCTGTCTCTCTCTTCCTCTCACTCTCACACTCCCCTTCTTGCCCTCTCCGTCCACCCCCACCCCACCTCTCTTCCGTATCTGTTCATTCTCTTACCTCTATCTCGATCAGTCTCTCGGACTCTCTCCCTTTATCTCCACCGAACTCAGCCAGAACTAGCATTTCCTCTTAGTAGGTATTCAACCATTAACTTTAAATCATCATGACAGTGTTTTCTTATTGTTTTTTCTTCTTTTCCCCAGACTGCCTGGCATGGTGAAGCAGAAGCGCTCCAGTGCTTCGGCAATGGAATGAACATCCTTCCCTCCATTCACATCAAGGATCTTGCAGGGTAAGACCAAAACCCTTTTTTTTTTTTGTTAAGAAGAGGAAAGCTCTAAAGGAGATGTAATTCCCTCTCCCTTTTTTACTCTCTATTATGTGAGGCTCATGTATTCTTATGTATTTCTAACACACTGAACTTTGGTTAAATGTAAAGTCATAGGAACTGATGAAACCACCAAATAAATGTTGATGTTTTGTGGATCCTAAATATAAATGTATACCATAATGATGAACATGTGAATACTTTAACTAATGGCTATAAACTTGTAGTAACGCTTTAATTTTTTTTCTGCAGGGTGATCCAGAATATTGCTGACAGTCGGCCCAAGACAAGATACTTGGTAGCAGTAGATGATTCTCAGAGTCCGCTCGATGAAATAGTCAAGGTAAGAAAGACGAATGTCCTAGTTGAGTGCTGAAATGATGCTGATGCAAATTCTAAAAGTGGCTGATGTGAAATGGACATTATGCATGTAGCTTGTGTATTCTCTAAAATATTTGTATGATATTGATTGCATCGAAGAATTGGGAAGTATAAGAAATGTTTATATTACTTCTATATGAACAGCAGTGTGTTAGAATATGGTCTGACCTTGTTAGCCATTGGTTAATAGAGTTGCGACTTGTAGTTGAGGCATATAACCTCAACTCATATACATATTTACACTATTTCATTTAATGTCTTGGAGCCACCTCTCTGCGCTCTGTTTCATTATAAAGCACATAATATCAGTACAATGTTTTGATGTCAATTATCATGTCTTTTTGTTTTTATCTTCCACTTCATACATTGTAGTGTGTGAGTCAGAACCTTGGCAATGGAAAGATCAAGTACATCACCAAGGAGGATGCTCTGCTCAGCAAAAGCCTTTCAGTAAGTATATGTTTGTTCTGTCATGTAAATAAAGTGATATTTTTGAGTTTCAATACAATAAGTAACTTTATAATGAACAGAACTTTCTTAAAATTAACAAACATTTAACAAAACAGGAAGAAAAAGGGAAGAAAATATTTAAAAGTAAGGTTAAGGAAAAAGACAAGGCATGAATGAAGACCTTTTCCAGCTGTGAACCTGTCCCAGGTTGTAAGTGTTTTTCTTATGAGAGACAATAATGTAAATCTAGTTTATATAGCAGCTATTAAATAAGTTGCATTCATGATGAGGATATCAAGTACACAATATTTCTTAAACTGTCTCTTTACTGTTGGCACCACTGCTGGTAATCATTTTTGTTTATTTTTTCGTGCAGCAAACTGAGTTTGACATGTTACTGGTGGACCTGCGGATGGATGGAGTGTATATCCGTGAGAACATGAACATCCGTTGGGGAGCCGAGAGGGGTCTGATAGAGAGCATTCCAGACATCATCAAGGAATACAAGACGACCAGGAAACTCTTGGTAGGTTCATAGTTTAAGAAGTGATAGAGATAGAGAGAGAGAGAGGGGGAGGAAAGGAGGGAGAGAGAGGGGATGATCAAGAAAGAGGGAGAGAGAGGGGGAGGGAAGGAGGGAGAGAGAGAGAGGGGGAGGGAAGGAGGGAGAGAGAGAGAGAGAGAGAGAGAGAGAGAGAGGGGGGGGGGGGGGGGGAGGGAGAGAGAGAGACACTGTGAGAGGAAAAGGGTTGTGATAGCTTTACAATGTTATAGGATTTCAATCATTTCTTTGCCAGCGAATAAAACAATTATGATAAATGAATTTTATATAAAAAATCAACTCCTTAGTTTCTCTTTTTTCATTTTGATAAATAGATAGGTATTCATTGTTTTCCATGGTTTAAAACCGATATCTTGTTAGGGAAGAAAAGTAAATAATTTTTGTCTAAAGGTACTATTTGTCTGTTCAATTATTTCACAATCATAAAAAAAGTGTTAGGTCCAATCCTGAAGCTGTAGGAAATAGAACTGACACATTGGCATTATCTACCACCTCTTTGACTCATTCTTGAAAAGCACTGTTGATTTTGTTTTACAGTTCATGATTATGTTTGATGTGTTTTTATCACTTTACTGATGTATATATAATATGTATGAAAGGAAGTCATTATTTGTTATTTTCTTTAATAATTTGTAAATATGAACAATAATAGCAGTACTTACTGGATAACTTGATTAGCAAAGCATTAATCTGCCACAATAGTGCAACACCAAACACTTTATGCAATCAGTCAAATGTACTGTTCAAACAGCAGACTCTCACTGAGAGCTCTAGTGGGCAATCCAGTGGTTCACTGCAATTTATATTGGTCTTTTTGTTTGTCTGTCTGTCTTTCTCCCTGTAGCCCATGAGAGCATGCGTCCTTGGGCCACCAGCCAGCGGTAAGACCTCTATGGTGGCAGCTCTCTGTAAACACTACAAGCTACATCATATCAAGATCAAGGATGTCATAGATGAGGCCATTGAAGCATTGGTAAGTAATGTTGTACTTGAAGTATCATTTATGCATGGTTTATGAAGCATCCAATTTTTTGTTCCATATATATTAGCGGGTCCACATCATTATATTATATTAAAGATATGAGCTCCAAATATTACTTATAAAGAAAGATATTGCAAGTTTGAATACACTCTCATTAGACAAATAAGGGATTTGTGAGTAGACTAGTAGATGCATCAGTACGTGTTTGCATAGAAAAGGACCTGCACGTAGTGTTTTATGTTAATTGTTATTAATTTTTTTCATTCATCCTTAATCGTTAACCTGTAGAATGCTAGGTAAAGTTGTTTGGGTTGATTTTATTCATTCTAGCCAAACACAAATTACATTTTAGGCAATTGGTACACTTTAATTATGAACAAAGAATCTTGTCTATTTTATTAATTGACAATCAATGTTCTATGGGTTGAACCAGTTTTAATGATGATGATTACACTTTGACCTTTGACCCCCACAGGAGAAGAGCGCTGCCCGTGCTGATGGTGATGAGAATGAAGATGATGATGGCAAGGCTCAGGAGGATCAAGAACTTCTTGATGCTATCATGGAGAGCAAGCAGTCTAATAATGGTTAGTATGATAAGGATCTCTCTCAAAACCAACAATAAATAAAATGCAATATACAAGCATTTGGCCTCCAGTTTCATGATGAAATAGTATTCAAACATGGACAATTTGGTGAAAATATCAGTGAAGAGTTGCTTTGCCGAAAAGGCATTACTAAAGCCATTTGCCGTTCAATTTTCAGATCATATTGCTAGAAGTTATCTGTGATATGTACCACATTTTTAGTTAGCAACTGAATGTACTAAAGTTACAACTTTACAAACGATTCTCCAAATTGTTTTATGTTTTGAATTGATCGCATATCGCATATTTTTAGGTGTGCTAGCTTTTAGTGTGTCATGCAAACGACTGTCTTTATCATTAATTTGTCAAATATGTACTCCTATTGAAATGTTGTCCTTTTATTTCCTGTAGATCGTATTGAAGAGCAGTACCTGATCCGGTTCTACCGTGATAAGCTTCACTCCATGCCATGTCAGAACCAAGGCTTCATCCTGGATGGTTTCCCTAAGACCATTGATCAGGCTAAAGAACTCTTTGCAGGTACATCAAGAATCTAGTTAATCAATTACCACTGATCAATTATCTTATAGCTGTACTTCAAGTACCACAGTTATTTCTTTTATCATTGGAGGAACCTTTTCGACAGCGGTAAAACAAATTGAATATATGGATTTTAAAAATAACCTACCCCGGTAATTGTTTTGATTTTCTTCTCCAAAATGGTAATGGCTTCACCAATGTAAAATCTTCTATTAAAGGAGAAAATACATATACTTGTACTTTTGTTTAAAGATTCAGTTGCAAGTTGAAAGGTTTTAATGTTTAATTCCCCTTGTTAAAAAATATACTTGGTATTAAACAGCATTCCATCACAAAAGAAATGGGCACTACTTTTGCAAATATTATGGTCTTTCTGCTCACCTGGTATTTATTTTAGGAATCTGAGTTAAAAGTTATTTAGTTATACCACAAAATGTGAGCTTTTAGCATGAATGAGTGAAACTGATATTTATTGTCAGTTTTTTAGCAAGTAGTCACTTTTGAGTACTGGATGTTTATTAGAGCTGGATATGAATGTTTCATCTCTTTCTTTATTTTAGTGGATGAAGAGGAAGAGCAGGAGGAGAACGGTAAGATGCCTGTCTACGACCGCGCAACCATGCCTGAATTTGTCATCTCCCTGGACAGCACGGATGATTTCCTCAAGCAACGCATCATGAACCTCCCAGAGAGCGTCGTTGCCAAGACGCACAACACGGAGGATGGATTCAACAGACGTATCACAGAGTTCAGAGCCTTGAACGAGGAGGATGCCACCGTGCTCAATTACTTTGATGAACTTGAGATACACCCAGAGCATCTTGGTGAGTGCATGGCAGAGATGGATGATTGTAGTTAATGGTGGTATTGGGCTTGTTTTCCTTCTTGGTAGTTTTACATTATGCAGTAATAACGTTGCAGAGTATTGCTGTGTAAATAAAATCATGCTTCCCTAAAGGCATTATTCTGATCTATCAGTTTGAATGCATCAATAGCTATTTACTTTCATTCTCTTTAATATAAGACTCATTTGTCAAAATCAGATTAGAACTTGAGGCATTTTGTGAATGAGGTTATTTTCAAAGACCTCTTTATCAGCAGAGATTCATCAAATGATTTTAAATTTCTTTCACAAAAAATGATATGGGTTTACATGGAGCATTAGATAAATTTGAAGATTCTTGGGCAAGCTTGTGCAGAAACATGATACAGTATAGACTGCATTGTTAGCTTTCAAAAATAGTGAAAATGATGTGGATATACAGTATGAATACCAAAGTTCTTACTGTATCAATCTCTCAGTTTTGAAAAATGTGGCTTATAATCAGTACCTCAAACAAGCAATATGACACTACGTATCTTCACTTTTGCTATTAGAGAAATAACAACATTCTGAACTTGATCCCTTTCACCATGCAGATATCACCAAGGAAACGGATCCCGAGAACAAGAACCTGATGGACCAGCTGGTGAAGAACATGGGCAAGCCCAGGAACTACGGCCCCACCAAAGAGGAGGTAGAGGAGACGGAACGCCTGGAGACAGAGCAGAGACTCAAGAAAGAGCAGGAGGAGAGGGAGACCATCGAGAGGATGGAATCAGAGGAGGTGGCGCTCAAGGAGCAGAGGCAAGAGGAATGGGTGAGTTGATTGCTTGCGACGATGGGGGTAAAGGTAGATTTGAAAAGCATTAGCGAGAGGAATTACCGCCACAGGGGTCAGAAGCAAAGGGGATTTGTGAGTTGTGTGTCAAGATGGAGATGGATTTGAATGTAAGAAGGGATGGGATGGAGTAGATAACAACAAAAAGTTTTATGTCAAAAGTCAAGACAATTTTGGGCAGTTTTTATGAGAATATTGGTAATTTGGTTTCAGAATTTTACATTATTTATATGCTTGTATGATGAAAGAAATGACAAGGATTGGAGAAAGAGATGAGTATGTTAAAATGTGACCGATGTCATTGTCATTACCGTTCAGAGTAAATAAGTAATTCACATTTTCTGTAAGTTCAGAAAGAAAACCAAGGCTGTAACAAACACACAGAGGTAAATATGGAGATTACATAAAGAGTGTGTATAGGTATAGTTTGGAAGTTTGCAAAGATGGATGAATTGTACGTTAATACCTCAACAAAACTTTTTCTTTCTTCACCAGACATCTCGTTTGGAGGAGGTGAAGAGACAAGAGAAAGAGCTCCTTGAGAACCAGTCCATCCCGCTGAGGAACTACCTGATGAAACATGTCATGCCTACACTCACCCAGGGACTCATTGAATGCTGTAAGGTCAGACCAGATGATGCCATTGACTACTTGGTGAGTTTATTACCTAAAGGCTATAGAATTCTTAAATAGTTTGACAATTTTACCATTTAATGCTTGTGTAACATAGCTGTAATTATCTACTCACTTTGTTATGCATGTACATGACTTCTTTCCTAAGTATATTGGATTTCCCTTGAGTTTGAATACTTAAATATACTTCAAAGTACCAGTATTTATTTTTTTTAATTAAGAAAATAACAGATAAATATTCAGATATTATGGGCAAACTAAAGAAGCTTAGAAAGGTTTTAATGGCAGGTAAAAGTTTTTGTTGCTCCAATTATGGTACGATGAACACAGTTGCTCTGTGCATTTTTCCTCCTCCGATAATTTGACACTGCCCCTGGAGCTGTAATTTTCTCTTCTTCTATCAGATTTTCCTGGAATTTTCCTGGAACCTTGCCCCATTTGTAGACATTTTGCTTTTTCTAATTAAAGTAACAATCCATGCTTAAGCGCTATATAAAAATTAAATATTATTATTATTATTATGTAGCTCTCTTTTTTTGTTATCAAGGTCAAACATCTTAAATCCATCGAGAGCACAAGAATTAGTTGAGTGCTGTAATATTTTGAAATTGATCAATCTCCTACCATCCTCTCTTTTCTCACCTATGCTACAGGCGGAATACATCTTCAGAAACAACCCACAAGTTGATTGATTGATCATTCATAAGAGAAGCATATCTACTCTAAGAAAATCCAGCTAGTGAATGCCGTCCATCAAGTGTCATTTCTTCACAATATTCTCTTTCTATTCTCTTTCTGTAACTTTTTATGTTATGCACACAACATCTGAAGATTTTGAAACTGATATCTTTACTAGTTTTAAATTCAGATACACGTTTCATCGTTCACAAATGAAAAGCCAGTTTGTAAACTGCAGAATGTCTAGTTCACAGTACATTAAGATTTCAAAAGGAGGGATCACTCGACCTCCATCATGAAAATACACCTTGAATAAAAATGAGCATTTACTCGCATATTGCCTTACAAACTTCTTGAAAATGAAGGTGTAAACCCAAGGTTTTGGAGTTCAGAGAAAGATTTACTGTCATATTGCTATTTATTTCACAAGTTGAGATATCACAGATGAATATCATTCTGCTCAGATATTGTACTTTGAAGTTTTGGTATATATTATAGTGTGTACTGATTCTATAGATATATTAATCGGTGTATTCACCGAGCAGCTATACTTAATATTCAAAATTAATGCAATTTTTTTTTATATGAACTGTATATCCGTCCAAGGAAAGTGAAGAAGAAAGCCTTGTTTATTTAAAGTGATCATTCCATTTTTATGAATATCTGTATTTTGGACCTGCTTGATATGAAGTTAGATTAAAATATTTCTATATTTCTTTTTAGTCCTTTTTTCTTGATTGTATTGAATTTATCACACATATAAGAAAGATTTGAAGGAGAACCATAAAAATACCATATTCTATTTTATTATAACTTGGACGACATAGAGATTTTCATTCCCAAACAAACTTGTAAATATAATTTATCATATCAATGTGTATTTAGATATATTTGTTGGAGTGTTTCCGAAAATGATTTATATATAAATACAAAATATTGTACAGATTATTGAATGTTATGCCTTAGGTATGAGCCTATTGTCTATCTTCTGAGATTACATTTTGTATTGATGTAACCCAATAAAGAAATGTTTTCCAACACTACAGGTGCTTGTCATAATGTAGTTTTGTTTTTTGGTTGATAAATCTCCAGAATGAAAAGTCAAGTGTAGGTATACCTCATTTCAAAATGGATGCCCCTTGGAGAGGCAGTATATATGTAGCTGGGTGGAGGAATGCAATGTTATTAAAAGGGCATATAAATAGTTGGATGAACGGGGTATTCGTAGAGGTCAAATATGCACTCAAACTCGAAGGTTATCTGTGAATGAATAGATATTGAATGGCAGCTGAAAGTCTGTTTTTTAAAAACGTTTTTTTCATTGGGTATGCAGTGAATTGTTTACGTATTGTCTACTTCCGAACCAGGTTAACATCTTTAAACACCAGTTTCTTCAAACTTTGGGGCAATTTTGGGTATAATAAATAGGGAAATATGATTCCCTATTCCTTCAGACAGTGTAAACAACGGTACAGTACAACTGTCAAAAGTTGGTTATTACCCTGTGCTTTCAAAGCATTCCACACATTTAATTCATTACACAAGTTCTACTGCACTGTGACCCATGGACACAAATATGAAAATTGATATCATATTTAAAAATATTTATTTTTATATTGAATACCACTAAGAAACACAAATATTCCTCATATAGAGCATACCATGATTTCATTAACTAAATATCCTAACACAAATAATTCAAATATCACTGGTACTGTCCTAAAAGTCAAGGGCATTATTGGTACATTCTTGCAATAAATATCTTAAAATTGAGTGTGAAAAATCATTCCAAATGACAGAAATGTACCTAATATTGGTAGCGTAGAAAAGAAGTACTTGTATAAATTAAATATAACTGAAAATTAAAGAATACTGTTACCTTTAAATCATCATACTACATAGTACAGTGACCAATGGAAAGAGCTGAATACTATATCAAGTCTTTGTGCAGGTATGAGGAGTATAGAATCAACTTATCTTCAATCAACTGATCAGGCTAAATTTCCATCATTTCTTAAAGCAAATATATTCTATGATTATCAAGGAGCCTGCATGCAATTATGAAGACTATTAATTACCAAAACATGGAAACACAAAACCCCAAGTAGGATAATAATAGGTTCCTTACACGGGTATCATATTCTTTTTCTTTTTACTCCTTAACAGTTACCCCCAAGGTCGAAATTCTAGTTTATACCAGTTGAAACCAGTAAAGATTTCCAACTGGTATTTACTGATTAGAACTGGTCTCAACTGGTACCTACTGATTCCAACTGGTATTTACTGATTAGAACTGGTCTCAACTGGTACCAGTTGAGACCAGTTGATACAATTTGGAAACCGGTAGAAACACCAGTTTGAAGTCGGACAAATAGAATACCAGTTGTTACTGGGACCAGTAGATTACTGGTCTCAACTGGTACCAGTTGGAAACCAGTAGAAAATACAAGTTTGAACTATAGGACCAGTAGAATACCTGTTTAACTGGTATTCTATTTGTCCGACTTCAAACTGGTGTTTCTCTGGTGAAGTGATGCCTCCGCCATAGAGAGATTTTACAAACCAAAACAGAAGAAATTTTAAAAATTGAAGTTGGTTGTAATCCATCAACCGGTTATTTTTTTAATCTAGCTATTTTTGCATACATAATGAGCCCTGTGACCTTTGACCTTGTCACACCAAAATCTAGTTTTGCAGTAATCCATCAATCGGTTCTTGAGATAACGCGATCACAAGAACGGGATGTACAGACGGACGGACATCCCAAAACATAATGCCTCCGGCTACTTTGTAGCGGAGGCATAAAAGTAGTTCATTAATGAAGAACATGGACACAAGGCCATATATGTCAGAATGAAGAAAACTGCTACAAGTACAATAGAACTAATGAAGCTTATTTGTCCCATTAGAAACTAGTTCATTTCCATCATCGCGCTCCGAAGTTTTTATCTTCCGAGGCGCAATCAGCATAGGTTGCTCAGCAAGCGGATTGCTAGAGTAGACACACACAGAGATCAAGATCACCACCATGGCAATCACAGTGAACAGATTTATAGGAATACCAAAGAATATCCATGAAAACAAACTGGTCATGATGACCTCCAGGGCCGTGGCAAAATTTTTAATGATTGAATTGAGCATCTTGAGGAAGATGGCAGTCACAATGCCCATGGCGGCCATGTTGCAAATGACGGCACCGACTTTAAAGCGGTCTGCCAAGGATGCACTGCCTTCCATCAACAAGAAGAGTTTGTCATAAGGTTGACCTGAGGCAGAATACAAGATAAGATCACAGATGATGGAGTTTGAATACATGAAGATGTTCTGGATCCATATATCAAGACCTTTGCTATGGTGTTTGATGAGAAGTTCGGTGTAGACACCGGCGACGGTTGAACAGAGCAGCTGGACCAGGATGAAGATGATGGCAGGGTTAAAGGTCAGAAGACCACTCTGCGACTCCTCTGGCTGCTGATCAGTTCCATCAGGTTCGGAGAAAGCGAAGTAAGCTGGATTCAGGCGATGCATCATACACCCAAACATAAGAAAGACAAGAGATAACCATTGCTTGGCACTTAGCTTTCTGTTGAAAAGAACCTAGGAATGGAAAGAGAAAAGAAAGATGTTAGAACTATCATTAAAGAGAGAAAAAAGGAGTGGTCATCTAGAGAGACAGATAGCACAAATCATGTACATTATTTTAAAGTTTAATGTGCCTAATTACCTTGAACACAATGTCTATTCACTGAATTTTTGGATGTAGGTTCTCAAGAATATCTAGGATGGGGCTTCAAAACTTGACTCAATTAGAGACCTGCATATAATTGATAATGAAATGATGGAATACTTTAGCAGGTATAAAACCACTTTATTTTCATTTGCATTTTCATGATAAAGGAAGACCGTTAGCCAAGAGAGCTAGGCTACTTTATACCATTGATCAAAGTAAAGTCAAATATCAATCTTACCTGATATACAACTCCTGATATCACAATCTTAATTTGCATCAAAATAGAGTATGAGGTCGGGTCAAAGTTGGTTAAGTTTAGGAAGGTCAGGTTGTTGAAGAGAGCATAGAGAAAGGCAGGGATGAAGTACAAGGCAAGTACTGGAAGACAAAAAGAACAAGTGAGAAAAATAAAATATATCATTAACACATTGAATTACATGTATATCTTTTTCTTCCACAAGGACTATATATATATGAACAATTACAGGACATAAAAGAATCCAGATTTTATGCTACATTGTTAAGTTTGGCTTCATCTATTTTCTATGGGGCCAACTTTACTATGTAAATATACCTGTTTCCACCTCAAGACATATACCATACCTATTTGTCATTCAAGCACATAACTAAACATAGTCCAGATTATCCAGATTCTATCCATTTTATATATTTGTTATTCTTCAATCATCTTTGTCCTCCTCTCTTACATGCACCCCACGGCGCGTTGTCTCCCCTGATCACATGACCCCCCAACAACAAAAATCACCCATCAAGGGTTAGAATGAAAGGCAAAGACTGTCTCTGTTTTAGCATTGAGGGTGTATCATTTTGTCAGCCGATTGGGCATGCATCAAAACAGTCCAGACAGTGGACTAAATAAAACATAATATTATTTGTTGGGATATACCATTCATATTATGGAAAGTGTTATTCTAACACATTAATTGTACAGCTAATGATTACTTTGCTAGCTTTAAAACAAAATCTTGTAAATTAATGTAAATGTATAATGGAAATACAATGAACTAAGTACCTGTATCTATTTTGCATAGAATTTACAGTAAAATCAACGCGTGCCTGATAGCATCACAAAATCTCTAATGAACATAACTTTTTATTCTACACAGTGAATACATGATATAAATTATTTTATCTTACACACCATTCACGTTCAAGAAGTTAATTTTTTTCTTCAGTAGGTATGAAAATAGGCCTACATGATTAAGCCCATTTAATTCACGCAAAATATATATTATTAACAACAAAAATTATATCGCTTTCTAACATCTACATGCTTTGTATTCATGCAATGTGAAAACTTTAAGTGCATTTATACAAACAATAAATAAGATAGCATGGATTTAGGGTCATTATCCTTCAGAGATCAAGGTCTAGTCTACATTACTATCAAAGTCATTAACCTTAGTTCAAACAATTGTATAATGAGTTATTTCTGTTATGAGTCAAGAGTAATTATTGTCATAGCAGAAATTTCAAAGCTTGGTCTGCAGTCCTAAAAGATAAAGCTAACTGCTGTGCTGATTATATCTTTATCGTTGTTTCTTCCAAATAGAATATTAATGTTGTCTAGTGCCTGCATTACTGCTTGTCTGACAATAGACAATCAAAATATGACCAACGTTCCTACCTTATGACATTTAAAGTGCAACCAAACAATGGTCTATTAAAGGCATTTGAAATAAAACTCACCACCCTGGAAACTAGAGGTCCTAAAAATAAATTATCAAGTATGAGAGCAGAATTTGTGATTGTGTAAAACTAAATCTTACCTCTGGTGTTTCTTGAAATTTCTTGCACAACTCCATGAAAAGAAAATCTGGTATAGGTGTGATGTAAAAGAAGGAAAGAACAAATCACATTATTTTGTCAAAAATAATAAGTTTTTATATGTACATAAAACCACATCATCTAAGAGGACCAAAATGTTAATATTTAGCTGATGGCTTGTTATTTCATGATCAGTGATTTAAGGTTGTTTAAATAAATAATAATGTGTACATTACACAAATAAGTATCATCTTTAATCTCAATCTTTAATTCATTTTCAAGTAAAGTCTTTTTTCCAATTTCAAAGTTGGCTATGCTCCTCAGTTGAGTGCATAATTTACTATGCTTTAAATTCCTAAAAAATACATTTCATGAAGGCAATGTGGATATCTATGCGGTGAAATAAACTGTTACTCAAATAGATTACATCAATGATTAAAAGTGCACCAATAACGGCTCATTCAGAAATCAAACAGAGCTCAAATAAGCACATCCCATTCAAAGTACTGTAATACCATGTGGTCCTTTCACAACACTGAGTTCACTCAAGAAAGTGCTGGTATGTATTTCATATTGTGTAATAGGCACTACATTAAACATTCAAAAGAGGAGATATCAAACCAAAATCTGGTAAGTAACATATTGACTAGTATATTTAGTCTAAGTTTCAGACATATGAACATAGACTCTGTGACTGCAAGACTAATATTCTCACCTGTAAAGTGCAAGGACGGATGCTACAATAAGTTTGAGAGCATCTATGTGTAGTATTGCTGCTGTTGCATTGTAACTGTACCCCTTCTTCTTGTTCTGTGTCCATGTTACCAAAATACCTGTACAACAACAGCAACAAAATAAAAAGTCAATCATTTATGTAATTCAACGAGGGAATGAAAAATTACAACAATGAAGGAAAACAGAAATCCAAACTACAGGGAAAAGGTTACTATCAGCTTGAAAAAAATGAAAAACAATGAGGCAAAGGCAACAAAAATAAAATGAACATAAAAGAAAGACCAATTTAGTATGAAGCAATGTAGGCGTAAACTGAGTGGAAATGGATAAAGTCTAGTATAAATTATGCATTGCGTAAAAAACGTTATTGTTAATATAAAGACAAACTCGAACCTATTAGTTAATATCTAATTTATGTGCACTATTCTGTTGCCAAATAAAAAAATATATGAAAAACTAACTAGAGATACAAGACATTTGAAAATCTTCCCAAATAATTGATTTCAAGAGATTACAATTCATACATTTTTGTTAGTTGTGTGACAAAAAGGCAACTCATCTAAGGAAAATATCATCATTTAAAACATTATTGCTGACTTTATAACTGAAAATGATTGTGTTTTCAGTGACATTGCAACATTTCCAAGTGTATGGAATTGAGAAGTTACCAGAAAATATTTTTCAATATCAATGACCTTAACAAGGTTGAACAAGTTCCCTGCAGAATCAGAATCTGTAAAATTTGGAGTTCAAATATATACTACTTTACTGTTCAATGATTATTTAATCATTGCACATAAAGATCCACATAAAAATACACAATCATAAAGAAATATGAATGCTTTAATTAAAAAACCTTCAATATATAGTGACTATCAATGTCAGAAAACAAAGCGCATCACAATTTCTTTGAACATGCATTAAGTACAGGTAAGGATTATACAAATAAAATTCAGTATTATTCCTCTCGAGACAAAAGGTATTTCTAAATCTTACTATGGTTGACACAGAAGAACATGTAGCATATGAAGACAAGCCAGTTGCTTGCACCGGAGAGCCCCAACATCATCTCAGTCTCTGTCTACACTTTATCCTCAGACATTTAGGTAGATGATGGCTGGTGTTCTTTGATTGTGATCCATTTCCACTACAAGGCCCTGCATCAAGAAAGAAACAAATCAAATAAGAAATAAAAAATAAATTGTGTTTGTAATGATATCCTGAACTAGGACACTTATTTCAGAAGTGCCAATGCAACTATAATATTCAATTAATCAAAAGATTTTTTGTCTTCAATTCAATAAATTTCACATAATAATACTTCATCTATAAAGTGTTTTTTTCTTCATTTTGTGTATCAAAGAGCTAGTTTGTACCACTTGCCTTCCTCCCAGGGTTGAAATGAACCATGCTGAGGACAACCTTAAGTAGAAATGCAAATAAGCTTGTGAAAAGGTACACAACTAGATATCAGTGACTATCATTACATGAACAAGAGTCCTAATCGCGAGCACTGACTGACCTTTGATTCTTGAATGACATGAACTCTATTTGACATATACATGCATTCATTTCAATGAGTGATTTCATATCCCACTGCTGCCACCAATTGTTGGGGGCTTTTATAGTTTTGCCTAATGAGGGTTCGATACCATAACAGAATATAAGTAGCAAAAGGGTTGATGGGTAAAGATTAGCACCCGACTAAGAGGCAAAAGGATCAACCTTTTAGCAACCTGAATTCTATTTGAAGACAAAACCCTCAATCAAGACAAAATTAATCAAGTACTACGGATCAAATAGAAGGAAAAAATACAGTCCAGCTTATCAAGAGTTGATTGCTAATACTACCTATTGTGCAAACCATGACCCCTCCCACCTTTCCATTTTTTAAAACCCTTTAATATATTTAATCCACCATAAATACTTACTGGTATCCGTCGTAATTTAAAAATAATAAAGAAAATCTTTGTACATGAAAGTTGCAGGCATTTCTAATTTTTCCATCTAATTTGTATACCACTATTTACACAGGCATCAAAATCAATTTCAAAATATATGTTATTGAAATAGCACGAGCTATATACCAATGGGCCCATACCATTGGATTTAAATGACAAGCGGTGAAAATCTCTTGGGCTGCAAATATTTGATTTTTGTCAAATTTTTCCACCGTGTCCTCAACGTTTCCACACCATCTCCATACCAGGTCCGTACCGCTTACAACGTCCTCGTACCAGCTAGTGTCACCGTATTGGTTGTTCCCTCGCCGGGTCCTCACTGGGTGGGAATACCGGCCGCTTACCGTCTGAAACGCACTCATACGTTTGCTTAACATTCGCTGGTCACACCCGGCTGGTCACACTTCAGTTCTCGAGTTCACGAATGTACGTCCTCCTCATCGTTCTTCTCAAAAATTCTCACGGCCCCACGAACAGGTCCATATTTGACGGCCTTGTACTGGCCTACCGTCCTTATAGCATCCTCTTCGTATCCCGTCCTCATACCAGGTTCTCACAGTGTGCCACCACTTGTGCCACCACTTGTACCCACACAGCTGCTAACGGGCCCCCACCATGTTAACCGATCGCTTAACACTTCCCCCGGGCTTTGCCCTTACCGTTTGCACGTAATTTACTACACGGTGACACAAGATCAAGCGCTTAGCCGGCACCATGTGACAGCTATAGTGTTTTCAACTATTCAACTTCAGAATATTAATCTAGAATGAAGTTTGATAAACTTATGTCGCAGAGATAGTGTGAGTGACATGATGCGAGGATGTCTCCCAGACTACATGAAATCTCAATGAATTCAGCTACATATTTGAATAAATTGACAATTTAGCCTGAGAAAACACAGAGCATAGTTATTTATAAAACCTGTACAATGAACTACAAGTAGCTTTAAATGTTAAATGGCTCCCATCCTAAATATGCATAGTCAATAGAAAATTCAAACTATACCCTAGATTTACATGATTTGAAATTGAATTTGTAAACTGTAAAGTGTAAAGCTTGCTAAATTCTAAAATTGATCATTATAAGATTCAAAAGAGTAAAAGTAAACATGTGAAAAAGTTTCAGTTAACAATAATATAATGTCTTCAGAGTTCAGGAATAGATTCTGACCATGCTGACTGTGTTAGATCTAGACTCTAGGAAGTCCTCATTAAAATAAACACTTTTTTATTTTTTTATTTTGTTAACAGTGTTAATAATATAGAAATGTCTACCTGTATACACGTACTCTACAGGAATCTTGCAGAATATCAGAGGCCGTAACACAAAGCTTAGCATTTGAACACACAATTGATTGCATAGATCATGAACATCGGCCCATCTCGATCTCTCCAGTCTCCTCCATCATCTTCGTATTAGAGGGAGATCCCCGTTAGGAGCCCTCTTCCAGTACCGGTACCGTACTACGAAGAGCAATTGCTGCAAAGAAAAATGGGCATGATGACGATATAAATAAATCATATAAAGTAACATTAACTGGCAAAAGAAACATCATAAGCATCTCGGTGTATTACTGAAAATAATTCTGATTAAAATGAAGAACTTAGTCTAGAAACATTTTGCTTAAAATTTGATTTATTTGATACTAATATTCGTGTTTTTTTGTTCGCTTTCGCGTGCCATACATTTGTCGGTCATCGATCAGAGCTGAGCCTTGTTTGTTCGAGAGCCGAATAGGATCAACAATTTTTGGGAAAGAAATACACTTCAAAATAATCGATAATGGGTTCCAGAACGTCTTCTCTCCTGCAACAGGAGGAAATAGAGGAAATTCAGCAAGAAACGGGTTGTAAGTATTTAAGTTACCGTACATATTGACATGTTAAAGACCTATTTTGTACCAGTGTCGTAGATCTCTCTTACCACGGGTAATTGCATGCCTGAAGTTCCGGGTAGCAAAACTCCAAAAGTAGATACGCGGTACCGGGTGTGACGTCTTTGAAATGTGGTTGCCCATTGCATTGGCAATTGGCATTGCATGGAATTGTATCGGTTTCACTCGAGCTCTATGACAATGTATTACTATTACATCCCTGTCGTTGTTTGTTTGCAGATTTAAATTAGAAATGAATAATTTAAAAATATTTTGTTTTTATTTAATTTTCTTATCTTGTAAAAGTTGTAAAGTAGATCTAGAGGTCTACATGTAAACTGGATTCTTAGAATTGCTGAACAGCACAAAATTTACATTTGACAATGTCAATGTAGTTTTAATCTTACACTTCAGTCTTAGTAGAGATTCACAGAAAATCACAACCGTATCCAGGCATGAATGTATCACAAGCAGGAACCTTACAGATGGCAATCATATAATTTTGTATATTTCTCAATAATAAAGAGTTTGATTGTTTTTCAACATGACTGTATTTCACACCATTTTAAATGGAAAGTAATGCTGATGCTGATTATTTTGATATTTTGATTGGAGACATTCAGGTCAAGGATAAATGATCAATTAAAGAAACCACTTAAACATCAATCCGCTTTGAATTGAAAAGCATGCCTAGTAAATAGAATGTACTTTGTTTGTTCCCAAATGAAACGCTGCACATGCGTTGGTGTAGGCAGCTGAATGTACAGTGGTGTCTTTCTTACAAGCCATATAGTAAAGCTACAATAGATTTCTTTATTTTACGCTGCATTTTTCATCAAAATAAAATTATGCCTGAAAATAAGAGTGATGCAACAGATCGAACAGTTAGAATGATGCTGGTAAAGTAAGAAAAATAAATGTCGTCTGCTTACCCGTTTGCTAATTTGGTCCCTTGTTGACGTCACATAGGGAGAGCTCTTCAAGTGCGAGAGTGGGGCTGTATTTTATCCTTTTCTAATTGATAATAATCGTATCTTTGAATGTTTCCAAGCAGGGACATTTGATAACCCTGTTATTAGTTTTATGTTTTTAAATCCCCCCTCCCCAACAGTAGGGCGTTTTATTGAATAATAGTGCAGTATACAATTGTCTTCACACCAACAGCTATTGAGTGATAATAAAAATGACTGGATTTAACATAGGGCCTTAACATTGAATATGTAATAATATGACATGCGCATACTGTGTATAATGCACTGACAGTAAACTCACTTCATTAAAAAGATTTAAAGAGGACCTCAGGTAAGATGCCAATGTAAATTTAAACATATTGATGGATACTTCTCGAGACATAGATTTTGATATTAGATCCAATCATATTGATCATTTATCATTTATCTTAAAGGTAATACAAAGTTTTGGTATGGGGTCATGAATTTGGTTCAAATGAACATATTGGACGCATATGCGGTCCTACAATATTCAGTGATCGTTGTCCCGGTTGAAATATAGCTCCCTCTCAAGGTCAAAATATAAATTAAGCTATAAAACAATGTTTCTTGACTAAAATCTACCGATTAGTTGTTCCCGTTCGGAAATTATATATCACAACTACATATTTTGAGATTTTCATGGTCGCAGCTACCATTGAACGGCCATAGGCCCTATTTGAAATTTATCAAATTTTACCGGGAGCACCGGTAAATTTTTATATTCAATTTTTCTCAAAAGCAGAAGTAGTATAGGGGCTAAATTTTCTAGTGCTTATAATACATCCACAGGGGCATCAAAATATATCAAAATTGTAAAGAATCATGATCCACCCAATTTTCAAAATTTCCCAAAACTTTGTATTACCTCTAACTCCAGAAATGCAGATTTATGAATCAGTATCATGTCATATCAAATGCAAATGCACAAAACTGAATATTTTTCTTCTAAAATACTCTACAATTTTCTGACTCTGTTCCAAAGTAAATTTCATAAGACATTGTATTGCATGTCACTCTTTCTGATGGTGTTGGGAGAACTTCAGTTTTCATTCATTTTCTAAAGTTTATTTTTCATGTTTTATTTTTGTAATCTTTAACATATTTTGCCTCTCCACTTTCTCCAGGCACCTGCAAGTTTAACGCATATCGTACTCACTACCATAACATAATATTTAATTTGTTAAGATAATATATGTAAGAGGTCCACATTTATGACTGTTTTTGTGGACCTATACAAATTCTGTCAAACAGTCAAATAATCCAAAAAAAATATTAAGAGACAGTTAACAAAAAGATCATTATGTGAGTTAGGTCTCATTTGCCTAAACGAACACAGGAAGAAAATAATTTGCAGTTTTGTCCTTTTGTAAGTTAATACCTGTACGGCTGTACCCATTTTCAACTGTTTTATTTTCAAATGTAGTTGAGTTTGTTACACAATCAATACTAATGAACTTGTTTTAATAGCCCAAAAGTATTATACTAGATGAATAATATTAATCTAGAATATTTATGTTTATGTTACATGTAAAACATGTGTATAGTACTAAAGAATTTTTATCTTCATTTCGTTTCATGCAGTTTCTCCCAAACAAATTGTCCGATTGTACAGTCGCTTTACAAACTTGGATAAGAGTGACAGAGGAATGCTCAGGTGAGACATTACATTTTTTTTTTCATGTTCAAGGTTACACATAGGTCTATTTAGGTATTGTTTATCATTTCTTAAGGAAAGTTTGATTTAAAGTCTATTCTAAATTGACAACATATCAGATCCTACATATTTGGTTACAACAAAGCAGTGTTATTAATTACCCCTAAATAAACAGAGATTATGATGGAAATGGAAAGGAAGTTTGATACATTGCAATCTTTGTAAATATGCAACTACAATGTATGACTACTGAATAGAAAACGGTAGTTTTTAGTGTTCTGCATTATTTAAGAAAAATGACATGTGCATGACGTTATAGTACAGCTACCAAAGTTAAAATACAAAAACCCAAATAACAATAATGGCCTATAATACACATATTGAAGCTCACACAATTTTTCCCCACTTAATTGAGGAAGTGCATTGAGGAAATTGTCTAAATGGCATGAGTTTACATTTTTATGGATGACTGGCAAATAAAGCAACAGCTGTGTGGTTTGTGGTCAAAGAAAGGCTGGAACCAGGAAGTGAAACAGAATGAGAAAAAAAAGAGAAGATAATTCAGACTTCTCATGTGGATAATTGATTAGATGTGCAATGTATGTCGTTCCTGTAAGCGGATGTGGGGAAAATGTAACACAGATTACATGTATGACAACTGCACAATCTTGTAGATATCTTGTTTGTTGCTATTCGAATAAACCTTTCACTTGAAATATTAACATTTATAACTTCATTAAGTCACATGTGTTTGAGTCCAGTACTTCATTGCAGCTTTCTATTCACAGATAATTATGTTTATTGTTTTTTCTTCCACCTCTATTAATTATGATTGACATCAAGTGTATACCTATTGTTGTAATACATAACAGTCTATGTGTATAGAACAGCTCAAGGGTTATAAGTGGAATAATAAGAATTGTAATGAAAAAAGTGTGTTTGTGATTTAAAAAAATTTAAAGTCTGCAACACCTTCAGATCATTTACACAAAATATATTGGCCTGAATTGATAAAGATGTATAGTGCAGTGAATTTAGCCGAGCTACATGTAGGGCCGGTATTCAATTCAATACTGCTGTAAAAAATATCATTACTTTACTCAGTTTTCGGCTTCGATAAAATGCTTAGCCAAATTCGGTACTCAGGTGACACTTTTTGCTAAGTATTTTATAATTAATTTAAGACAGCTCCCTAGCAGACACTAAAGCCAATAATTTGTGAGGCCTTGATTGGTTTAATACACAAGCTTTGCACACATATCAGCTCAAATCTGCACATAATATTTTTTTATGGACCATATGAATTCAATATACTTATCAGTAATCATTTTGCCAAAAAGTCTGCTTGCTAAAGTAAAATGCCTAGATGTGATCTGAATTCTAGTTGAGATATTTTACTTAGCCAAGCTAAATGGCTAAATGCCATGTAGAATACTGGCTTATGAATACGGGCCCATGTTTATATCCTGACTAAGTGGGTAGAATATTCACTCATATATGGAGTGCCAAGTGTTGCCCTCTTTTTTCATAAAAATCCTTTCATCATGAAATAAATTTTAATTCATATTTCTTGAATTGGTTATCTTGTGTTATTTACAGAATCAAAGTCATTTATAGATTAAAGAGCTTGATACTTTGCAATCAATAGACCAGTGGGGGCTAAAGGCTTAACTGTAGCAGTCAACCTTAAAGATGAAGTTGAGTTCTGGTCATATGCGATTGCATTGTGAAAGAAACAGTGTGGAATCGATTACAAAAAGTTGATCATCTAGCATATAAGTATTGGTTTGTAAATCAAGGTTCTGGAATCATCAAAATGATAAGTCTTGGTAAGGTAACAAGCACTGTATGTACAGAGAGAGATATATGGGACTACAGGAATATGTGGCATAAAAATCCGTCCCGATTTCGATATGTCATATACTTAGAATATGAAGGCAATTGAAGAGCCATGCTATGCAGGGAACATGTTTTATCTAATGTTCTTCCTGACTTGCATAATAACAATGATAATGCTCACAAATTATTTTTCACCTCTTCCCAGAACTCAACCTTCTCTTTAAGTTATACTGGCTGAAATATATACGGTATTCTTTTACTAAAAATAATAAATATTATTATTCTTATTGTATACTATTTCCCAGGGTGGAGGATCTGTACCGCATCCCAGAGCTGGTCATCAACCCGTTAGGAGAACGTATCATCCAGACATTCTTCTTAGAGTGTGAGTCTGATCAGATCAACTTCAGACAGTTTATGAAGACCCTAGGGCTCTTCAGACCCTACAAGAAACGCTATGGTCCGGAGGCCATCAACACCAGAGAGAAGAAACTCAAATGTGAGTCTCAAGTCATCTATTTTTTTTTCCACATCTACACTGTATATACCAATCAATTAATTTGTCCAGAGGGGGCCCTAAAATTTACAAGCTCTGCTTTTACCAGGGTCTTCTCATCTTTCTCTTGGTTCACTCTGTTTTTATCATTGCCATAATTCTTTTCTTTGCATTATAAATGTATGATGATCTAATGTTATGCTCTTTGTGACATTTGAAAGAAAGACAAATAAATATCTTATCTTATCTTATCTTATGATGATGATGACAATATTTATCTCAATAGATGTTTACGTCACCTACATATTAACTTCAATTATATGCTCCAAACTAAATCAACATACATGAAGTTAATGAAATACAAGTTGAAGTTTGAACATGGGACATTAATCGTAGGCCATTAGCATGAAGTGTGTCTTACTATCATCCGAGTGACCCGCCCCCCCCCCCCCCTCCCTCCCTCCTCCACGTACAAAAAACCCCCTCTCCTCATGGTCTTGAGCTGGATGAAAAAATTGAGAGAAGCACATTTTATACAATATTGGCTTCACTGTATATGCTTGTATTCCCAGGGTACACTCTATTAACCCCAACCTCTTGTGTCTTCAGCTATTTCAGTGCATTGACAATTTAATAGATAAACTTGGCTTAGATTAATCAATAAAAAGTTTTAAAAGAATATTTAATCTTATGGCCAATACCGTGTTACCTTCAAAGAGAATGTTGAGTTCACGTAAAGATGAAAAATAATTTGTGAGCTTTCTCATTTTGTGTATGTCAGTTTTGAAGAATATCATAGTAGAAATGTCCCCAGAGCAGGATCGTCTTCAAATGCCCTTATAATGTTAAAAAAACTTGACAAGAATTTGCCCAACAGTTTGGACCAAACTTCATGCCACATGTGGGTATAGACGGTCCCATATACACATTGCATACGACTTTAGGTTGGATCAATTTCTTTACATTTTGCTTATTCCAAAGCCTCACAGTATACATCAATTCTTTTGTATTACATAACATTTTCCAGTCACTTTCAGACAATTTCTTTCACAATGTAATCTCATGATCGGTAGTCAACTTCATCTTTAACTTTGTAAACTAACTCTTCTGAGAGCCTGAGGGGCATTCGCTTTAATGTTATCACTAGAACACAGAGTTAACAACCTTCTGCATGGCTCTCAAGGGATGAAAGCACAAATAGATCCATTCATTTGCTGAGTGAGAGTTGTGATTTATGATTTTCTTGAAAATTTATATAAATGTATAACAAATGTATCAAAAATCAATTCCACCAGTTGCCTTCCAAATGTACGATGTGGACAATGATGGCAGCATAGCACGAGACGAGCTGCTGGTACTGCTCCATATGATGGTTGGATCTAACATCACGGAAGAGCAACTTGGTGCTATCGCAGACCGTACCCTCTTAGAAGCAGACTTGGATGAAGATGGTCAGATCTCATTTGAAGAATTTATCAAGGTAGGCATTGTTTACAGGTCTAGAACAGGGAATAAACTCATGGAAGCAGTCAGCATTTTTTTTTTACACAGGTCTATTAAAGGCCGTCTGTAGTAGTTTGGCTAGGAGATATTAGACCACCCAGGGTGGTGACTGACAGGGGGCTATCTCATCAACTCAGCCCTCAATTAACATAAGAAAAAGAGGATCATGGGGGACCAATGGTCACTGATTAGGTATTGTTTATTATATAGAGGGAGCAAGTAGCTATAAGAAGTACAGTGGGGCTTTAATAGCATTTGCATGAAGTTTAGTTGAATGCTTAACCACCTCATGGTTTAGCTCGGCTAAAGCCAGTATAATAATATGAATGCAGAGCCCTCAGGTAGAACTGTATTAATACTAATGTGGTTACCCTGGGTAAACAAGACATATTGTTATTATTATTATTAATTAATTACATTTGGTATGTGGAATTTTTGCAGTTTCAAGGAGTTGTGTTATTTGAATGGGGCTTACCTGTGCTTTTGGAATAATGTTTTGAGCTAAGATCTGATTTTGGCTTTAATATGACTTGTTATACATTTTTGTTACCAAGGGTTAACAACATAACACTAGCAGAAGCCTAGTCAGTGCTTGGTATAGGCTTGTCCTTGTTTACTTGCATCACCACGTTATATTCAGCTAAATATGTCTAGCTTGTTGAATGATTAACAGGAAAAATGAACTTTGAGTAATATCTTAATTTCATATTTTCTTTTCCACTCTTCCTCTCTTCTCTCCCCCTCCTCTCCCCCCCCCCCTACCACTCCCCTCTTTCTCTCTCTCTCTTTCTCTACATTTCTGTACCCCTAGGCACTTGAGAAGTCTGATTGTGAACAGATGATGAGCATTCGCTTCCTCAACTAGAGTCCATGATTCTGCAAATGGATCAAAACTATGACTGAAAATAAATGCAAGAATAATTTGGAAAATTAGCACAAGTCTGATTCAGGATATTGACAATGGATCTAAACCATCCTCCCGTCAGTGGAAATGCTGGAACCTCATCTTTATTCTAGATTGGATGTTGGATCTGTAGTTTTCCTGTTCAACGTTTGCAGGGCTGATATCCTATCCCTTGAACCGAAATCCAAATTCATCCCTTTTTTTCATAGCATATGCATGGTACATACTCCTACCTGAAATGTTGATATGTATGAAAGGCACAATATTAGCTGGTCTACTAATAATAAGTTGATCACTGTTTATCTCTTCTTCTTCGGATTTATATTTGTATTAAATATTTTACTGAATAACACTTTAGATGAAAAAGAATGTGGAATTAGATTACATGTAAATGCTGGAAGCGTATTATACATTATGCAAATATTTTAAAGTTTATACTACTCAGCTATATTAATGTGTTGTCCATAAAAGAATATTTTATCCCATCTTTGCTTGCTTGCCACTTGCTCCATTGTAGATGATAGATTCATGCATCAAGATCAAATACATATAATTTACAAGTAAACCTATGGATCAAATAAGAAATACCAGATCTTTTGAGGATGAATGATATTTCACTTTATCCGGCCCTTGTATGTTATTTGTATGTGATGAGAAAATTATGTGTTGCCTAGGATTAATTATGACTAGATTATCAACAGTACTTTAAGATTACCAAACGTTATTGCTAAATACTGTTTGTAAAATGCTTATGATGTATATTTCAAGCACAATTGTTCATGAATAAGGTTATGGTATGTAAGGGTTTGTTTTGTTATCTCTGCCAGGAAAATATTGGTTTAAGTTCAATTTAGTGCAATTATGAAAGAAAATTATGACCATATTTTTTCATGAGGTAAAAAACTTCAAAAAATAATTTGTGCACAGCTTCATGTAGAGTATATAAAATAAACCTTAGAAAAAAAGAATTACACTGCATTCTATTGATTAACGGATAAGGAGTATAATGAAAATGAAGAATAACGTAAAAGTACGCACACGGAGCCCAAGTGAGGGCCCTATTTTATGCGAGTGCATACGGATATGTTAAGTAGCCTACTCACAAGTTGCTTTTATGTTAATTGAGAGTATTTAAACTTGCAAAATTTCTTGTCAGAAGTAATATTTGAAGTTCATAATTTTGTGATGATTGGTACACTTTGAGACTTATGGAACATACCCAACAGATCTTACATTGGATCTATGTATTGCTTTGACATGCATGGAATTGCAACTGAAATAATATGAAAGTTTACAATTGTTTGCTCTCTTTAAATAAAAATGTTACTGCTGTATATACCATATGCAGATTACTCTTTGTTTAGGAACTGCACTATTTTCATTATAAAGCAGTGGAAAATTCATATCTATCCTTAAAAAGTACCTATATTATAGGGTATATTTGAGTAGCTCATAAATATATATAAAATATGAATTACCTGTAAACTAACTCAGCAGCGACCTGATTCACCATTTTTCAACGCTGTGAGGTGAATTTTGTTGAATATCATTGATAATAATTTGTTTTTCAATGAATTGGTGTATTATTTTGTAACAAAATGTTTATATGAATCTTTTATCATCTATGTAATTTAAATAAAGTATAAAAGAAATAAAGGAAATATATCACAGAAAGTATAATGTTATAACATACATTGCTTTGTGTATTTTTTATTTGTAGGTGTCAAAACTGATAATGAAGTGTCACATCCTGCAGTGTAATCAGGATTCTTTTATTCGCTCACTCTCATGTTTCCTTCCCAATTATGTCCTGTGTCTTAATATGGAGGTTTGATATTTGTCTTCAATTTTCAATTCTTTAAATTCTTCTTGCTCATATAGAGTGTAGTAAAACATCTCTTTTGTTTTTATGCCAAACTGAATCGCATGAAGGGTGAGAAAATAAGTCCTACGTGGTTATGTGTGTTCACTGTTTGTGTGTTGTAAGAAACAGAAGCCTATTTTATCTTGCCCATATGGTTTATCGTGACATATGGGAATGAGGATTATATTAGCTAAGGTTTTTTCCAAATAATTAACTATGTACTTCTTTTGAAATTGTATGGGAAGGGGGCACTGCATGTCATAGGTGGCACAAATTATAGGTGGCAAAAATTCATCAGGGGGGCTAACACCCAGTCCTGCCGCTCATTCTTATAGTTTCTACATTTCTTGCACTTTGTTGCAAAAAATAATAATAATGATAACAATAATAATAATGATAATAGTACCGGTTATGATAATAATAATTAGATAAAAAGATTTAAACTAATAGAAAATGAATTCAAATAAACCACCTTGCAATGCGTGGAATAAGTTATTTTAAAATTGCAGGGGGCTACAGCCTCTTCAGCCCCCATTCTGTCGTCTAAGCTAGAAGTGGGTCTGATATTATGGCAGGCAGCAAAAATGAGAAAGGTCAAGAAAGTATGATTTCATTGATAATAACATTGAAATTACGTTATGGGACACCCATTGAACAATGTCCCTTGCTCGTTCATTCAAACAAAGATGATAGTGGAGTTTGAGTTGAATTTGAATTTTATTATCCAAACAAAAGTACATCAATATAACAATCAAATGTGAATGGTTAACATTGAAAGGATAAATGGGACTAGAAAAGTGAAACTCAAAAACTCGATTTCCCCCTGGAAATTTGTACTTGCCTACAACCATGGTCTGGAAATTTCTTCCGTCAAATACAAATGAGTCTGTTTAAATAGACTAAGTCCCAATCTACACTGTGCGCAAAATCGAGCAAAATGCCTTGCCGCGCGCGGCGAGTGTTGGAGCGGTAAAGTAAACTAGCATAGCCCGACCATCTCGGCGGTTCGCTTGCTAGCGTTAGCCTTTGCGCCTGGCCTGGAACGCGCGCACGCCTAGCCTATTTACGATCAAGATAGAGAAATGATGGCGGGAGCAATGGCCTCCTGGTGCCTCAGGAAAGTCACAGGCAGTGACCAAAAATACGGCCTGATTCCTTTAAAGAATGGAGAAGAGGTAATGTTCCACATATACATCAGGAAATTATGGCTAGGAATGCCAGTAGGCGAATGATTGTGATTGCTGTGCCTGTCTAGACTAGTCTGTTGTCTGCATCTGTCAACATTGAACAAACTCAGTCAAACTTCAAAGTCTAAAATTTGAATCTTCATCTATTATTGTTGTTGCATGTTGCCTAGCCTGTATAGACACTGACATTTTGTGCACACGATTATTTAAAAAAAAAAGGAAATTCAATGTTTGATCCATAATATCTCGTACCATTTATCTAGATCTAGAAGTCTACGACAAAGATATTTGGATCAAGAATTATTGAACTTGTGACCATGGTGACTTGGTAGTTGGTACTTGGTTGGTTGGTCCTCCAAAATGCTTGTCTGATTTTTAACAGGAGGAGCAGATAGGGTGGATTAATTTGTAGATGGGGGGGGGGGGGGGAGTCAGGGGCAATTTTTAATTTGACAGTGTCCTTGTGGATGTTATTATTAAGCTGGTTCCAATCACGCACTGTTTTCATGAAGTAGGAGGTAGTGAATGTGTCTGTTCTTGAGTTGGTTTGTTCAAATCCCGGCCCCCCCACTCGGTGTTATTTAGGGTACGCATATGCGTGTTCCAACCGACCCCCCCCTTTTCAGCAAAAGTCCGGTGTGTAAAGTCAAGACGGCTCGACCTTTTTCTTTTGTATACGAGCCTTTTTCAGCACCCCCCCCCCCTTTTCAGCAAAAGTCCGGTGTATAAAGTCAATACGAGTCGACCTTTTTCTTTTGTTACGAAAAGGACATTTTGGCAACACGAATGGGGTCTGTTCGTTCTCGGAGTGGGGGGGCCGGGGTTCAAATTGCCTGTTATGCCCTCTTCTACTCTAGCTCTGGTGTAGTACAGTTCTCTTTGTAGAGTATAGTCGTACTTGATTGCTGGGGCAGCAATCACAAGAACACATGTGACATGACAGCTGCGCTTTTGCAAACACGTACAGAAGCAGAGACGACGGGAGAATTACGGGGATACAGCTCTTCTGTCGTGTTTAGGGAACGAACACTATAATTACAAAAGAAAATATCAAAGAGCACCCCATGAAACATAAGTTTCTTTAAATTGAAAAGTTTTTGTCTTTCTTTTCTTTTCTTTTCTTTTCCTTTCTTTTCTTTTCTTTTCTTTTCACTGTCCAAGGACAGAATTATTAATAGTCATCATTTTCTTTCAATGTTTTCTTCCTTGTAGATAACTGTTGGAAGAGGGATGGATGTGAGCATTCAGTTGTTGGCCTCACAGAACAATCTTTTCCTCTCAAGAAAGCACTGCACCTTCAAACAGTTGGAAGAAGGAAGTTGGACAGTAATTGATAACAGGGTAAGATCACATTAAGACATTAAGTCAGTGTAATTTACATTTTTGTTGTACTTTCTGTCTTCATGTTTATTCTCTAACATAAGGATAATATACCCTGGCTGAAGTGTGATTTTTAGAGGAGCAGAATTTTCAAAAAGGCATGAATAAGTTGGTTAATTATGCTGCATTATTGTAGAGCGCTTAGAGACTTCTGACAAAGTAAGTGTTAGGCGCTATATAAGCACTGTAATTATTATTATTGTTAATACACCAAAATTATCTTTCTGCTCATGAATACAATATACTGTCTATAATTGATAATACTAAAGATAAAAATTGAAATGTGATTGGTTAAAGAAATGAATTACCTGTTTTATGTTTTAGAGTCTGAACGGCGTGCGAATTAATGACAGCCGGATAGCCCCAATGGAGCCTGCAACTCTGAGGAATGGAGACAAATTAGAGTTAGGTCAAGCAAACAAAGGACAGGTGAATGAGTTTATCTTCACAGTCTGCACTGCAGACCATTCCTCGGAGGAAGTAGACAAACTGCTCAGGTCTTGGAAGAGGAGGGCTGAAAAAATCAAGCTGAAATTTGCAACTAAATCTTCTCAGCGTATGGACAGCGAAATTAGTGTTAAGTCAGACTCTCAGTCCGGTAGTTTGGGCAGTTCATCGGGTGAGAGAAAACGAAAAGAAAGAGACGACCAGGGTGTTGGTAGTAATGCATCAAATGAACCCTCCACTTCGTCCGACGTCAAGAGGACTAGACTATCCCAAGAGGGTGATCTTAAGAACTCTGGGTTTAGGCAGCTAATGGTGGAGGTAGGTGCTAACATGACAGCTGAAGAATTAAAGGCAATAACTGAACTCCTAGTGGACAAGAGAGGAGAGAGCAAAGGCGAGAGTGTGCTTGACAGACTCAAATCAACTGTGAAGAAGCAGGAGGAGGTGGAAGAGAAGAATGCCAAGCTTGAGGTGGAGTACAAGACCAGGGTTGAGGAGAAGGAGGAGGAGCTGAGACAAAAGGACAAAGAGCTCCTAGAGCATAAAAGACTCCAGGAAGAAGCGTTAGAAACGCAAAAGAGACTCTTAGAAGAGAAAGAGGAAGCATTGGCGAAGATGAAACAAGAGATGGAGGAGGTATTTGAGGAGCAGGTCAAGGAGAAAGAGACAGCTTTGATGGAACAGCTCAAACAACAGAGAGAGGAACTAAAACATGAGAAAGAGAAGGTAAGCTGATTGACCATGTCATTTTCAAATGGAGTTCAATTTTTATGTAATGATTAATCTCATTGGAAGAACAAAAAATTACTCTGAAACATTTTTCCTGACTTAGAATGTTAGAACTGAAGAATAACACATCAGTCTAAAAAGAATCATAGACAACAGGGTATTTCATGAAGGGTTTTAATCTATAACAGAGACAGGTCAAAATTCATTCTTAACCAAATGCTTCAACAGATAATTGCAACAGAGAGCATCTAGGAGCCCCGAAGCCCTTTAAAAAAAGTGAGCTATGGACAATGGACACAAGGGACTTCACGTTTTGCTTACATCAGTTCATACTTCTTCCAGGGACCCGTTTCACAAAGCCCCTTTTCAATGACAAATGACAAAAATCAGTGACAAATCTGTTGATAACCAATCAGAAGCAAGGATTTTAGTAGCTTATATCAAAAACTGTCGTTTGTCACTGATGACAAGTTTTGTGAAACACCCCCAGGTTGCAGTTTTACATGCTTTAATTTTTGTATGTCGACCACACTGGACAATGTAATTTTACATCATCTGGCATAACACTGTCTTTATACTGCATAGGAATCCCTAGCACACTTGAAATGTTTCCACTAGAAGTAGTTAACCATTTTCAATGAAGCAATATGATTGATATTATCCTGTTCCATTGTGATGCATGCTTCAGGTTGATAACAGTCTTCAGGAGTTCAGCAAGCAGTTGGCGGAGAAGGACAGGAGCATGAAGGAGGAGCAGGAGGAGATGCAGAGGAAACTGGAGGAGTCCATCAGGGAGAAAGAAGCACAGATGTTGGCTCAGCTAGAGGCAGAGAAACAAGCAGTCATAGAAGAGAAGCAGAAGGTAACTATGCAGAGTGTTTGCTTTCTTTACAAAAAATATAATTTGTAAAGAGATTCATAACAATTGATTTGATATTTTTTCCGTGGGTCGAGCAGTCACTGAAGTAGTTGCTGAAGCAGTTACTAGAGCAGTCAGTGTATGCACCATTCAAATTCAGGGTTGGGCGGTAATTACCGGCGGTAAATACCGTCTGGTAAATAAAATGGGCGTCCGGTAAATATGTAAAAAAAAGGAAATATGATTTTAATTCTCTTTTTATTAATAATTTCACTTGTTTTTAGCCTCAACAACTGAAAATATTGTTCTGAAAAATTTAGCGCACAACACTCAAAGTAGAAACACACAAACAGATTTATAAAATCCACACTGCATACATGATGTACACACATGTACAACACACATATACAAATAGTACACACCAGAGCAACCATAATCACCACCATTGTTATTATGTTAAAAATTGGACAATCCAAGTGATTTTTAAATGAATGCTGGATTTTATTATTCAAATTACAAATCCCTTATTTGGAAAGTATTTGGAAGTATGTAAGAAAGTCATTGGTTTTTTTAAATATCTGAATCAGAATGTCACATTATCTTGGCATTCTAATTTCTCAAATCTACTTTTATACCTCTGTTCCAGGTTGAAGAAAAGCTTCAGACAGCTCTAGAGAAGGACAAAGGACTGGAGGAAGAGAAACAGAGATTAGATGAAATCATTCAGCAAAAAGAAAAAGAAAAAACAGACATGGAAGATGAGGTAAGATGTACTACATGATTTATTGGTGTTTATTATAGTATCCTTTTAAAGAAATGAATCCAGGCTAACTCAGAACCGGGGACAAAAAAAAAACGGTTGGTATTTTGTCATTTTACCCTAACCCTAACTCTAACCCTAACCTTAACCCTAATTTTAAACCTTAACCCTAACCCTAACCCTAAACCTGCAAAAACTGACTGTTTTTGCAGCGGGCCGAGTTGGCCCAACTCCGAAAGAAATGTCTCCAATATCACTAGGCATAAGTTCATTTATTCTAAAAAATTTATGCACAGAGAATAATTTTGTTTTCAATCCTCAACATACCTTCTTTCATTTTATATCCTTTATTGATTACAATTCCATGGTTTTTATTTGGTTTTAGATGGAAGCTAGTCGCTTAGAACGGGAGGAAGAGGAGAAAGTGAAGATAGAAAATGCGAAAAGAGCTGCTCTTGATGACTTTACTAATGTTATGGAGAATGAGTTCCAATGCAGCATTTGTTCTGAACTCTTCATTCAGGTATGTTTATGTTGTGTGTACTTTCTTGTTTAAACAAAGTGTGAAAAGTTTTTGACCAAATTATGGCTTCTAGCAGTGACAGGGATAAAATGCTTTTGTGATTTGAAGTTCTTATTGAAAAAAATTGCTTTGTCTTCATTAAGTCAGTGTAGAATAAAGAGAATCCTTTAGTTTAATCCCATCATAAGGAATGCATGCTAATTTATCATGATGATCATATTTAGAGATTTATTTTAATTAAAACTCAATAAAATATCGAAAACATTGAGGGAAAAAGTGGATAACTGCCCTTTTAGGTAATACATTAGGGTGACATTTTTTAAACAACTGGTCACCTGTACTCCCATGTCTTCTCCACGTGTACAATGGTATGACCATTGACCTGTGTACGATTGTAACAATACATTTACATAGCTTTCAGTTGTCTCAAGTCCAGTAGTGGGCTTTGGATGTGTTGGTTGCAGCTGTCAGTATTACTCATTCAAAACAAAACAAAAGTTAAATGGAAGTTAAGGTTGTTTTTTTAAACGAGGGAACTCTTATTTTATTACTTCATTTCAGGCCACAACACTCAACTGTTCCCACTCTTTCTGTGCCTACTGCATCCACACATGGTTCAAGCGTAAGAACGAGTGCCCGAACTGCCGCGTGAAGACCACCTCACACAGTCGCTCCATCGTCCTTGACAACTACATCGACAAGATGATTGAGAAACTAGGAGACGAGGCTAAGCAGATGCGGAAGGAGATCATTAAAGAGAGAAAGGGTGAATGAACATACCTCATAATGGACTGTGTTTTATAAACATCGGATTGAAATCAAATTAGCTTTAAATGTAGTTTCACCCTTTTCCAAGTTTTAAATGGCACTTTCGATTTTTTTTTTTAAAGGGTCTAAAATTATTTTTGGTAGTAATTAATATAATCATAATCATAAGAGCAAGCACCCAGTGAAATACATCCGTCATAAATGAAGAGACACACAGGACTTTTGTATTGCCTAAAGATCTGTCTTGGAAAGGTAGCATAGCTAGCTAGCAAGACATAGGTCCTGCATGAATACAATAGGACCCAATGCTTTTGAATTTATATTTTAGAAATACTTTAATTCTTGATCATGAAATTTTACATATGATATTTGTAAAATTTCTTTGGATTGGTTACAGCTTGCAAATGGATGAAGCAACTCTAAAATTGATACAAAGTGTTATTGAAAGTGGAAAGGGTAAAAAAAGAAATTGTCCTTAATCTATTGATCACCAAATTAGGGTAGAGTAGAACCAATACAATTTTGCTTTGGAACACTATTCAGAATCTCATGACTTTTACAAGCCGATCACCTGTCTGATTTTCAAGATATTTATGATTGGAAATCAAAATTTCATTTTTCGTTTTCCTAACGGTTTTTATAACACTACAGTCTATTGGGAAAACTGAGTATGGTAAAACTGGTCACTCAAAGATTTTTACGTTTTTGAGGCACTTCATGATCATTTTGAAGTAGGGCCATGCATCTCATCGATAAACAATGCCTTTAAGAAGAAAACTGCATTTAACAATGAAAAACAAATTTCAGGACATCTGGTAGGTGCTATTGTGAACCCAGAAAACTATATTATTTAATCCACAGTGAAAATAAGATAATTTTACACATCAAGTTTTGTTCACTCTAATTTCAGTATACATGTAGTTATGGACTGGTCACATTAAATGCTGAAACCTAATCATGAAGGGATCACAGTCTCACATTAGATTACCCATTCAGACTATTATAAAAGTGGAATGCATGCTCAAATACGCCAAGTGAGTTCTTCAGCCCCTAATTAAAGTGCAGGCAAACCCTCCTGTTTGATGTTTTTGATTAGTTACAGCCAGTCTTACTTTATTCTACATATATTCTTTTATCATGATTGTGTACAATTTTGTTTTGTTTGTTACATATTTGTAAAACTGCAAAAGAAAAAGAAAATCAATCAAAAATAAATAAATCAAATCAAATTAATATGATCATTTACAATTTTTTTCTTTTATGCTATATTCCTTGTAGAACAGGATCCAAGTTATAGCACCAGGCCTAATGCCAATGTCACCACCGTCAGTGCTGTCCCTGTGGTCATATCGGACGATGATAATGAGGACGACGACGATGAGGAGGAGGAGGAGGAAGAGGAGGAAATCGAGTACTATGACAGATTTGATCGGTGGGGTCGCACTGGCATGCGTCGATGGACTCACACCAGCGACGAAGAGGAGAATTCAGAAAATGAAGATGATGATTACTAAAAAATGACAGGTGCCCTAGCTTGGTGTACTTGGTGTTGATTAGGATTCACTATTTGTATATCCAGACAATATTCCATCCAAATGCCACATTTTTACTGAAATGTTGTGATGAAGTCAATATAGAACGATTTCCTTGATATACTTGTTGTTGTATTTCATTTATCGTTACAAGAAAGTTTGACTGGAGTGATGAATTATCTGTGGCTAAACAGAATATATGACCCCAGTACTAGCATGTGATGGGTATGTAGAATAGGAGAGAAATTCCTCATTTGTTGACTTTTATATCATTTCTACCACGATTGTACCCATATCATACCAAAAATAGTTCTCAAAGATTTGCAAATGAAATTGTGCCTTAACATCAGAAAAATAGAGCAATGGCAATTATCATAAAAACGACCCCCCCCCCCCCCCACCCTAATAAAAATACAAAATGCTCTCACAAGCAAAGAATTACATTTCATACTGCCACATAAAGATTTTTTTTTTGAGCAATTTTCGGAACCCCTCCCCTTCTCCATTGAAAAAATTTACCCTGTTGTGTTACTTGAAAATGATGGTGAAAAATATATATTTTGTTGATGCTAACTATTTTTTGTAGTCAAAATCACAGTTATCAAAATGGCACCAATGACTATAACCCCATCTACAGGGCTATATGATACCATAGATACTTTGATATGTGTATTAACTAATTTGTAATGTGTATCAAGTTTGCTAAATTTGTTTTAATACATAATTTTGTTACATGTCTATTATTTATTTCATAGTATTAAAACTACATGTTTATGTATTTTCTAAATTTTATTTTCTAAAAATAAAACATTTTGAATGATGAAAATCTCTGGGCTTGATGCTAAATGGATAAAAATCGCCATCTTTCATCTTTCCAAAAGGAATTGAGGAACAATAGTTTCTTTGAGCAGTTGGACGAAAGCAGTTGGTGGGAAGCTTATCATTCCTGTTCATTACAAGACTATATTTACGGCACTTGTTCACCATGGTCAACATATATTTTGATGTACTTTCCCTGTTAGGAGTGAGCTTTACATGAATAATCTATGTTTTTTTTTAAGAGGAATGAAATAAACAATTCATACAGCAGTTGTTATGCTTAATTTTTTTCAAAATAGTTTTCATTCGCCAAATGGCCAGTATATGTTCATAATCTGTATATGCACATGTGTACAAATGTAAATACCATTTTGAAATAAAGAAAGGCTCCACACACAGTATGCTTATTTCCATTTCATAATTGTGAACTTTCGTTTAACAATGTTTAATCTGAGATGCATGGCCCTACGTTTTATCAGTGTCTGTGATATGGTGTGATATTGAAGCCCTAAAAGAATTGCGCTTCAAAATAATCTTAAAGTACCTCTAAAAAAGTAAAAATCTATGACCGGTTTTACCATTCTCATTTTCCCTAATAGACTGTAGTGTTATAAAAATCGAAAATGATATCCAATCAAAAATATCTTGATACTAGACGGGCGATTGGCTTGTAAAAGTCATGGGATTCCTGACTGACCTAAAGTTTAATAATTATGATTGCAGCATGAGCTAAATCCAGGATTTTGTTTCAGAATCTGAGGCAATGTTACCGTGCCACTCTAAGGTGAAAACAGTTACCGTACCTTTCTTGTTAATTTACATAACACATTCTGAATAGATCCATGACTAAAAAACACTTTGAATGAACTTCATATCAATTTTTTTTATTGCAAGTATCAAAATAAATTCTTCATAAATTAGTATTAATTTCAATTATCACCATCGATAGAATACATGGTTTAAAAAAGCATCACTTTTTGACAGGGAAGAAATACTTTTTATTTTCTTTCAATGAATGCTGATTAATATTTTTACTCTGTTTTACAATAACAAAACATACATGGCAGTATTTCAATGACAAACTAAGTTTAATACACTAGGCATTACATAGAGGAAATTTGTTGCTAATGATTCTTTTTATACATGTACGATCCCTAGACTTGTATATCTCTGCTAATATGCTGTTGACAGAAGTGGCCTTCTACCCGTAGATAAGTAGCACTTTGGTACAAAATGGTTGAAACTTAATTCAAACGGATATCTCATTCATATATGTGAGGTACGAACCAGACTACATTGTCTTACAGGTTTAGCCAGAATTTCTTTGATATCGGGCAATGACTTCCACAGTAGTGGTTTTGGTCAAAGCCGTCATGAGTTCAAACTTCGGCTAAACTTGAAAACAAGGTTGCACAAAAATGTGGTTCCAAAGGTTCCAAATGAAAGAAAGAAAATGAGCTGATATAAAAATAGATTCCTTATGTACACATTTTTATGAAAGTTACATCATTGTAAACTTTTATACATGTACGATCCCTATACTTGTATATATCTCTCATAATATGCCTTTGACAGAAATGGCCTTCAAATTACATTTCACCTTGATAATGAAATAAATACATCTAGGTAAGTAGCACTTTGGTACAAAATGGTTGAAACTTAATTCAAACGGGTATCTCATTCCAATACATGTTAGGTACCAACCAGTCTACATTGTCTTACAGGTTTAGCCAGAAATTCTTTGACATCGGGCAATGACTTCCACAGAAGTGGTTTTGGTTAAAGCCGTCATGAGTTCAAACTTTGGCTAAACTTGTAGACAAGGTTGCACAAAAATGTGGTTCCAAAGGTAAGAAAGAAAATGAACTATTATAAAAATAGATTCCTTATATACAAATTTGTACGAAAGGTTGCATATTGCACAAGTACTGATTTTCACTTCAGTTTAAATTACATGCAGTACACACTGTAGAAATTACTTTCAATTGACATGCTTTAATAAGGAGGTCCACATTGATAGTGAAGGAAGAAAAAGAAAAAGATCAGTGTCTGCTTGAGGAAAATCTGATGGAAAATCAAATTGAAATTTTTAAAAGATTGTATCAAACAAATGCAAATTGGTTAACGCTGTGAGATACCCTGCAAGCACCTCAACAATTTATTTTCTCTGAAGGAAATATCTAATTACACACATGCCCTAGAAATATTGCATGTTTTCACCCCCCCCCCCCCTATATGAAATAGCTCTACTCTTTCATAAATAGACAAGGAAATGGACATTTATAGAAATTTTTGGTATAAAAAAAAACAGTGGGGAAGGTGCCCATGAGATAAATCAGAGTTGACCATTCTGGATGATTGATCGCAACTTGTAGAGGGGTCGTGGTTAGTAGTGGATGTGCTACCAAACTGTGGGATAGTACTTTGTATTGTTAGGTCAACTTCAAGCCAGAGGGGACCTCCCCTATAAATAGTACTGTGATTCACCCTGGGAATGTAACTTCTTCACCCTGCTTCATCCCCTCTTACAACAGACTACTTTCTATAGAGTGCGACCCAGAAAAAGCGAAACCGAGAATTATTGATGTTTTATTATAACTTAATCACAATTATAATGAATAAATGACACATATTTGTAAAGCTTCGATGATCATCTTTCATTTGATGCAACTCTTATGATGCACGTTTCATGCATGAGTGATTAGCAATTTGAAGAGAGGGTACCAAAAAGTCATTTGGCGGACGGTTTCTGCCCTTTCATATGATACCTCAATCAGGAAAAATGAGCCAGAAATAACAAGTTCTGTTTGTTTAAAGTAATGCTTACATTTCCATAATTTGATTAAACAAATTCGTTTTCACTGGCTGCCTGCTGTAGCGACAAACAGATTTGATAACAGACTTGGCTCTGTTTCGTTGACGATCAGCCATGCAAAAACATCAATAATTCTGAAATTCTTGGTTTCGTTTTTTTCTGGGACACACTGTATAGTTGACCCGTTGATCAATCATATAAAATCCATATCATTGCAAAATATATATTGTAAATGAAGAATGACTTGATTTGATCTCCTGTACGTGTCCAAACTGATTACAAGATCCCTGAGAAAGACGAAGAAGAGAGTTGATTGTCTATGCAGTATCATCAGCTGGCTCTTTGAAGGCCCTTTTCTATTGGAGAGCATGAAAACAAACCATAAAACACCATAAAAGTTAGATACACAAGGTGGTATCACAACATATACAATCCCTCATGCTTAAAGAGTTGAAATCAATAGAAGAGTTTCTATCAAAACAAAACAGCATGTTTCTACATTTTTACCAACTAGCAACTTTCTGTTTGATTCAACTAATGGCAACAACATATCAAAGATTAAATAAATGTCCTTTAAAACAATATTTGACTCATAATGCAGAATATATTGAAGATTTTAAAAACTGAAATTTATTATCTGCAAGCAAGTGGCTTCATCCAATCATCAAAATGACACCAGGTTCTTTCATTTCACAGCAGCATCATCAACACACCAGCATGACTTCAAAATGTTTATTCACTAAAGTCTCATTCACATATATGCCATACTAAAAAAATAATAATAATAATTATGCATACTGCACTTCACATTTCACACAGATAAGTGATCACATGTATATGTAGGATCTAAGTTTTTCTTCTGGTACACAAAAAAACTGTTATGGTCTATCGTAGAATACGTGACCGAGCCTAAATTGTGGTCTATTTGGGATGATCCTGATCATGATGAATACAACATAAATTCTAAATTAAAGTGAATTCTAAGAATCCACACTTATCATGTTTAATACCTTGAGGTTTGGGAGGAGTTCATCCACGGATGGTCTGTCATGGGGTAACTTACTGCAGTACACCATGGATACCTCACCACCAGGATTCAGGATGAAATCACCACCCATCTACAGAGCAAAACAAGGAAAGACACATGATTGCAATATACTTAAGATGGGTAAAAAAGGAAAATATGTGAGTGAAAGTACCGTAAAGTGGGATGAAAGGAAGAGTTTGAAGTAGAAGAAGAAAAAGAAGAGGGAGGGGAAATGGAGATGATGGAGGAAGAAGAAAGAATAAATACTAACTAGAAAAAGTAGATGAGGAAGGAGTAACAGATTAATTAAGACAAGAAAGATGAAGAAACTGAAGAAGACTTGAGGAGAAAAAGTGCAGAACTTAAAAGATTAAAAATACAGAGTAGCATAAACTGATAATGAAATTGTCCAAGTATGTTGAGATTCGCAGGTTGAGAAATCAATGCCATGATCATTTCAGTAATAATGTGACACAATATTTACCCCAAGGATTGGTAGGTATAGAAGTGAGTTTTCTTGAATCAATCATCCTAAAAACAAAAACAAATCTATCAACTATATATGACTAACCTGATTAGGGTCATCCACAACATTGTCCAGTTTCTTTGGCAGTGCGAAACCTGCAGCCTTCAGCTCAGCATAATACATCATGGAACTGATTTGCCACACCTTATGAATGGACACCTTGAGGCCAAAAGCTTTGTAGATCTGATCCAGGAACAATAGAAAGGAATACAGAAGGGGAATGTGTTGAATATGTTTTTTTGGGGTGACTCGATTGTGAGACCAGAGACATTGATGCCCATATGATACAATGACAAAGTGACATAGGTAAAGACTGCAAGCAGCTTCCTTCTTCCCAGTCAGCAGTCACTTTGAAGGGAGGTCAATATTACATTGCAGAAATTAATTGTTTTCTTAATGCCTACCGTATATCATATTGTTTGAAAAACTTGTAACCCTGACAAAATTAAGCATGATACCAATACAAACATCAATACATGGAAGGGCCTATTTTAAAATATTTTTGGGGGATATTGGTACCGTAGTCGTTATTAAACCTTACTTCATACAAGATTGAATTGACTGACCATCATTTGAACTGGTTTTAATGACAACAAATGACACATTCAGATTTATATTTCATCAGAACTAATCTGTATAAATGCCCCATTGCACATGGTCAGTGGGCACATAGTCTGGAACATATGCTTCTGTTTGTTTAACCTCTGACATAGCTTGCATACCTACCTTCCTCTCCTCATCTGTCACCATGTCAAACTGACATCCAGTGATGTCTAACCACTGCAGTGCACCCTCTTGTGAGCCGAACGAGACAATCAAGACACGACCTCCGGCCTCCTCGACCTCTGGACGCCTTGTCTGGAGTTCGGCCACGTGGGTGCGTCACGGCTGTCAGGCAAAGTGTCGGAGTAGAACAAGAAGAAGACTGTGTGTTCCATCCAGGTATGACAACAATGTTGACATTCTGTAAGCATGAGCAAGCATAGAGGCTAGTACTGCATAATAGCTTCAAAAACATAAATGAACCATACACCCTACAGTCTTCTAAAAGATCAAAAATAATGTTCACTTTTTAGCTGGTAACATGGCACACTAGGTGACATAAGAAAAGACAAAGACAAGAATGAAGGGCTCCTTTTGAAAAGAAATTTGAAAAACATTTTTTATTTTCATTGGTATTTTACCTTTAGGCATAGAAAACGAAATAACTCACTGCAAAAATTCTTTGATATATTTGATAAATGGTATTTCTCGGTGAAAAAAGTGGCATTTATTATAAATAGGTAATTGCAACTTACACCCCAGTCCTTGCATTCTTCACCGTTAAATCACATGGTCCTTGAGATCCCACAATAAGCTTAAGGGGATTATGTATCCCTTCAGGAACGACAGACATCTGCTTTTGTGCGTTTTCAAGGAAATGGTCCCATTCAGTCTGTTGACGAACATCAAAAAGGTTACATTGATTTCATACACATATGTGTTTTACTTTTCCCATGTATATAGTATATAATGCATTACAGGAAGGCATTCAAATATTTGAAGTTATATAGATTCACAAATATGTCAAATAGAAACTGATTGATAAAACTGGGGGTGGCAAAAGTGTCTACAAATAATTACATTAAAAGCAGATTTGAAATATTAATCACTGTAACCTATCAGCTCCAATATTTTGGAAAATTTATTCCAATATAAGAGCAATCTGGGACATGTTGCCATCTTGAATTGTATTTCTTTTTTTATTTAATCAACTATTTTCGTCTTCCTTCCGACCATCATAAGTTACCAATTACTTAGCCAGTTTGGGTAAACAAAAGCTGTAGTATATCAGCATTTCCTTTCGCAATTAGATATCTGACAAATGATTACACTGAGACCTACCTCAAGATCTTCTAGCCCTGAGACAGCATCTTGAACAGTCTGGTGGTGGTAGTGACGCTTGAAGAGGCCTTCTAGATCTGAACGACTTACTATGTTCAAACTGAAAGAAAATATCAAATTGGTTTATGTTATATCTCAGTACTGAATAAAATACATGTGTATATATAATGTTTATCATTGTTCATATTATCACATGTTTATCATTGTTATACTATTGTTATATTGATACTATGTTGTAAATATGTTTGTACTCTTGTACCCCGAGAGGGGGTTGATAGAGTCAATAAAATCTTACAATCTTACCTAGAGTCTTTAGTGTATTAAAACAGTTTGAATGCAGATTGAATATATAACATTGCTGCTATGTCAGGGAGGTGTGAGCATGTATCAATAAAGCTGGAAAACAATACTTACAATGATTTGAATCTAGCCATTACTAAATTCATTGCTTTAACAATGTAAAAACAATTGGAAATACATAATATCTGTATTTTCACACACATAGGTGGGATATTGAAATTAAGTACCGGTAGGTGAGTGAGAAACAACATTAGAAAATCAAGGCAACTTTTTCAATTGACATGAGCAAGCATTGTAAAAGAAAAAGTGCTAAATTTCACATTCCCCTACCATTCTAGACTGGTCTATTTTTAAACTTCTGAGGAATGGCTCGACATATTAGCAATAATTACCTTTCTATCATAAACTGTCAATTCATCAAATTTGTCTCCAATGCAAGGATATGATATTCATGGCCAATCAACCATAATTGCAAGGATGTTGTTTACCAGACATGAGCAATCATGCATAGCAAATAGAACAATAGTATCCAGACAATTGAACTCCAAGACAATAATTTGACCCCATAAACTGGAGTAGGCGGGACCAGCGTTTCGTAAACATGAAATTATTGCCAGCTACAGGTGCATGGGACAACAATTTATCAAATGCGGAAAACTAGCAATGAACTTTTGACCTGAAGAAATATTTAGCACAATCTGTTTCTTCAAAACACAACATTTCAATAGCAGTTGATATATCCATGCTGTGGGATGCCTTTTATGAGCCAAATGACACTATCAATATGCCATATACTAATTGCCAGATTAAACAATGGCTGTGTCTTTGACCCTAAGGTTCAGAGGTCAAAGGTTATGGTTAGAACTGTTGATGAAGCTTACATCTTTGGTGAAACTTAATAAGCTTTTCCCTTTTTTTATTCTAAATTCTCTTTTTTCTAATAACAGGAAGTCTACTTGTCATAACTTCTTTCTTGAACTTCATGAACCTTTTCGTCATCAGTTACTTAAAGATGATTTAGTTCAGATTTCATGCTGTCTGCATTTAACGATCAACATGAAAAATGTTGATGTGTTAAAACATAGAAGTTCAAAAAAGTTCAATCTGTACTGAAAGCGAAAATAAACATTGTGAACTTTGAATGCATTTCCAGTTCATGACTCTTTCGGGAAATATTCATCTACTTTTATTTGTTGTCTAGTATCATTGCAAGGTTGGTAGCTCAGAAGGGTTTATGTGAGCTTCCACAATAATGTCACAAAAAGGACAAGAAAACACATTTATAATCAGAAATTTCTTGGATCTGCAATGGTATGGAGTTTGGCATAAATGTTACTTTGTGTCATATGCAACCAAATTTTGAAGCACCCAGACAACAAATTCCAACAGAGATATTAAAAATGTGGTAGTATATCTAGACACGGCACATGTCCTTTGGCAAAGCAATAATCTTTGTTTGCCACTCAATACCCAAGAGAGAAATGTGGACCTGGTAAGAGGCCCTTACAGTGACCATATGGTAGTAATACTCCCCAGGGAGTGGAGATGGTGCATACTGTGAGTGAATGAATCCTACATGACCGGGGTAACACAATTTGTAAAGCGCTTAGAGTTAGAGACGATATACTGTATTAAGCGCTATATAAATCCAAATTATTATTATTATTATTAGAATGGCACATACTTATATATCTCTTTATGGGACAGCACACTTTACATTTTGCTATTTGTACACTTTATAAAAAAATTGAACAAATTAAAGATTGGAAATGACAAAGCTATCTTAGATTACTTGAAACTATATACTACCGGTAAGCTTTGGAAAAATGGAACAGTTTAACAAAATATTACCTAATGAGACAGTTGAATGTCGTTTGGGGTTTCATTTTTATATATGAAGAAATTATAAGGAACACAATATAAGTTACCTTGTGAAAAGAGAGTAGTAGATTCCAATTGATTGGCCAAGTTGAGAGATACCCGTTTCTATAACATCTTGCATAGCATCTGTTGGTGGTAGTCATTAATGGAAGATATAAACAGTCATTTGCTCCAAAACACTGTCATGTATAATAAAGCCTCATGGCCACCCCTCCCCCCCCCCCAAAAAAAAAGGTGAGAGGGGGGGGGGGAGCCAAGAAATTAAATTTTTAAAAACGATCAAAATTTGATCCTTATCAATAGACATATCATGTCATACAGGTTAAGAAAATTACTTCTAACCAAACCATTGTATGAAAATATCTACCGTATTCATAATTCTGATTTGCAACATACAAGTTTTTCTATACATCAATACAAACAGAATAATGAAATAATAATAGAATGGTTACTCTGGATTTGGCCATTATGTTGATGAAAATACACTAGACCAGATTAACTAAACATGACTTTAACAAATGTACTGTGACGGGCACGGTTCGCCACCTTGGCTTGACACGAAATATTTGTCAGGATGCCCCGTGTCTGGCCAGGCGCTCTCCGTCCGTTTGGACAAAATATATGCCCGTAGCTTGATGGCTGGATTTCTTCACTGCTCTCGTCACAGGGCGTATATCAACAATCGTGCATCCTTCGACTGCAATCGGTCACCCCAATCGTTGTGCACAGCAACAGTCAATTGAACATTCTTCGAGCAATCAATCAATCAATCACCATGCTTTGTCAACTCCTGTCACTGATTCTCGATCTCAATGTCTAACTACGGTTTCACTGTTCTAAGAAATCAGACCAATCATGAGTTGCATGTTGAATTCTTTTAGTGCGAACCAACCAACATTCAGGGCAAACTCGTTCAACAAGTACAAGTGTGGACTAGAAGTAAGACTTCAAGTAAAAACTAAGGCCAGCGCCAATTACAAGTAGGCCAGCCTCGGTGAGGCTGGCCTGTATCGGATACAGTGCAGTGGAAAGTCCTAATTACACAATCCTGACCATCCTAAAAAATTCCCTATACATAACCGTATAAAAGAACAATTATGTCCTCGTTAGTAAAACAACACTTCAACACAATATTTCTGCTAATCCCATAAAATCTTCACATATAATCTTCAGTATAACCCCTTATTCCTGATTAGATCACTACTATACAAGTAATATCCCCAAAAGAAACATGATAATTGCACCAACATGATCAAAATATGTAATTTATGCTCATTTTCCTACAGTTTGGTAATTGCTAAATCAACGATGCACCATATTGCTATAGCGCATGCTCGTACAACAGAAAATGCTTAACCTTCGTCCCATACTAAAACCCTGATTTGTTACACGATTCCCTTCCCTCCCAAGCTTGGTCCCCAAGCTAACTTATCTCTAACTTATGCAACAACAACAAATCATAACATGTTATCAAAACAATTCAAAACTAAAATCCAAGTCTTTTCTGATAGTTCAAAATGGCTCTTTCCAAAAGTGTTCAACTGTTCTAGAGTTAGTTCGTTTCCTTTCCTTCTCAGCATCCCTGGGCTCATTGTTCTTTCTCTCCATTGTCGTTCCGCACTTCCGTCAGCTCGACCAGTTGCAACACCGTCAATGCTACCTCCCGTCGTCCCCAAGCTCCGTCAGCTCGACCAGCTGTGACGCAGTCAGTCTTACTGCCCGTTGCCCCCAAGCTCCTTTAGCTCGACCAGCTGTGACGCCGTCAGTCTCACTGTACGTCGCCCCCAAGCTTTATCAGCTCGACCAGCTGTGACGCCGTCCGACCTACTGCCCTTCGTCGTCCCCCAGCTCCGTCAGCTCTACCAGCTTGTGACGCCGTCAGGCCTTCTGCCCGTCGTCCCCCAGCTCCGTCAGCTCTACCAGCTTGTGACGCCGTCAGACTTACTGCCCGTGGTCCCCCAGCTCCGTCAGTGCTACTGCCGTCGTCCCCTAGCTCCGTCAGCTCGACCACTCCACGCCATCAGCAATCCCACTTCTGACACCATGTGTGACGGGCACGGTTCGCCACCTTGGCTTGACACGAAATATTTGTCAGGATGCCCCGTGTCTGGCCAGGCGCTCTCCGTCCGTTTGGACAAAATATATGCCCGTAGCTTGATGGCTGGATTTCTTCACTGCTCTCGTCACAGGGCGTATATCAACAATCGTGCATCCTTCGACTGCATTCGGTCACCCCAATCGTTGTGCACAGCAACAGTCAATTGAACATCCTTCGAGCAATCAATCAATCAATCACCATGCTTTGTCAACTCCTGTCACTGATTCTCGATCTCAATGTCTAACTACGGTTTCACTGTTCTAAGAAATCAGACCAATCATGAGTTGCATGTTGAATTCTTTTAATGCGAACCAACCAACATTCAGGGCAAACTCGTTCAACAAGTACAAGTGTGGACTAGAAGTAAGACTTCAAGTAAAAACTAAGGCCAGCGCCAATTACAAGTAGGCCAGCCTCGGTGAGGCTGGCCTGTATCGGATACAGTGCAGTGGAAAGTCCTAATTACACAATCCTGACCATCCTAAAAAATTCCCTATACATAACCGTATAAAAGAACAATTATGTCCTCGTTAGTAAAACAACACTTCAACACAATATTTCTGCTAATCCCATAAAATCTTCACATATAATCTTCAGTATAACCCCTTATTCCTGATTAGATCACTACTATACAAGTAATATCCCCAAAAGAAACATGATAATTGCACCAACATGATCAAAATATGTAATTTATGCTCATTTTCCTACAGTTTGGTAATTGCTAAATCAACGATGCACCATATTGCTATAGCGCATGCTCGTACAACAGAAAATGCTTAACCTTCGTCCCATACTAAAACCCTGATTTGTTACAGTACTGATGGAAAAACAGGTAGAATTTTTTTTTTAAAAGAAACAATTTAATGCAAGAAAAAAGAAGAAGTTATACCTTTGAGTTTGAACTTCAACTTGACTCCTTCCAATACTCCTTCCAGTAATTGTGTGTGATGTTCAACCACAGAGACCAAGCTCTTCTCATCTGCCATAGCTACGGCCTAGTGTGAATTAATATATCACAATCATTAGAGTTAGCCTGTTTTGGGGAGTGCAAAGTGACAAATCCTTGCCCTCTTTTATGACTGGGCTATTAATATTATAAGCTGACAGAGAGTTCTCAGCTCAAAAGGGAACAAAACTTGCTTATGAAAAATCCCACCACTTCAGGAGCGAGTATATGTATTCTAAAGTGCACAAAAGTGGTCTGGACGTTTCAATGTCTAAAAGATCTGTTGATCATTCAGGGAATGTGAAGAATTGTCCAAGTGAATGGAATAATAATATAGTAATACTAATACACAGTTTGGGGACATCAAAGTCATCAGGAGGCGGCCGGAGGCTCATTCTTAAAATCTTTTTACATTATTTCTCTTTATTTATATCCCAACAACTGCAGAATACCCTGCGCATTATTCTACCCTATCACTAACCCTACCGGATTCCATGTGGGCATTCTCAGCTCAAATGTGCAGGGTATTCTGCAGTTAAGTCAATATGCCCGACATCAAGTTCACAAACATGAAGTCAAAACAACGCAACGCAACGCCCCTTTCCTGACGATGGCAGTGCAGTAGGCCCTGCCGCGCCCCACCCCTTCCCGATCCCGTCGACAAGGTCAACAAAGACATGACATAGATCTAGGCCTAAAATCATAGCGCTAGCCATCCATGGCCATATGCAAAGAAAGTTTACGTTATTATTTTATGCTTTTACTTACTCTTGTCCCTCACACATCAAACTATCTTGTCTTCAGTATGTTTAACACTAATTTCATACGTTTTTGTAGTGATCCACTGTTCAAATTGCTAGAAAATCGTGATAAATTTCAACTTATCGTCGCGGTCTGGAATTGATGGTATCCTCAAGTTCGCAAATAAAAATGAAGAATAAAGATCATAATCAGTGAAGAAGAATGGTGAGGGCTTTACGTGCATTGAATGAATTGATTGATACATTGGCAAAATATGTTTTTTTCTATTTCTATACAATAAGTAGAGGCAATCTTAAATGCAAGTCCGATGTCACCTATTACTCTAATTGTATATGTGTTATTATGAACGTTATATTAGTGTGAAATAAAGTTCACAATGAAGGGGGGCCGGGGAAAGATGAGGAACCACCACGCATATAACCTTCTTCTCCAAAAATAATACTTCCTTATCACCTGGAGTGTTTGATTCTAAGAAAGATTAATATCGTAGGAGGAGATGGAGACATATGATTCAATTCCCATGCAACCAGTCAGTTCTGGAGGCGTTGGACAAAGGAGTATATTCCCTTGCTCCAAGAACGCCAAATACTAGGTGGATTAAACTACAAAGGATTTTTCAGACCTGCAACGATCTTGTAACCGTTGCTGATTATGCTGCCCCTCGAGCGGCCCTCGAGGGCATTGGCCATTTACTATGACGTACTAAGACAGACACGGACTAGGCAGGTGGAGGTTAAAATAAGGTCGAAATGCATTTACCACAATATATGAACGACCAATTATCAACAAGCTTGCCTATCTAGAAGGTGAAAATTAGGTTAGCAACACTATACTCTTGAAGATCTAGCTACAGCTAGGACCACGCCCTTCACGGTGATTTAGATTCTTACATAACGATAGTGATTAATTGTAAGATGTGTTATTCTTGATACTTGATGAGGTAATCCCTGAAGCAGCTTTTCCAAGCTATGGGATGGGATGTGTTGTGACAGCAGGTGAAGGTGTAGACCGAAAATTTCTGTCTCTTTCGTTCGTTAGCCTCTGATTTAAGCCGACCCCCCCCCCCCCCCAAAAAAAAAAAAAATTTAAAAAAATAAATAAATAAATAAATAAAAAAAAATCAGAGGTTAACGAACGAAAGAGACAGAAATTTCGGTCTAGTGAAGGTGCAAACAACAAAAGGGTGTACAATTTCTATATAGGCATACAGTAAAACAGTGACGTGCAAGTAAAAAAAAATCATGCTATGTGATGGTTTATTGTTTATGTCACATTGCTTTGTAACAGATATTGTTGATGCCGATTTACATGTTTATTATTAGCTAATGAGTATGATGGTTGCGTCATAATTTTGGGACCGGATATAAATAATAATACTAGCAAGACTTAACTTGGTAAAGTGTAATAAAGTGTCATCTTTGCACATGCAAGTTTGTGGTACAGTAACACAGTGCTCGATCTATGTGCTCCTTAATAATTATTGTTTGCATTAACCCCGATGGAAGGTGTGATAAATGTCTTATAATATATAGCCCAGAAAAAAAGAAAGTAGAATCAGAAGTTATATACTGAGAAGAAAGCGGTAAAGCCATACCTTTAAATTACTGTCAAAGTTGTGAACATTCCCAGGTGACTGCAGGCAGTTGGCAAGTCATATTTGCATTATTATCGAAGTTTATGCTGTACATTATCATTGAACTTATTCATATTTAGACATTTGGGCGTGACGGAATTTCGCACTTTGCTCTCCGAGGATTATGTGTACTGAAGTCAGTGTAGTGTAAGTTAGATTCAATGCGTTATATTTTATAACGCTCCATATCTTCCATATTTATTAATTTATTTCTATTTTTTGTTAGGGTAGCCCCATTCACCAATAAGAAGTGGTCTTCCATGGGCCCTGCATAATTATGAACATATTTACATCAAAAAGCATAACGTTTATACGGAACAGTTAAAATAAAATTCCAGAGTACATTTAGAAAGATATAACACAGCAATAAAGACGTGGCACAAACGAATACTCGTGTGCAAAATAATTATGTATCAGTAACCTAGTTCAATTGTAATGCCATATGATTATGTACAAGAAATATCGTGTCCTTTATATCCAGAAGAACTTCACACGGATTAGAATCGTATATGAAAAATATCATCTTTATATTCTTTCTCCGAGAAATTATTGTCATTTGCATAAGCTGGTGATTTAATACTATGAGACAAACCAAGTTTCTGGAAATTTTAAGGGATTTGTTCCCCAAATGATGTTTATGCAGCTGGTCCCATTTCCATACTAGATTGTAAATTATAAATATTCAACTGCAGATAATATTCCTGATGCTCAGTTTCTAACATAAGTGACCTTAATCGTTCTTATTTTATTTATTCAGTTAAATCTGACATACGAACTAAATCATGTTAAGCAAAGGACAATCTGAGACCATTATAGATGCACATGTAGTCTAACTCCCTTTGTTGAATTTAACCATAGACATAGCTTTCACCAAGCAGCATCCGGTTGAATTTCAGAGGAGTATAGGATACCGAAATACATCCGTGTAGGCCTATATGATTCCAACCCCCCCCCCCTTTTTTTTTTGTATCTTTCACTTTTGTCCCATTCCTATAACACTGCAATTTATTTAGAAATTTCATGTATACGGGAATGGGACCAGCCGCACATACAAATCCCTTAAAATCATCCAGGAACTTGAACTCGAGTTTTGTCTCAAACTAATCACTAAATAAATGAAATGGTGGGTGCATCCAACCTAAGTCTTGAAGCTCGTATTCTACAAATTTGAATACAGTAGATATTGTTGGTGCTGAGGTGAACTCTAGCTTGTTAAATTCCATAGAAAATAGAGCTACACAATACTGACGGTTCAATCACATCTCGGAACATAAATGCATGTTATCTGAAACTGAAAGTCATAAAGACAGGTTAATAGAGATTGGTGCCATTTGGATCACTGAGACACCAATACAAAGAATTTATTGTTGGCATGAACGCAAAATGTATTTTCCACGTTCACTTTCAAGTACTTAATTAAGCACTTAATCGAGTAATTAATCGAGGAATTCCCTTAGCTTGCGTGTAAATAAGAAATACGCTACCGGGAGACCAAGCAGGCCAAAAAACTAACTAGCTGACATCACCCCACCCCCCTCCCTTCCCCACTTATAACGCTTTTGAAGCTAGGGGCGTTTGAAGGAACATGTAACAAACGGGTAGCGGTGATCACGGGGTGGGGGGGGGGGGGGGGAGACAAGAAAATGACTGAGATAAAATAAACATGATTAACACAAACAAATAGCATACATTATGTTCTACAAAGGGGGTCGCGAGATGCCCCCAATCATTTAGGGGAACAAAGGAAAGGTAGAGCATGCAAGAAAGAGACAGAGAGAAAAAGGAACTAAACAGGATGGTGGAAGTGAGATAGACCCCTCGATCTTGGACCCCACCTTCCCACCTTCTCTAGATAAAATGGACATAGTGAGGTGATACATAGGAGAGAGAGAGAGAATGGAGGGGGGGGGGGTACATGTATAATGGTACCTAAAAATACAAAGGGTGTGGGGTTATGTTTGAACTCACCAATATCCTCTTGGCAGATCACCATCATTGTGTAACATTAATCCAATAAGTTATTATCATGTTTATAATGGATGTTAAACATTCATAATAAAGGGGAAGTCCACCCTGAATAAGTTTGTCTTACTAGAATCAGAAAAATTAGAGGAACAGGTCATTGAAAGTTTGAGCAAATTCCGAATAAAAATAAGGAAGTTAATATAAATCTGAAGTTGCGATCACTGCGAGCTCTTCTATAAAATTGTATACACTTTCATTTTCCTCGTTATTGATGACGGAATAGACTTTTTCCATACAGGGGTTGTATAGAAATAAATTTGCGATAATTGCATATAATATGGTTGAAAAATTTCTAGCGGGAAGATAACAATCTATGATATGTTTTTTTAAAGAACAGAGCAAATGGGAGGAGAGCTCACAAGATACGTCACAGAGTTGCCAATTTGTGTTTGATTGATCACAACTTTGATACAAATTTAATCAAACATTCACTGACCCGTTCCTCCTTTGGTTATGCTTCTATTCAAACCAACGTAACATCAGGGTGGACTTCCTCTTTAAAGAGTATTATTAAAGTCAGATATATTTAGGCCTGAATCATCCGGGCCAATATGTAACCTGTCTAGTGTTTAATTGAATTTCCTTCCCTTTGGTAATAATCCTTGTGTGTTTTGTTTAATCTGTTAATATAATTTTCTCGATCATGACTGTGTGTATACAGTCTGAAATGATTCTGGAAAATAAAAGAAGACACGTGGAGTATATATTAGATACACGATAGCTTGAATATCATCTTTGAGCTATTCACTTGATATCATTTTGCTGATGAGAGGTGGAAGTGATTGAAAAAGAGTCGGGGGACAATGGAAGAATAAGAAGAGACAAGGAAGTATATAATACAAAGCCTTGGATCGCAATTGAAAATCACAAGGTGACAGGTCAGCTTCTCAAAGTAAATGATATTATTCTGTAAACGAATAAATCACCTGGAGCCATGCAGAAAGGGCATTACTTTAGTATACGTCCTTCTGGCTCAGAAGAAGAAGAAAAAGATTGTTCTTTATATTTATTGGTCATTTGACCCATAGTGTTTTTAATTTTAAAAACATTATGAGAATTTGAACTAGTTCTAATTGTTAACCACAATTTATTGTTAGATGCATGAAAAGAGCTTTGTACTTCAATGCCGTCCACTTGAAAATGGAATGCCAAGGGCTGATGGAGATTGATGGACCTCAGTGACTGATTACTGCTAGGCAACGGAGATACATAGTCTCTGAGACGGGCACTCCCTTCCGATCGCTTGGACGACAAAGCTTGCCAAAGGTTTCTCTGACATGATTTAAATCAATAGGGGCCTACACAATGCGGAATAGCCACCACCGCACTGCTATGTGGGAAAGTATAGTTTTTTTTGTCTTCCTCTTCCTTCTCCTCCTATTCTTCTTCCTCCTCCCCTTCACTCTCCTCCTCTACATTTTGCTTTTTCCTATTCTTAATCTCCTCCTCCTCCTCATTCTCCTTTTTATTTTTCAGAGGGTTATATGCAGAATATTATGAAGATGAAAAGAAGATTAAAGTTCATATTTCCAGACTATGTGACTAAGAATAGACACAAAATTCTATGATGATAAAGTTGACACTTTAGTTTAACTTTCCATTGCTCATGGTTGTGCTCGTATAGTGATGCGTGATTGTAGCTTTATCTGGTGGAATGTCCACAATATGAAGAGGGGTATTTCTGTCTCCTTCATCTGTCACTTCCGATTATAAACCTCTTCCTTCTTTCATTTATGATGGCACAATAACAGGGGCGTATCCAGCACTGTAAACGGGGGAGGGTCCAGTTCCCCAAATCTTTGACATGCAACAAAATATATGTGTCTTCTCTGACCCCTGGATCTACCTTCACTGTTTGTTAACTTTATTTATATATATATATACAGAGAGTGATAGATGGAGAGAGAGAGAGAGAGAGAGAGAGAGATTAAAGGGAAGATGTGTTCAATCCATTTTTTTATAATATGCCTACAATCTCCACTCCAGACCGTTCATTTAATTTTCAAAACATTTAATATGAAATGTGATAAGGTATATAGTGTGCAGAGCACTCCCCTAACGAAACAAAAAAAGACAAAAGAAAAACACCAAACTATCACATGGATGTAAAATAAATCATGAGGTATTTATAATTGATGTTTACTATTTTGGCTACTGGTATAGATCTCTTAGTAAGGACACATGGGATATTTCTTCTCTTTTGTATATGTCAGGATGACACCCCAAGGACTTAAAATGTCTGATTCAACACTAAAAATACATTTTTGCATGTGTCTGAAATCAATAAGCAATCAGAAATAAGAAATGTAATTATAATGCTTTTCACCTAATATTTGGAGTGTTGACCTGGGGAAACAAAAAGGTATTCTGATACAGAGTTACATTCCTCATGTCAGGAAACGCTCTTGTTTACATCAAAGGAAATTCCTCCTCTTTATGAGGAAGTCTGGTTCGTTAGATTGAAACTTGATCCTTGTACATCGCAAGTAGCGTTCATGGTTGATAATAAGTAGACTATATTGAAAGTTCTTTCAGACAATTCCCTTTCTTTTGGGAGTGGCTTGCTTCATTAAATTCTCTGGTATTGTTCCTGATTGCACCTTTTCATTTCCAATAAATAGTTAAAGAACAAACAAACAAAAAACCAGGATCTTGGATATTTATGTACCTTGTTTTTTAGTTTACAAAATTTATACGTTTAGAACAATTTAACATTTTGAAAGTTCAAACTACATGTCGTCTGTTCCGAGCGGAAAGAGTATTATAAATTCTGTGTTATATATGAGTTAATGCCCTCCTGGCTCCAAACAGACGGGGTGAACAGATAACCAGACTTATGTTGTGTCCCTAAAGACAGCTTTCAGTAAACTGCCAAGAAGGCACACTGAGGGAAACACATAAAATCCACCTTGAGCAGTATATTGTGTGTAGCACGGTCATGCCAGATCATCCTTTTTTTTTTTAAATCTGTGACTCGGTAAAACATTGTTGGTTGATGAAAACGATGTAAATTTTGTATTAAAAAATTGCTTATTATATTCCTTGTAACCCTCTAACATGTGAAAAATCTTCAAAAAATTCTCGAATCACAAAGATATTTATGGTTTTCTGAGAAGGCATCACTATGCGACACCCTCTATAACAGTAAATTCTCCTAACCATTTTTGAATTTTCCCCAACGGTTTTCCATTAAAATAAGACATAAGACGGGCTTTTTAAAATCAATCAACACTATAAAATAGGTCTTGAATGGTACATGGAGCCAATTCATTGCTTCGTGACAATTTACATTCACCTGAAATGTAATTAAATTGTAATAATATAGTTGGGAGAGTTAAGGAATCGATCAGATCATTTTCCCCAATTTTTATCATTAATAATGGTCTGTTTTCACTCAAACTTTCAGATTATCTTTAATTTTACATCTAGCATTGAAGTCACTACATTAGCACCATTTTCTCTCATCTAAACAATGTTACCAAGTCCCTTTAGAGGGATAAAACAATGTATGTTCTTCTCAGTCCTAAGACCTAGAGTACTTATCTGATCAGCATGTATACATATAGAGAGATCTGTATTGCTGCATAATTGCCTTTCATCCAAAACACTCAACAGCTCACATTATTCCAACATATGAACACAAACAAATTTTCAATGCACTCTCCTTTCTTAAAGATTTAATGCTTCACTTTTTGACAATTACAGACATTTATTTAAAAAACAAATACCAAATCCTCTATTACCTCTACAAACTATAAATGGCAAGCAGATGCTGAATGAACTTCGCTTCATGCCACTATAATGAGAACAATTTCTCACAAGTGATATCAACATAAAATTTTCTGCATCTGCATTTCTAAGATATAATGTGCAATTTATCTTTCTTTGAACTTGTGAAGTGTCTACACATTCAGGTTTTTTTTTTCTTCTTTCTTCTCATAAAAAAGTTCAAAATTATTCATTTTTTAAAATGACTTTGCTTGACTTTGTAAGTTGTCGGAACACACAGAAAATTTTCCTATTACCTCATGGCTCCATATGTTTCCTGCTAAAGAAGCAATATATTGAAAAATGCCTGGTTTAACAATCCATTCTACTGCTCAAATAGGTTTACTTTGAAGTTTGAACCTTGACTTGTGAAACAAGAGAATGTTTCAGTCATGATCCACCTTTGTACAGTGTACAAATGATCCCAATATGCCTACATGCAGCAGTTATAATTGAAGAAAATCAAATCAAATGAGTGATATACAGTGACCCCATATCATTGCTGCAATGTTATATAAAAAACATAATTAATCTACATCTCCAATCAACATTTACAACCAATTTAACAAATAGCATTCTAATTTTAATAAAATATGAATAAAGATAGGGGAGGGGATATACATGTATATTATGCAACTGCTTCAGCATTTTTAGTATTTCAGACATTCAAAGACTTCTGTTATAATTTAAATGCAAGCAAATTTCAAAATATACAAAATCTATTAGACCAGGGCAAAATTCCTAAAAAAGAAAAAAAAATGAAAAATATGGTATGGCCAGTGAAAACACTGTTTAAAAACATGTGAAATTGTGTATGAGAACATGAAATCTTTGTACATACACTTTATGTACATATATTTAACAGCTCAACCAACAATACATTATTCCTTCTTCAACATTACCAGTGTAGATCATTAATTCACCACTGAAAAAACCTGAATTGTTTATATTATCATCTCTAGAGTACATTGGAAAAGAGTGCACATACATACATGTACATCATAAATGAAGAAGAAAAGCCATCAAACAAGAAAACCTCCATACCAAGCAAGCACATTCTTTCTTAAAATGTCAATAACTCTAATGATAACTGTATACTGCAATCTTCAGAGTTTCACAGATCATCTTGAATATTCTTCTACACGAAATGTACCAATTTTGGTAACAATCGAGCTACTACATGTAATAAAGAATAACTTGAAGTACTTGTGAATAACAGGATGGTTATCTTAGTATGTTATCTTGAAAAGCTGATGATGAAATAAATGCAGTAGTAAATGTATCATGTTACAATAATTATTTTATGAGTCATGAACTATACACTATGACTCACATAACAAAACTCTGTGTACATTATACAAAATAGATAGATAGGAATTTGGCTTACTATAAGTTTTTATACACAATCACTAGTACTTTGGTAACAATTACAGTCACTGCACCACATGTAGTGGCTGTAATAATGGCCTAATAACTGTCAAATACCATGACATTGTATTCAACGGCATATAATCATCAATTAAATGTCTGGATATAACAGACTATGATGGCAATCTCATTAACATTTTATATCTGCTGGTATAAAGAAAAAACAATTTGATGACACACCCACACAGCTACATTACATGCAATACAACTCAATATAATATACATAGAGTAAAGATACATACAGTGTTGGAAGCAACTAATATTCTTTTATAGATTAAAAAGCAAATATTGATTTTAAAAATTCTTACAATATGAACTTTGAAGCACACAGTGCGAGAGTTGCCAATGTTAAAATAGTGTTGTGTTAAACTGTCAATAGTTGAGGATAAACCACTGCATGCACCAGCCATGTTTGTTTTACAATGGCAATGAATGAATCACATGAAACTGAAACTGACATGAAGGCAACTCCACTGAACTATACAATAAATATACATGTACATGTACGTGTAGTTAACACTTGTGCCATATTGTATCGTACTGTATGAAAATCAGCCAGCATCAAGGTACATGTTTCATGTTGTCTTTTTATCACCATGTACCCCGGTACATGTATCAACATAATTGATCATACATCACTGCTCATTACATAATATACAAGTATTTGAACTGGAAGAGTCTTGGCACTTTCTTTTAAACAAGTACAACATGTCATGAAGTTCAATTCACTGCCATTTTTAAATTCGCACTAATAATTAACATACATGTAGTTAATGATGTATGTCTGTATGTATTAGATGTCAATATTTTGGCCTATAAATACGTATCATGTTTGCAATATCGCTTTGAAAAGAAAAGAAAAGAAAACCAATACTAGAACAAATTTTAACTGTAAAGAGCTACTCGCAACACTGCCATCAGATTGTCAAACCCCAAGCTACATGTACATGTAGAAGTGTACCGGTATTACAAAGTGAAATTATTATACAAATATAATTCTGTAGTTTTTGTAACATGTACCAGAGTATGGTCAGACTAACAATCGTATTCATACTACAAGGATTTGGAAAGAGACCAACAAAGTATGAAAAAGTATCATTTCCTAGTCTTTCTGTATCTGTGTGGCTTGGCAAAAATTACAGTATCTGTCCTTCATTTTGCAAGATAATGAAATACAATCTAACTGCACTGATGTACAAACCTTGAGCCGATTATGATTGAGGAAACAATAAAAAGTCATAGAATGTACATGTGTATTCCATTTAATTTGTAAATAGATCACTGAGTTCAAATGCTACCAATAAAAAGAAGTGCACCCATTGTACAGCTATGTACATTGTACAGTAGCAGTTGTCAAGTCATAATTCAAATTCTGAAATATGGGTTTTGCTCAAACAAGGGTGTAGAATCCTAACAAACATGCACATGTATAAATAGAAAGAAGGATAGTGATGGTATTTTAAGATAAATGTACATGTACAAAAGTACATGTACTGTACATGTAGTATGTTTTTAGTGCAGCAATGAATATTTTCTATCCTGGGATGTTCTTTCTCATTTGATAAGATATATTTGATCATATAGAAAGTCTTGATTTTCAATATAGCGGTACGCAAAATGAAAGTCAAATGTCATATGTTGAGAACTTCTCAAATAGATTGTGAAGTTCAAATCAAAATTGTCAGAATACAAACACTTGCATCCTAAAAGGACATAAAACCTCTGTGTGGCTTGTACAAGTACAAATTGTACAGGCATGTATGCATGTGAGTTCATTGACATTGTCACATTTGTAAGCTTCTTATCTAAAGCAGAAAAGAAGAGGGTATTGACTACAGGATTTGCAATGTTCACAGACCTGTTTTGATCTCAGTATGTACACACATGATCAATTTCATACATGAAGCACAGGCATGATACTTGGGAAATACAGCATTGTTACTGCCCCAAAGGTGTACAATGACGATAAGATATGGTAAATATCCATTACAACATGTAGTACTACTCCTGGTCTTTGGGAACGAAAAAAGTACAAAGTACAATCTTCACACATGGTTACAATAGAAACACATGTAGACACAGTTTTACTTGAGATGAACTTTTCACTGTACCTTAATACCTTCTTGCACAATTCAAACATTCATTACATGTAGGTAAACACCAAAACTCCTTTAACTCTTTCAATCATCCTACTACCACATATTTCAAATATGGAAAATAGTTGAACGGGTATCTGAAATTGAATTACAGATACATTAGACATTGTACATTATATCGTTGCACGTAGACATACAGGGGAAGTTCACAGGGATAGCAGAAAAAGACACTGAGCATCAAACTACTTTATGTGGGTGAGACCAAAACAAATTAATTAAGAGGAAGTACTAACAGGAACTAAGTGTACTTTCATTTGATATCAAATGCTACTTATGTTGGGAATACCAAATGTTCCCCCTATACTCCCTTTACTTTCAGTTCTAAGTGAGCTCAACTTACATGGGAAACTGGACTTCATCATACAAGGATCAGGATATATTGTATTATAATGTTGGATTGTTAGTTTATTTTAGAGTTAATTTTGTCTTTAATTGAAGGGAGCTTTGAACTTACAAATCAATCTACTCAGAAACGTGCACACTCTTAAAAGAGAATTAACTTTTATCTTATATATCTTTTTTCTATCCTTATGTAATTAGGTATGTACAATGTACTGTTGCAATGTAAATTAGTATTACTATAACCCAATTAATCATTGTGGATCGTGACCACTGAATCCCCTTTTACTTGGGGGTACCAAATGCCATGGTAGCTCTGAGGGAAGTTCATGCCCCTCTACTTTGATAGATATGAGATGTAAGCACAGACCAAACTCCTCTCTGTCCAGCATACCATCTCGGTCCACATCAGCCAGCTTCCATATCCTACCGAGTGAAATGTTGGGCAGCTTGGATTTGATCATGTGCTTCTTGGCCACGGTACCAGAGACCTTATTCTCGATGGGACCTAGGGAATTGAAGACCTTCTCATATTCATCCATCTTATCTTCCACTACCCACGTCTGGATCTCATTCTTGCCGAAGTCTGCACCCTCTCCGTATCCCATGCCGAATGGACCAGCCTCGTCCGCGACGAAAGCTCCGCCCCTGATGAGCTGCTTCTTATCCAGAGCCTCTTCGGTAGGGATCATCTGCATGAGACGGGTCATGTCGTTGCTCAACATAAGATCCACCTTCTCAATCATGCGTGGCTTGAGGGTGTGGAACTTGGTGAAATCCATATCCTTCAGGACTTCCCGCATGCGACTGAGAGAGGGGAAATCCCCTGGTGAGATCTGGTAGGTTCGCTCTACCTCCTTGTATACTTCAGGTAGGTTGTTGATCAGCTCTTTCTTCTTGGCATCCTTGCCAAACATGGATGGCATGTCGCGTTTCAGAATGCTCATCACATAGGCATGGACCTACAAAAGGAGAAAATTAGAACAATGGGAGAAGGATGAATAAAATGATATTATTGGTATTTGAAATAAAATGTACATAATATATACACACATCAACATGATACCATGTGCAACATTTATAAAGAAGCTCCATGTAAGCTCTGTATGCATGTATTGTACACTTGAATGAAAATCTCTTGGAGCCAATAACAATCTTTCCACATTCCGATCATGATGTCAAAGCATATTTCTGTATTAATGTGAAATCAGTGGAATGTGTCTACATGTACATGGTGTAAATGTAAACACTGAACTCCTTGCACTGAGAATTGTAACTAAAGAACAAAAAGAACTGTTGGAAATGGTAACAAAATCAATGAAAAGTGCAATATATGCAACTATGCATGTAGACAGTGAGGCAGGGACTCTGAGTAATTTACCCCCTGTCCACACACAACATTTTTGATGATTAGCTATACCGTTTCGCGATAGTGATACCGTTTCGCAATAGTTTTACGATGAAAATTGTGTATGTGGACGCTCACTAACGATACGTCGTATAACGAAACTAGTCTAACGAAACGCAGGTTTGGGCATCGTTTCGAACTGAAACTCGATAAAGAATCATGCCTAATTACGGAAAATGTTGTGTGTGGACAGGGGGAGTGTAACTAGTGTAACTAACTGGGCGGGGCTTAACTTGACCTCGAGCGAAAGGAGACCAGACCTCTCATTTTCGCTTCCATTTCATGACCGCAGTAGCAAACTGCGCACCTATACGACATTTCGCTGTAGGGTTTCAGGATTACTTTCTTCTGTGTATGGACATCCTGGAATTTATACAATGATTATTTATACGACGTTTCTTGTGTGTGGACACTCTGAAATTTATACGATGATTCTTTATACGACGTTTCGTTATAGAGTTTCGGGATAAATTGTTTTGTGTGTGGACATGCTGATAGAAGGGTTGTGATCAGAAGAAAGTAGAAACAAGTAATAAAAGGAAGGACATAGATAATATTTTTGACTTTTGAGAGATGAAACAACTTTAGCCACGTAAATATTGATCCCTTTTTCAATCAGTGTTGTTTAGTTTTGTATTGCAAGTGGAAAACAATTTCCGGTTTGTATAATTTGTTATTAAACATATCATTCTCTAAGTACATGTGCATTTATGGAATGCCAATACATTTTTAGTTTCAGTTTCTAAGCATCTGGTATATTTATAGGGAATTGCAGGCCTACTGATAGCATTACTACACTAAATGTTCTCATGTACATGTATGTACACATGTAGACTTCAATTCTATCTTTCTTTTCACTGCCTCCACAGATTAACACAGTTGTGTGGTTACAAGAAGAACAGCCCAAAAATATGCATGCCAGTTACTTGCATGCTTATACATGTATGTAGTAAACACACGTACCGTAGTACATGTACGAGCATCAAGACAAGGGAAAGTATTTCATTCAGTTTTGGATTATCTTCTCTAAAATGAGCCTTATTATAATGCAAGGCCTCCTTCTGCAGATAAGAAATACTAGGAAAATGATGAGCAAAAATGTATTTTGTTGATGTAATTTTTTAATGACCTGTTTTTGTTTTTCTTCATTTCATTTTCATGTTTTGAGAGGGGGGGGGGGCTACCTTAAAACAGTAGAGACTCAAATATATATTGTGCCGTACATGTAGGTGTGTGTGTGTGTGTTTTTAATTAAGTGAAGCTTTGAATTAAAATATTGCCACTTGTTCATTAAGGTCATTGATTTTGATAATTAAAGGACCAATTGACTTATTTTATATGTTTACATACATGTAGTGCTAATGTAATTTACATGTATGAGGCAACTACAAGTGAAACTTCCTGCTGAAGCTGGGTCTAATTATATCTGTATCCATTCTAGATTGAATAAAGTACATCTTTCAAAAATGAGCCAACTCAATGACAATATGTTTTCAATTTCAACTATGCATGACAGTTGTTAGGACTCAACCAACTGTGCCAAATGTCAATCAGAGGTGATGTATTTACCATCACTTAACTGGGAAGTATTTAATTAATACACAGGAACTATCCCCAAATCTAATCATGACTGGAGCATGAACTTAAACTGGTCATATTAACTGCTTCAATGGACAGAAGTTGTTGTGAAAGAATTCAGACAAGATCAGCAAATAGTTTCAATATTAAATTACAACACACACCCCCCCCCCACTCCCTCCACTTTTACAAACATACATGTACATGTACATGTACAGAACTTGAGGAAATGATGGGGAGTTCATTGGAGTGTATAGCTAGCGATAAAAATGCAGGTACACAGAAGCGGTAGTCACTAAGATTAAGAAACGGTGAGCAATTTATCTCTCAAAAGCTTCAAAAGCGCTCCAGTAAATTGAAAAAGAGCTCTGGTAAAATGCAATAACATATTTTAATATCACTGTGAGAAAATCAAACCAAATCCTAAGTGCGCTCCCGTGAACACAAGAGTATTTGTTTACACCGATAGAAAGTACATGTGTCATAGGCCTCCAGCTTTCTTGGGTCAAATATATTATACATGTAGGTAGGTCTCCTCCTGGGAATCATGGGTCAAATGAACGTCTCAATGATATCAACACATTCACATTTTCCAGACTGCTACTGTATTGAGGAAAGAGTGTGTGGGTATGCTTGTGTGTGTGATAGGAAAACCATAGCGGATATGTACAAAATGTGGAGTGAAGGCAGGAAGGGCTGATACATACATGTAATAGTGAGTAACTTTAGAGACATCTAAAGTGAGTAGAACAGAGAGGACCAGGGATGTACGGGAAAAAAAGGGGGCATTTACAGGGTTTGAATGGGACAGAAGGATCAAGTTAGACTCTAGATTGACCCTGGGTATGGAGAACAATCATTATGTTACCGGAAGTCTAAGATGTACATTGGGAATGAATGATGTACATGTTTTAATCTGTAAACTTATTAAATTAGTGTTCACATGAATCCATCAACATATGACTTTCTTGCCAAGTAACAAATTATGTACATCTAAGGGGTACTACAAAATAATTGGTTTGTTAACATGGACATTTGTAACATGTACCTATATACAGTGTAAGTAGGTTTCATGTTAAAACTGACAGGCAAATTTCACTTGCCTGTTAAGTAACTTTAAAAATGCTTGCTAGGTGCTACCATACCAGTATAAAACTAGATGGAATTTTGACTGCGCGCAGTCGAAAATGATGCCTCCGCCATAGAGCAATTTAAACAAGTTTGGAGTTTAAATCTCCAGTGGTTCTTGAGATATCATGATAACAATCTCAATGTATGGAATTTCATAAGTTGACCTCTGTGACCCTTGACCTTTGACCTACGTGCTCCAAAATCTAATCAGATTGTCTTCCTAATGGTGATACACACTATCATAAGTTTGAAGTTTAAATCTCCAGTGGTTCTTGAGATATTATGATATGGTGATACATACTATCATTAAGTTTGAAGTGAAAATTCTCCAGTGGTTCTTGAGATATCACGATAACGATCTCAATGTATGGAGTTTCATAAGTTGACCTCTGTGACCCTTGACCTTTGACCTACGTGCTCCAAAATCTAATCAGATTGTCTTCCTATGGTGATACACACTATCATTAAGTTTGAAGTTAAAATCTCCAGTGGTTCTTGAGATATTATGATAACAATCTCAATGTATGGAATTTCATAAGTTGACCTCTATGACCCTTGACCTTTGACCTACGTGCTCCAAAATCTAATCAGATCGTCTTCCTATGGTGATACATACTATCCTTAAGTTTGAAGTTTAAATCTCCAGTGGTTGTTGAGATATCATGATAACAATCTCAATGTATGGAATTTCATAAGTTGACCTCTGTGACCCTTGACCTTTGACATACGTGCTCCAAAATCTAATCAGATCGTCTTCCTATGGTGATACATACTATCCTTAAGTTTGAAGTTTAAATCTCAAATGGTTCTTGAGATATCGCGCTAACAAACTCAATACAAGGAATTTCATTTGACCTCTGTGACCTGTGACCTTTGACCTACGTACTCCAAAATCTAATCAGATCGTCTTCCTATGGTGATAAATACTATTCCTGAGTCTTAAGTTTAAATCTTAAATGGTTCTTGAGATATTGTGATAACGGTCAAACGGGACGGACGTACGGACGTACGGACGGACAACCCGAAAACATGATGCCTCCGGCACCACCTTCGGTGGCGGAGGCATAAAAATTAAAAAAAACTTACAGAACAAATTTGTTATCATTGCACGCTTTTCTTCTTGATATCGCACAAATTTATGGAAATCATAATGAGGTAAAGTGCAGGAATTCGACCATTGATGTGCCAGGGAAAAAATTAATATTTATTTTTCGGGGGCTACTTTTCAAGCTTGCCTGCATAAAATAACACTCTAAAAGTTCTTTTGCATTGAATTCTATGCAAATTTACAGGGGCTCTTTTGGGCATTTCGGGGGCAAATTCGCCCTGAGCTCCTGTGTATTTTTTTCACGGTGATGTGCACATGCAACTGTTTGTAACATGTGTACAAAGCAATGGGGACATGTACAAATGTAGCACTACATGACTACACGTACAGTGTATATACCCAGCCAAATGATGATAATACTGTATGTACATGTATACATGAATGCACACAAATGCACATCAAGCATTTGTTTCTAATCAAAACCAAAAATTTCCACTTTTGGTTCCATCATGGACATACTTATGTAGTACTGACATGACATCAATTTGTCAAACCTTGAACTAGACAAAAATAACTGGTATGGTTGGGTCATTCTTTAATAAAAGTGACATTTGTGGACATTCCCCATACAGAGGTCTAGTAGAGCCAGACGTAGTCTCAGTGGAACAACCACGATATAGAGAGACTGAAGCTTTTGGTCTAGCCTTGAACATGCCTGATGTACTGTATGGGCAAGTTAAAAAAGGAAGAAAGGTCCTTCTACATAGGGTAGGAAGTTTAGAAACTAGTTACATGTTTATCTTACACTGCTAGAAAGTTCCTACAACAGAGTTGAACAGACTACCATCAATGTTGATCAATATTCTATACATGTAGCAAGTCATGAAGGTGAGGCATTTTAGGCATCAGGATTCAGGAATAACAATTGTTGTGATTCTACAGAAATAAAGAAATTTGTAAAAAAAGACAACATTTTTAAGTGTCACTTTTTCTTCTTCCCTTCTTTATCTAAACTGTGTTAATCACTAAAGAATCTTTATCAATATACATGTACATGTACGTACATGCAAACATGAACTGCAAGTCTGCATACCCAATGTCCACTTGCCTTTCATTAAAAAAAGAAAGAAAAAAACCAAATATAATGTACAGTGTAGATGGTAATTTACAGATGACAACAGATGATACAAGTAGAATCAACAATAAATTTGTATTGTGGTATGATTTGATTTGATCTAGATAATGATCTGGTATAATTTGACATGGTTTGATAGATACTTAAAATTTACAAGAATCTTCTTTTATATTCTTTTTTTACTTAGTCTGATATTAATCTTCATATTCTAAAGAGTATAAAAAATTAAAGTTCGCCAAAATTGTTGTCATAATTCAGACAAAAACAATGTTATTTTCACATGGAAAGGCGGTGGTGTAATTTTGATACTGCAGAATAGCATGGTTAGAGGCATATATGCATAATGTACTGTACATGTATGTTGTACATGGGCACTCTAGCCATGAAAGGAAGAATAGGAAAAGTATGAAGAAGATGGAGGGGGAGAAGTCAGGCCTCTCGCCAAGAAATTAAAAATGCGTGGCGCGACCCGAGGGAAATTTTGACCCCCCCCCCCCCCCCCAAAAAAAAAAAAAATGATTTAAATTTTTTTTTTTTTTAAAGGTACTACATGTATGTCCCTTTTGCAGTCAACCTCAAATTCTGTAGAAATTTGCAGGAATTATGAATATGTCATGTATGTCCTATCTGTGAAATTTAAACGTTAGCAGTGTCCTCATATTCAAATTATGCAAGGAAACCCCTTTACTTGCTAGACTTCACTGTCAGACACTATTGAGTGACTGACTGGCTTTTTTTCTTCTTTGGTAATAACATACATGAAAAGAGTTGTAAAGGGTACATGAGCATTTGTCTACATCAATAACCCACTTCTTATGATGGCCAAGATTAAACTGATTGAATCTTTGCGCAGCATAAAACGTATGACCATTCGGTACAATTGTCTGAAAATCAAAACTATTACTTTTGGGCTCTATAGCCCTAAAGTCGATTTGACAACTAATAGTTGTTATTTTCTTACTTGAAGACATTTTCAAGCCCCACCTATTTTGGGGAAGTTCTAAATTAGTATTATCTTTCAAATGCAGTTGGAATTTAACTTTTTCATTTTTTTGGCCTGTAAATGGGACATAGTACCTTTAAAATAATTTTTGTTAAATAATTTTTAAATTGATTTTCAAATAATTTTTGAATTATTTTTTTAATTATTTTTTTACAAGTATTACATGTAATTTGATGAATTTTTGTCATGGTATTATATTCCGGGTCATTGTCATATTTACCCTTGCACTAAATAACCTAAATTATCAATGTTATTCTATCTGTCCATGTTGGAATTTGTGAAATTTGTTATCCAATGTTACAAAGAAAACAAAATGAGAATGATCCTAGTTGTTTTTAGATTTTTTAAAGCTTTACTTATTTTCCTTATTTTAAAAACAATATTGCATTTTCTTACTTTCACAAAAATTGCAGTACTCAAATTTCTGCAAGTCTTTTACTTTATATTCGAGTAAAATAAATTCTCTGTCTCAAAATGAAATTTATACACCCGTCCATGAAAGTTTGATTTGAGGTCAACTCAACACACACACAGACTAGGCCGCTGCGCTAAGCTATGCGCACACAATACCATACCTGGCTGCCAACCCTTACAAATAATTCAGAATATTCTGTTTCGGGGGATTTCTTTGATTTTGATTTTTTTTTTTTTTATAAGAACGTGTGGCGCTAGGTCGGGCCAATCAGGAACGCGTGGCGCACGCGCCAAACATTATCTGTGTACGCGAGGGCCTTGGGAGAAGTAAGATGGAGGGGGAGAAGTAAAAGGAGGGAGCAGAAGAAGTAGGAGGAGGAAGATGGAGGAAGAAGAGAAAGAGGGAGAGGAAGAAGAGAAAGAGGGAGAGGAAGAGAAAGAGGGAGAGGAAGAAAAAGGAGGAGGAAGAAAAAGGAGGAGGAAGAAAAAGGAGGAGGAAGAGGAAGAGGAAGGAGAAGGAGAAGAAGAAGAAGAAGAAGAAGAAGGAGGAGGAGGAGGAGGAGGAGGAGGAGGAGGAGGAGGAGGAGGATCAGAAGAAGAAGAAGAAGAAGAAGAAGAAGATGATGGAGGAGAAGTAAAATCAGGAAGAGAAAGGACAAGAGAAGTAAAAGGAGGAAGAAGATGAAGAAGTAGAAATTCTAAAATGGTGGTGAAGTGAAAGGAGGAAGAGGAAGAGGAGGAAGAAGAGGAGGAGGAAGAAGAGGAGGAAGAAGAGGAGGAAGAAGAGGAGGAAGAAGAAGTTCTAAAATGGTGGTGGAGTTGTGGCGAAGTAAAAGGAGGGTGAGGAAGAACTTGGAACAGGATGAGAAATGTAAGAGAAATAAAAGAGGAAGAGGAGCAGTATTTCAGGAAGAAGGACATAGCGAAGAAGAAGAATAAAAAGAAAAAGAAGAAATACTTACTTTTGCTAGCCTTGCTCTCTTGATGAGATCGTTGAGTTTCCTCAGGGCTGCATTCCGGGGAAGACTCTGAAGATCACTGAAGAGATCAACTTCCTCTGCCTCAAACAGCTTTCTATTCATATCATGGTGCAGCGGCTTATTCCAAAATGAGCCGATGTACACTCTCGAAACCTCTGGAGTATTGATCACCTTGCCAAGAGACCACATAAGGGCCCCATACACCCTCATCAATTGCTGATGGGTGATCATGTCCGACTTATTCAAGACAATGCGAATCTTCTCATCTTGCGATTTTATTGCCTCAATACATCTCCTAAACTCATCAGAAATATCAAGTTTATGTGCATCAAATAGGAGAATGATCCTGTCTGCACGTTCTGCAAACCATTCCAACACGTTCACAAAATCATAGCCACGATCAAGTCTCTGCTTTTCTCCTGATAAAATACCAGGTGTGTCTATGATGGTGATACTGTCGAGTACCGGGCAATTGGTCAGTGAGCATTGGAAACGATTGAGGAATGCATTGCCAAACTTTGACATCTTGCGAAATTGGCGTTTTGGATCAACGACGAGCGCATTCCCTGGTATCACCTGGTCTGTTTCGCCTTTCATCACTGCGATGAATCGGTCTGTGGTGGGCTCTGGACCAACTCTCATACCAGGGAATTCTTGCTCTAACAGATACCTGATAAAAGTGGTCTTACCCGTTGAGTACTGGCCAACAAGGAGGATCATAGGCTTGGCTGTGAAATCTGCCTCGTCAAGAGACGGTGAGTGGAACTCGCTGAAGCGATATTCATCTTCGAGAGGGAAGATCACTTTTTTATACATATCTTTGAGTCCATCCAAAACATTGTTAAAAACCTGCGGCTGCTTGCGCCGGCTTTCATCGTTGTTTAGCCAGGTGAACATGATGAATGAGTTCAAATGACGTCCTTTCCTTCGAATTTTCACGAGTTAAATGACAATTATTTCAACAATACAACAATATTACCACGTACGTGTGTACACGTTCGTCCGTCAACTGAAGATAGCAAGCTAGCGCCTACACATACATGACACACCTTTGCGCTGATGTCATTATTCGCAGGCAAGATAAATGAGATCGACGTGTGCACGTGCATGTATATTCATCACAGAAGTATGCTAAACTCGAATAATGACACACCAGCGAAATGGTGTTTCGCTGGTAGTTAGACGTATTTCCCGTCGTTTCATTTGAAAACATATCTCATATCGTAAATAGGGGGGGGGGGGGGGGGGGGGGGGGGGGGGGGGGGGGGGTGGTGGCTGCATCAGGGTTGGTATATTTCCCGCTTCGGTATTTACCGGTATTTACCGCTTTTTACCGGTATTTACCACTTTTTACCGGGAAATACCGGGAAATATATTTTTCCACTCTGACTCACTTGTTCATAGGGATTGTCCAATTTTGAACAATGGTGGTCAGTATGGTTGCTCTTGTGTGTAATATTTGCGTGTGCGTGTGTGTGTATGTGGGTTTGTTCGTGTGTTTGTCTATGTCTGTAATTATGTAATGCTGGAAAAAAATACAGGACAAAGATACCAAATATACACCTAATCTAGACATGATATTCTTCATTAAAGAGAACCAAACCCTTCATACTAAGTTACTTTTATTGTAAAGTTTAAGATATTTGAATAAAATCAGTGAAAAATTGAACAAAATCGGGCAAGGAATAAGGAAGTTAAAGCTTTTTAAAATGACTAGTCACTAGAGGGCGATATTCAATTTGATGACATCATTTGTGGACAACCGTCTCCATGCCTTTTGTATACATCAAATTTCACAATTCTTTCGTTTTTTTCCTATTTATTTGTGTTCTTGATTGGATTTCATAACATGTGAAGTAGAATATCATTTTGCATTATATTATCTCAATCACAAGAAAGAAGGAAAAACATAAAATTTGATGTACAAAAGGCATGGAGAGTTGTCCACAAATGATGTCATCAAATTGAATATCGCCCTCTAGTGACTAGTCATTTCAAAAAGCTTTAACTTCCTTATTCCTTGCCCGATTTTGTTCAAATTTTCACTGATTTTATTCAAATATCTTAAACTTTACAATAAAAGTAACTTGTATGAAGGTTTTGGTTCCCAGTTACTAATTGCCATATTCATGAATACCTATTAATTAGCATATGAACAAAATGCCATTTGTTTGGGTGCGTACAATATGCAGTGAGGATTTTATAAATCTGTTTGTGTGTTCCTACTATGAGTTTTGTGCTGCTAAGTATTTCAGAACAATATTTTCAGTTATGAGGCTAAAAACAAGTAAAATTATTAATAAATAGAGAATTAAAATCATATTTCCCGTTTTTTTACATATTTACCGGACGCGCATGTTATTTACCGGACGGTATTTACCGGTATTTACCGCCGGTAATTACCGCCACCGGTATTTACCGCCCAACCCTGGGCTGCATATTTAGGAAGGAGGTAATACTATAGCAGTATGGGTCTTTATTAGGATGTAGATACGGTGATGAATATATTGGAAGCAACTTTAAAATAAGTTCGTATAGCTCGTAGCTTCGTGCACAAATGAAGCTGGGTTTATGTGTTTCGTCAAATTGAGCTTCTTAAATGGGTTTTATTTCTTAGTCATATCGGATTAGCGGCTGAGTTATTTAAGATCAAGGGGTGCCAGGTTGAAAGCTAGAATGCTGACAGCAGATAATTTGCGCTGGCAGATGTCAATATTATGAGAAACTGCTGCAAAACAGAGGCGGCACTTGTCCTAGGGCTGGGAGGGGGGGGGGGGGGGGAGGGTGCAGACGGGTGGTCACTGTGAGGATAAACTCCCGAGACAGAGTGTAACAATTATTTTACACTTGTATTTTGGAAATTAATTTGCATTCAGCACTTTATTTGACCTCAACTTCAACACATTTCCTCTTTTCTATATAAATTGGGATTAGCCGCTGTGTCAAAGTATTAGAAACATCTTTTGCATCTTTGCAGAAGTGTCACCACCCAGGGGCGGATCCAGCTGGCGGCAGGGGAGGAGGACCCAATTCGTGAGAAAATATTTAGGGGCGAAACAGCTAGCCGGTGAATAAGCGGGGGGGGGGGGGGAAGGGGCACCATTTTTTTTTAAATCGCGCCGGCCGATAATTCGCTTGGGGTTGGGGGGAGGGGTGGGTAGTGAGCATTTTTTGGGGGCCGTCGAAAATATGAAAAATCGCACTTCTCCCCTTGAGCGCCAGGAAGGGGGCCCATCTCTTAAAAAAAGGTTCAAGAAATTCTGTTTTTTTTTCCCAGGGGAGGGGGCTGGGCCCCCTGGATCCGCCACTGTCACCACTGCCCCCACTGCCCCAACCCCATTGATCGTAAATTCTAGCTGGCCCCATTTGGAATGTGCATTCTCTTCCGCGGTTGGGGGGGGGGGAAGGGGGTACTCCCATATTAGGACATACGGGGGTGTGCCACTCTAATGGGTAACTTTTTCACAAAAAATTCCTAAACATGGGTCCTACTTTAACAAAAATGCCGTTAACAATGGGTCCGTTTTGTCAAAATTTCCAAATTTTCGAGTGTTTGCTATGCAGCCAAAAATTGTGACAAATTTAATTTTTTTCGAGAAAAATGCCCCAAACTGACCCCTTATAATGGGTAGGGGTTTCGAAACTTGAGCGGCACACCCCTGTCGAAACCAAATCTTAGTACCCCCCCCCCGGATTCTACATATAAACAAAATATCTTGCCGTACAGTATAGTGTACAGAACTGATGTTTTATGTCAGATGATGACCCAGATGATTTTTACTTCTTTTTTTTAATGTCCGAAATCCATGTGCAAACAACCTGTACATACAAGTTTTAAAAACATACATATCAAACACATTTACAATGATAAGAAAGTAGGTAAATGTGTTACATAATTATAGACAAACGGTTGTTTAGGACCATTTTCATAATGGTCCTGTACTTCCATGGGGTCCAAAAATGATGATGATGATGATGATGATGATAATGATGATAAAGGGTGTTTTTTGGGCATGCCGTTTTTTTTCCTTCATTGATTTTATTTCTGAAAACTCCAATTCTTTTTCGTACATAACATAATTTATACAAAACTGCAATATAATTGTAACAAAGCTACTAATATCACATTCACATAATAATAGGGAGATATTACTGCACAACGCAGTTAGTTCATCCCCAAAAATAGAACAAGCATTGCTTTTTTCAGAATATTTCTCAACATATTATTAAAGGTAATACAAAGTTTTGGGGAATTTTGAAAATTGGGTGGAGAGTGATTCTTTACCACTTTGATATATTTGGATGCCCCTGTGGATGTATTATAAGCACTAGAAAATTTAGCCCCTAAAACACTTCTGTTTTCGAGAAAAATTGAATATACAAATTTACCGGTGCTCCCGGTAAATTTTGATTAATTTTAAATAGCGGCTACGGCCGTATAATGGTAGCTGCGAGCATGAAAATCGCAGAATATATAATTTCTAAACGGGAATAGCTAATCGGTATATTTTAATAAAGAAACATTGTTTTATAGCTTAATTAATATCTTGACCTTGAGAGGGAGCTATAGCTATACAACATAAAGAGTTCATAATTTACAATTTCATAACTTTAGATTCGATTTCAACCGCGACAACGATCACTGCATATTGTAGGATCGCATATGATTCCAATATGTTCATTTGAACCAATTTCATTACCCCATACCAAAACTTTGTTATACAGAACTGAAATTATGAGTTTTATTATTTTCTTTTTCTTTAGCGATATATAACGACTGGTGTAAAAGTCTTTTTAAACGATATCACCCCTGGCGTCGTTATCGGAAATTTGCTGAAGCTTGATTCGTCTCGCGGAACGATTGGAAAATGGCCGCAAATATGGGTAAATAATTGAATAATCTATATTTAGTACTGAGAAAAATGTGCAATTATAGTACATTTAGTAATTCTAGTTTGAAGTAATATTCATAAAGAAATAATACAGCCTGAACGTTTTGTAAATTGGACCCATTGTCCCACATATTGAAATTCGAGGTGCGTTAGTTAACCCGCACATAGCTGCATTTCTATCCTGGCTGTGTAAAAGCTGTGCTATTGATTCTCAACATTTCAAACACCACTGTACAAAACTCAACTGATTTCACTGTAAATCGGTACTTTATTATTTTTTTCAACTTTCCGATGTTAGAAAGAACAATTTAAAAATTAAAATTGTGAGTCTACGTAGACGGTAGAGTCTACTGTTGGGGTGTCTGATCGCGCACCCAATGTTGTGTGCTAAAACTCTTCCCATAGAGATTGTACGCTTCCCTATGTGGTCTACGTGCATTGCGCGTCCGTCCAAAATTGGTCAATGATTTTATGAAAAAATTTGAAATTCAAACCTTTATAACAAATGATCCTGAAGGTGAAACTCAATAAATGAGGTGTCATATGAAAGAGCAGGTTTTTCTCCATATTCCCCATCGGGGGCCACCCCCAGAATTCTAAAAATATCTTGGTCAAAACAGCGATTGAAATGTTGTTTGCATTCTAGCTCCAAAATTTGCCACTTTCCTGAGCTGCCGCCCCGCGGCTTAAGCAGGGCTAGACGTAAGGATAATATCCAGATGCTTTTTTTTTCGCTAGCCCCAAGAGATCATTTGTTATAACAGTTTGAAAATACCCTTCCCACATTTTTGGAATCAGCTAATTAGGGAGGCGTGAGCTCCGCTCAGTCCAAACCATGGTTATATCGCGTAACATGTGCGCTTATAGTGAATGAAAGTATGGGTGGCCGTTCCCGCCATAGAACCCGGAAGTGAATACACGTTGTAGTCAATGGCAATATCGCGGAGAGTTGTCTCCGCGATATTGCCATTGACTACAACGTGTATTCACTTCCGGGTTCTATGGCGGGAACGGCCACCCATACTAGTCAATGGCACATATCGCGGAGACATCGTGGCTCAAGCTTGCAAGTCGCGCATTGGCTGAGCAACTTGCGTACGATATGCATACGCTTGCATATCGCGCGATACAGCTGTTTGGCTAAATTTAGCAAAACAACATAACTCCGCGTGTACGTCTTTTTTGTCGATTCTGAGCAAAATGCTATGAATATTTCAGCGTTTTGAAGGGGCTGTATCTTTTGATAGAAACATCGGCGAGACTTGAAATTTGAAATGTATTATTCTGATTACATTTTTAATTCAAATATCAAACAAAAATGGTGAAAAACGATCCCAAATTGAAAATTGAAAAATCGTTCAGACACCCTACTACTGTCTGAGTGAGTAACTGTCAAACTTAATTGCCGATCAGCCACATCCATCGGCATGACTGTGCATTTGTGTGTTGTGACTATGTGAGTGTATTGACTATTCATGTATTTAAATGCTGCCTATTAACACGTAGTGCAGTGCTAGAGGTCAATAGGCATTAGCATTGACTCTCTATGCTTTGCTGTAGTGAGTTAACCCTGTCCCGTGAATGGGGGGGGGGGGGGGGTATTTTATTATTTATGCCAAAGCTATCGATTGTATCATCTGATAGTGTTTAGGTAATTTATGGGTGCTACTGCTAGTTCAGCAGTCTAGCCAAAATTTGACCTGGAACTCCCGGCGTGGACATACTCAAAAGTAACTCCAGGAACTGGAAGCTCCGAGTCTGACGCCAAAGGCGTCGGAGCTTCAGTGCGACATCTGAAACAAAAATCAAACAGCGGGTTTGACAAAATTTTTCCCGAAGTGTGTAACGGTAGTAATTAAAGATTCTGACTTACAGTGTTTTCGACTCCTTTGGGCATGTCGCACCACACTTGAAATTATAATTTAAAGAAGTCTTTGATGGGAAAAGGGGTGATTCCTCATCCTAAACTGAGCCATCCTTGTTGTATCGTCAACATTGCGAAGAGAAAGTATGCATGTGCGGTGGCGGCGCAGCAAATATGAATATTCATTCTACAGAGCGCCGTTTGCTCGAAAATTCTGAATATGCACGAGGTTGTGAAGGACCGATGTAAGCTTAAGTTTAACGTGGTCAGGTCTCAGGAGTCGGACAAAAGAAATGTGTGATTGGTGCCAATCATGCCATATTTCCAAAGACTGGTCTAATGTGCTTTTAAAATGTAAATTTAGAACTTAAGAACTCAAGAACAAGTTGTATTGTTCGCCAAAAAACCCACTTTTAATCAAGAAATTTGGAAATTTATTATGAGGCTTTTTTTGCCTGTAAACCAATGTAATGTGTGACTGTGTGTAATGTGAGCAATGAGTGTGATGGTTTACTTCTGCCTTATTGTTCTGGCAAAAAAAAAATTGCAAGTGAATACCAAGTAGCAGCTGTTCGTTCATTCGCGAAGTGTGGGTTCAAGACTCAACTTGCTATTATTTGACCGTAATGGTGCACTGGTAGCACCGTGTTGTGCAAAGTATATGATATATGTTTAAAAAATGACTTACCGGTATTTTAGCAAAGTAAGTTTATTTTGTTGAATCATTTGAAGGTTACTCAAGAATAATCCCACCAAAGGTAAACATGAAAAAATTGACATAAGTTTTGAGCTTACATATAACTACCAAATATATTTTGCTAATATAAGTTGGTAGCCTTGAACATCTAATGGTAATATGATTTGATTTTCTGTAATTCAAACTCACAAAAGGGACTACCTTTAGACAAAAAAAAAAAAATTTCATTTTCATAATTTTGACCCTGTCCATAGAAATGTCAGAATGGATCAAGTTTTTCACTGCTGCTGGTATTCCTGCTGGTTCAGCTGCCAAGTATTCTGTGGTGTTCCTAGACAACCGCATCCAGAAGAGCATGTTGATGGACCTCACCAAGGAGTACCTGAAGGAGATGGGAATCTCCATCATGGGAGATGTGATTGCTACTCTCAAATATGCCAAGACAGCTCACATAAAGGTAGGTAGAAACACTCATGGAACGGTCCAAATGTGGGGCTGTGTCCATTTTGGCCGCAGCCAAACTTTTAAATACAGAACTATTGCATAGCCTTTAGAACTGTTTTGTGAACTGGCCCATTTGTAGTAAAAAATTATAAATTCTATGAATGAATGATTGAAAAACATGTTCTTTTGGAAAGACTGGATGATGTCCTCATGTTCATACTAAAAGAAATTGTATTTAATTATTTTTTCTCTGTCTTTTTATGTACCCAATACAGGAGTTTATAACATTGTTTGTTAGAATCTAATAGCTTACCTCTGATTTCTTGCAGTATGAAAATGAGAAGCCTGCCTTAACAGCCTTGTCTACTAACCCAGATGCCAAGGTGGAAGTGAAGCGACAGACTACCGGTGAGTATCACTTAGATTTATGTCTCAGATCATTGCTTTGATATCACATGTTCAATAAATGAATTTATGTATAGTATGATACAAATGTACTAGGCCTGAGTCAAACCGTTTAACCGACGGTTATCCGACCGCATTCATCAAAACCGTTTAGCATTTCTCGCTCCGGTTAACCGTTATTTGCATACATGTTGGAATGTGCTAATAGCCCATCAGCTATTATAAAGATAATCAAAGAAACCGCAGTGTAATGTTACACCCTGGCCGCTGCGCGCCAGCTTTCTGGCAGCAGTAATCCCCATGAATGAATTTGTAAACAATAAAACAACCAGCCCCCTTCTCTCTTTTCTCACCCTCTTTATTCCCTTCTCTCTGCAATGTGTTCATCGCTCATGTACCTTTTCTTATTACTGCACTCTCAGCTCACAACTTTCTAAATGTTTACACATTCAATGGTCAGTTCCTCTCACATCCCTTCTCCCCCGAGTCTCTCTCTCTCTCTCTCTCTCTCTCAATATTAATATCCATCCCTTGCCGACTCGCCCCCTAAAATAATGTTCTTATATAAATAAAATACAAAAATATTGATAACAATAATAATTGAAGTTTTAGAAATATCAATAAACAAAGTCTTGGATATTGTGAGTAATTTAAGTTTTTGATCGTTCTTCAATTCAGCCGATTAACACAGCCACCCTTTCTATCTAGTCTCACTTGTTTTACTTCTTTACTCTCTCGTGTCTCTGCCTCGTCCATGCAGGGACATGCAGGGACATGCTAGCCCATGCATGCTCTCTCAGTCACACACACATGTACACACAAACCTCTGGCGCCCAAATACACTGTACATACACACAGATGGAGAGCTCATGCTTGTCACATGCACACATGTGGGCGTGGCTTCTTGACCTCCCACTGAACTGGGTACGGTGAAAGCACGCGCGGTCACCAACCTGTAATTTATGCTGGTATCAAACTCCACCCACATAGCTAGGGAACCTTCCTGATTGGTCACTAACTTGGATCAGCTCATTGCAGGGTGTGTCTTGGGTGTGTGTGATACACACTTCCACATAATTTCATATGGCAATGATACATGCAAGGAGCTCTCTCCCTGACATGTGCAAACATTGCATTGCAAAGGCATATATAAACACGTCACAGATCAGCTATCTTCACAGAGTAACTTTGCAAGGTTAATCATGATATCAAATTCAGATGAGGAATAATAAGACATGTTTTATGTTGTTTATTACTGGTCTCTGTTTATCAGGATGACCCAATTTGTGCCATAGTCCGGGGCTGGGAATGCTCAGCCCGACAGTCTGAAGACCAGCAGGGTTCCGAGCTACAGCACTATTACAAATACTGTATTTTCACTTTTTCAGATTATTATTAAACGGTTAAACGAAACCGCCCGTATACTTTTAACGGTTAACCGTTTAGCACAAAAACCGTAATGACTCAGGCTTAAAATGTACAAAGATGTTTAATGGATCCATGTGTATATGCATGGTTATGTAACAGCTCAAAGTTTTAAAATATCCTCTTCTTTCAACTCCACATCCAGCTGGAAACAGAATGCTGGAGCACTACATGAGAAAAGAAGGCCTCATGGAGGGAAGTAGTTCAAAGGTCACTGTATCACCCTCCATGGCAGTCAGGCTTGGAGCTGTACCAGTTGGAGGTATGAAATACATCTTCACATGTAGTAGTTAGGTGTGATAACAAATGTGTCATAGAGGTGGTTAGAGATTAATCCTGCTGTTAAGTGCTTTGTAGTTATGTTTTTAAATTTTTTAACTTTTACTGGAGATGGAGTTGTATGCCTTTAAAGAATGTGAAACCAAATATCTTGTGGGTCAGCCTTCATAAAGAGGGCCTAATAATGATAATTTCCTGTTTTTCTTCTAATGGGGTCTCTTGTGAATTAATAACGACTTTCATTATTGCCTGTTGTGTTGTGTTTCTAGAATAGTAAGAATTTTGGAATCAGAATTTTGAACTGTATAGCCAAAGATAATATCATTAAGCAAAAAAAGGATGTATACTATTAATCTTTTGTCAAAATACGGCATCATATTAGAAACAATTTATTACATATGTTTAGTGCATCTTTCTAATTCTTTAATTTGCTCTTGATTAGAGCCTCAAAATGTGTGCTAATATGTGTGTTCAGAAGAAAACAGTGCAAACTGCTTGTCTTGCAAGGATTAAACATGTCAGGTTGGCCTGTTGATAGCACTTTTTGTGAAGCAATGCTTTGTGAATAGGAATCTTCACTTCTTCACTGCTTTTTGTGTGTGCGGAAATTTGTATATAAAGAATAGCCTTAGCACTGGGTGTGGTCGATAGGGCCTATATTCTCAATGATGTATAAAGAGGTATTAAGAGATTCTCTTTGTATCCTAAAACCTATATCCTGTTTCTTATCGTCTTGTACAGTGGACAAGGCTGAGGATACATTGAGCAGTGAGTTCACCAATGCTCTTTAGTAACAGTATTACCTTAAAGGCCCACTGCACTACTTGCAGCTACTTGCGCCCTCTATAAAACAAATAATGCCTAATCGGTGACCATTGCTCCCCATGATCCTCTTTTTCTTATGTTAACTGAGAGCTGAGTTGATGAGATAACCACCTGTCCAGTGACCTTGCAGGGCAGTCTAATCCCTCCTACAAACTACGGCAGATAAGCTTTAAGATCACAGTCACTTCTGCCAGAAAATTTGAAAAAAATCTAACATTTTTACATAATTTCTTTGCATAACAATGTGATCCCAGGTATTATTCAATCAAGGTCTCTATAGAATTGAAGGAAAGAGATTCATAAAAAACGAAAAATAAAAGCTATGTGGAACTTCAGCTAGCATGTTTATCACAGGACATAGTGAATGCTTTTTCCATGTAATAACTTTTACAACATATAAGTTTTCATATGTATTTTGCATGAGATATCTAACTTCACTTTGTCATTGTTTGGATAAAATTCTAGTTTATCCTATACAAGATACTAGTGGTGTATGTATCGCATAGATTGGCAAGGTTCACTTGTCACTCTTTCAAAGGACTGTGCACAATTTGACTTATTATCTTGCTGGTTCTCCTAGGTACAAAGAAGACATGTGGGATACTAGGAGACACTGCAGAGGTGACTCCAGTCAAAAGGCCACGTATGGTGAAGCCAGAGGAGGAAGGGAAATACGTCATCAGCCTGCCCAAAGGAACCACGCCAAAGACAATGAAAATCTTGGAGCAGAAACAACAGCAGCATAAAGGTGAGTGCTCATGAAGAGTGTTAATCAAGGGGGCATCTAAAACAGATAGAAATTATTTGTGGTTTAGAGCTAAGTAAAAGACAAAGACAAAGAATGCACAGATATATAATTAACAAGCTTTCTTTAAATACTTGCCAACCTCTTTATACTTTAAAAGAATTTCTCTGATTTTCTTGTCCAAGCCCTAACCAAAAATGATATTACTTGGAAAGTAATTCAATTTGAATTAGAGTAACAATAGGAGTACCGGTACCCTACATTTCACAGAATTTAACTTTTAAGGCGTTTGAGGTTGTAATGGTTGCTTTACGTATACTGTGGGTGTTGTATCTAAAGTACTCAGTTCAGTTCAGTTCAGTTCAATTCAGTTCAGTTCAGTTTATTCAAAACCATACAAAGCATGATATAATCTGTTACATAAAAAAGAGACTGGTAATAGCACATCAATCAACATATTCTAACTTGATTACATCATAAACTGAACGGTTTTAGGACCCCTTTAGAAGCTAAGCTTGTGAGCGGGGCCCTATAACAAAATACATACATTTACAGTAAAAAGAATGTTACATATGATTATACAATGGATGAAAATACTAAGCTACAGAATATAGAACATACAAATACTCTCACACACACACACACACACACAAACACACACGCACACATAAACTCACATTTCTTAATTGAAGTATGAGCAAGATACTCTGCAGCAGTCATTTTTGGTGTAATCCTGTATTTACATCCTTATGAAATATTTATAGTTACAACTATTCTAGATGGATGGATCTCAGCATGAGGACATATCGCAAAGTTTCTTTATGATGTAAATACACGTGGATGAATGATAAGTATGATATTGATAAAGGTCCAACTTGTTTAGATAAAGTCTAACGAAACTCCTGTGTCTGGTGGTCAGAGTGAAAAGAAACGTAGAGCAGCAAAAGTCTACATTACAGCACTTGTCTATTTTTTGTATTTTAGGATTAGAAGAAGAGAAAACTTCTTCAGTTTTTGCTCGTCTTGGATCAGGGAAAAGCCCAATGGTCACACAGCCAGTGCAACAATCGAAGAATGCGGAAACATCAGCAGCAAAGGTAAATTACTAGATAGACTCGATGTTTGATGGCATAGGAGCCCATCATATATGATATTGATCATCTCCCAGTGTTATTAAGATCAAATCATAGGTTTGAAGCTTGGTTGCAATTTTGTATGTTGGCAGTATGTCAAAGCAGATGTTACAGATTCTGATATTCTTGAGAAAAAAAAATCCTATATGTATAAATTGACATGTCCTATTATGAAGACAGTGCCTTTCGTGCCACCACACATGTGAATTAAGTCATTTTTTCTTGATTGTTCCATTCTTCTGGCCAGAAACTTTGAAATACGGAAGAAAAAATTATCTTGTTGCAATTTATACAAGTTAAGTATGAAGGTTTTTGGATTTCCATGTTCTCCAATATTAAAACAAAAAAATATCTTTTTTTTTCTTCAGCATGGTAGGTTCTTCAGTATAATAGTAAATTTGATATCAGAAAATGATAAATGATGTCATCTTTTTCTCTTTGATTCTGCAGACTCCTGTTGGATCCAATGTGTTCAATCGCTTAGGTAGCCAGCGGAAGAGGGTTGTCTCAGGTTCGCAACCAGTTGAGTACCAAGGTGTATTGAAGTCTCTTACTTCACCATCCCTCACACCAGCACCAGCTGCTACTACAGTTCGAATCACAAAACCTACACCAGTGCAAGTTACTATGGGAGCTTCAAAGCTGGTTTCTGCCACGCCAGAAGCAAGTCTCCAGAAGAGGTTAGGAAAGAAGGTTGTCACGCCAAACCGAGTGACCACGTCTGCTGATGGTGCTAAAAATGTCATGGCTAGACTTGGAGCACTGCCTGGAAAACCAAGAGTAGTGGCAACTCCTCCCGCCAGCACCAAGCAAAAGGTGACTGTGACTATCGGTGGAAGGAAGAAGGTGGCAACCAAAAGGTCAGCCTTGGATCGTCTTGGTGTGCAGAAGCCAGAGGTATCCACAACCACTCACATGGATGCCTTTGGGGTGAAATCAAAGGTGCAGGATCGCCTGGGTGGAGCAGAGCCAATGACAAGGACATTAGCAACAGGGACTGTCAAGTTAGCTTCAGAGAGACCCATCTTCCAGAAGTCAATGCAGGCCAGGCTTGGGGCACCAGCCAATGCCGCAAAGGTTAGCAGTGTTAGGAAAGAACCTGGCGTGAAGCAAAGAGTGACGGTAACCCTAGGAGGAAAGCCAACCGCCATGCAGAAACGACTTGGCAAAGCAGGACTGGGGGCATCCAAGGTGGTAGCTTCCCCTGCCACAGCAAGCACAAAGGTCCTCAAGAGACTGGGTGCTCCAGTGGGGTCACAGGTGCCTAAGAAGAAGTCTACGATGCAGGATAGGTTAGGTCTGATGAGAGCAGAGGCTACATCCACCACACCAAGTATCACTGTTACGATGGGTGGACCAGGAACAAGCAAGAAGACTGCTGGTCAGGTGTCCAAACAAAATGTATTCAGTCGATTGGGATCATGAGTGCTTTCAACCGTTGCTTTTTTTTATATATCTAGAGACTATACAGAATATTTATTCTTCTTTGTGGATGATATGTACAACTTGATGCTGAAAAGCATTATTTGGAGATCCTTTCTCGATACAAATATCCTAAGACTGTCACCTGTTATCAGGAAGTTCAACTGGCTACTAGTTTCTTGGTGTGAAATTGTCTTAAAAAGTTTAAATTAATGTCAGCTTTATGTAGTTTATTTGAAATACCATGTGTTACTTTGAAATATGAAGAAACATTTATTTTAGATACGTGTACATATCTCAACATGATAATTAATTCAGTTTATTTTATTAGAATGAATTTGTTTTGCAAACATGTACCACTGTTTCTATAGCTACATGTACCTGTACATTTGACAAGGTTGCATTGTGCTGTTAAAAATATAAAAAAAACCTAATAGGTTTTAGAGGGTTTTAAATTAGATAATAGGTTAAAGTTCATATAAAGTCTCATAAGCAAATGTCTCATTTGTATCTGATCTTTGTACATTATCATTTTAGTCGATTAAATAGATAGTGGGACATTCAAAGATGATTTAGATTTTGGGCATTCTGAAATGGAATATTAGGAGACAATGCTTGTTGAAAAAATTATCAAGATTCCCTATATTGATCTGAATCTTCATTTACTTGTGTATGTTTGAAACTCCTGTCATGAATTCAAATGTATGTTTGGTGACTTCTATCATTTAGTGTATGGGCTTATGTCTTTTTTGTTCATTACTTTCATTTTTTATGTTACACTATGGTCTACATCACTGTTAATTTTTTTAATATCCATTTCTTCTTTTTTTTTCATATAGAAATTAGCATGCTTTTAATTTGTTCGTCATGTTTTAAAGTAAAATGTTTGTTAAAAACATTATTGCTTTAAAAAAGTATCATGTAAGTTTATATATGTTTTTGACGATTTAAAGATATGAAGAAAATGAAGTATTAAGGTCTGATATGGTGCTTTTGTTGAAAGTGGATTATCAAGAAAAAAATATGGATGTCATGAGCATTAAAAGGTAAACAACATTTTCACTATAGTTTTTATGCCTCCGTTACGAAGTAGCCGGAGGCATTATGTTTTCGGGTTGTCCGTCCGTCCGTCCGTAAGTACGTACGTACGTACGTCCCGTTCTTGTGATCGCGTTATCTGAAGAACCGATTGATGGATTCCTGCCAAACTTTGGTCATGTATGTATCTTGCAGAGCCAATGAACTGATTAGATTTTGGGGTCGCGAGGTCAAAGGTCAAAGGTCACAGGGCTCATTAGGTATGTAAAAACAGCTCGTGATCGCGTTATCTAAAGAACCGATTGATGGATTCCTGCCAAACTTTGGTTATGTATGTATCTTGCAGAGCTAATGAACTAATTAGATTTTGGGGTCACGAGGTTAAAGGTCAAAGGTCACAGGGCTCATTATGTATGCAAAAACAGCTCGTGATCGCATTATCTCAAGAACTGATTGATGGATTGCTGCCAAACTTAGGTCATGTATGTTACTTGCAGAGCCAATGAACTGATTAGATTTTGGGGTCACGAGGTCAAAGGCCACAGTGTCCATTATGTATGCAAAAACAGCTTGTGATCGCGTTATCTCAAGAACCGATTGATGGATTCCCGCCAAACTTAGGTCACATATGTTACTTGCAGAGCCAATGAACTGATTAGATTTAGGAGTCATGAGGTCAAAGGTCAAAGGCCACAGCGCACATTATGTATGCAAAAACAGCTCGTGATCCTGTTATCTCAAGAACCGATTGATGGAATCCTGCCAAAATTAGGTCATGTATGTTACATGCAGAGCCAATGAACTGAGTAGATTCTTGGTTCATAAGGTCAAAGGTCAAGGGCTTATTCTGTATATGAGAAATTGCTTGTTATCACGATATTCTGAGAACCTGTCAATGGATTACAATTGAAATTGAATTCGAAAAATTTCTTCTGTTTTGGTTTGTAAAATTGCTCTATGACGGAGGCATCATTTTCGACTGCAGTCGAATTCCATCTAGTTTAAAATGCAAGATGTTTGCAACAACAAAAAAGACCCTACTTATATTTTTAAAATTCATAACTAAGAAGAAAATATAGAAATAGGAGTTAAAAACAATATTCCTTTTGTTTAATTTACATTTCATTTGATATAATGCCATTAATCCATTATACATCCAAGGAGTAAAATTTCACACATACATGTATTTTAGTTACCGGTAGGTAGAACATATAATGGTAAAATATTTTTTTACCAAATACAACATATTTTGGGAAAGTATATTATGTTTTTATTTCCTTATTATTCATGATATAAATGTGAAATGGGTAGTGGTGGTTATTTTACCCGACTGCTAAGAAAGCATAAATGCTTGTTAGTAAGCAACCAGAGGACCGATGGCTTTAGGTCCTCTCTGAGAGACCTGGTAATGAGGATTAATGCCTTACCAAAGGGCACTAGTGCATCGCCTTGGTTTTGAACCTGGGTCGTCGGATTACGAGAACACTGCTCTACCAACTGAGCTATCGTGCTTCCTCGAATATGTTTTATTTGTAAGATTAGTTCTACAGCTATTTCAGTGATGAATGTTATTGCAGGTTATGAATTTTAATTTTTAATCATCATTCAGGATCAATTGTCGAGTTATACTTTAGATAATATTTTGCACGCGACATGTACTTGAAATATTTGATTTTGAAGACATTAATTTTGTACCCATTCTTACATCCTATATGATGCAAATTTATTTTAGATTAGACTGAACATCACTTTGATTTTTTTTAATGGAAAGAATAGCCTTCATTATGCGACACATACATTTTGCATTTAGAAAACTCATCGATTATCTTTTATCTCTGAAGTGATGAGTTTCTTGCGATGCTCTGTATTCATATAAACCATTTGATGATAGCAGTTTCATTCAGCGGTATGTACTATGTATAATTGAATTTAATGTATATGTAAATATTTATTTGCAAGTACAAAATGCAAATCATGCATTCTGTAAACTTAAATAAAAGATCTCCACTTTGCCTCTTTGAAATAAAATAGCCGAGTGTAATGTACATGTACACGTGTGTGTTTGTGTGTGTAAAGAAGCTATTTGATACCAGGCAGATGCATAAGCACATTATACAAATTTTTAAAACACTACACAAGAAAAGAAACACTCTACACTTATATGTTGGTTTGTTTGGTCTTGTTAGCTCATATATCAAATACAAGGTTGAATTTTACCTTCATTCAGTGAATAGTTCAATTAATTACTCAATATTTGTAAAGAAATAAATTGGTCTTCCAGTGAAACTGCATCTTCACATGTACATTAATAATTGACACAGATAACATCTACAGTGTATGGACACTTTAAAGGAAACATTACCCCAAGAGAGATTTATTTATGCTTGCCTATTAATCTACCAGATTCCCCATCTAAGTGTATGAGAGGGATATAAAGCAAGAGTTTCTTGGCATAATGTAATTTTTCTCGGCAAGACATGGGCATCTCTATTTTAATTGATAATGTGACGTTCTAAGGCAAGTTATTTATCAAGTAAACATATTCAAATTTATGGATGCTTTCTTCCCACAAGTGTGTGGTGATGAAATATATCATTCACCTGCTATTATCTTATGTACTATATGTCGGAATGCATCTTGCATAAATAAGTTGTTGCTATTCTTGAGTGAAAGTTTCACATAAATGATATAGATTTCTCAACAGCTATATTTTCATGTTTTTTGTTAAATAAATGAGTTACAGCTTTTCTCTTATTACATATTTTTAACCAAATATGATCCCCCCCCCCCCTCATTGAAAAGTATTGGGATTTTTAATGCATTAAAATGTGTTCCTACTAGAGCTTTGTGCACGATACATGAACAAGTTTGCCAGGTACGTCACATTATCAAGAGAATGGCTGTGCCCATGCCATGCTAAAATACATTACATCATGCCAAGAATAGCTTGATTTATACAGTGCGTCCCAGAAAAAACGGAACCGAGAATTATCGATGTTTTATCATAACTTAATCACAATCATAATGATCCTCCTCTTTCATTTGATGCAACTCGTATGATGCATAACATGAAAGAGGAGGATCTAAGCTTTACCAATATGTGTCATTTATTAATTATAATTGTGATTAAGTTATGATAAAACATTGTTAATCCTCCGTTTCGTTTTTTCTGGGACGCACTGTATATTACTTATACATTTTTGGTAAGGAATGTTGTAGATCAATAGACAGGAATGAAAGTCATCTTTCACTTTCAGCCTACCTACACTTTTTCTCTTCAAATTGAGTCCCATCCCCTCACTTAAAATATGAGGAATAACTGAAAAAATACACACTGCTATAATGGGTATTTGAAATCCCTTGTGCATTTGTAGTCATTACAAAGTTCCTTTAAACTTTTACCAATCTGCTTCTCTTAATTTTCTGTCCTTCAGATCAACTTGGATTTCACTTCACATGTTTCATGTATACTTTTGAACCCTGAATTGAATCAATAATTCTGAAATACATATACATATATTCAATCAATAATTTAAAATGTAAATGAAACAAATATGTATACCAATACATGTACATTATTAGTAATTGTAACTATAATGTGCTACATTATTTAATACAAGATTAATTATATACCCGATTGATTCATCTGATAAAAATAAGGTAAAACAAAGGAAATTAAGAAGAATAAACTGTCTATTCATAAAATAAAAGAGCAGACAAAATTTAATGGCTGCTTTTTTATCAATAAATAAACTTATGCAATACACATAATACAAACATCTTTCCAAACTAAAACAGGCTAACATTTTTCTATTTGGGTAAAGTAATGTTAAATTAAAACAAATGTTTATTCCAATATTTAAACTAACAAGAAGAAAACGGGATGAATGCATAGAAATCTTAAGAAATAAATAATTTCTCATGCTTGTATATTGTTGTATCATTCAATTCTAGTTGGACTAGAATACCAAAGAATTCTGGATTAAACTATAAACAATTTGTTGTAAAATATTGTGTATGCAGCATTTTACCCAAGTACATACTTGATATTTAATTTTGATACATAACCTTTTTTAATTGATTTCATAATTGGGAGAATTGCCAAGAAATGGATTGTTCTAACTTCGTTTTTTTAAGAAACAAATTTGTGAACTTGGATATTCATATTGCAGAAAGACAAACAATATTCAATGAAAAACAAAGAGAAAGAAAGTATCACATAAATCCAATCAAATAATTTTGATATAAACAGTGTTGAACATTAATCCAACAAAAATTTGCAAAAAATGTAAACAAACTTATATGAAATAAATATCTAATAATGCATATCAACATCCACATATCCTTTTACATGTGTGTGGTGAACACTTCATGCTAAATAATACTTAAAATGTAACAATCACTTTAATTTCTGGATAGGTAGAAAGTATAAAATCAACCTCAAAAAACTTAACCTGGCATTCTATAGGTTAATGGTTAAAGAGTATGAAGAAAATAAACAGCACCAACGAAACCCAATCCGACTTGGGTTCTAACTCTAAGCGCACCCTATTCTGTGCAAGTGCATATGCGTGCGTCAACTAATCTACTCAACAAGCTGTTCAACTGTTTACTGAGAGTAAGTTTAAACTGCAATATCTCTTTCCACAAGTAATAATTGAAGCTTTTATTTTGAAGACAGTATACCGACATGGAACGCCTGCCATCAAGATCAATACATTTGTGAACCCACAGTTGCAAATTCCTCTTCGGGTTTGGTACAATTAAAACATATTTATTACAGCTTATATCATAGAACTTTACAACTGTTTTAACTTACTCAATCATTAGTTATAAAATAAAGAAAACAAGATTAATTAAAAGTATGATACAAGTTCCCTCTGAATTACATGGTGCAATATCACAACCAAAACTACATATACATAGTTGGAAAAAGTATATACAAAACATAAATAGATTAATAACTGTAAAGGCAAAGGGAAAACAAAGTAGACTGTGTGAATACTCTACAACAAAATAAATTAACCCCAATGGTAAAAAAAAAAAAATATTCATTGCATGTTTTCATTGCCTTATGGCAGTTTGGCAAAAGTCAGGGTACTGGTAGTACTTTACTTGGGATGGATATGAATGCATTATAAACAACAATCAGAATCATTATTACTATTAAATTGTTGAAGGAATGCCAACCTATCAGCTAAAAAAGATGAATAATTATAGAACAGCCAAGGTCAGCCAAAGCACAAATACCATAAAAAGGATAATGTACAAACACACACAGTAAAGAATTATAGGAACTAATAAAACGGCAGAAATAAGAAAAGAAAGGGAATGTTTGCTCTTGCTTAAAATGAAAATGACTATTGTTTTTTACAGATTGTATGTGTTTATGTCTTAAGGAAATGCAACTATACACAACAAGTTACTTAGAGATGCAAAGACATAACCTATGATAGCATTATATACATCTCAATTATTCATCTGTACCTCTGAACCTTTTGAATGCAAATGACAAGTATATTGTCTAAAACCTTTGGCCCCATTCAAAGTAGAGACTTGAGAATGTCTACATCTAACACACATGAGTAAAAAAAATAAATAAAAAATGCTCTACTTGAAATGCAGTGGAAAAATAACGACATGAAAAAAAATATTAGAAAGTTATAACCAATCACTTTGTTGTTTCTACCCTTACCCTTAAAAATGTTATACATCTGATCATGTAATTGCCACATAAACTATGTAATTGCACAGATTAAATTGCGCATGACCTGCAATATTCATCTATGTTTTGATGTGTTTTTTTCCCTGTTCAGATAATTTAAATAATCTTGTGACCGCAAAAGGCAAGAAAAAATAATTTCTCTGGAAAAAGAAGTATTTACATCACAAAAAAAAATCTCTCATGAGTTGTGTGGATGTCATAAGAAGCCAGGCATCTTCTTTGGTGCAGATGGTTTGTCTTGTGAGAGGAGCTCCTGAAACTCTTCAATTTCTACTATACTACCTGATAACCTGTAGATGAATCACAAGAACAGCACAATATTCAGTTTAGGTACAAAAAAAAACATACAAACAAGCAACACTAAAAAAAAATAACATGAAGTCATCTCAATGAGGTTGTTAAGCAAAATATAGGAGCACAGCTTTTTAAACAAAGAATCACATCTGTCCAATCTGTCATCCATCTGGAATCTAGCTCACTGGAGCAGGCATTGATATTCATCATGCACTATGTAAATTTAACTTTATCATTATTGTATTATGCACAATATTTTGAACAGCATGTAGTGATTGAAATGGTCAATTAATATGAATAATCATCATTAAAATAAAGTATTATCTATGCAGGCAATACAAAGAGATTGACATGCAGTCAATGTAACGGCTACGTTACACTCCAACACCTGAAAGACGTAGTTTTAATTCCTCTTTGAATTGCAGAGCAGCTTGAATTCTACTTACTTTCCAAATACGTTGAATAAAGCAACAATTTCCCCTCTGTCTAGTGTCAGCTTTGATTTTTTACCGACACCCTGCTCTGTGAATAGAATCTTTAATGCTGTTCCTAAACCTTTGATCTGAATACAAAGATAAAGAAAAAGAAGTAGATATTTTGTTAGATATTGTATGTACCAGTAATCAAGGGAGATCTCATACGAGTTGTAAAAATTAACCATATTTCATAGTAGCTCAATTATTGAGAAACTGCACTTAAATTGTTCTATGCTAGGTTAAATACTCTCAGATTTGAAACTACATTTCTATAATACAAAAAGTTTGTCCAACCAGAAACTAAAATTGAATTAAAATTGTCTCAAATAAACATTATCTATTTGTAGAAGGACACTGAAATGAACCTAAAACTAGAAAGAAGTAGTAAAAGAAACAGAAGTAGAAAAAGAAACAGAAGTTTAACAAGAAACAGAAGTAGAAAAAGAAACAAAAGTTTAACAAGAACAAGAAGAATCAGAAGGGGAAAAAGAGAGAGAGAAGGAACAAAAGCAAATGAAGAATATAAAGAAAAAAAATAATGGAAAAGAAGAAATACAATACAACACAAAAATAGAGGAAACAAATAATCTTAAGGAGAATAAGGACTCAAATCAAACAACAAATGAAGTGATTATGAGCTGCAGTACAGTGCAGTGTTATCTAGACATGTGGTACACATACTAACCTGTAGCTTTCCCCATAATTTACACTTGTCACATCCAACACAGTCCATGATTCTTGAGATGTTCCTGAAATGGGTGCGGAATTCTTCCTGTAATGGACAGAAATAAACGATATGACTTCAGCAAACAAGCTAGAAGGCCAGGGAACAATAATCCTTTAACAGTAACCATTCAGCAGTTCAAAGTTTAAACCTATGTTAACTGGGGGGGGGGGGGGGGTCAATTTGACCCGCCCCCCCCTGTAGAAATTTCGCAACTACTCCGAAACCGCGGCAGATATAAAATTTTCCTTTCATGACTTTTTACTTTCGAGTCTTACGCATCTTTTAAAATGATTTTTTTGAAAATCGGACCTACGGTTACAAGGTCATGTGACCTTTTGTCTTTGCATGTCAGCCCGAAAATCGCTCATTTTCGTGATTTGTGTACAAAACATATGTAAAAGTCATTTTTCCTAAAAATAGATAAAACATTGGTTATTCAGTCTTGTTTAAAGTTTAGATGTTTGTTTTGGGGTCAAAATAGTTGAATTGTAGTTATAAATGAAATAAAACAACAAAAACAATAAAATACATAAGAAATTATAAAAACAAGAGATAACATAAGGAATAACCTGGCTCTTCCAATTTTTTGTGTTGTATTATTATTCCAAATGGTCTAATAAATATATGTAGTGAAAAAGAATACATAAACATGAATAATCTATGATTTATGGGCAGAAATGTGAATTTGATGACCTTATTTGCATAAATTACCATAAATAAGCAAATGAGTGAATTTTTCAAAAATTTGAAATTACCATAGTATTCTATACACTTCACTTGACATGCATGCAAATTTTTGCAGTGATCGGCGGTGAAACGGCCGAGATCTTAGGGGGGGTCAAATTGACCCCCCCCCCCCCAGTAAAAACCTGGTCTGAAATAGCCCAGTTAAAATAGGGTTAAAGGCATTAATGTTTCCAGTTTTACAAATCTGAAATGTATGACCCTATGTGTTATCAGTGTCTGTGATATGTTGTAATATTGAAGCCCTTAAAAAATGAAGCTTCAAAATTATCATGAAGTGCTTCAAAAGAGTGAAAATCTTTGAGTGACCGGTTTTACCATGCTCATTTTCCTCAATAGACTGTAGAGTGTTAAAAAAAATATTGGGAAAACGGTTTTTGACATTTTGAATTTCGATCATAAATATCTTGATAATCAAACATGCGATTGGCTTGTAAAAGTCATGGGATTCATTTCTCAGTGACCTATTATGATTGCAGCATGAGCTAAATCCAGGATTTTGTTTAGAATCAGAGGCAACTAATAACTTAATTAGGACCTACAATACAAGTAAACAAGTGTTTTAGCTGTCCCTGCTAATGTATGCCTCCTGCAGTTGCCGGCGAGAATACACAGAACGTTGGATTCCTATTACCCTGGGGATTTTCCCATTGACAGGAGGAAATGCATCATAGGATGCCTACACCGTATTAGACACAAGATAAATAAGTCTTGCGGGCCGGGCCTAAAATACATTAGCTATAGACAAATCGTCATATCAAGCTGCATAAATTTAACTGAATAGCTGAATTTGTTGAGCCTACCCTGAGTTGTAAAGCCTGTTGCTGGTCTCCCTGAAACATTGCACTTTCATCAAAGTGTTCAGGAAATGAATTGGCTATTTTCAGGATTTCTTTCACAATTCTTTGCACCTCCTGATCTTCCACTGGTTCTCCTGAAAATGTGAAGAAAACAAAATTATAAAAAAGGAGGGGGAGGAGGGACGAGGTTGAAAGATTAGACTGAGGAAACTTATTCACATTTTAGCAATACTAAAGTAGTGCATCTTATTTCATACTTGACTGGATGTACCTAAAGGAGTTACTGTCTCATAAATCTACGAGGATGTATAGATGTTCATCCATTTTTACAAAACTAACTTTGCCACCCCAATTCCCACAAACTTAAAATGTTAACAGCATAGAGTTGATGAAAATAGAGCATACATATTTAAATGCAATGTTTGATCATAAGATATTTGAAAGAAGTGCATAATTTGAATTGATCACATTCTATTTGTAAACTATTCCTTTAGGAGTGATACAAATCGTCGCTGTTTTCACGAAGTGACGGTAGTGAAAAAAAATTGCATTCACTTTGCGTTACGATTTTCCTCACTACCGTCACTTCGTGAAAACAAGGACGAAATATTGAACTGATGCAAGCATTTACCTGTATAAAAGAATTCTTTCTCCAAAACTGGGGCGGCTTTTGCAATGGCTCTTAGGGCTACCAAATAGGTGAAATAAAGATTTTTAAGCCTGATGGGACCTTCTCCGTCTGTTGTTTCTGGATCAAATCGACTCTGGAATTCCTCGATGTTTCGCCCCCACCGTTCTTGTTCAAAAAGACCCTCTGTAAATACACAATCAAATACCAAATTAATTGTTTGAGATAAATTTTAAAAAGTAAAAAAAAAAGATACTGTGCTAATGCTTCAATTACCTTTCAGGATACAAGAATGAACTTTTTTTTCCTTCTTCCCCTTAAAACTTTCAGACAATACATTTCTGCAGAGTTGATCATTTCACTAAAAAAAAATCTGGAAAGATAGAGCAACTTTATATTCATAATGCAATTTATTTTTTCTTCATCCAGATGTCCTTGTGACTACTAAACCAGACTTTGTGAACTGAAGCAAATTCAGTGCTGCAGTTAAATCATTTGCTTTTATAAAACCACTCGTCATATTTTGTGAGTAATTTCATAGTCTGTTACTATTTCATACAAGAAAAAGAGTTCAAGCTATCAATAACATTTTGAATGGATCCACATGCCAGAATGAGGAAATAGCTGGCACTTTGTCATCTATGTTGCGCCCGGAGCCAGGATTTCATTTTAGGAGGGGCGGTAGTGAGCACGTGAAGCGTGCGAATCACTTACCGAGCGCGTAGCGCGCTCCCTAGTGGGTGCAGAGCGCGAAAGCTTTGACGTTTCATTGCATTATTAGAGAAAGAAGACGATTCGTTGGACCGTTCTCGACTCTTATCCTTATCTAAATTCAGTTTCTTTTGACGTTTCATTAGAGAAAGAAGACGATTCCTTGTACCGTCCTTGACTCTTAATCCTTGGTTGAAACAAGTTCCCCTTCCTCCGGAAGCTCTGACGTTTCATTAGATTATTAATGAAATAAGACGATTCGTTGTACCATTCTCAAACGACTCTTAATCCTTGTCTGAATTCAGTTTCCCCCAAACACGCGTGAAGCTTTGACGTTTCATAAATTATTAGAGAAGGAAGACGATTCATTGTACCGTTCTCGACTCTTAATCCTTATCTAAATCCAGTCCCCCCCCCCTCCCTCCCGCCCGCCCGAAGCGCGGAAGCTTTGACGTTTCGTTAAATTATTAGAGAAAGAAGACAATTCGTCCTCTTCCTTTCTTCTTTTTTTTTTTTTTGGGGGGGGGCGGCGTTTTTTGGGGGCGACTGTCCCCACCGCCCCCCTGGCTACGCGTTGAGTAAAAGTGATAAGAACAAAAATTCTGATTGAATTCATGTTATACAAAATCATGAAATTAATTCAATTTTTTATATTTATCTTGTAACTTATCCATCTCAGCACGCTATTCCTTAATTACAAGCAAAAGTAGCATTTTATATACAGAAACACATTTCCTGTACAACAGCATGACGCTTCGGAATGAATGTTTGAACTCAAACATCTGACAGGGCCCTAAGGGTATGTCGGCATGCAGACTCCATCATAAGGGGGCTAATTAGCTTCAAGTTCATTATGAACTACCGTTGATACAGACTTTTTACATGGTTTTACACGGTGCACTCTGTGTGGTGTACATACATGTATTATTGTAGTGGGTGGCTTTAATTTCTTATAGCCCCCAATCTTTTTTTCCAACTTCTTTTCCTTCCTTTTATTTCCTTAATAAATTAATACATAAATAAACAATAATCACGACTTTAAGTATACACTTTCTTGGATTTTTCTTTACAAAAATTAATGATCTGAGGTACTATAATAACAAATTTTCAACAAAAAAAACAAAAAAAAAACCAAAATTCCCCAACTAATAGTTTGTTTGTGGGGATAGAGGGAGAACGAAAGGTAGAATTGAATAAGAAATGCTGGCTTCTTACCTGAAAGCAGATACTTGGCACAGAGATGAATATTGATGCTGCTATGAAGTCCAGAGATAAGACGGTAGAAGACTCTCTTCTCTAGACACATATCTAAATAGGGGGAGGAAGAAAAAAAGACGGTTAAATCAATGTATCACCTTTGATAGTGCATGAATGGTGTATTTAGAGCTGGAAAGGATATTGAAATGTGAATGCACTTTCTACAGTTTAAAACAACAAATTTGTTTGTGTTAGAAAGTCTTTGATTCTTTTCTTGTAGAATTTACATCCTAGCTTTGGGATATAGAGGATGACCACTCAGTCATGCTAGAATGTCATAATTTTTCTCGAAATTTGACTTTTCCAAGTGACTTCACCTAAAGCAAAGCCTGTTAAGATTTTTACAGGTTTGTTCATAGTATTTTCATCTACATTTGCAACATCTCATGAAAAATATTGATCCTTGATAAACCAAAATGGGCACTCAAACTTTGAATTCTTTGCATGGTTCCATCAATCCAAAAGATATTCCAGAACCAAGGAATTCTAAATAAAATAAATCTTAATCTGTTATTCCACATTGGCTGAGTTGGTAACAAACTCTCTCCTTGGAGTCCTCGTCATAGAATGTACAAAATATTTCAGATAATGGACTTCAAGCACAGATACCTCCTTGGTGAGACATATTTTATTTCTAATCATTATTATTTGCATGTTTGTGTTGGTATATCTTTTTTTTCTTCCCTGTATTGCCTGATGTGTATTCATTTCATCACACTGAGATGCAGTGAACTACTTGATTGACCCACCAGAGCTCTTGGTGAAGGTCTGCTATTTCAGCACATTCAAAGATTTTTTTGAAATGTTTGGTGTCCCTAATTTTCACATTTTCAACAAAAAAAGAAGGAACAAAATATCATGAGGAAAACCAAAAATAAAGTTACTAAGTGCAAATTATATGAAACCTAGTGCACAGGGGGAAAAAATGACATCAGTTATTTTTGAACAGCATTCTAGCCATATATTCTTTATGACTTTCTTTACGTTATAAAAACAAAGAGCAAAGAAATTTGAACGCTTTAAATTTTTAAATCAATGCTTTGTTCTGTCTGACATTATATTGCAGCAAACTCATTTCTAACCAAAACATTACTCATTTGAAATGATAGAAATTTGCTCATCACAGAGTCTACAGTATAAGCATACATGAACATAGGCAGCTAGAAATGCTCGTAAATCAATTAAATAAGAATGTAAAAAGCTTGTGCATGTTATGCCATGGAGGATTGTGTACTGTGCAATTTTCCTCCTCATCCCTTCCTTTATTGCGACCTTTCTTTGTATTCAGTTTAAATGCGTAATGGCCTAAATCTGATTCTTATCATATTCCAAATAGAAATTAATTTAAGGCATTTAACAAAATCAAGCTTGCTGCATGTGCTTTTACATTATTTTTCAATTTAGAAAGTAAGATTCAATTGAATGATTTCTCTTTTTCATTTTGTCATTTCTCATTCAAGTTTACATCATTTTAAAAGATTCTTTGATCGATTCACATGCAGGTTACGACAGTGTAAATATGTGCCTTGGATAGTCTGAACATAACCTAGAATTGAGTGAATGAATCTATAACTCAATACATTTGAAATATAATTTACCTACATACACCTAAAATATTTGAAAGATCACATTCTTCTGAATACAGTTTACATTACAAGTAAAATTCCTCATGAATGTGTATCCATAAAAATAAAATACTGTAACCTTTGAGAACAAAAAAAGAAAAAATATCTCCTGTATAAAAATCCTCAAGCTCTCATGACAAAATAAACAAAATCAGTGAAAAAGAACAAGTAGGAATGCTGACAATAATAAAACTGGAATAGGTAGGAATAATGGTGACACAGAACTAGAAGTACAAGTAGTAGATGTAGGATTACTACTCCTTCAACAGTTAAAAAGGGAAAATACTAAGAACTAGAGAGAAAATGGGAAAGATTGCAATGACAAACAATAATTCCATGTCAAGCATAGATATAGAACTGATGAATAATCAGGTAACAGAATAAAAAGGACTTGTCAGAAATGAGATAATAATTTAACAGACCGAGCAACATAGTTTGAAACTAGCAGGCAATCCTTGTATGTAGGCACCTATGAATATGACAAATTGCAAGGCTAAAGTAAAACATTGTAATATCCACTTTAGTCAGATCATCGATCACTGTCACCTGTGATACTTGTATAAAGATGGCTTAGTGCATGAAAACAAAACTTCTCATACCTTACCACAATGACAATAGATTTTACACTCAATTTCATTTTCATTTGGTTTCAATCAATTTCTTCTTTAAAACAAGTGACAGACTGATAATTATGTTTCTTTATTTTATTGAACATATCAAAGCTAATATGACCATATCATAATAATTGAGAAAATAAAACTGAGTCAGTATTAAAAAAAATGTAATTCAAACATAAAAGCGAGTAATTTTCAAGAAGAGAAAATGAAATGAAATTAATAAATTGCGACAATAAAAAGCAAACATAATATAGTATGAGGCATGCATGCAGGTATAACCCAATGCATATTTGTGACAGAGGAGGGAAACAAAGCAAACAAAATGGCATGATAATGAATAAATAAATTGAAAAAGGAAAGAAACAAAGCTACATGTAGGTGCAAATAATGATGCCCCAAACAAAATTACCTTTCAGGTATTGGGAGGCTGGGGATGGATTCAAATTAACAATGGTATTAAGCAGCAGTGATATACATTGTAGGAGGGGAGAGGAAAACAGGAAAAGACAAACAAAATATGGTACACAATGTTTATCAACTAAATTCTAATGTTTATTGAAAATCAAAATATTCCCACAGCATAGTGAAATAACACTTAATGTCAAACCAACCATTTCATGACATAAAACTTTCACAAATTGTTAAGGATGGCCATTTTCAAGGCAAAAAAACATTGACAAATTGCAAAAACTTAAAAGTTGTGTCAATTTTGATTCAATTATTCACAGCATCAAACTTTCGCATATCTGAACCATTTCTGGTTTGACAGTTGATTTTTAAGTTACATCTTAGATCTTGAAAGGACTTGATAGAGGAAATTGTACAACTTAAAGGTACAGTGTTCTATCTAACTATTTGACATATTTGTACTGAAAAATATTATAAACAGTTATGGGAAGCAATTCAAGGGGGTAGGAGAAATGAAGAATGATACTTTGCAATTATCCTGCCATTTTTCCTTAGGTTTAGAATAATGGTGCCTTCTAGCGGGTTCTGCAGAGTCTATGACTACTCCCTATTCCCTTTGTCCCCCCTCCTTCATCTATACTTGTTATGCCAATGCCACAACCTCCCACAAGATTATGTACAATCTCATCATCATCCAATTTCAGCAGCTGAATCATTTCCCCATTATAATCACATTAATTACATAGATCAAAGTATGATTAATAGCAAAGCTCATTAAGCTACCACAAGGGCTTATTTCATCTGTTGAGAGCTTGGTGGGTGCTAAATCCATCTTAAAGTATTTAATTGTAAGTTAATGCCCTTCTGGCTCTCAGCAGACAATTTATGTTTTTCTCCTTGCAATATAATATGGATGAATATGTGAGGGTTGTTATCTCTTATTATAAACTCTAATGAAGTTACACTACAATGAAACAATCAACGCATGAGGAACATAGCCATGACTTTCCATTCAAGGTATAGATTAACATTTTGAGGGTTACAAGTCAAAATCATTTGATCTTTGGACGGCTCATTAGTGCAATGACATCTTTTTCTTGAAATTGCAGATACATGTATGAATAATTGTGATCTTTGTCTCCATGTGTTTTTCCAAATGGACACAGAACACAAACAAATATAGCTGGTAAGTTTTTATTGTTAACACACATTTTAAACTTCAGAAGAAAAAAGCTTGCTAAATTGTTTTAAGATAAAGATATCTCAATGAAAATGTTTAAAAGTGCCTTTGAGCATCGACATATATGAGAAAATCTTGACATAAGAAAGGAGCAAGCTTATGTCTTTTCACAATCTACAATGCTACACCCATCATCCCCTGTTTACTAAATGATCACTACATGAATGCTGTATTGAAGCAATTATCAAATGATGAAATAAAAATGAAAATAAGGACGCTTACCTTTTAATTTCTTATTGCTGAGGAAACTTTCATAAGTGGTTGCGGTTGACTCAGGAGTTTCTGGTCTGCAATAGAATTTCATTTCACAAATACATTCAAGTTTGATAGTACAGCCTACAGATAATTAAAACATTGTACTTATTTCTTGAGGTCTTAAAGATCGTCACCACTACTGGGCCAGAAGGAATTAGACCACACAGAGAGCCATCGAGGTCACTGTGACAGGTGGCTATCTCATTAACTCAGCTCTCATTTAACATAAGAAAAAGAGGATCATGGGGGACCAACAGGCACCGATTAGGGAAGTTTTCTATATAGAGGGAGCAAGTAGCTACAAGTATGGCAGTGTGCCTTTAAACTTCAGACATATCAATCATTACATGTTATTCAAAACAGGAAAAAACAAAGTGTAATGTTTGTGTGGTCTAAACTTATTCACTCCTTGAATTTCATCAAAGCCCTCATGACTTTGACCAAAAGAAAATGAAAAAGATACGATTTGTATTTAGAAATTTAAGGTGCTGATATTTATTTTCAAAATGTTTGAACTACACTCAATCATCAAAGAGGTTCGATTTAAGAAGAAAAACAATAATTGCTGCCCTTTCTGATTCTGATGACAGTACAAAGTCAAGGACCAGTACCTAGATCTAAAAGACACATATACATCACATTTATTGTATCTCTCACAGCCATTATCTGCCTTCCAATCACGAGTGAAGCACCAAAAAGACTTCTCCCCTTGGAAATACCTGTAATTAATCATACTTGAAGGATAGAAACTACAACTCTATCTTGATATATACTTGAATTTTTCACTTACCTGAAGCAGTTTTCATTGTAGATGCTACTCCATATTCTATGTGGTGATGTCCCTTTGTAGCCTGTGTATCTCTCAGGGTTCAGTAATAAATCGACGTACTCCACGTCACCTGAGTGTTCATCTGGAAGAGAGTAAAGAATGTAGAACATTTCTGTCATTACACACGAGCCACAGGGTAAATATTCTGATACCAGTAGAAAAAAATCTACAAATGTTTTCAATTTGCATTAATTCTAGACTTATTCTCACATTCCCCTATTCACTTGTATTCCAAGATTCTTCAGCCTATCAATAACCAATATGACCATATTTGTTTTATATGCATGAAGTGTTATGGTTATGTTAATGTGCATACTACAGTAGCTTTCAAATCAAGCCTATTGCTGGTTATAAAAGCACACCAACCTGCCACAAACCAGCAAAGGTTCATGGACCTGTTTTTTAAAAGTAAAATATTAACTAAGCCTGAGTCATTACGGTTTTTGTGCTAAACGGTTAACCGTTAAAAGTATACGGGCGGTTTCGTTTAACCGTTTAATAATAATCTCAAAAAGTGAAAATACAGTATTTTTAATAGTGCTGTAGCTCGGAACCCTGCTGGTCTTCAGACTGTCGGGCTGAGCATTCCCAGCCCGGACTATGGCACAAATTGGGTCATCCTGATACACAGAGACCAGTAATAAACAACATAAAACATGTCTTATTATTCCTCATCTGAATTTGATATCATGATTAACCTTGCAAAGTTACTCTGTGAAGTTAGCTGATCTGTGACGTGTTTATATATGCCTTTGCAATGCAATGTTTGCACATGGTCAGGGAGAGAGCTCCCTGCATGTATCATTGCCATATGAAATTATGTGGAAGTGTGTATCACACACACCCAAGACACACCCTGCAATGAGCTGATCCAAGTTAGTGACCAATCAGGAAGGTTCTCTAGCTATGTGGGTGGAGTTTGATACCAGCATAAATTACAGGTTGGTGACCGCGCGTGCTTTCACCGTACCCAGTTCAGTGGGAGGTCAAGAAGCCACGCCCACATGTGTGCATGTGACAAGCATGAGCTCTCCATCTGTGTATGTACAGTGTATTTGGGCGCCGGAGGTTTGTGTGTACATGTGTGTGTGACTGAGAGAGCATATGGGCTAGCATGTCCCTGCATGTCCCTGCATGGACGAGGCAGGGACATGAGTGAAGATCGAAGTAAGAAAGGGTGGCTGTGTTAATCGGCTGAATTGAAGAATGCTCAAAAACTTAAATTACTCACAAATAATATCCAAGACTTTGTTGATTGATATTTCTAAAACTTCAATTATTATTGTTATCAATATTTTTGTATTTTATTTATATATGAACATTATTTTAGGGGGCGAGTCGGCAAGGGATGGATATTAATATTGAGAGAGAGAGAGAGAGAGAGAGAGACTCGGGGGAGAAGGGATGTGAGAGGAACTGACCATCGAATGTGTAAATATTTAGAAAGTTGTGAGCTGAGAGTGCAGTAATAAGAAAAGGTACATGAGCGATGAACACATTGCAGAGAGAAGGGAATAAAGAGGGTGAGAAAAGAGAGAAGGGGGCTGGTTGTTTTATTGTTTACAAATTCATTCATGGGGATTACTGCTGCCAGAAAGCTAGCGCGCAGCGGCCAGGGTGTAATATTACACTGCGGTTTCTTTGATTATCTTTATCATCGGCTATTAGCACATTCCAAAATGTATGCAAATAACGGTTAACCGGAGCGAGAAATGCTAAACGGTTTTGATGAATGCGGTCGGATAACCGTCGGTTAAACGGTTTGACTCAGGCCTAATATTAACATTCCATTTTGTAGTTCCTTTCTTTCTTTGAAATAAAGAGAATGATCACACCAACACCAACCTTCTTTTTCACAAAAGTTGAGTTGTGCATCGTCGTGTGTCTTCCATGTCTCAAAGGCTAGCATATTCTCTCTGCTGATGGTGGTATCAAGAGCTCCTAATTGATCCTCGTCTTCCTCCGTCTTCTCCTTGTTACACTCCTCTTCTTCATCACCGGTTTCATCTACTGGCTTGTTTGAGTCAGCTGAATACTGTGAGACAAGGGTGCAAGTTCTTGATTCAGAATTGCACAAGTTGTAGTTCTAATGTAGGTATTTTTCCTTACACACATTTGAACTTCTTAAAATTGTTCTTGGTGAATGTAAAATGCCAAATGCTTATACATGTCATTAAAATGTAATCAAGTATGCTCTTGAAAATAAATATAAAAAATATCTTGGTAGAAAATGAGGAAGAGTACATTACATTTCTAATATAAAAGTTTAAAAAATGGAATCTCAGAATGTAATACAAATATTGCTAAGTATATGAACATTCTTTATCTTTTCTTCAAAATAAGTTTTAATAAACACAAGACTATATCATTGTTATAACTTCCGGAGCCTATGACCTACAAGCATTGCTTTCTCTTTAGGCTCCATCATATTTCTTCCTTTATTTAACTTAGTCTATGTATTGTTCTTTTTGTTTGTATAAATGCATCCAAAAATGATTACAAAAATGTAACATGGCAAATTAATGATGTATTATACAACATGTGAAATATGAAAATAAACTGAACTGAAACTGAAACTGAAACTTAAGTTTTCTTAATACACAGGGTACATCAAAAGTAAACTGTACGAAAACAAAATCAGAATCTAATCTAAGCATTGATTTACATTAACTTCAGATATCTAATTCTTATCAGGATGAAAAATATGTCTGCATATCAATATTGTAGTAATGATTGTAGATAAAACTCTGAACTCACCTTGTTTTCATTCGACTCTTCTTTCAAACCACATGGTAAATCATCCTGTAGGTGGAGTAAGGACATGTATGAAGGTTTCATTTACCGTGGAAAGAGAGAGAGAGAGAGATCACTCCAAATTAAAGTATTGTATTCCTAAGGTATCAGCACTAAAATAAATTATTGTAAAATCAAAGAATGCATGCCATAAAATCTTAAAACCCCATATGTTAAGTGTGATATCCAGACTTGAAATGCCTGCTATACCATTTAAAAGCCTGAAATGTAGAGGTATATAAGAAGTATGAAGTCTTGAAAGTTAAGGCCTGAAAGCTGACATTAGGAGAGAGATAAGAGTAATATAACGCAGGGCTCAACACTAACAGCACCCAGGACACTTGAATGTCCCAAAATCTAACGCTGGACCCCAGAAATTTCAAATTTTTCAGATAGGGTGTATACATGCACACTAACTTTAAAAAGTTGATTTCAGATCCCCTTCACAAAAAGTTAGTGTGGAGCCAATAAGGCATACCTGCCAACATTTGAAAATGAGAATTAAGAATTTTTAGCACGGTATGTCTTCGAAAATAAGAAATCTGTACCCTTAACAGGCGTTCACACATGCAGCGGCAGTGTAACTGGCAATACGCGGTAAATCTGTGCAAAAAAGCGAATACAAATTCGCTGCTCAATCATGCAGCCCTTCAACGCACGCAATATGTGAACTCTCACATCGCGGCATATGATAAAACAAGCTTAATTTGGCTTAAGCAACAACAAATATAAAAAAAATTTAAAAAATTTAAAAAAAATTTAAAAAATTAAAAAAAAAAAAAAATCTAAATTTTGAAAATCCGGGATCTCCCGCATTGTGGGGTCCTAAAAATCCAGAAATGCGGAATATCCCGGAAAATGCGGGAGGGTTGGCAGGTATGATAAGGTAAAGGACTCTAAAGAAAAGAGAGAACAAGAGAGAGAGAGAGAGTGAGAGAGAGAGAGAGAGAGAGAGATGATGTGAGAAACGGGAGTGTGCTTACTGGTGAGCATGGGCAGACATGACATCCCTTCATGGCACAGCGACTATCATCAGCCCAGAATGGACACGGACGATGGAGGTTTACCTATCACATTCAGAAATAAATTGAACAGGCAAATATTAACTCTTTATTGGGTATGGATCGATGCCCTACAATGCCATATTTTAATGCGAGTATATGATAAACAACATTGTTTGCAAAACAAACGATGACTGTCTGTAGTGGTGCACTGTTTGATTCATTACTTGCAAAAGGCCACTTACAAAAAAAAGACCCTCAGCATTTTCAAAATCAATTTGTCTCTTTCAAATTTTTTGTGTGGTGACATTCCTGTTAAATAACTGAACATGTACAGTAGGTTCTGTCCATATGGGAACCCTACCTTCACAGTTGTTTTGCTTCAAATGAATCAGGAAAACAGAGCATTGCTACAAGATGTAGTTGAGAAATAATCAGTGCAAATAAAAATATTGTTATGATTTCAAAATAAAAATATATGTGTATAACTATAAATTACTTTCCTTTTCTGTTTCTCTTCTTTTCCTGATTGCTTTCTAATTATTTAGGAATGTCACATTTCATTGTCACAAGTTTCTAGCAGTAATTTAAACAATATTAATGAATGCTAAGGTCAAGCAACTGCATCAATTCACAGATATCTGCACCAAAAAAAATGCACAATCATCATTCGCCAGAGTAAGAGGTAAGGCATTTCCATATCAAAAAGTAAATTTATTTATATGAGTGAACTAATCCATTTGGCAAATGCATAAAATAACCTAAATACTTAACTAGAGTTAGTTAATTAAATACAAAACATCTTATGATCCTATCAATGACAATGTACATGGTGAAAAGTTGAAAACACCAACAGAGGCTGCTTCCAATAACATACGGCCACAGGTTTCAAGTGGTAGGCAAACAATTAGAGAACGAGACAGTTCACAGCATGATGCCTAGTAAATGAGTTAACTGTCAATCGTCTACATGGAGGACAGAAAGCCAGTCTCTCATAAACATGTACATACACTACTTCACATGGTAGACAGATTTAAGGTGTAAAGCTTATGCAGCAAAGCCATTAAAGACTATTAATTTTAAATATGTCGATGAAGAATAGGTAAAAAATGGTAGACAGATTTAAGGTGTAAAGCTTATGCAGCAAAGCCATTAAAGACTATTAATTTTAAATATGTGGATGAAGAATAGGTAAAAAATGGCTAAGGAAGCAATAAAGTGATGATCTTTGATATACAATACTCCTCTTGTCATGATGATATCTGTAATTTTAGATTTGTTCATACCATGATAAATACAGAATTCCTATTATAATTCTTATTGAAATGAACAATGTTTTTTGTTTCTGTCTTACTACTTTTTTCTTCCAATCTCCAGGAATTTTCACTCTTGGACAAATTCAATAACAATTACCGGTAAACTGTTTTCATGACCTAAAAAAAATGTGTTAACTACTACCTTTAAAATGATGTTACACTTGGCAGCCTTGCTCACTTCAATATTACACTGACAAGTCCCTGACTTTCCTGACTGGGCAACTGCTTTGTTATTACAGATTTACCCAAGTACCATTTGGTTTCTTTTGATGTGTGACTCTGTGTGCATTTTCTTTCTTTCTAAAGTGAAAAACAGATCATTCCTCAACCCCCCCCCCCCCAAATGAATCCTAAATGTATCCCTAAATGGTAAATAGGTGCTGTATGTACACGTAAATTGAAAATGCTTCAGATATCACTAAATGATCTAGACTGTCATGTTTAGAAACATAATGCTCTAAAAATCAAAAGTACTCTGAAGAATTGTAGTAGGTTGTAAACTCCAAAAAATAAACAGCTTTCAATGTAAACATCATACAAAGAGGAAAGCAAATACGGTAAAGTGATTTCATAATTCTTAATATACATAATAAACATGTAAAATAATTTAATACCAAGAAAACAAATTCATCAGAGCAATTTCCCTTACACTTTCCATTCAATCTGCTATAATTGTTAACTACAAATCAGTCAAATACCTATTTAATTTATTACTGTCTTTTTGAACTATGCTTGCAACCACCATATGTCTCCTGCAGGTCTGTGTACTTTTATCTTGAAATTTAATCCTTGCCATATGGTGAACACTTACCTTGAAGAACTTGAAGTAATTCTTATTGAGTAGGCTATTGAGAGGTGGGAAGAGGCGTATATTGTTGAACTCACTCACAGACTCCACCTTACATGTGCAGTCATCAACCACACCGTTCAACTATAAAAGGGGGAAATATGACAAGAAATCACATATTTACATCTCCAATGAACCTTCACCTCATCTGTTTAACCACACACTTTCGCGTATTAGTAAGTTTTTGCAAGTGGTCCACAATAATTTGCAACAGTTTCATGCTGTGAAGTCATCATATTAAAAAACTAAAATCTTTGCAATTCATAAAAGTTTCTGTTTTTTTAGTATGCCGTCATAGTATGTTATAAAAGGCAAAAGCATTACTATTTGTGACAACCCATGTAATTATAAGACTAAGTTTACATAAAATAATTATAGAATAGAAGAAGTAATCATCAAAAGTTGATTCTCATGTTAATTTTTGCCATTATATGCCTATGACCTAATTGTAAATAATCAAATAAAATCAAGAAGGCCTACTTCAGCCTGTTGAGTCTACCAATGAACTAACACTACCAAATGTGTGTAAAGTCACATCCGTAAAGCTTGGACCCGTTGTTTTTAAAATGAGTTATTGACCTTTCCTTTTGTTGTGCGTTTCAATGTGACACTGAATTTTGAGATCACACTCCAGAATGCTTTGTAATAATAAATGCTCACATTGGTTTAATACACTATACTATACACACACACACATCCCTAGAAAATATCGAGCTACACAAGCACAGCAAGTAAAGCAAAGACAGGTCGGTTATCCCTAAAGTTGATATACTGTAAGGTGGTACCGGTAATTTGAATTTGCAATATTTAATAAATCTTATAAAAGTTGTGTTAGACAATATTTTAACGGACTACATGTATATTTATGATGGTCAGTGCAGTGCTCTTTGATGTAAACTTTTTTTTTTTAAATCTGAAGGCAAAAGTTGTTTAAAGATAAAGACCAGTTATGGTCATGCGATTGCATTGTGAAAGAAACATTGTGGAATCGATCAGAAAAGGTTGATCATCTAGCATATACATGTAAGTATTGGTGTGTACTGCAAGGTTCTGGAATCATCAAAATGATAAGATATTTGGCCCAGTCTTCATAAAGTTACAAGCACTGTACACAGAAAGATGTATATGGGACTACTGGTATGCACACGTGCATGACATGTGCGTTTATCTCTCAGAGTCCAATAGATAAACTAATTTACCAAATATATCAATTAGTAGGCGGTTTCCCTGCAAATTTTTTACCATCATGTATTAGTCAAAACATGTTCTTTCACATGATTGGTAATAAAGAGCTTCCATTTCATTTTTTGAAATTGGGGCGTTTCCAATAACAACTTAAAATTAATAGAAGCAGAAAAATCGGACACACCAATCAAAAAAAGTTTGAGCAAAATCGGATAACTAATAAGTAATAAGAAAGTTATACATTTTTAATGAAATGAAAAACTTTGAAAATTACAGGAAAAATTGGCAACTCAATCATGAGTCTGTGATGACATTGCCCTACTATCCACTACATGTTTTCTTTATATTGATAATATCAATTTCCAATTTTCCCGCTAAAAATCTTACTTCCTCACACCAGCATCCAAGTTTGATATTACTGGTAATAGGTTTTTGTGTAGATGCACTAATACAGATTAATTCTTTTCAGTAAAATCATGAAAAATGTGAACTTTGATAAACTATTTGTATAAAAATCAATGATTATGATTTAGTATATAATATTCAATTATTCATAAAATAGTATCAAGCTCATAAAAGATTTTGTGAAATATGTCATGCATGCAATATGATACAAATCATATAACCTTGGCAAAGGCATGGGGAAATCAAGTTTTAGGGGATAAAAAGGGAAATTAATAGGATAAAAATATATAGAGCAATTGATAAATAGTGAGGCAATGACGTCACAAACTGAGAACCAAATTGGCAATTTATGAAGTGATTTTCTAAGTCCCATATTTTTCATACTTTTTCAAAAATTCATAACTTCCTTAATCCTTATTAGTTATCCAATTTACTCAATTTATTTTTGCTCTGTTTCTCTTGTTTTTCTGCATCTATTAAAAGCAAATTATTTTTGGAGTGGACTTACATGTACATTAGCCTTTAAGCATCTAGACACACACAACCCCATCATACCAATAAATCTATATGTGCTTGAAGTTAAAAGTTAAAACTCTAGCCCAGCTTTTTATACTATTTATTTAGAATTAAAAAGACCCAAAACAATAGTAAGACAGTAGACTACAATCAAGATAGAATGAGAGAAAGAAAAATGATTACAAACAAATTAAGCGTTCAGGAATGTGATACAACACAAATGGAAAGCAAAACTTTAAACTACATGTATTAGGGTGTCTGAACAATTTTTCAATTTTCAATTTGGGATCGTTTTTCACCATTTTTGTTTGATATTTGAATAAAAAGTGTAATCAGAATAATACATTTCAAATTTGAAGCTTCACCGATGTTTCAATCAAAAGATACAGCCCCTCCAAAATGCTGGTATATTCATATCATTTTGGTCAAAATCGACGAAAAAGACGTCCACGCAGAGTGATGTTGTTTTGCTAAATTTAGCCAAACAGCTGTATCGCGCGATATGCAAGCGTATGCATATCGTACGCATGCTGCTAAGCCAATGCGCGACTTGCAAGCTTGAGCTACGCTGTCTCCGCGACACGTGCCATTGACTAGTATGGTTAGCGTTCGTCGCACAAAAAACCCGGAAGTGAATGCACGTTATAGTCAATGGCAATATCGCGGAGATGTCTCCGCGATATTGCCATTGACTATAACGTGTATTCACTTCCGGGGTTTATGGTGGGAACGGCCATCCATACTTTCATTCACTATAAGCGCACATGTTACGCGATGTAACCATGGTTTGGACTGAGCGGAGCTCACGCCTCCCTAATTAGCTGATTCCAAAAATGTGGGAAGGGTATTTTTAAACTGTTGGGGCGAGTGATCTCTTGGGGCTAGCGAAAAAATAAGTGCATACATATTTTCCTTACGTCTAGCCGGACATAAGCCCGGGGGGCGCAGCTCAGGAAAGTGGCAAATTTTGGAGCTAGGATGCAAACAACATTTAAATCGCTGTTTTGACCAAGATATTTTTAGAATTTCGGGGGTGCGCCCCTTTGGGGAATATGGAGAAAAACCTGCTCTTTCATATGACACCTCATTTATTGAGTTTTACCTTCAGGATCACAAGCCCCAAAGGTTTGAATTTCAATTTTTTTCATAAAATCATTGACCAATTTTCATGGTCGCGCAATGCACGTAGACTGCATAGGGATGCGTGCAATCTCTATGGGAGGTATTTTAGCACACAACATCGGGTGCGCGATCAGACACCCTACATTTAGGCTAGAGTTCCATATGTACCCCCCACTAAAATTGAACAAAAATATATCGATATGTTTCAGAGTGAAATCGTCTAGATCTAGTCTACTAGACTAGTCTACCTAATAACAATATAATAGACCTAGATCTACATGTAGACCTACATGTATATAAAACATGGAAAACTAGGGTTAGGGTTAGACAATGAGAGATAGATCTAGAAAGAAAGTGTAATAATATTTAGCGGGGGGTACATATGGAACTCTTTCCAAATTGGCGGAGGGCATGGCCAAGGGTGGACGTGGGTGGGGCAGCCAGCTTTTTTATTAATATAATTAATAATAGATCTAGGGACATAGGGTCTAGATCTATCCCCCAAGAAATAAAAAAACAAAACAAAAACAGTTCAGTTCAGTTAAAATATCAAGAGTCGTTATCAAATGTCTAGAAGCATGTCATCAATGCCTCACACCCATTCACAACAAATGATCAACTATTTTATACACAGTCGACAGTCTAACATCAGATCTACAAATAAAATTGGCAGCCCGTGAAGCTGAAGCACCATGGCCCATGAAACCTCCCAATCACCAATCTAATTGCATGCCCGAGGTCCCCCGTTCCAGTCACACCAAAAACGCCTCGCGATCACCGACGCTGTGCTTCCTTAGCTTACCTCACAAAAACAGCGGTGAACATCATTGTTGTTCTTCTTGGCATTCCCAGAGAATGTTGAACTACACAAACACAGCAAGCAAATCACAGAAAGGATTGAAAGGTACATTCTAGCGTGAAAAATCATGATAACCTGATTGAGTCAGCTCAAACGACCATGTAAAATGAATTTCCCTCCGTATGCTCGAATAATGTTGTGATAATGTCATGTTAAATGATTAGTCCTTGTCCAAGACGACACAACACCGAATATTCAGTTTTTTTCTTCTAATAAGGGTGTCTATTCTACGAAAGTTCATTTATACCAAATAATCGCAAATTATGTTTGTTATGTAAATTTGCAAGTTACAAATTATTGTATATCTATTGATAAAATATTTGATTTTGTCACGGGACTTTTTATCACACAAAATATACGACTTGCACAAAGGCCTATGATCAACCACGATTAGCTTAGCTTTACGTGGCGTTCTGCACGTTCGTCTAGGCAACACAATACCATTATATTTATTCAACCAACAATTAATGACGCAATGCCTCTTTTTCATTAAAAACAAACACCCGTTTTCCTCCTCCAACTCAGGAACATAAATGACTTTTAAAGGGCTTTGATCAAAATCCAGTTTCTCTTCTATGCCTTTCCGACTTTCTGTTCTACATCTTTCTCAAAACTCTACTTTAGACTACTTCTTTTATCAAGTTATTCGATTAGTTTTTATATTATTTTCAATACATATACTTTCAAATATTCTTCTCTTCCCTAAAAACAAATTGTAGATATTTTCCAAATCTCAATTCAATGGCTTCAATACGCTCCACCTTGTATATCAAAAATCATAAGACAGTAGACTATTTTCTCATTCTTTTATCTCTCTCTCTCTCTCTCTGTGTCTCTCTAATATACTTGACCAAACACTTTTTATTCCTTTTTTTCTCTCTCGCTATGTTTCAGCTCTCTTTCCAGCCCCACCCCCTCTCCCTCCTCTCTCTCTCTCTCTTCCACCTCCACACATTATTCAGAGTTCTCAGGTCATTCACACAATAACATATAGCACAAATCACAATAAGGATGGCTTAAAGTTTATCAGTTTTTTTTTATAATTTAGGTAAATTTCATTCTTTATATACACTATAAAACAGAATAGGTGGATTGTTTCTTAATCCTTTCACCATATATAAATATAGTAAATAAAGATATTGCAAAATTGTGAATTGAATATAAATGAATCAGAATTGACACTGATTTAAAACCTAAAGAGTAATGTATCACTTCAAAGGCTTTGAAGTGATACAAAAATATTCTTCACTCTAACACTGAATCATGGATTGGTATCTCAACGTGTTTTGTATTCAGTGAAAAAGGCAATTATATAAACTGCAACTATTATTATTAAAGATACAGTTTAGTTCTGGCCACGCGATTACATTGTGAAAGAAACGTTGTGGAATCGATCAGTAAAGGGTGATCATCTAGCATATAAGTATTGGTGTGTACTGCAAGGTTCTGGAATCGTCAAAATGATAAGAAATTTGGCCCAGTCTAGGTAAAGTTACAAGCACTGTACACAGATCCAAATAGGTCCAAATAGATATAATAATTTACCAAATATATCAATTAGTAGGCGGTTTCTCGGCAAAATTTGTATCATCACGTATTAGTCAAAACATGTTCTTTCATATGATTGGGAATAAGAGCTTCCATTTCATTTTGGAGAAAAGGGGCATTTCCAAAACTGGTCTTTACCTTTAAAGAAACAACCAGTCTGCAGTGGCCTCTCTCATGTCACAAAAGTTTCTGATTTTATAATACAGTGATACCTGTCTTGGAAGACCACTCTTGCGAGACATGAAAAGAGGTCTCTTCAGGCAGGTGGTCTTTATGTACAGGTTCCTTTAGTTCATGTTCTAATGACAAACACTATTCAAGGGAAACAGAAAGCGTGGCCTTTATAGACAGGTAGTCTTTCTATGTAGGTGGTTGCTAAAGCAGATTTCACTGTATAACAGTCATCTTCACATTCAGTTCTGCTTTTAAAGCATTCCATTTCTATCTTGTGAAGACCCAGTCCTAAATCGATCTGTTCTCACGTTCCTGATGATGAATAGCTGGTCTTTTCCAACATAGGTGGGATACATACAACGTTCATCAGCCCTTCTGCAAAGCCATCCAACCTTTGCTGCTGTTTGAGTTTCACACTGTCCAGCTCCTCTTGCAGTCTTCTCACACCATCCAACATTCTAGTAATCTCATCCTTTATGTTGAGTGTATTTGGAGGAAGAGCTTCGGGTTTCAAGCGCCTGTTCTTAGCTTGTTCAGGCTTGAAGGAAAACTGCACTGTTGGTAGAGGATAGCTCCTAGTATGCACCTTGCGGTGTTCTTCAAAACTGTTGGTGAGCTTGGCTCTGACTGCATTGTCGATGTCTGCCTTTCTTTTGTGTATGTCGGGATGATCAGATAACTGCATGAGAAAAGTGATATGATCACAGGATTTGTGTCAATGTAAAACTAATCATTGATTATGACATTTGTCTTGATTTACTATAAACTATCCTAATTGTTGATTTTTGTTAAGAGTATTGCTTTAAAAAATGTAAGAAATTTGATAAAATTATAGCTATTTGGAGTATCTACAATTGTGTGTCAACAAAAGTTCTAGAAAGTGACACGTCAAAACCAGGAAATAGATAGCATGGGGTGATGATAAGTATCCCTTAAATCAACAATTCAAAGGATTTCCTCTTTCCGGATACTATACTGCTTTTTCAAAGATATAAAGGCAAATATCTCAGATGCAAAAACAATATTATAGAACCATGTACTGTATCATGTGTCATTCCATCACTTCTTTTTACAGGAATGTTGTTTGCTTTTAAATGAACCAGATATCATAATTTGTCCATTTAGTCTGACATACCAATTTCTCTAACATGATCAAGATAATCTTTAGAAATTTACAATTTAATGCAATATTATATAAAATGCACATATTTCATGATAAAAACTATATTCACAGTTCTCAAGGGTCACTGGGCATGTCAGTGTAAGATGTCTTTGTAAATACAAAGAAAATGGCAGTTGGACTCATTAATCTTTAGACTGCGTGAAAGCTCCATATGTTTACCAGAACACATCTTGCTCATCATGTTAGTATAATTAGTAAGAATGACCATATCAGACGACTAGAGAGGGCTAACCCCCTAGCCAAATACCCCTTTCCCTATCCTACCCCAAAGTACCCTCTTAATTTAGACAGTTATCTGAAGTCCCCTCTAATTTAATAGAGGGTATTTTATTAATTTGTTATTTTTTTGGAGGGGGGAGGGGGATACTCATTGTTCCAGGAGGTAGTTGTCCAGGGGTGATACTCTAGGGGCAGTTGTCCAAGAATCAGTACACAAATTGTTTACCTGACTGACGAGGTCATTAGCCCCTCTCGATTCAAGCTCATCCTCCAGAACTTGACGCTGCCTGTTCAGTTCAATCTCAAGATCATGAAGCCGCTGTATCCTTCTAGACCTCTCCTTTGTTGCTACCACATGATGCGCATGATGATTGTTGGATGAGATTGGAGGAATGGGGTTCACTGCAGCCGAGGACATCTTGGCTTCGTGAACACTCATCTGCGGTTGGTGAAATCACAAACACAACTCAGTTCATTGATGCACAAATTCATAACTGAAATAAGCAAATGTAATTTGAAATTTACACCTATTCAGTTTTCAAAATTGAATTAAGTTGAAATACCTTCTCATTTTCATAATATTGTATAGGTAAGATATTTTCTTATGTTCTTAACTGTGAACTATTAACTAGGAGGTAATTTGGGTGATTCTACAGGGGTGATGAAGGTCTTTTTGAAAACGAAACCATTTTAAACCAGTTCATTCATGTAATTATGTTGAGGAATGGGGGGGGGGGGGGGGAAGGGGTAGGGGAGGCACAATAATGCTGTTCCAACTTTAAACACTTTGTCAATAGGTCAAATTATGTTATGCCAGGGGATTAAAGGGATTCATGAACAAGTAGAAAAGAGGGATTCAAATTGGACTACGATTACACTTACCATCCACTGCCAAAATATGGGTTCAGCTTCTTTCCAGACAACACATGTTTGTAGAAAGGATGACTGCTTCTCCAGGTGCATTAGGTACTAGAGGACATGGAAACGATGAAATTCATTACTACCACAAGTCAATGAAAACTAAATACCAGTACATACAATACCGGTGCTGGCAGTGCATACACTTATGCTATTTAAGTAAGGGGAACATTCCAGTTTGGCTATACCATCGTCATCACTTTTCATCGAGTGTCTCAGGGCACAATGCATATTAGCAAAGGCAAGATGGCGACCACAAAATGCATTGGCTAAATTCCAAATTGCATAAACAATACACAGCTCTTTCAAACTCCTTTCGATTTTCGCATGAACCTCAACCTATATCTTAAATCAACATGGTTGAAAGTGTAGAGCCTGACCATCAAGTTACTTTCTTATGTAGCTCAAATTTAAGTTTAAATTTGGCTTGACTTACAACACTGCTAACTGGAGTTGTGAGGGAGGAAGGGGGGGGGGGGAGCATGAGCCTTTGGAGATAAAACAAATCGAAGGTGGAAAGTTTTGATATACCGGTAGGCCTTTTATAAAGTCTTTTGAACATCAGTATTTGATACACATTCCATCCTGCATAATTGTAGAGTGCCAGCTAGCTTGATGCTCAAAGATAGAACACCAATTTATACTCTGTTTGGAAAGAAAGGAAAAAATCTTACATGTTGTAATTGTTTTGGATGCCTGAGGATAAAGGTCTCCCATGCTGTCAGATGGTTCACACGACTAGGATGAGGCATGCTCACTCCCTGGGTAGCTTCATGAACGTGATGAATCGCTGCACAAAGACCTTGCTGTTCACAGTACAGCGCCTTCAGAGCTAGCCTGAGTCGTCCCATCAGCCACACCAGGTACTTGGCCTGTCCTACAGGGGTTGACGGACCTGAGTCTTTCAGCCACTGAAAACAAGGTGAATGTGTAATTTTGTGTATAAAGTGCAAATGAATGAAAATTCAAACCATGCAAAGATATTTTCCAATTATAATATTCCCAATAATTTAATTAAGTAAAGGGTTTGAGGAACAAGAATCTTTTTGCCACTGCTAACAATGCGATGTTACATGTTTAAAAAAAAAGAGGATGAATCAATCCTAACCATTGAATAACTTAACTTTTTCTAATTGTAAATACTATATTGTGAGGATATGAGGATGAATCATTTAAAATCATTTAATATTCCAATTTACAACTTCCCAAATATATCATTTCATTAATTAGTTACAAGTCTACTAACTACAAAACTATATGTACATGATTATTTCTATGACTCTTTGAAATTGTACGTTGAAATCAATGATACATCTGATTGAATATATCTTTATCATCAATAAAAAGTATATGTATTCTAAATTTCCTTCAAAAATATATGATAGAAATTACATTTTGAAGAAATTGGGTATAATCATGAGAAATGTTGAAAGCAAGTGTTGGAAATCAGTTTTAAAAAAATGTAGTAATGAGAATAATAAGCAAATATTTTTTATTTATGTTGAAATACAAAATAGAAGTAGAGGAAAATAAAACTGAGACAACAGATTTGAATATAAGTGGAAAAAGACAATTACCGATTTACAATCTGCTATCAAGTATAATTTGATTTGATATCATTTAAACATGTGATTAGTGCTTTGTTATGAATATTTATGTACTACGATGTTACCCGTGACTTTATCTGAATAAAGACTTATTTCAACAACAACAAAACAAAACAAAAGAATGAGAAATGTTGATATTTATCTTGCCAGTGATAAACCATAATAAACTTTAGTTGAAATATCTTTTTAAGTGTGGAAATTATGGTCCAAACTTCTCATCCTCACTTGACTTGATGCCTTGGTGATCCCTGAATTCAATGCCTTCTGAACCGCCCCAAGGTGAAAGGTAGATATTGGCGGAGAGGCATCTTCTAGCTTGACTTTCGCTTGTTCATTGACAAAGTCCAATTTTGCTAGGAGCCATCCTATCGCCACGAGGATGTCTCTGCTTCCAACATCACCATCGTCATGAAAACCAAGACATCTGTAGCCCATTTGGTAAAGCAGTGACTGAACATCAGCTTTTTCAAGATGACTAGCTGCCAAGTTCTTGGCAGATTTGCTAATGGTTGAAGATGTGAAGTTGAGCTGCAACAGTTCCTTGAGTAATGTCCACATCGATGAGATCTAAGGGGGAAAAAAAGAGATGCAAAATATTTTACCACGCAATTATTCATAATAGAAGTCAGTGCAATCAATAATAACTAAACGATGCATGTGTTTTTTTGTAAGTTTAAGTTTAGACTGATTTTCAGAATATCAATTATTCACCAGATAAAAGAAATCAAAATTAAAGTAATTAAAACAAAAACAAAACAAATCACAGAGCCATGCATTAATCTTTATTTATTTATGTTCTTTCCCCCAGGCCCCAGGTATTTTTCATTAATCAAAATAGTCAAAACTGTCAAACCAAACAAACAAAATCAACAAAAATATTAAAAAATAAAAATAAATGAATAAATATAAATCATCATGACTGCCAATGAAATACAGATTTCCCCCCAAATTCAGACCATTTTCGCCCATTTTTGTACTGCTAAGTTGGAGTTAATCAAAAACAATTACCAACACTGATCAACTGATGTTCAGTGACAAAGACATTCTTCGCAATTTTCTCTCTCCATCTTTAAATTTCTCACTCTCTGACTCTCTGTCTTAGCTTTGCTACTAAGTTTTCCTTATCGTTGCGTTTGATTTTACCAGTTTCCATTTGGCTAGACATATGATAGACTCTAGACTCTATTAAAACTAAAACTAGAAAAACGCTTACAGCTTCAGGTTGATCAAACTTTGCTTGTCGAAACTGTTCAGGAGTTATCCTGGTGATGAAGACATTTGAATTAAGAATGTGGCAAAATGCCCCAATTGCTTCCTTTGCTTGATGCTTTCTTCCCTGCTTTGATGATGCCATTTCCTCCTCATTTTTAATTCCGAGAGCCCGTCGATGTGCGGCCGTTCAACAAATAGCTCGCCCCTCCAGCTCCGGCGGTGAAGATTCGAGCGTCCCGATCAAATCAAATGGTGTAGCGGGGGAGATTCCAATGCAGAGCTGATGGAGCTAGTCTAGTTCAAAACTTTAGATGATTAAATCCAAAATATGAAATAAGTTTTTAATCATTAAATTTAATTTAAAAAAGTCTAATTCATGATCTATGAAAATTTTATCATACATTTCAACCATTTTATTTATTTCGATTCAGTTTTAATTTGAAAATGAATCTTTGAATGAAATTGCACTCAAAATAAATTAGGGGAAATTAATAAATTTGATTTGAAGTAAGGCTAAACCGCGGGAAATTGCGAAAAATCTTCATTCATTCATTCATTCAGATCGCAATGCAATGTTCTTGTATAAATTAAAGTTGTAAATAGAGGACTATAGGCCTAGTATATCTAATTTACATGTTTGCAGGTTTCCGACTGTGAAACATCTACATACAGCTTCATTTCTTATAGGATTTGTACTCGTTTGGCTGCTTGTTTGGCTTGGACATGGCTGACAAAGTGAAGACGGGTATTTCTGCAGCATTCAAGATGAATGGTCTCGCACTCAGAAGGTTGGTTCTATTTGTATTAACTATGAAAGTTGCATGATCGTGACTTTTCAGTGTCGAGCTCAACATGAAGAATAGTGTAAATGATGAAGAGAATTCTTATAATTTTGCTCTGCTTTGTGCATGAAGTCTAATTCATGATGATTGATCTAGATCTATATAAATCTTTATGCGAATATGTGCCTGATACAGTCCGAATTAATTATTGAATATAGTCTAGATCTAGTCGAGATAGATGTTGAATTTTTGATAATGCCACTAGTATTTGCAAATGATCTAGGCTGGAGAGTCTAATTCTTATGTGATTTTATTGTGTGTCTATCACTTACCTGTAACATTGAAGAAAAAATATTCTTTTGCAAGCTAGCTTTCATAATGCATCACTTTTCTCTTACAACTGCAGTGCCAATGGCAAATTATATTTTAAAAAAAAACACATTTTATTTTTAATAACATTGAATAATTTCACTTTGCAAAGGTTCGTCAAGCATCAGTTCATTTCAGTATACGTTTTCTTAATCTCTTTCCAGCAATGCACTAAAATACCTTGTAGCAGCTCTCACACCAGTCACAGAAATTGAGAGAAATCAGTGGATTGAGAAAATTATTGAAGCAGTCCAGAAACAGCCTTGTAAGTATTACGCTGGATAGCAGATGAAAGTCTCCCCAGTTTACAAATGATCTCTTTTTTTTAGGTCAATTAGAGGGGTAATTCTTGGCAACATTTCTCTACAGATAATATTTATATATTATATTATTTTTTTAAAACTTTTTAAAAATATTTTTATAGTTTTACTCACAATATGTTTCCAACCCCCTCCCCCCTGAAAATGACGGTAAAATGGGGAAAAAAAATAATTAAAGATCAATATTAAAGTCTAGTAACACAGGAGTTGTATTTTGTTTTTATTTCTTTAGTAAATTTAGATGAGATTTGGATGTAATGATTGAAAGAATTGAATGGATGCATCAGGAACAAAAGTGGGATAATATTCAAATTTGATCTAAAGGTACCTTTGAGGTGCAAATATTCATGACTGAGAATAAGTTATAGGAATGAAATATGAAAATGGACATGAGCAAAAGAACATGACAAAAAATGAAGAAAAAAAAAGGATATTAATTGAAAAGGAATGACACAGATACTAGTATAGTGATGCAAAAGGAAGAAGCAGGAAATCTGGACAAAAAGGAAAAATATACAATTATACCTGCTTATCTTTTAAATTTGGATTTAATAATTTCTTTTGTTTATTTTCATTTTCATCTTTGACCAGTATCTTCTGCTTTACTGGACAAGGCTATCATAGAGGCTGCCATCAATGAATGCAGCGATGGTGGAAAGGAAGAGAACGAGAAGATGTTTAACGTCATTGACTCTTTCACAGTACCAAGATATACTTACAATGCAGAAAGAAAGAAGTTCCTGATGTAAGTATACATGTACACAGTCTACTGTATTCTAATATACCTTATTTAAATGAATGTGTCATATTTAAGAGATAAAGGAGTATTTTTTTGGTAGTTATTTACCTCTCAGATTAATTTATCTCAGCTTCTGACGAGCAAACACACTTATGATAATCGTAGATAGTAGGTTAGACAATGGAAATCTTATATTTAATGGGAGGCCCTGTTCTATTGACTGAATTACTGAATAATTCACTGATCCAATACTTGCTCCAGCAACAACAGTTCCCCTAGTTTTCTTTTTTATGTAGGATATTGTGTTAAGGATTTAGGTTGCAGTTGAGTTTTTTTGTAGGTTAGATTTATGGTTAGGTATAGTGTTTGGTCCAGGTTTGAAGTTAGGAATATAACTTGTGTTAGAAAGGCAGAGGCTGCAGAAACATTGTGATAGCCTGTTTTGTTCAAACAAGAATGTGTGCCTACCTTGGCAATGACTTGTGTGGAAGTGGGACTCAAAGATACCTGTGATTAGGTTCTTCTATGCTATTTCATTTCATCACTAACTCAAATAATGATAACCTGAATAGAAGATTTCATTCATTGCATATCACCTTGATGATTGTTTTAGGAGCAATGATGCCCCTAATCTTCATGCCTCAGCAAAGTACAAGGCGGATCTCTTTCGAGAGAGGTATAACATCTTGCTTCAGAGGACATCTAGGCATAGTCTCTTTTCACCTCCGGTCCAGGGTGCTTCCACTGAAACACAGGGCAAGAAGTTTCAGGTAAGAACAATCTTTTTTTCTTTTTTTTTAATTTATCGAGAAACAGGAATGCTATCAAGCAAACAAAACAAAATAAAAACAAGAATGAATAATCAAGTCACCAAATTTCCCTTTCCAGATAATCTGAATGACTTGTTCTATATCAGTGGGATTGTCAGGTGCTTTTTGTGATGATTTTATTAGTTATTTTTGTAGAAAGACGAATTGATTAGATACCGGTATGTGTAGTTTATTCCAAACTAATTTTTGATTGGACAGAAGTAATTTTTTGTACTTAAAGTACAGTTATTCTATTGCTTTAGTTACATGTACAGTCTCTATGTTTAGTCGCGTACTGGTATTATCTTCTTTCTTTTATCTTTAGTTAAAACCAGTTGAATTTCTCTTGGGGAGTACAGCCAAGCTGGGAGAACTGATTGTTTTGGGTATGCTCACACAGCTCAAAGAAGTAAGTACATTCATGAATAACTGCATCCAGATTATTGTGTATACATTGCTTTAATATCAATCTGTAAACTCTTTGTACTGCTTGTGTTCAACTTCAACAAATTATCCACCATTGCAAATTGTGTTCATTACAAAATTAAATTAGGAGTTATAACACTTTGAAGATTTTAATTCTGTAATTTGTGATTGATCCCTGGTAGTTCACAAAATGATAAAATTCCCAAGCAGTTCAAAAGATGAAGATAATCCTAAAGTACAATTGAATTTCATTATTCCCTTGCAATTATGTACTAACAGATGTTCCTTTCCTGATCCATATGCTGAATACAATTGAGTTTTCTCATAGTATTTAGATTTCAATGTCAGACAGTTATCGACTATATTTCAACATGCCACATTTACTCTTTTTTTTCTAGGGAAAATTCCATTTGGAGGATCCTACTGGTGCTGTCCAACTTGATCTGGCCAAAGCAATATCCTTTTGAAATATGTATGGATTATAAATGTTCACAAATATTTAAGTGTAATGTATTTGATAATCTCTATAATGATGATGTTACATGTATGACTAGACTTGTACTTGTTTCATATTACTCATATTGTCCAATAAATATGTTACAGTAGGTATATTCCTTGACAGCCGATATTCACCAGTTCCATACAGGTCTGTTTACAGAGAACTGTTTTGTGCTAGCGGAAGGCTGGTATGAGGATGAAGTATTCCATGTAAACGGCTTCGGCTTCCCCCCAGCCGAACCAGCAGATACCACAAGGTAATCAAATGTCAAATTTTAACTTGTAGTCAAATAGTCATGGTATTTTGAGCTTCTAGTCACAAGGCCAACATTTTTTGAGTAAGAATCATTACATTATTTTCTTAAAATTTTATGCCAAAAGGAGACAAATTTTCCCTGTCCTCATGCTTAGTTGAGCATCACAGCACTGTTGCACTCTGAGACATACCATCATTTACTACTTACACTCAAGAGTTGAAAGTCCCAATTCACTTGTTGATTATATAGTAGTTGAATTCTTGATCTTGATTGGCTGATTGTGGGAATGTTTTTTAAAACTTATTTTGATTGATAACAATTCTTTGTTGGCCAGTGTGAGTTTATGTTCATACATACAAATCACAGCAAACCGCTACATATCCTTACATATCCTATGAAATTAGATAAAAGTCCATTTGTTAAAAATCAAATTGTTCAAGTCGTTTATGTACTACATTATTTTCATTACTGGAATGGCTACCCTGGCAAATAACTGGTCCTTGCTTTAGAGCTCTCTCGATCATCTACAGTCTGTATATGATGTATGTTTCTTGCTTGCAGGTCGTACTTTGGAAATCTGAATTTCTTCGGAGGACCCTCCGCAACCTGTGCCAAGTCTTCCACCAAACTCAAGCTCAGTGAGCAGGAGAAGGAGGATGCCATGATGGTATTCCTCTCCGATGTCTGGCTTGATAAGGTGGACGTTCAGGACAAGCTTCGGATCCTTCTGACTGGTTACTCAGAAATGCCTCCGATGTGCTTTGTCTTCTGTGGCAACTTCACCTCGACACCCTATGGCCCCAGTCATAACAAGATCCTCAAAGGTATTGATTTGCACCACTTGTCCAATTGACATATTCAGCTCTAATTACTGCATTGTTCTCAGTACCTATGTCTAATTTGGGTCTTCATGCTGTCAACTCTCCCCAATGTTGAAAAAATAAAACAAATTACAACATGGGTATTTTTATCAAATATGATGGCATAATGTCCAAAGTTCAACCTAGTCCAAGAAATTGGGAAAAGAGGGGGGGGGGGGGGGGGGGGGGGGGGGGGGAGACAACTTGTCATTTTTTAGCATTTAACATGTCTATTTCTCATGGAATAAAGGAAAGAGAGGGCTCATTAATGGTTTGTTTAATAGCATCAGTATAACATTCTTCCATAAGCATTTCAGTCCAAGTAGTTTACATAAAGGGAATCCTTTATTCGCAAGACACTTGTTAACTATACAGTTAACGACTAAATTATTCATATCTTAACCAAGTTTTTGTGATTTTTCAAGTATGTGAAAAGTTGATTTGTCCTGATTTATGTTTTTGAGAGTGTGACATATCAAAGCTTACAGTATTAAAGTATTAAAGTATTAAAAGCCCCTAATTCAACCAGCCCACATTTCATTCTTGAGTTACAAAAAAAAACAGAAAAAAAACACCAAATTTAAAAGGGGTATGAATAAATTAGTTGTTAGGTGCATATGTATTTCCTGACACATTACCCATAAAGACATATTGAAGTACTTCTTTTCTGTTTTGTCATCTTTACAGAATCACTGCAGACCCTTGCTAACATGATCTGTGAGTTCAGTACCCTGGTAGAGCAGAGTCGATTCATCTTTGTTCCAGGCCCAGAGGATCCAGGTCCAGGAAACGTCCTACCAAGGTAACTCTCAAACCTTTTCCAGAAAAAAAAATCCACATTGACAGGTTCTAGCTACTACACACAATTTTCTATCAGCATTTTTCACAAATCAGGACTAATTCCAAAATTCGCAAGATTTCTCTGCACACTAAATGTAAAAGATGATGGATTAAGTTGTCTGATGTTCCAAATCCCTGAAGGAACTGGTACCTGTTCTTGCCACAAGGACCCCAAATATATGGTTAATGGTTTCAAGACTTCACATTCACACCAATATATGTGCAATCTGAGTGTTCCCCTTGTTCATTTTCAGATGTTTGAAGCAGTATGAATTTTCAATTAACTCTGAAGCATCTCCAGTGCCACTTTTTTGAGGTAATATTGTGATATTTATTTGGCTTTACAGACCTCCAATTCCAGAGTGCCTAACAGAAGTGATCACTAGTAAAGTTCCTACTGCAGTTTTTACAACGAATCCTTGCAGGTATGTTTGTTTTTGTTAATTCATTTTTTCTATTATCGTATACCCCCCCCCCCTCCCCAATAAAAAAAAAGGATATATATATATGTATATATATATATATATATATATATATATATATATATATATATATATAATCATTATAATAATGATAATAAATATAATAATAATTTTTTTTTTTAATATAAATAAATTGATAAATAAATTTTTAAAAAATTAAAAAAATAGATAAATATAAAAAAGTAGAATCTTTCATTATGTTAGAAAAATGTGCATTGATGATAGTCATTTTATACACCCATATATGAAAATGTAGCTTAGTGCACTGTTCTTTATCCTGTTTGTTCTCAGATTACAGTATTGTACACAAGAGATCATCGTCTTCAAAGAAGACATTGTCATGAAGATGTGCAGAAACTGCATCCGTTTCCCTGACAACAACAATGAAATTCCTGATCATGTGAGTCTTAGTGTATCTTTCTCAGCTTTTCATTTGGTCTTATAATTTTTAGTTACCTGTACAAGCAAGGTGATACAAATAGGCCAGTTAATTTAGAAACATTAATATGTGATTTCAGATTGTTGTCTCTCATAAAAAGGTACCAAAAACATAGGCTGAATATGACCTTTTTACTTTAAAAATCCTGTAAAGTATAGATTTATCTTCTTACAACAGGCTTGAATGTATCTTTTTCTTTCTCTTCTGCTTGTGATAAAGTTCACATACCTAACCTTCATTCCTTGAAACGCAGCGCGCGTAACAGCTGCACTGCTAAAGCCAGGGTAATTATGCTGCATTATTGTAGAGCGCTTAGAGACTTCTGCATAGGAAGTGTTAGGCACTATATAAGCAAGGATAATTATTATTATTATTATTTGGTTTTTGATACAGATAACATTTCCTTCCAGTATGTACATTTTTTACAACATCTCTAGTGGATGATTGCTAATATACTCCTCTTTCTGTCTTTTCTCTCAGTTTGTGAAGACCATTGTGTCACAGGGACATTTGTGCCCCCTACCCCTCCATGTCTGCCCCGTGTACTGGGCCTATGACAACGCTCTACGGATATACCCCCTACCTGATGTCATCGTCCTGGGGGACAAGTATGACCCTTTCACTATCACCAATGTTGGTACAACATGCACAAACACTGTAAGTATCAGCACAATCGCTTTAATATAACAAATAGAAAAGAAGGAGATATATGCATATATATTTATTCAATTTCACAACTGGACATTAGAGTCTGTAATAGCCTTAATACCAAAATTTTAATTGAAATGCTTAAAGATAAGACCATTTCACCCATCCATAAGTGCAATGTTACTTCCCTACCTGGGTATTATGGTATTGCTACAGGGCAAGCATACAAATCAGTCAGATTATCAGTAGTAAGCTTCCAAAGTATATGTCAAATTTGTCTCCATGCATATCTGAATATTATATTGAAATTCGGTTGGAAAAGACTTCATCAATACATTTGCATTTTCTTATTTTTACATTTTTGATTGGGCCCTAAACAGTGTCAGTAACTGTTATTGTTCTAACTTCTTATGTCTATCAATTTTTAAAGTTAATATGTCTCTTTATCTTTCTCCCTTTCTTTCTGTATATCCTCTACTCTCTCTCTCTCTCCCTCCCACCCTCCCCTTCTCTTTTGCCCTTCTGTCTCTCCTAATTTTCTCTCCTTTGTTTGCCACAGGGATCATTTTCAAAGAGTGGATACTGTTTCAAAGTGTACTACCCACACTCCAAGGAAATAGAAGACAGGTATGGATTACACTCATTTGTAATAGTTTTCAGTGGGAGAGTTTGTGGGTAGTACAGACAAACACTAGAGTTAGGTTCACAGGATTGTCTATTGATTTTAAACATAGGTCATGGTTTTAAATTTCATAGCTATCTTGAGGTTAGGGACAGTACAGACACAGTGGTGGTTACAAAACTATAAACCACAAGTGATCTTAAAGTTATTGGGATAACTACAAGCCATGGGGGGGGGGGGGGCGTTTCACACTCTAAGTTATGTGTTGTGTGGATGCAATTAACTTTGAGACTTTATATCGTAGTTAAAATGACTGCTTGCACGGCTTATACTTTAAAACGTTGAGTACTCCTTGCTTCGGTCCCATGTGAACAAAGCTTCAGAGAAAGTGTAATTTTATCATTGATTATGCATGTAGGTGAATAGAGGCATTCACACTGCCTACAATTAGTATTTTTCACACTTATTACTTTCATGCGTGCATGTGAAGTATGTTTGAATTTACAAGACAGATGTGACATGACGATAAAACGTGTTGAATGTTTAGATTCTGACTCCATTGGTTTAAAATGGATGGCCTTTTGTTTTCTTATTTCTTTAGGATAACAAAACAGCCGATGGCTTTCATTTCATGGTTATTTTAAGGTTGTTGGGTTATCATGTTTAATTGTCTGTGAATGATAATCTCTTAGGAAAAGAGAAATTATGGTGTCAATGACTTCGATATTGGAAGCAATATAGGGCTAATACAGTTAAGCACAGAACACTTTGAATTAGACTGTTAGATTATTTATCCCAACAATGCTGTTTGTAATCTTATTTCAGATATACGATATCACCTATTTAATGAAAATAAGGTTCGGTTACAAAACAAGAACTCCAGTCATTTTGTATAACAGTCCAGTAATGTATTACAATTGCAGGTTAGGTTGATGTGTATTGTGTAGCATGTTGTAGACAATCCTATCCCATTGTTCCTTACTAGATTCATTAGATCCATTACATATGTCTGACATATTATCTCGTCCAATTAAACAGATTATATTTGTATGTAAAGGGCCTATCAATTATTTTGAGACGTGCCCTGCTCTGCCCCACATAAATAAAATGTTGATTTGATGCCTTTTATTTGATGTCAAGAACATTTTTTCTTTTTCATGGTAGAAGTTAGAAACAATTTGGTTTGCTGAACTTATAGTGAAGAATTTCAATAAACTATATAAGATTAGAAGTATCCAATATCTATTGTCATGATAATTCTGAATTTCTTGTATTTTGCAGCAAAATTGATGAAATGCCTGCCTGAGGGGGCTGCTGTGATAGACGATGGTAGAATTCTCAGATGTGATGTCGACTGTAGCAATGTGGAAATTTAAACAAAAGTAGCAGATTTTCACATTTGACACAATGGGCCAAGGAATCTGGTATACTTATCTAGCTCAGAAAATAAAAGAACAGACATGATAACTGGAAAATAATACTCATCAAAGTGCCCACATACCTCCTAAATTATGTGTAACAAATTAGAATATGAGATTTTACCTGAACACAGGATTTTGGGTACTGGTAAATGTTGATTCTTTGATTTTAATAAATTCAGGGTAATTCTAAAATTGAATTTAGTTTGCATAACTTCTCGCTTAAAATGAGTCATTCTTTACTTGAACAATGATTTGTAATTCTGGCACTGACCAGATGGCCCTTATGGAAGGACATGTGTGGTGTGTATTATTGTTCGTAAAGAGAGAATCAGGAAACCAATCATTTTAAAGTGTTGAATACTGCATCCCTGTATCCTATTTTTAAAACTAAGGAATGCTGATAAAAGAACAAATGAAACCCTCAATTTTGTGAAATAGAGTAGTGTTTCAAATTTTCCTTTTTTTTTTTTAAATGGAAAAATTGTTGTATCGAGCAAAATGTTACTCTATAATAGAAAGTTGTAAAACATGCTACATTATCAGGACACTAAATTTGATATGGTAATGTAGATTTCTATTAATTTCTCATTTTGGCATCAATTGATTTTTCATGTATTTATTTATAGTTGTTGTAATAGTAATACATGATGTACGCTTGCTAGTGAGAGTCGACTGCTACTAGTTGAGCTGGTATGCAAGAGGGAAAGCTGTAGGGACTTTCCCCAAAGTGACACCTATCCACAGCATTGCTCTCACTGTGGTGTCAAAGTCATGACATTTACACAGCCAGGAAAGCACCCTTTGCTTCATACAATAAAAAAAACTATATTATGAATAATTGTCAAATTTAAAGAGAAACAAGTGAAGAAAAATGACCTTGTGGGGTAACAGCCAATGTGTAGATTCTTTTTATCTTTGCTCTCTATGAAACGACTTTTTGTCTAATCAGTCTTGAACAAATCAACATCTTGTAGAGTATTTTGTAAATAGTGTAAATCATTTTATATATAACTATTTGTCATACAGGTATTAATAAACAAAAGGAAGTATAGATTTAATTGGTCTTGTGTCATGTGCGGTGTAATTGATCTCATGTCTATTGTGTCTAGGCCAGTGAAATATTTTAACAATTTTTGTTTTATTGATCGATTTTTGCTCAAACTTTCACTGACCCATTTCTCTCTCATTTCTATTTAAACCACCTTAAAGGTAATACAAAGTTTTGGTATGGGGTCATGAATTTTGTTCAAATGAACATATTGGAAGCATGTGCGATCCTACAATATTCAGTGATCGTTGTCACGGTCGAAATCGAGTCTAAAGTTATGAAATTGTAAATAATAAACTCTTTATGTTGTATAGCTCCATCTTAAGGTCAAAATATTAATAAAGCTATAAAACAATGTTTCTCGACTAATATCAACCAATTGGCTACCGGTATTCCTGTTAGGCGCGATTTGAAATATTTGAAATTTACCGAGAGCACCGGTAGCACCGGTAAATTTTGATTTTCGATTTTTCTCAAAAGCAGAAGTGTTTTAGCGGCTAGATTTTCTAGTGCTTATAATACATCCACTGGGGCATCCAAATATATCAAAATTGTAAAGAATCACTATCCAGTCAATTTTCAAAATTTCCCAAAACGTTGTATTACCTTTGATATCAGGTGGACTTCCACTTTCATTCACACCAAAAAACACAAAAAAGTATATTTGTATTGTTACTGCACAATATAAATTCATTTATCATTATTCCTTGGGAGACTACTAATTTACATAAACCAAAGTATCTCTTTGCATATACACACACAAATGACCACAGCTATACATGTATTTTAATTAGTCTGTAAAATACATCCGCAGCATTCTCTCAAATTCATCTTTACACCAGCATAAACACACACAATGCACACTAGAAACAAGTAAACAAGTTATATGCTGAGAAAATATTTATTGATCAAAATGGAATGAATACAAAGATAGTAATCTTGTTCTTTAATTTCTGTAAAAAAATGCAATATAAAAAATGTATATAAAATAATTTCCAGATGGCTGTTTTGTCCTTTAAAAAAACGAAGATAACAATCATCCTTTCTCCAAAATAGTAGCACACATTACTGTAAGAAGTATAAAATACAAATGATTAGTACCAATATCAGCAGAATACAAATACATTTCAAGCATAAGGCCACCGTGTTAAATGCTCAAATTCTATGTTTTTAAAAACACTAATATTTGATATCTTATCAGGGAAATTCAATAGCACACAGTTTAGCACACAAACTAGTAAAAAATGTACTTAGTACTAATTTCAATTTTCATAAAGATGCATAGTTTATGTGACAAATATATGATTTCCTACTTGAAACACTAATAAAAAGAGGCAGTTGTACATACAAATACAGTCAAACCTGTCTATAGTGACCGCCCAAGGGAAACACAAAAAGTGGTCTTTGTAGACAGGTTCCTTTAGTACATGTTTCAATGAAAAACCATTCTCAAGGGAAACAAAAAATGTGCTTGTGGTCACTGAAGCAGGTTTGACTAATAAACAGAGCTCCTGAATGTGAAAACGGCTTGTATGTGTATGCATTACAAATTTGAAGTACTAAGATTCAAAAGCACACAAGCTAGTACCAACCAAAAAATTACTTTTTTTTTTACGAGGGCTCTTTTCAGATTTTCCCTTAAAAAAATAGCCCCCCTTAATTATTTTGCGGTGGCTATTTTGGAGCTCAGGGGGGCTTTTTTTTTTAAAGGTTGTATTTTTTTAAACGCGGTTTTACCTAATTAAATTCCAAGCAAAGGCAAATATAGATACAATTGTAGCGTACATATGTCATGTAGAGTATTGCAGACATTCAGATACCCATGATTTATTCACTTTGTGTTAAACGTGTGGCTTTATGATTTACATATACATGTAACTAAAACTTGTCAAAAGGAGTGTTTTGTTTAACTGTTCGTTTTTCATATCCTAAGAAAATATTATCACTGACACGCGGGCTAGGAATTAATTTTTTTATGGGGGCTACTTTTCCCCATTGCCTAAAAAAAAACCAAGGGGCTACTTCCTTAAAGCCATATTGTAAGCTGTAACAATAAGTTGTGTTTTTCCTTAGCCATCATACTACTAGCAACCAAATTGGTAGGTAATATGTTATTTAGTCTTTTTTTCTGTCCCAAATTTAATTGTTATCATGAACAATGCAATCCCATTAAAAAAAAATGTAGACCAACTCCCTTTAAAATTGTGTTATTTAGACCATTTATAACCATTAAATGTGAGTAAATATTTTTACTGTTGTGCCACATACCGATGTAGGGTCTATTTGTTATGCCGAAACATGCAAAATCATGGCCTTATTTTTTTTTTATAGACTCTAATTCTAAAGGCCAAGCCAAAGCTAGTTTCATTTCGTAGACAGAAATTGATGTCATCATCACTCATGACAATTGGCCTGGAATCAATCGTATATAAATAATTTAATTTAATTAAACAGTTGTAAGAAAGATTCTGAGGAGTAGGAACATCCTTTATATATTTATTTACGGTTTTTTTATAACAAAATTCAATTTCTGTGTACGAAACTTGCTTTATACCGATTTTACAGGAAAAAAATCCGGCATTGATTTTGCACGTTTCGTTATTACAAATATATCAGTATGTGGGACAACAGTAAAAATATACTCGCATTTAATGGTTTTAACTTATAAATAACACAATTTTAGACGGAATAACATTTTTTTTAATGGGATTGCATTGTCCATGATAAAAATTAGGGCCAGAAAAAAGACTAAATAAACATATTACGTACCAATTTGGTCGCTAGCAGTTGAGCTCTCGTCACTCGCAAATACTTATTTGCTTCATACAAGGAGCGTGCGGGCGCGCGCTGCGCTGGAGCTGAGCTAGTACGTTATTGTGAACGTGTGCGAACTGCGCATGCATTCATGCTGTGCATGTGCACGAAACTACATCGGGGCCGTGGCCTGTCCGCCGCGCGGAGCTTAGGCGCAGGCAGGCGGAGGTACGACCGCCGATCCGCTGCAACTCACAAAACTTTTAAAATGTTGATGGAAGTTTCTAGTTTTGGAGTTGGTAGTTGGAACGGAGATTTCACTCAGACACATCAATAAATTGGTTTATTAATTCATTGGGAATATCAATTTATGGCGGGGGCGATTTTTCAAGATATATTGATTTTTTTTCGCCCTCGTCTTGATATTTACCGTGGCGATTTCAGAGGTTTAGGGGGCGAATCGCCCGTCGCCACCGTGTATTTTTTTCGTTGGCTAGTACAAAATAATACTGATTAACAGTGTAAAAAGAGGGCAATATCGAGCCAAATGAGTGTAGAATACACGTAAATGAACGATGATAAAGATAAAATACCATGATTGTGGTTCTTTTTTTTTACATAAAGCACAAATAATTGCTACAGTGTGATATACCACTTCTAAAGCACACATAATTGGTTAGCTGCTACAGAATATCTAATGAATACCATCATCTAGCATATACTTTGTTTCATTGAATGAATACTTCTGACATCCTTATACGCGGAATATGTCACATTGGTAATTGTTCAAACAAGGTTCCATTCACAGAAATATTAAAATTGAGATTTGGGCTACTAAAAGTTTGACGTTAATTCTAATCAAAGGACAATACTCCTAAGATTTTGGAAGACTTGCATTGGTCACCAACAAATATTGTACATGGTCTGTAATTCTCGTTCTGTTGCAATAGCTTTTTTACTTTGACACAGTTGTAATTTGCAATCTCACTATACATCATTACTTTTTAAAAAGGATCCTCCAAAACCTTGTCGTGTACAAGAACTTACTTCATGTACCGGTATAAAAAATCCCTTTACTTCTGATTGTCAAACATTGTTAGGATTGACTTCCCTATTCTGGCATGGGGCTCTAAGCATTGGACTCCTCCATGACGTCAGCAGACATCGGATTGGAGAAGGCTTTGATGTCCTCGTCCTCCTCCCACTTTGGACCGTTGATGGCGCCCTTCTCCTCCACCACATACGCCGCCTTCTTTTCATCCCCCGAGGTGTTGACCTTCACCTCCGCAGGGTCTGCGTAAATATTCTCCTATAGCACATAAATTAAATGTATCGTACAATCAGAAAAACGAAAAAATTTAAAGTTGACATCAAAATATTCTACATCTTCCTTTCAGTACATGTATGCCAGATACAAATAAGCCTAGTTTTTGCCTTGTATTTTTGTGATCTGTGGTATCATGAAAATCATGTTTTGAATGCCATTTTTCCAAAATAAGCACACCATTTTCTTAATTTTGTAATACATACAAGTACATGACAGGAAATACTTTTAACAGGAGAAATAGACTTCCTTATAACAATCATGGTATCCCACTATTAAAATGAAAGCTTGAACATTATTACTATTTATTATCATTATTAAGTATGTGGCATCTCCTGTGCCTGAGAGGTGAAAAGCAAACTGAATCATTTTAACCTTTGGGTCTCTCTTCCTGGTATAACTGATTTGGGGTGTGCAGGTGTAACACTACACTGGGGTTTCCCCCATATACTCTTACATGAATAGTGTAGAGGGTTTTCAATGTGCAAAGGTGGTTACTGCCCTCTACACTTGGTATCCACTTAACATCCTATCTGAGGGAGGGAGTGCGTTCCACTTAGCATACGTCTATGAAATAGGGGAGGGGCACGTTAACACACAAGACAGGATTCAGTCATTAGATGGATTGGGTTGGATTTGAACCCATGAACCGGGGTTCGACAGGCAGATGCTTTTCCAAATGAGCCAACTCGCCTCCTCAAATAGATTGTGTAGACGCTAAACCCAACCAACTATTTAAACTACAATCCTAAACCAATATCCTGGATAAAACATACCGATAGCTTGAACCTAATGTTACCAGAATACATGTCATCAGAACAAACACTGGATCAATACTCTCACGCAGTACATACCTTGGTTGTAGTGGTATACATAGGGTTGTCAAAGCCTCTCATAGCGGAGTCAAAGGTCGGATTAGGGATCTCCTGCATGAAGCCTGGTGGCAAACCTTGAGACATCTCAATATCACTGTCAGCATGCAGGGGTTCATCCTTCCAACTAAGTGAACTGAATAAAACAACAACAAAAACATGGATTATGACTGAGTTTCCATTCCTATATGACCTTTGACATGTTTGCACTTTAAAAATCCATCTGTATCTCAATATCACTATAAGCCTGTAGAGGTTTTTCCTCCTAACCCAATGAGCTGGAAAAAAATATAATGGACCATGAGTTGTCATTTGTATTATACATGTGTCACACGTTATGACATGTGATCTTTGACATGTCAAAAATCCATCTGCTTACAGTTGCTATCAATACACAGGTTTAAGATGCTTTCAGTGTTGAGTTGGTTTGTCTGTTTTGTTTTGATTTTTCCCCTTACATAAGCCTGATAAGTTAGGATTATCCAGCATAACAGGAAAACAGAAAATCCTGGTAATCTGGTTTAAAATGAACATTTTAGATAAGTTAGTTTAAAGAGATTTCAATTCCTTATATTCTCTTTTCCATGACAAAACTACAGAGATGTTGATGAAAAGTTATTGTACAGAGATTGTTTGGGTAAGTTTTCAAATTTTTGAAACTGTCCCATTATGAACACCATTGCGCTAAAGCCCTTTTAAGGGTGTCATTCTTACATAATTAAAAACTGCCTGTATCTCTATGAAAGGATTAAATAGGAATGTTATTTGCTAGCCTTCAATTTGGTGATACAGAGAAAATGCAGTAAAAACATATACTTACTTTCTTCTCATGGTTAAGAAGATAACAGTGCTGACAAAACAGATGATTACAATCACAGCAATGATGATGCCTGCTATTCCCCCATTTGAAACTCCACCTGTAGAAGACAGAGATTTTCAATAAATTACACATGCGGTCTCAAATAATTACAGTGTTTTACATCAAATTCATGTATAGAATAATCAGAATTACCCTTATGTTTAAACATAATGATTGATATTCAAACGCTGTATGTGTACTGGTAGTAATTGGTTAGTATAAATAAATCACAGTAAAATAATTTGCAAACTCATCACTTGTCTCATGAATTATTGGCTCTTTAAAGTATTATAAATGAATATACAATTTTCTGCATGCATGACAGAAGGGTGTAAGGAATCTTAATTCCCTTTTCCGCTAAGAATACCCTATCTAATATAGACAAACCATGTAAATTGTAAACTGGCACCACCCAGAATTGATAGTTTATATCAGGGACTACCCATTATCTCTTAGATTAGAAAAATGCACCTTTGTTAGTGGGAAGACGAAAGATCGAGTCAATTACTGGATCAACTCACATCGTCCTGTATAATCATTTCAGTGTTATACCTCAGTTACACGGCCAAACCGACTCTACACTGACTCAAACCAATTGATTCTTGGGCATTTGGTGTAATGCAATATTTAAGTTGACTGCTGTCAGTCTGTTGTCGATCTGATTGGTGTAACTGAGGAATTGGCCTGTTGGATATTAAGTTATTTTGGTGTAACACCCATTCTTTATAGGGTATTAGAAGTGCTAATGTCACGGGGCTGTAGTCAAGGTTACTGGTTCATTGAAGCGACGGGCTGGAGCAGGGCAAATTCAGTGTTTGGCGCTGGTGTGATCACCACGCCAATTGTTTAGCTCCGAATAGTTTGCAACCAGCAACTTGGCCAGTATGAAGTTACACTTCTAGTCTAGTCTGAGTTATCTTGGGATTTAGTAGTGAACTTGTTTAATTGATATGTGATTATACTCACCACCAGACAGTCCACCCGTTCCCTTTTCTGAGCTCTTCATGGAAACACTAGTCACTCCATAAGAATCCAAATCTAGAGGAAAACAACATAAAGAAATAAAATTTGAAGGACTTTAGACCTCTGTAAGTAAGGAGGTGTCATAAACGAGCAATAGCCATTATCTACCAAGGACTTGACATGCAACATTGTGATTTTTTTTTATTAGCCAGATTTTATTGGGGACTCAGTGCCTCTTAGATTAGATAACTTATAGAACAAAGAAAGAAATAAGAAAGAGAAGGAAAAGTAACTTTTGGGCAAGTTTTAAACAGTACAAATCAGTTGAGATAAGGTTATTAAGTGTAGGTCATGAGAAAATGCAATCACTCTAGATTCAAAGACAAAACATATATTGAATGCCTACATGAATGTATCACATGAGTATTCCATAAAATTAAATGTGAATTGTTCACATGTACTTTAGTTACATTTTCAATTGGATATTATATTGAAATATGACAAGAAATTTCCAACACGATATACATATGACTACTATTTTGCTGTACAATATATATTGTCAATAATTTGCATCAGTCACCAAAGTCTAATTATGCAAGTATTATGATGGTGGAAACATTATTCCGAGTGGCAGTATCAAACATACATGTAGCTCTACTCAACTGTAGGTATGATAAACTACATTGAACTCACTTTGAGCGATGTCATCCTCCACCTCGAGAGCTAGACGAATGGCTGCTTGCCCACTGCTGCTGCCACCGTTACTGTCTGTGAAGACCATTTGGATCTTACCCTCATTGGTCTTAGACATGTACATGGTAACATCGCTGTCTGCCTGGCGTTTCCTCTGAAGATGGGAGAGGGGGAGAGAGAATCAGTAGTAATATAGAGCTCCAGCATAGAATTTTAGTATGAATTTGTAAAAAATTATTCTTGAGAGATATATTATCTGTTGAAAGCAAAGAGGTTGTTGAAGCTTTTCATAGCTAATTGCTCAATGCGCCCATGTATTTCACTTTAAAATAAATCACATGTGCTATTTTCAATAAAATTCATATCTTTACATTGCAAATTTTCCTGGTGTAAGGTTTCTTCGTAATGGTCTTTTTTTAAGGTTCTTGAAAGTACCCAGGTCCACCTAAAGCAACATCAATAACGACCAAGAATTGAAATTGTCCATATGAACTTACTCTGGCTGAATTGGAAGATTGAGCTGAAGGACCTAGACCAAATTTGCTCTCTATGCCTGTCTTCACAGACTCGTAGTTGAACGTCTGAGGGTTGTATTCCATGGTAACAATGGCTCCTAAAAATAAGAAGAAAAAAAAGAATGTCCAAACTGAAAATGATAACTAAATGTTTATGACATGTATACATAGGTAGGATAACACTTTAAAATTATGACCACCTAGGTGAGGTTATATCATTTTCATCATTTCTGGTAGATCTTTCAGTTATCCTAACTCCATGTTTTACTCAAAGGTGAATCCTTGTGGCACATTGTACATTTTGAAGTACAAGTTTCTAAATATTCTGAAGATTCCCTACATAACGATTTTGCATACAGATAATGAAAACGTTCTTATGTATCCCATTCAGAAAAGGAGTTGGTCATTAAATGGCATTTCCTGGATACTCACCATGTCATCATATAGCTAATTGCTCTCTAAATCTAGGCAATCGGTGTAGATGACACAAAATGAAACAACCAATACAACAACAAGACTGAGTTTCTTACCACAAACTGGACAACATCCTCCTACAGGGATAGGTGCATTCCGACATGCGAGGGCAGGACAAGTACTCTTGAAGCCACAAATCTTTGTCCGTGACTGATAACAGAAAAGAATTTGTTTAAATCATTATATCACTGTCGTGTTATGTAGTTTACAATGAGTGAAATATATATGCCATATATCCCAGTGTGCATGACTTAAGTTGTCATCTAAGATGCTAGCTTTAAATTTTGGAACAAGAGTGATAATTGCGTGAAAAGAAGTTGAGAAATGCACATCATTCATAGCTACAAGGTACACAATTTTGTTGTAATTTAATATGTCTTTAAAAAAGTATCAGGAGCTAATATGCCAAACTCAGAAATGAATAATTTAGCATTTACTATGTAATGGAAGTAAAAGATTTTTGGATGTCCTGTTTTCCTAATCATGTTAATATTCAAATCAACCAAAGTAGATCTAGGGCCTATCCTGTGTGGCACTTCAAGGAGCGGAACAGATATTAAGAGATGCATAGACTCTAGATATAATTTTAAAAAGGCAAACCTTTAAATATAACTCTTAGTTTTAGACAATGCGCCCCAAATACACAAGGCAAAGTGCCATACAATTACTGAAATAAGTTTAGAGTAGAACCCTTGACCCTTAACGCTACTTCACTGGAGGGCCTGGCTTCAAGGGAGCGCTTCCATCCAGCATCCAGACCAAGAACTAGATAGTTTATTCCTCAGCACTACATCCTGACTTATGGATCCTGCTGAGTATCGTCGTAGAAGTAGAAGTAGAAGTAGACAGGATTTAAGAATTTTGTAAAATCTATATACTCTACCAGTAGGAATATATCTCCACAATACCTTATCATTTTTTTCAGAACCTAGACATCATTTTGAAAGAAAATTAATAATGCAAGACTAACCGGTTCGACATCATTCCCACACACACACCCTGTCAAGTCATTACACTGGGAGTTCTGCAATAGAATGGTAGGATTGTTGGACACGGAAAACTGCTGCTGGCCAGATGGAGAACTAAGGAAGCTTGAGAATGCCATTGTAGATACAAAGTTCTGCAAGAGGGATGCAACAAATGAACAGAAGAATAGAACTAGTTGTACTCAGAAATATCAGCTTCGTTTCATATTTGTAGAAACACTCATCTACATGTAGGTAGGTATATCCCCATAGGCTACTCTTCATTGCCATTTTCATCAATGACTTGATTTCAATATGAGCATGAAATCTGTAGAAGAAAGTAGTCCAGTACTACCTCGTACCTTGTAACATTAATGCACATGCAAATACGGTAGTTGTCTACAAAGCATAGATCTGCAAACAGAAACATTAGAAATAGCTATCATACCCATTTTGATATAAATTTACTCAATTCTATAACATAATTATTGACACTATGAGAAGCCTGAAGCAAGCATTGTATAAGAAGGTAAATAGCACGTCATCTGGTGACTTTAAAGCCACACTGTCTTACTTGTAGCTACTTGCTCCCTCTATATAGAAACTTCCCCAATCGGTGGCTGTTGGTCCCCCATGATCCTCTTTTTTTAATGTTAATTGAGAGCTGAGTTAATGAGATAGCCACCTGTCAGTGACCTTGCTGGGTGGTCTAATCCCTTCTGGCTGAACTAGTACAGCCGGCCTTTAACACATATTTGACACACTTTTAAATCTCTGCAGACCATGTGCAAGTAATGCAACTGCAGATCTTCACACTTGCCTCCCCTGCAAAGCTGACTGTGCCCACAGTGGTACTAAGGTCCACCCCGACAGAGAAGAGTTTCTCGGTGGGGAAGACGACCTGATCATACTGGCACGGTACACTCTCTGTATCCACTGCGACTGGACCATTGGCTCCTACCCAGTTCCCGGGGTTATACCAACTCTCAGGGGTGTCTGCGATAAAGGTTTGCTCTTTGAAAGAAAATATAAAATATAAAAAAGAAGATTAAAGATTTGGACTTTGATACTTTTGCTACAAGAGAGATCATGCAATATGAGAACTACTATGAATGTGAACACTTCCAAAAACTTATATTCGGCTTGTAAACTCAAAATGTCTAACGATACTTTCCTTACAGAATGCATAATAACTGGTACATGACGGAATGACTCAAGAACATCTAAACACCACTTGTATCTCTTCCCCTTGTCAAAAGTATAATTTTATGATGATAAATCATTTATCTATCTATCGATCTATTCCTGTATAAAAATACACGTAATCTTCCTCAACTTGAGTAATCTTGACATATATTATCAGTGGTAAGAGCCCCATCCTACCTTCCCCAGTGCATTCTGGCTGGACGCTGGAGTCATCAGTGAAAGCAATTCTGACATTGTTGTCCAAGACAAGAGCTCCGTTGAGTGGAAGAAGTATCTCTTTTAAGGTCGAGTTGGTCTGCATGAACACGACACTGACCTGATGAGAAAACATTGAGAAAATAAATAAATCTCACAGGTACGTAAATTGCCTGTTTCACTATCAATTTTCGGCATAACCTTAAATACTGTACATGTCCCAGAATATAACCCGTTCATTTGCATACATGCTCATGACAAGTTGACCATTCTAAGTAATTCAATACTCCATGTATTTGATACACTGCTTTTATATTAAATTTGTTCAAATTCAACATTAAAAAGAAAAGTTGATCTCCTTGATTTTTCTACAGATTATGACATGATCTGTGCTGTAATTAATCTAACCAATGTCAACTCTGCATACAATGAAATGCTACAAATTTTATTCAAAATGACAGTCATAAAACTTACAAACTATTTTCTCTTTCAAAATGGGATGCAAAATGACTCTTGACCTGGAGACATAGAAGCAACTAAAGGCAGCTGTATGATGATCAACTTCATACATTAAAAAACAAACATGTAAAGCGTTATAACAAAGGTTCATCAAGGTGAGCTGGTTAAAAAAGGAAATCAGGCTTCAGGCTAATTTTGGAATTAATAACCTAGATAGATGACCTTTTCCATAATCAGAGCACATACTACATTTATAGTCAGATCTACAGATGACCTACCGATTCAGGAAACTTGATGGAGTCAGAAGCACATGGCACTCTTCCTTTATCCCAATTGGTTGGATTTCCAAAGTTCACATCCTGTTGCCAAGTTTTGGTATCTCCATAGCAGACCCCTAAAGGCCCTAGTGGACAAAATTTAAAAAAGAGTACAAGTTAGCAGGATTTCAATATTAATTAATACCTAGATTTTTAGATATTGAATGATTAAATGAAAATCATAGTGTATAAGGTAATAAATGATGTGTGCAAGGATCTGTTACAATTAGTGGGTGGTTGTGCGACTGTGACTGCTGACTGATGATGGCTCTGCCTAATTAGCTTTGAAAGCTTGTAATTAACTATAATAATAATGAGACATTTACCAGCTGCATTATAATATGCCAAATCAGACAAACTTTATTTCCCCCTTTGTCTACGAATACAATGTTTTTAATTATAGCTGTCCCTGTATGCTATCATGGAGAAATATTGGCATGAATCTCAAATCTGTGCATTGTAAAGAAAATGGTAAATCCTAAATATCAACACTGACAAAAAACATATTTCTTTCAAATGCAGCTAGCAAGGACAAAATTGTAAGGATCACGATTCCAGCCTTCATCATGTTTTATCCATCACAACATTTTCCATTTTACAGTTTATGATTAAAGAGGAGTTGAAAAAATTGTAATTACTAGTCCTACTTCGAAAAAATGTGCCCCATGCAACGGCCAACCCGCTGTTTGAATCGTTTTCCCTAGCTATGCAGACTCTGGAACTCGCGACGCCTTCGGCGGCGCAGCTCCCCCTGGAGTTAATGCACACAGTGGTATCACAACCATCACACTCGCGACACTTGTTCTGAATTTTATTCTTATTCTTAACAAAATGAAACAATAACATTTTTTTAATACACTTATCTCAGAATTTGACTTCATACATACCAAATAGAAAGGTGAATACAACGATGAATCTCATTGTGGTATGTAAATTGATTGGTCCTCAAATCCCAACTCTAAAACAAAATTCGTTTTTCAATGTTTACCATGAGCTAGCTACGCATGGATAGCTAGCTAATGCAGCTGTACTGCATGCATGCATGGAGCTAGGAGTCGAGGAGGAGGGCATGAAAGGGGGAGGTTCCAACAGTTCGCATCATCATCATCGACATATGAATATCGTTCCGCGTTATAAAATTTTATTTACTCTTGCTCGGTGCATAATTCACCTAGTATTTGGCAAAGAATGTTTGATTTAGTATTTATTCGTCATTTATAAATAAAAAAAATGAAACTACAAACGCGTGATTCTTCTTTCTTTTGGGAACCATTAGAGGCCTAATTATTTTCTTATTTGTTTGCGTATGCACATGTTGGTGCTCCGTGGCCACAAAACTCCCACCAAGGCTGATTTTGGTAGCCATGAACTGGTGGAAGCGTCACATGTCCAAGCCAATAAGTTTTAAACATTGAAACATCTGCATCATCTAAATTTGGAAATTCCCAGAGGCTATACTCTTAGGGGGGGGGGTGGGGGGGGGGGGGGGGGGGGGGGGGGGTAGATGAACAAGATGAACTTCCCAAACTACAGGAATGGTCAAATAGGAATGATATGAAACTAAATGCCTCTAAATGTTCAGTTATGCAGATCTCCTTTTGTAAGCAACCTGTACAACAGACGGCCTTGTTTATTGATGATACCCAACTACTATGTAATGTAGAATCTCCAAAATATTGGGTTTGATCTTACAGAGTGACCTAAAATGGAATAAACACATTACTGATCCCAGTGGCGGATCCAGGGGGGGGGAGAAAAAAGTCATGTAAAATCACGTGATTTTTACCTTTTTTGGGCCAGGGGGGGGGGGGTGCAAATTGAATTTTTTTTTGAGATCAAAAAAAAAAAATGTGCTCACTACCCCCCCCCCCCCCCCCCCCCCCCCCCCCCCCCCCCCCACTGAGCGACTTTTCGGCCGGTGCGATTTTCAAATTTTCGGGAGCAAAAAAAAAAAAAAAAAGTTGGGCCCCCTCCCCTAAGAAATCCTGGATCCGCGCCTGACTGATCCCTTCAAGTGAAGAGAAGTAACAAGAAGTTGTACATACTCAGGACACTGAAATCATTCAAACTACCTATTGTAGATCTGATCACCATATTCAGAGGATATAAGACCGATTGTAGAGTACTGTGCCCCTGTGTTTAACGGAGCTCTTACAAAACAGCACATCTATGCACTTGAATCAACTCAAAAGAAAGCATGTAGAATAATTCTGTGTAGTAGTTATACTTCATATACAATGTTGCATTAGAAACATGTAACTTAGTGACTCTTGAGGAAAGAAGAAAACAACTATGTCTCACGTTTGCTCATAATCTGGAAGAAAGTCCCTTTTCATTGAATTGGCTGGTTAAAAAACAGGAAAGTCGCTACTGCTTGAGGAGAACAACAAAGTACACCTAGTACAAGTGCAAAACTAACAGATGTAGAAAGAGTCCAATACCATACCTTATAGATCTTCTAAATAATGAATAATAGAAATGTATTTTTACATAATATATTAACAATATTTGATAAATATTTTTATCATTATCTAATGTTTTAATACGTACCCAACTATGATTTAGTTTTAACGTAGGAAACTATATGTTTTACACTCTGGAATATGTTTATCTTTTTACAGAGACATCAATTTATTACCGTTGATGAACTGGCAACTTAGAGCAACATTTTGCTGACTTTTAATTTTCAATGAACATGAATAATTGTTAAGGACACAGGTGTAATAATTTCAGCATTAGCTTTTTAACTTATTTGTATGTTATGTATTGTATTGCTTTTGATCAATTATTATTATTACTATTGTGAACTTTAATAGATTTTAAAAATGTAAATAATATATAGTGATTGATTTCAACGCTACACATGAATACTGTTAAAGGTTACCAATACTGTTTTAATGAATGATTGTAACAAATAAAATAGAATGTTATGTAATGAAGCTCATGTATACATGTAAACATGCACAATTCAGCATTTTGGCTGCGAGGCATTGTTTTTTTTTTTAGTAAAACCATTATTGAATTGAATTGAATAGAGGGAGCTAGCCTAGGGGGATTTTCAAGTTCCCCCAAGTGCCCGAGATAAGTGCTTCTTTCACATATGATAAGTTCCCACATTCAAGTCTGATAAGTGCCTATTTTACTTTGAAAAGGGCATCATTTCTTTGTAATAGATACCGCTCTCCTCCTCTTATCAGTGCCCCTATTTCACCTGGAATAAGTGCCCCTATCTAAAACCGCTTTACTTTTGCAAAGTTCCCCGTTTCCTGTCGATAGTTCATCTTTCTCCTCTATTTACCTCTGATAAGTGCCCCTTTCCCTTCAAAGTGCCCCTTTCACTTTTGCAATAAGTACCTCTTTTTTTTGTGTAAATTCCCATTTCTCTCACCTCTGATAATAAAGTGCCCCTATCCAAATATGATACTTGCCCCTTTTACTTTGGCAAGTGCCCCACTTCCTTTGAAATAAGTGCACCTTTCCAGTTCTAGTAATTGCTATTTTCCCTTCTGAAAAGTGCCCATTTCATCGTTTTTTTAAATAAATTTAAGTGTCTCCTCCTCTCTTTACAAATGCCTCCTTCCCGCCTCAAATAAGTGCCCATTTTAAATGTTCCCATTGCTGCTTGTGATAAGTGTTTTTGTTTCTAATAATTGCCCGATAAATGCCCCCTTTATTTTCCACTGTCGCTTACAAAGTGTGTCCTTTTGCGGTCGTCTTAAAGGGAACCAAAACCTTCATAGTAAGTTACTTTTATTGTAAAGTTTAAGATATTTGAATAAAATCAGTGAAAATTTGAACAAAATCGGGCAAGAAATAAGGAAGATAAAGCTTTTTGAAATGACTAGTCACTAGAGGGCGATATTCAATTTGATGACATCATCTGTGAACAACTCTCCGTGCCTTTTGTACATCAAATGTAATGTTTTTCTTCTTTCTTGTGATTGAGATAATCTACTCCCCTGAAAGCAAGGTATATAATGCAAAATTATATTCTACTTCACATGTTATGAAGTCGGATCAAGAACACAAATAAATACGAAGAAAACGAAAGAATGGTGAAATGTTATGTACAAAAGGCATGGAGAGTTGTCCACAGATGATGTCATCAAATTGAATATCGCCCTCTAGTGACTAGTCATTTAAAAAAAGCAATAACTTCCTTATTCTTTTCCCTTTTTTGTTCAAATTTTCACTGATTTTATTCAAATCTTTTAAACTTTACAATAAAAGTTAATTAGTGTGAAGGTTTTGGTTCCCTTTAAAGGTAAAGACCAGTTATGGTCATGCGATTGCATTGTGAAAGAAACGTTGTGGAATCGATCAGAAAAGGTTGATCATCTAGCATCTAGCATCTGCAAGGTTCTGGAATCATCAAAATGATAAGAAATTTGGCCCATTCTTCGTAAAGTTACAAGCACTATACACATAAAGATGTATATGGGACTACCCTATATCTCTCACAGACCATGAGAGAAACAAATTTACCAAATATATGAATTAGTAGGCGGTTTCCCGGCAAAATGTATTAGTCAAAACATATTCTTTCACATGATTGGTAATGAGAGCTTCCATTTCATTTTTTGAAATTGGGGCGTTTCCAATACTGGCCTTTACCTTTAAGAGTCAGGTCTTGTTTCAAAGGATCGGAGCAGCTTTGTGTAGTAGCAAGTATTTCTAACACCACAACGAAAAAATAGTGGAGAGGGGGAGGGCAGGGGGCACAAATACCCCTAAAATAACGAACTGTCCTCGTTTTATAAATGCGGCAGTGCTGGCTTACAACGATATTAAATGTCACTTCTTTAGATTTTAATAGGCCTATGTGAATTCTTCTCTTTTTTTTTACTAAAACGTTTGTCCCTTTAAACTATATTTATACCATGGTATATTCTACTTAATTGCTAAAAGAGGCATCTTTCAATTTATCATTATTTTACCCCCGTGCCCTTTTTAAAGTCGTAGAATGCAAAGGCAATCATGAATACGAAGGTTTAGACGGTGAAGGAATTTTAATCTCTAGGCAACTGCATTAAACATTTGAAATTTAAATGCCATTTAAACAAAATATATATATATATATATAAAGATACATAAGCTCCATACGTGGTACAAAAAGTTGTTTGTATTACCCCTCATCTCCCCTGAAACATTATATTCCTCATTGCACTCATGACATGTGCCCCTAAACTCAAGCGACTGAGGGTAATATTTTCTCGAATTTCTTCAAAATTCGCCCGCTACGCTTGCGTGAAAAGTTTATTTCATCTGAGTAACATAAAGGTCCTATGCATTTTTATTATAAGATTGTGCTTAAAACCGAATAATAATTATTTTCATCTAATAATAAGATATAATCGGTTGAAATTCGGGGGGGGGGGGGCTTTCGGGGCTAGCGCTGCACGGCTCCTAACTGAGCATGTCAGTATAAAACTACACTAGTCTCTGGGATTCATCACTCACCCCCTCCCTGGATTTATGGAAGAGATTTTCAACATTTGTTTCCTTCATTAACCTTTCCCAATGTCTAAAATTTTATGTAAATCCAGTTTTATGTAATTTCAAGGAAAATGCAAGCCTGGGATTTCGATTTTAACATTTTTGCATTTATGACTGGGATTTATTGTGGCATTTCATTGAAAATAAAGTTTGAAAAGTGTTTTTTGATAACTTTCCATTCTTGCCCTCGAGCAAAAAATCAGTCTAAAGACGGGGTAATATATGAAATATGAAGAAAAAGTACATGTTTGCATGACTTTTCGAGCACAGCATAGTACTACGGAAATAAGTCAGAGTAAATTCTCTTATAGGTAATACAAAGTTTTCGGAACATTTCAACAGGATTGGATCATGAAATTTGCATTACCGTCGTGAAACCTTGTGTTAGAACACCTAACTCTAACAAAATTGGGCTCTTAAACGCTTTTGATTTGGAGTAATTAAAAATATAAAAAAATTAAAAAAATTACCCGTGCTCTAGCTCTCGGTAAATTTGGTATAGCTCCCTCTCAGTTCGAAAATCTATATGATAAAAAAGAAA